TNTAGTATATGTTACCTTCAATGGTTACATAGATCTGTATTATAACGTGAAATTACCTACAAGAAAGTGCAGTCTTTGCTTGACAAACTACCTAATGAAGTAAATATGGCTATTTGGCTTTTACTCTATAAAGTACTTAAAATTGTAATTCAGTTCTCTATTTTATTCAATTTATTTTCAGGCGGTTGTAGCAATTGATCAAATATTACGAAAAAAAGGGATTACTAAGGGTAAGTTATTACATCTGAATGAGCAATATTGGTCTTTCTTTATGTGATTGTGCAATGTACTGTAATTACAGATTCTAAAGACTATGATTTACTCAAACGAAAACTTATCGGGTGGTGTATATATGGTCAAGAATAAATTTTTATTTCTTCGTACTGTATCATGAATTTTCTCATCCTGTAAGATGTACAAGATTGTAAAATCTATAAGTTTGAAAGCCATAACTATAGTAATCAAGGTGATAATCACCTAATATTGCATAACTTAAATTAAATATAACTGCATACCAAGTATTTTGCATTATTTAAGGTGTAGTTAATGTTTAAAATATGGCAATAAAAGTGTTTTATATCAATTAACAAAATCATTACAGTGAAAAATTTTTTCGTCATTATCGTTTACTACATTAGAAATTATAAATTTCTCTCCTGTTGTGCTATATTGTTTACTACCAATGCACATATTGCGTTATGATTTAATTAATTCTTACAGTGATTGTCTGATATGATATCAGGTAATTTAAATCAATCAATAAGAACAAAGCAACCGTAAAGTACTGCATACAGTTTACAAGTATATTAAGAGAACAGTATTACTTGCTGAACGTAGATATGGATTGCTTAAGATAGCGCATCCGTTGTTAAGTCACTTTTCTACTAGCAATAATCTAACAGAATTTACAGTTGATTCGATTCGGTCATTCCCAATCAGAATCACTATAGATTTGTATATCCATTTCTTCCTTACTAGTATTACCTAACAATTGAGATTGAATCTCATGAATCCAAGACCAAGATATATTCAATACAGAATCGGTTTCATCATTTTCGATATCAGTTTCGCTTTCTACGTCTGATAGCAATTGTTGCTCTGTACAGCTACTGTTGTCTTCTACACTTTTGCCATATTGGCTATTCGTTTCTGTAGTGGTAGAATCCTGATATGACATATGGACTGCATTGCTATGCCTACAATAATTTTCATTGGATCGCTTAACAATCATAGAATGTTGAGGTATTGCGTTCTTTAGTTCTGTTTCCGTTTGCAATTCTCCTGTAGTATCTTGGCAGTCTCGTTGTATTTCTCGACTGAAATTCTGCGTATCAGACATACCGTTAGAATTTATTGCAGTTGTCAAATTCGATTTTTTTAACGTAGCTGCATCTACTTTTGGAACTTTAAATGAAACCTCCGAGTTTTTAGTGATAGTAGAACAGCCTTGACGTTTACTTTGACAATTTGATATGATCTTCGAGCTGGATCTAGATAAGGCTTGAGAAATTTCCTGAACAAATTGTCTAGCTTGATTGGTAGAATTTATCTCCGTGTGAGACCCATCACGTTGCATTGGCGATACTGTGTAGTTGATTTCGTTTTCATTAACTACGATCGTAGCTCCTTTTCGATCATGGCAACTATCAATAGATTGTTTTCGAATTTTTAATTGAATAGTATCTGCATCCTGTTTTACCTTAATCATCTGTTTCTGATAACAATCATCAGCATTATCGCTTATATCGATGTCTATTTCCTCTCCATCATCCTCTAACGCAATTTGAGATGATTCATTACCGTTATTAAGAGGGGATGTTACCTTTTGATTAATTTGTTTGAAACGCTTTATCCCATTCACTACTCCTATATTAATCAAGTTTTCTGAATTTGATTGCCGCTTATCTAGATGCGGCTGATCTTGATATTGCTGTGCTTGCTCTAAAAGCTGTTTAACCTCAGTTTTACTTAATTCTTTGTGTAATTTTTTTAGATGTATTTTAAATCCTGATAGATTTTTTAAACTACGATGACATAATGAACAATAAATAGCAACTTGAGTAGAATGTAGGATGGAATGTGATCTTAACGTCTTTTCTGATTTGAAATAGCGATGACATTCAGGACACTGTATTCCGCTTTGTCGATGGGTCCATGTATGCTTTCTGTAGTTACAGTAACTTTTAAAAGTTTTTCCGCATATCTTGCATCGATGAGATTTAATTCCAGTATGCTGTTGAACATGTCGTTTTAATTGAGCCACGCTAAGCATAAGTTTATTGCAATAGCGACACTTGATTTTATTGACCATTACACTGCTAGTCATCTTGCCATTATAATTATCGTCGATATCATCATCATCATCGTCTTCTATTATAATTGGTTGAATAGATTGATCCGGAGGACTTTTACTACTTGCATCTTGTTGATGAAGTGATACTAGATGTTTGGCATTCTCTTCGTCGATGTCATGAAATTGACATAAATGATTTAAAAAATGCGAAGCGTGAACAAATTTCATTTTACAATAGCTACATGTTACATTTATTCCTTGCCTACTGTTCCTGTAAATATACGATTGGGATTCCTTACCAATAAAATCATTACATAAATGCCTGACATCCGATAGATTATCATCGTGATATACATTGGAAAAATTTCTATATTCCGTTATCATTTTCAAATGGGGAACGAATTATACGGTGAGAAAATTGAAAGTAGCTTAAAATTTTTACTTGTATAATATTATCCAACCGAACTAAAAGTAGATGAACATTTAAGGTGTATTATACGGTAACGTAGCTGAATTGATTACTAAACCGGGGGCTCTTTTACTTTTACAGATATAATCTCGTAAATGATTAGTTGAAACTATGATCTTTCACGCTAAATTTTAAGCCAATGTTTATATCAGGATTACTCAAATTGGTATTAAAATAGTCGCTAAGTTAGTATCGAACGTACTTCTAAGTGGAATGGCATTACAAATCTATTTATTATGTTCTTGTCTTGTAGACACGTAACTATGCACTCCTACCATGTTTACGAATAACTTTAATTGCATACTGAAAGGATCTACAAGCACATTATTAATCCAATTATCAATTTAACTTTCCATTTTCTTCATTTTTATTTGTCCGCTGATTTAGTGTACATTTATATATATATATATATATGTACGTAATATTTTTGATTCTTTGAAATGATTTGCCTTAAAAAAATTATTAAAATACCGTAACTATAGTACAGTATTTCAGAATGAAATAAATATACAAGCTTGCATACTTAAAATTTGAGTCGTAATAGTTGTTGGTGCAAGTTCCAGAAAGCATATGACTATAAACATAAGTGTCAAAACAATTCGTTCATAAACAATACTGGTAAATATTAGACAATAAATCAGACAATTTCTTTACTTTGACTAAAATAGCTGAAATAACTGATACTGAGCAAAAAGCGTGATTTTTGTTTAAAGTTTGTTACTAAGGAAATTCAGTTATAACCGTTACTAAAATTCTTTACAAATCTAGTAAAGGAAACAAAAGTTTTGTAATCAGTTAATTTTTTTATATCACAACTTAGTTACGTATACAGTGACAATGTTAATATTATTTCGACTGTACAGTGTTTTAAAAGTATGAGCTGATAGTAAAGCAGTGCTACAAGCCCCATAGTTGTACGAAAGATTATATTTACCCCCATGATAATCCCTATCGAAATTTAGCCAACTCGCAGCATAGGTGGCTTCCGAAACGCAAATACTTTAGCCACAAATAAACAAAAACAGTAATCATCGCTATAATGAAATAAATACAATTTTTCAAATAGACATAAATCTGAAGGCGATGATATCGTCGGACGCAACCTAACGTTTTATAGTTGCAATTTTTAATTAGATTATTATAGAATCTTGCTTGCGACTTGTGCAAAAACTCTTTCGCAACATACGAATTACATGAATACTTACTTATCGTACAGAATCAACATACAAAAATACAGTCCAAATTGAGTGTACTTATCGCTTTATAGGTACATTTGTACAGTAAAGCCTAGTACTACTGACACTATCGCCAATTTTTTCATTTTAAAAAACTGACGCAGCCTATTCAAATTTTACGTATGGGCCCAAAGAGCTTTCAAATTCTTCTCCTAATTTTTTAAAGTTGTCTAATTCTTGCCCAATCGTATCCTAAGATTTTAATTAGACATAGAATATTAATCATGATCCTAGCTATTTATTTTAAGATAGATATTGACTTAGTATTTAATATCCCTTAACTAACATCAAACGCGCAACTTACGAGGCCTTGTGCAGTAAGGTCAAGAGCTGTATCATTATCGAACATTCTAAGTCTAGGTGCAGATTGACACGCGCGATAAAACGCAGCTAAATCGGATTCCAGCGAAGGTGTTGTAGCAAACGCTGGGTTCTGTAATATATGTTTATAAGTGAATCTTCGAATATACATATATCAAGCATTGCAACGTAATGTCTTATTATTTATAGTGATCAAATTATCCTTACCAAATCTACCATAACGAAATCATCCTCCTCCATAAAACTTTCGCGCCGACTTTCAATTCCTAGCGTACCTTCATAAGATCCAGTAACCGCTGAATCGTCTATACCCTCTTTATCCTTGGAAATAATATTTAAAAGATAAAAATTTATTAGACAAGTCTCTACGAATTGTATTTATCAGTAAAAATATTTGATAGATAAGTAACATTATTTGACGTTACCAAAATAGGGGCGGTTACGTTTCTTCCTTGCAATAATGATTGAAATGGTACCGGTGACGAAAAGATGACAGGCATTGAAGGCCGACGAGGTGGTGTCATATTCTAAAGAAATAATGAATGATTGGCTTTTAAAACTACCAGAGGTTGTCCACTACAACTGAATTATCTTTTAACCCTAAATTTGAAGGCTTTACACTTACCTGAGGGCTACTTCCTTCGACAAAAGCTGCTAAAACTGTGGTTTTAGGTAGGCTAAAGAAAAAGGTGCGCTATTTAGCGTTTTTAGCAAACACACATAGTAATAGAAGTGATATTAATAAATACCTGTGACAGACTGGAGATTCGGAGACAGTATTTGGTATTTTATCTTTATTAACAATAGGTACAGCAGCAGTTGTGGAACTTTTACTGCTGAAATCATCCGCCATAGCACTTGCTAATTCATCGGTTATTCGGTCTCTATTGTATTTGTAGACATAATTCATTTTTAAAATTTTAAGTGAATAAGAGAATGATTCATTTTTGGTATAAGAAGATTACTATGAAACTTACTTTAAGTTGCTGGTCATAGTTACATCCAGTACTTGACCGTCGTTAATACTCTTAATTAGTTTCGGTCGCACAGACTGAGGACGCCCAATAGTATCTTGTGATGATCTGTTGTTAAGCAGAAAATGAAAATATTAGCTATAAGGTCGATTTGCTGTTTAAAAAATAGTGTTTATTGCTACTGTGTAACACGTAGAATTTATTACAATAGGGTTTTAGTTAAATTCTTTGGCTTTCTAACAACAACTGCATTTATGATCTAGTATGACTGAGTCCATTTAGTTTTGTAATGCCATTGTATACGTGTATATGTTAATAGTAATCAGTACGTTCAATAAGAAATTGATCAAAATGATGGCAGGATGGAAAAGTCTTTATGATCAAATGGCTAAGATAATGAGTAGTACATAACACTCCCTCCATATCGAAGTAAATTTTGAAAATACCTGTCATCAAGAATATATTTACTTCTGTACGCTAAAGACACAATTAAATAGCCACCAGGAGTCCCGACAGATCCAACTTGTAGTGTTTTGTAACCTTTGTGGGTTAATATTTTTTAAGTAAGCACCATTACAATTATATCGAGGTAGTTAAAAGATTAGTTGTATCTAGTTTACCTTCTCCCAAGTTACTAAGTTGTGGTTCTCCATAGTATAAACTGGATGATAGAAAGTATGATAAAGAAGTATGAGAAAGTATGATGAGAATACGAATCTGTAAGACGCCCATTAAATTGACTATTTTATGCGATCATAGTTCCAGAACAAGAGTATCACACGATGGAACAATTCAACTTGTAGAAATGAACATTACGGTAATAAACTACTTACCAATATAATAAATCAACCTCATGGCCATGTTTCCTTGCTAAATTATATGCCGGCACGGCGCGTGATACAGCAAAGAGAGATCTTAGCAACATACCAAAACGATTATAAACTGTGTACCGGACACGGACATTAGGATCGAATCTAAGTATCATCCATAATTTGATATAGTGATTAGTGTATGTATTTTAATACCTTATTGGCAACTATTATTAATATTAATAAACAGTTTATGTACCGTACTAATGGCTATTTTACATGATCCATTCCGATAGTACTTCTGATTAGAAAGATTAAATTACAGTACTATGTAACGATATACTGTACAATTGTGCATTACTATTTCTGCGACAAACACTTCATATAGTAGGTTACCAATTCTAAAGATAAATATAATTGTAGTTTTGACCGTGAAACTATCAAGATCGATCGCATGCTACAGGTAAGCAGTAAAAGTATTGTAATGGACAATTAATGTGAATCAGACATAAGTAGCGACTACAGGAATTAAATTAGTTCCTTTGGATAACTAGTGATAGTTGGAGGAATTTAAAGGTTGCAATGGTCAATTATACAATCTGATTCTTACTTGGTAGTATTCAAGGTGAAGGACCAAATTTCCAGTACCATACAGTTTCCCTGAATTAAGATGTTCAATGTAACTGTTCGCTATATTCCATTTTCAGTTACTTTATAAACTTACTTACAAGGTGAGAATTACTAACATTACAGTACATTTTGATACTAAGCAAGAGTACACCTTACCTCTGGTGATGTCAGTGAAATTTCCATGCATAATGGCTCGTCTTCACGAAACGATTTACTGGAGTATAACGTTCGTATCTCATCAATAATGACTCGATTATCTTCCAAATCTAACGTGAACTATCGATAATAGAGTACAAAAATCCGTAAGGGAATACTTTCATCTTTTGCGTTGGAAATACAGAAATTGATTATATTTATTGGTGATAATTTAGCAATCTGTATCGATGATATCAATTAATCTCTAAAAGATTGATTCTTTACTGATGATATCGTTTGCTGTAAATAGCAACTTGTAAGCTACAGTAGTAAAAGCAGGTTGAATAATCGATTTTAAGGTAGTAGCCGATATCATGTAGATAATTATGTAGATCAAAGGTGATTACTTTCATAAAGTTAACTGAGAGCAAGCGAGTAAGAGTGCAATTACACTATAAAATTTTTAATGTAGAGAGGCAATCGCATTGATAGGCCTGGTTATTATACGAGTAAGTGTGTATTTGCGTATACTGTGACAAGTTTACTGTACAACATAGAACTATATACTGCATAGAGTAAAGTGCATTTACTGCAGCATGGCTGTACTCGTGTACTGTATATCAATCTTGAGAGAACAAGTTGAAGTAGGGTCATAATTACAATTATCGGTAAACGTTGAGCAAATGACCACTATTTCTAATTGCATATTATGCTAAAATAACGTACACTCTACTCTCCTATCGATCCGTTTTGACTAGCATTTTTCACTTTATTCACTACAGCGCAATTGGTTATCCCGATTGTGCCAATTGACTACGAAGACATGATGAAATAGGGAAGAATAGTCATATCAATGGTGTAGTCCATCATTATCGTTGGCGTGAGGTATTGCATACAGTTACAGTAGAACTGTAACTGCTAAAATCATAATAAGAAAAACAATTTGAATTCTTAACTTTAGTTTCTACATATTTAGAAGTTGTAAGGTATCGAGGAATGCTACCAATAACGTGGTTATTTTTTTGGCTTGGTTGGTTTGTGTAAATAATCAATTATTGGATCTTACAATGAAAAGGACAAGAGCCGTTGGCAAGATTAATACTGTACCATGAACGTGCGGGATAAATGTTTTGACTACTGTTGCAAAGTTATTTGGGGTTTATCATATTGAGGATGAATTTAGTGATATATATAATCAATTAGTGATGACCCATTCAACTTGTTGTATCATCATCCATAGACGACTACTGTGTATTTTAAATGATGAAATATTTCAAGTCATATAAAATACAATCGACAATACAAGCTGGTGTATAACAATCCTTTCGTCGTCAGCTACTATGATGGCAATTCTACGTCGAAGCAAGTATGATGAGAGGAGTAGAGTAAAGTGGGTTTGGGTTTCAATTTTTGATTTGTATGAAGATGAAAAGCAATGAATAGATGACAAGATTATAAGCTGGAAACATTACCAGTAGAGTCATGGTATAGTACTACATTTCCAAGCTTATAAAAATGATGACGAAATCGTCTGATTCATTGAAGGCTCGTATTATTGCCTAGCTTGTTTATTCCCTATTACTTTATGATAAATTGATAGTACAAGTCTAGATTATCTGTTAGAATGGCTATCGAACATAGAAAGCTTTGATCATCCTCATCCATTGAACTATTGTGCCATATTTTGCGATGAAATTGCAATGGCAATCCATTTGTCTGTGTTAGCGTGTCCAAGGGACACGAGTGGAGAGTATTGGCGTCGAACAAGACAACAAATAGACTGTACACGTTGACTTGCTAGCGATCTTGGAGTATCATGATGGGCTATTACTTACCCAATCGGTCGATCTAGGAGTAGGTTTGGATTTTGTTCTGTATTTTTGACCAGTTCTTGATTGTGCTATTACTTGTGTTGCCTATGACCCAAGAAAAAAAACAAGAAAAACATTACTAACATGATATTCTAGTATGGAGTAGAAATTGACTTGAGTCAAGATTGGAGAGCCATGAATCCCCCCCAAAAATGACTGGCGATGAGTAGGTTATAGGCCTAGCTAATAAAATGGGACAAATATACGATCGTTGAAATGAACACAAGGAATGAAGGACAAGGCTATCTCATGTGATATTACTCTTGTTTTAAGACCCTATTTCAAACTACATGGAAGATTTATCCGTGCTGGATGAAATGATGACGAATGATAATAACATGGATGAAATGGAGTTTGGTGAAATGATTTTGGCCATACAAGATTCAATCGATAGACTGAAACATAAGAGAGAATCCTATAGTATAGAGTCATTTCATGGAGTGCACCTGGAATGGTCAAGGTCCAATGCATTTACAATAGACATCTTATGGGAAAATACTGACACTTAACGCTAGTATAGTCTGTTATCGTTAGCAATGTGTTGTACATTGGCCTCCATCACGATCTAAGTCTGTGATGGCCTTGGAAAATGCTACAATCTGCCATAGTGGATAGCCTTTTACCTTTTGAACGAAGAATTTGAGAAATAGATCCAGATCGGAATTAATCTGTGGTCCATCTCTGACTGGTATAGAGGCCATAGCGATGTTGACGATAGGACGTTAGTGAAAAGATAGTAACATGATGGATTTTTCTCCAGTTGTAATATTAAATAGACATTGATGTCATTGACAAAAAACTCTTGAATAACAAAAACAGAAAATGGATCGAGAAATGATTTGGAAGCGATTTTTACCCCAGCTTGCGTTGGCACATGCGTAGTGTACTGGGAGAGAGACAATAAGTCCCTGGCGCAACTCCACTACAGTACTATACCTTCTACTTCCAGGCTGTACTGTACAGGTAAAGCATTTACACACCCTTGACTACAGTACTCAGAAAAAGAGACTGTAGTGTGCGTACTGTAGCGGAGCGGAAAGGCAATGGACTACTAAACTCTTTATCGGTAAGACTACTAAAATCTTACCGGTAGTCTATGGTAGAAGTTTTTTTTTTTTTTACCTGCACTCTGTACAACATCATAATACTATAGATAGAACTGGGGACCTGAAATGACTGCAGGCCGACCATTTTACTGGTCATTTCAAGTATACCGTGACCGTACAGACAGAATGCAGTGGCCGCTGACTGAACGAACAGTCTTGTGTACACCCTGGGGCACTCGCTTTGGCAGAGCCAACGGATGGACTGCTGTCTGTACTCGATGGACGCGATGGGCACGGCCAAGGTCACTTTCAGCTTGAACTACGTCCGCACACTCTCGCACAGTACTGGTATACAAATCGCTAGTCAAAACTTCACTTTTGACTATACCAACTATCAATGACAGCTTCTAACTCAGTGTACTGTGCTGTAGTGCCATAGTGCAGGAGTAAGATCTTTCTTCTTCTGCAAGTGGCGGATCATATCGACCGGCACCATTTTGAAAGGATAAATGGAATGAAAACGCCGGGAACGATTTACAGTATATAGTACAGTATTGTAGTCTATGGTACCGTACTGTACAGTGACTGAGGTGAGACCATACAGTACTGTACAGTAGAGTAGAGTTAAGGTTTCATACTGGCGTAGGTGAGTTAGCGCTCTACTTGGTCTGTATATTTTTTTCTCAACTCTCACTGTACGGTACGGGTGAGAGTCATCACAGTAGAGGTCAAACTTCTGTCTACCGCACCGTACCGGACCGAACTGGGCCGTCACCCATCCATGAAGATCTCCACAGTATGTAGCACTGTAAAACCTACAATGCAAAGTACTGTATCCTCTGGATTTTCAAAAAAATTCAAATTTTGTTTTTCTTGCATTCATGACAGACAGCTGGAAGGAAGGAAATGTCCTGTACAAATGGATCGACAACATCACGTCTATAGCGTACAGTATGGGTGGGACTGGACTGCATGGGTGAGAGTCATCACAGTAGAGGTGCAACTTCTACCTACCGTACCGTACCGCACCGAATCGAACTGGACCGTTATTCATCCATGAAGATCTCGACAGTACAGTACCTTGCACTGTAGATCCTACAGTGCAAGGTACTGTATCCTCTGGATTTTCCCCCAAAATTCAAATTTTGTTTTTCTTGCATCCATGACAGACAGCTGGAAGGAAGGAAATGTCCTGTACAAATGGATCGACAACATCACGTCTATAGCGTACAGTATGGGTGGGACTGGACTGCATGGGGAGTACTTGACGATACCTCTTACGATGTTCCAGTACACTACCTACTGGTGACTATGACATCAGTTTGTAACTGATTTTTCACTGGTATTCAAACCGACTACCGTATCAAAACAACGTTGTGCCTTTTGAATTGCCAGTATGGCAGTAAGCTGTTCTGTACAGTACATGCAACACCAGTCAATTCAACGTAAGCCATTGGCTTGAAATCAATCTTGACGTGGCATACGTTAAAACAAGAGACGAGTTAGTAGATATCGGAAATAAATTGGACTAATTTCATCCTGGATTATGATCATCATCGTAAGCCATCGTCGGTTGAATCTTAACCCGATATCATCGCCGCACTTTGCATTGGATAACAACCTCCATTTCTAAATCATTTCATCGAATTGATCCTTTATACAGGTTGGTTTGTAGCTAGTTTGACTTGTTGAATATCTGTAGGGACATGATAGTTTACAACTGTTGAATCTGATGCAGTTGACGACTGATGAATGCATTGCAGCATGCAGACATTGATATATCATGCTGCTAATTTAACCTACTTAATAGCAATAACGAGCATGATGCAAGGATGGATGGCGACAATCATCATCCAGAATATTCTCTAGTATCGATATCATCCACGTTGTCGTATTCATCGATCGATTGATCCATCATCTTCAGTTAAGCGATACAGTCAGGGTGTGATGACATGGATGCCATCCTACTCAGGTATCATGTCAATTCCGTTAGACTTGATGTATATAGATATGGCCGACCTCCATTAGCAAATGCACCCAAAATTTGCCATTTCTTCATGCCCATCCACGTTGTCATATTCATCGATCGATTGATCCATCATCTTCAGTTAAGCGATACAGTCAGGGTGTGATGACATGGATGCCATCCTACTCAGGTGTCATGTCAATTCCGTTAGACTTGATGTATATATGGCCGCCATTAGGAAATGCACCCAAAATTTGCCATTTCTTCAACTTTTGCCTTTGCTATGGCAGTAATGCAGGAGTAAAAAAGAATCTCTTCATTCTGACAGTCTGACATCATTTTCAACCATATACAATCAATCAAACTATGCATTAATGCTATACAACCATTTTAGCCAACAACAGGCATGAATTGCAATCCGTTACGTAATACTGTAGTCGGTAGGCGGACAGTCAGAATGGAAGGAGTAATACGTTCCAATAGACGAGCTGTCCGACATGAAACATTTTTTCCACTGTCGATAGGAAGAATCCAGTCGAGACTGGAGACTAGAATCGATAAAAACCCGATCCCAAAACTCTCCACTCATAGCCATACGTAATACACGATGTGTATAATGTGAAAGCGTAAAATGGGCTATTTCTCCTCTTTTGCAATATGCAATTGGACTGGCGTTCCATGCATAAACTGCAGGCATAACCATATGTAGCCTGGACACTCCTACAAATGATATTTAGCGTATTCTTGTAGCTTCCTAGTTGCAATGGCGCTTATCCTGTATGAAAAAATCGACGGACTGCAAAAGCCAACGAGCACAAAATTCCCGATAGATTTTAGATTACAAGCCTTTCACATACTGTACTAGGTGTCTGCCTTAGGCCAGTTCTCAAAAGTTAGTCTAGAGACTGCTACAAATGACATTCATCGTATTCTTGTAGCTTCTAGTTAGAATGTCGCTTATCCTGTACCCCAAAATCCACTGACTGCAATTGTCAACGAGCACAAAATTCACGATAGACTTGAGATTACAAGCCTTCTACAAACATACTAGGTGTCTGCCTTAGGCTAGTTCTCAAAAGTTAGTCTAGAGACTGCTACAAATGACATTCATCGTATTCTTGTACCTTCTAGTTAGAATGTCGCTTATCCTGTACCCCAAAATCCACTGACTGCAATTGTCAACGAGCACAAAATGCACGATAGACTTGAGATTACAAGCCTTCCACATATTGTACTAGGTGTCTGCCTTAGGCCAGTTCTCAAAAGTTAGTCTAGAGACTGCTACAAATGACATTCATCGTATTCTTGTACCTTCTAGTTAGAATGTCGCTTATCCTGTACCCAAAAATCCACTGACTGCAATTGTCAACGAGCACAAAATGCACGATAGACTTGAGATTACAAGCCTTCTACAAACATACTAGGTGTCTGCCTTAGGCTAATTCTCAAAAGTTAGCTTACACACTCCTACAAATGATTTTACAAGATAGGATACTATTGCAATTTCTAATAGTAATGTTTCTACCCTGGACAAAAATCCATTGACTGCGGTCATTGAACTAGCGCAAAATTGGTCATAGATTCTCTTTCTATCTCAAAAAGTAGCCTACCCATTTCTAAAAAAATGACCTTACACGATATTCACGTGATTTCCAATTGTCATATCTCCCATCCTGTTTAAAATTCTATTTAATTGTAAAAGTAAATTTCACAATTCGAGTATATCGGTATTATTGGCTATAAATTATTAACATACAGGGTCTCTACCCTAAATTGTCCCCATCTCAAAAATGAGCCTGGACACTCCTACAGTACATACGATCTTAAGCGAAACTTTACAATTTCAAACTAAAATGTCACCTATCCTGTACAAAAATCAAGCCAACTCCAACCGTTAACAAGCGCAAAATTTACGATATACAGTACTGTAGCATGGATTGCTAAATTGCCTATGACTGTACAGTGTACAAAAAGCTATAAATCGTCGACATACGCTATTTCTATCTCCAAAAAATATGCCTAACTTCAGTATATGCGTAGATTGATATATATGACAATAGGATCAAAAATCCATCAATTTCAGGATAGTAAATCATGATACTCTTCGTGTACGAGTATTAGCAACGTGTTAAGGTAAAGCTGCAAAGTTTATTTATACCATCCCTTCTTGTTTGACATTAATTGTACTGCAGTATTATTGATCTGTATTACATGATAACGCCTGATTCGATCGACTCTGAGCACTTTATTTGTATAATTGCACAATTGACGATACGTAAAAATACAATTTCAATTTTAGGTCTTCTGTAACATCGACAATATTCTACTTCAATATAAATTAATAACGATTCTATGTTGACTACTTCAATCAAAGCGTTAGACATTGAAAGTTTAATCATTGCGACATCTCAGTTTGATGAACTAATCAATCACAAATACGTAATTATACGAAATAATGTTACTGTTTTGGATGATAATATTACTTTACTACAAGTTACAGGAAAATACCGTACCCATGCTTAAGCCATCTTGATACTAATACGCTAGGCGAACGACTAAACTGTGCTCTATCCATAAATAATGGCTGTTCCATGCAATGAGATACTTTATATGATTCTAGCCCTACATGCTTTATTCAAAATTTTTATCCTAATTTACAACACAGTGTGGTCAGCTCGATTAAAAGAATAAACGAATCAATTCATTGAGTGGGAAATATAGGTCCAATTTTACGTTACATTATAGTGATTGGACATCTCTACCACAACTCCTAACGTTCACTCATCTACTCATGCATAATGATGTATTACATTACCTCTTACATTCGCATCGGGAGATACCGAATACATGTAGCCATCAGGCCATCTAATACGGTAATGACTTGTTCAATTAATGATAGGGAAATGGAAAAGTACAATATACAGTATGCAATAACAGGATAAAAAGTGCGATAGATTATTATCACCTTGATTTTAGCTATTATTCGGATTGAAAAAAATGATTACAAACAGTAAAGAATCACTTAGTAGCATCATTACCAACTACTAATCCATTAAGCAGTACAATGTTTACAAAGAGGATAAAGTAAATCAATCTTGTAACTACTGGCCTACTCCAATGAAAATTGCCAATTCTAGAATATGTACTATTTCGACAGTGTCTATAGACACCATGTGTAGCTATCTTTTTCTCATTGCCATACTTATTAGTGCATCAACGTCATTTGTAATCTGTCAATGACAAATTAGAATAACATTCGGTGCACTGAACACCTCTTGCATTGCCCATACACTGCCTAGGTGCGTATTTATGTGACTTACAATCGTGTAATGGCCGTAGACAATGATGTTGCTTAAAAATAATGATACCGAAAGCCCAAAACTCATAGTTGAAACATCAGTTGTCGAAACTACGATAAAGATTAATGTAAATATTTGGTATTTGGATGTTATACAACGAGTTTTAATAGCCAAATTTCTCCATGAAATGATTGAATATTGCGATGTTAATGTGGTAGTAGTAAGATAAACTTCAATGATTACTATTACCGCACAAATTTCTAGAGTGTAAGAATCCGTAAAATGTAAATCAAACTAATAAAAATCCTGTTATATTACTATACCACAGCACGATATTATGGGTGACGAGAATGAATACGAGAAGTTACCCTTACAAGAACGATTATCACATAAGGTATGTCAAGACAAATTGGTATATTCTACGGTAACAATTGCTAAGCGTAATTAGAAAATACGAGTATGTTTTAATCTTTTCCTGTATAATTTTTTGGCTGTTATGATACTAATATAGCTATGGAAAGCTCGCTTACATGGCTATGAAGAAGCAATTAAAACTTTCGCCCTAATAGACGACGAAAATAGTAGCGAATATAATAAATATGTTGGGCAGTTGAAAAGCTTTGCCGTTGAAGTGAATGCCTTGGCTCAAGATACAGCCTTAGATGCTATCATATCCTTCTTAACAAATGCTGCAATTTCAATTTCTGGACGGTAAGTAACGTCAATCATTGCGATTTAGTATTAGTTTGGATGTGCAAGGCAAATACGCGTTTATTACAATCGATATCCGTGCGACATTATTGATACAAAAAATATTATGCTCTATGAAATACTGGTAATCTTTCATTCATGCTATCTTCAGTCAAAATTCTGTTTTTGAGAAGTAAAATAAATTCCTATTTAGACTTTGCATACGCGTGCATATACGAATATATACTGTAGAAATATTCAGGATAAATCAAAAAGTGATACATACATTATCTAAAAAAACCACCATATTTTAAAAATTATTACAACTCCATATCTTCGCCTATTTGAATTTGCAGCAGTTGCAGTGGTGTCGTTTCCGGAATTGTTACTAAGCGATTTAACGCTAAACCGAAAGTCAAATCAAAGGCAATAGATGTTTGCTTGATGTATGTTGAAATTGAACAGCCTGAAATCACGCTTGTAAGTAGATTATGAAAAATTTTCTGTACTATGTCTGAGTTAACGCGATGTCATTCATTTCTAATATAACTTGACGTTTTTACTACATAACGTACTTACTGTATTAATTCTAAAATGGTAGGAGGAAGTAATCAAAGGGCTATCGAACAAGCAACCTAAAATTGTGGCGGCTTGTGCGGAGTTTATCAAGGAATCTTTAAAGTGAGTATTAAATTTATTGTATCAATGTCCAATCTTATTAACTTCTAGTTGATCCTTTTTATTAAAAATTTTCATGCAAAACTTGTTTATACCCGTATTATTACAGAGCTTTTGGAGCAAAGGTGATACCAATAAAATCGGTATTAAAGATTCTTCCTAAAATTTTTGAACATAGTGACAAGGGAGTTCGGGAAGAGGTATAACAAACTAATTCTAACCGGATCATGCATAATGTTGCTAATTCATAAACTTTTTATATCAGTCAAATCTATTTTAAATCTTCTTAGCAGTTTTCGATTTTTAATTTGACATTTAAAATGAAAAGGCAAAACAAATTGCGATCGATGCATATCGGTGGGTTGGCGCAGCAGTTAAGCCGGCTTTACAGACCATAAAGCCAGTCCAGGTAAATAAATAAAAATCACACATACATGTTGGGTTCAACTTGATATATACTACAGTATTATCGTATAGTAACATTTGGCTATTATTCTTGTTTAAGTTGAAAGAATTAGAAGAAGAATGGGAAAAGTTAGGCAACGAGCGAGCAATTCCGACTCGCTTCTTGCGATCTCAGCAAGCACAACAGCAAAAATTGATGGCTGGTGCTGCAGCTGCTGAAGGAGATAGTGTAGATGGTAAGATAGTGTTGCAGCAATACCGGCTAATCTACAGATGAAAAGTTTTCTATGTTGAGTGATGTTAAAACAAATTGCTTATCGTCTGTTGTCCATTAGTATCTCAGGCAGGCGCACCCGTGGAAACTGTCAATCCTTTAGATCTAATAGATCCTGTAGATATTTTACCCAAGCTACCTGCAGATTTCTTTAAAAATTTGGTAACGTACATTAATAACAATTACTTCCAAGTTACTAATTGTGTACTGTCTTATAAGATAACCATTTACGTAATCCTTTCCAGAGCGACAAAAAATGGCAGAATAGAAAAGAAGCTTTAGAAGCATTACAGGCCCTCTTAACTGCTAATCCCAAGCTAGAGCCTGCTGATTATTCAGACTTAATGAAAGAGTTGAAAAGGGTACAGTATTAATGTCGACGAATTTTTAGAAATTTTTAGATTAGTTATATGTCAGACTCTTGCTTAGGACGTTACTATCGCTATTGTTATGTAGATGATCGGAAAAGATACCAATGTTTACGTTGTATGCTTGGCTGCTAAGTGTGTTGCTGGAATAGCTTCCGGTCTGCGAAAGAAATTTTGTATCTACGTTTCCCTAGTACGTGTATGAAAAATTTAATAAATTTAATTTATTACTGGTATATTACATCTTTCTGGTAAAGTAAAATATGTATACCCATTTCGTTCTCATATACTCGTGTTACAGTATAGCAAATTGAATTGCATTAATAAAGTGCGTATAATCTGTTACTGTATAGATTTTTTCTACTATACTGGAAAAATTTAAGGAAAAAAAGCTAAACGTTGTTACCGCTCTAAGGGAAGCAACCGATGGGTTATTACTTACGGTAAGAATCGAAAAGTTCAAACAAAGTCAGTTTTACTTATCAAATTATAGCCCTAATTGCACCGTCTTATTTATCACTTGATTACGAAACTTCAATAGACAACCATCGCATCTTTTCAAGACGATATAATTTTATACTTGGATAACAAGAATCCGTCAGTGAAGGCGGAAACAGCTTTGTTTGTCGCCAGAGCTTTCGCTAAGAGTTCTGCTCAGGCATTGTCGAAGGCAGTTTTGAAACCGATTTGCGGAGTTCTTGTAAAGGTAATTTTTAATGGAAGTTAATATTACAAATTGCTTTCGCCTACAGAATTATTTCGGATTCTATAAAACGTAGTTGCTAATTTATTGTTCTTACGATATCTTCCTAACACTAGAAAATGGAAGATACCGATCCTCAAGTTCGAAATAACTCAGCAGAAGCACTTGGAACTGCATTAAAAGTAGTTGGTGAAAGACCAATGAATAGTTTCCTTGATGGCATAGATAAGATTAAGTTAGATAAGGTAATTATCGTTCTCTTTGAAAAATACGATAAAAAGTCTGACGTCAGTCTTTGTTGATAAGTGTAAATGATATATTATAATAAATTTTGCTATCTTGTGCTTACAATAGATAGTGAATAACAAATATTACAGAATTTATGTCCTACCGCACAGTACAGCTGTTGTATGCTGATAAGTTACCTTAATATAGTATTTTCAAGAGTTAAAACACTCTAAATTATTTGTCTTACAAATTGACAAATTAGAGAAATCTAAGAAATTTTTCTATACACTATAAGTGGATATCTACCGATAGCATGCATTCTTTACAAGTTATGATCACCGATAGCTATAATCCTCACTCCATCTATTTTACTTAATCAAATTATTTGATAAATAGCATTAGCAAAAACACTGGATTGTAAAACCAAATAACACTAAAGGAGTAATATGCTGTACTTGTGAATAAACATATATCCACAATCGCGCTGTTTTTGTAATCGCAATAACTTTATACAGATAAAAGAGTGCGCCGAAAAAGCTGAGGTAAACTTCCCTTCAGCTTCCTTAACCGGGAGTAAGAAACCTGCAACTGCTGCCACTACGGAAAAAGCTAAAGAACCTTCAAAAACAAGTACAGCAACAAAGTCACAACCACCCACTTCGAAACCCGCTAAAAAGCCTACTAAGGTAACCTTTGTAGATGCTGTTCTGCAGTGATACTTTTTCACTTCATTTTATATACGCTAACGTCTTAAAATTCGAAGACTAAGTATAATCTTAACAATAGCCTAAAAAGGAAAGCAAGAAAACAACAGCGTCAACGAGTAAAGATAGCAATAAAGATAGCAACGCAGCTAAAAATGCAGAGGAATTGCTTGAACCTAATATTACCGTAAATATTAATGTTTACTATTAACAAATTTGTTAATTGTTATACTGAACACCTTACGCTTACGATCGTAAGTTAATCATTCTAAAATAAAAAAAATCTGTTCAATTTAGCCTGAAGAAGTTGACACTCTTGCTGCTGAAGTAATGTCAGAGGAACTATTAAAACAACTTGTTCATTCAAATTGGAAAGAGAGAATCGCAGCATGTGAAGAATTGGATAAAGTAAGCTTCTTCAATAACTTTTTGATTTTGAGGCAAGTAATATCTCATTCCTAGACTTTAACGGTGATTCGTGGGCATATTGCTTATTTTTATTATAGCTCATCGATGAAATCAAACCAGAGAACCTGAAAGCCTTCTTATTTATACAAATAATTGCAAAGAAACCTGGGTTTAAAGATACAAACTTTCAGGTATTTAAAGCACTTCTGTTAAATTACACCGTTTCTCCCGGAATTGACTGTCTTTTGTAAGTCTATTGCAATGTTCAGCAATAACCATGTGTTTACAATGGATTTGCTTTCCTTAAAGGCCATGAAGGCTAAATGCAAACTCGTAACGAAATTGGCGAAGACCCCTCTATTCGGGAAAAGAAGTGCTAGCTTTGTTTTATCAGCAATGGTCGATAAATGTGGCGACATAAAAGTTAAGAACGAAGCTATTGAAGCTTTAACCGAGATGACCGAAAAATTATCTCTTGATTTTATTGGAAATCAAGTATGATATACCTACTTTAAACTTACCATCTTTGTCAACTTTATGTATTTACAGTATACTAATATCAATTCCTTCAATAATTATGGGTTAGGTTATTACGTATGCTATGAGCCAGAAAAGTCCGAAAGTAATATCTGAATCTATTTGCTGGCTTGCTCAGGCCATAAAGGAATTTGGATTTAAGTATGATATTTTACAGTCAGTATCAATTCAGTAGTAACGTCAATAAACTGCCACTCAGAACATAACCAAACTTATGCATATTCATTTTTTATGTTAGGATAAAATTGAAATCGTACTTAACTCCAATCAAAGCAGCTCTAAGCCATACTAATCCTGTATGTCTCTATATTGCTGATTTACGTACTATTCTTATAATTGATATTTATATTGCTATATTGTACTATGATTAATTTATAATTATTGATCTTCATTGATCGATTGCAATTTTATTGTATTAAATGAACTTAGACTGTAAGAACATCCGCAATTAACTTGCTAGGAGTTATGCACATGTATATTGGAGATACTCTTAGGACATTTTTCGAAGATGAAAAGTCTGCTCTTCTATCACAAATCGATGCTGAATTCAGCAAGGTTTGAATTGTTGTTCTAGTAGCAATTAACGCCAGCTATGACCTTTTTGACTATTGCATAAATAATATGTTGCTTCTTAAGGTATCTGGTCAAAAGCCACCAGATCCGATTAGAGGACTCTCAGGAAATAAACCAAATGACGAAAAAGCAGGCTCAACAGGAGCCTCTAGCTCTGCAACTGTGGTTAATGTAGCAGATTTGATACCAAGAAACGATATTAGGTACGAAAAACTCGTTGTAGATAAAATATCCGCATTTTATGAACACCGACGGAGTATGGTTTTTTGAACGTTTCTCATTTACGTTAAGTGATCAGATTACTGACGATTTAATTCAAGAACTTGGTGACAAGAGTTGGAAGGTTAGGGGTGAAGCAATCAGTAAGGTAAATACAATAAAACTACAAGGGTACATTTAATACTCTTCAAATACTAATGATTAGCCTGGGATGAAATAGGTCGGTGAAATAGTCTCAGCTGCCAAATTCATTACACCTAACCTTGGTGAGCTTCCTGGTGCTCTTAAAGACCGATTTTCTGACTCTAATAAAAACCTGGTATGACATAAACAAACCATTTGAGTCATTTCAATTATTTTAGGTGATATAATGATAACAACATCGTCAATTGTAGGTTGTAAATGCATTAGGCATCGCATCCAATATTGCCGCTGCAATGGGGCCTCCAATACAAAGACAACTGAAGACGTTTTTACCTGCTATATTGAATACCTTAGGGGATGGAAAAGTAACTTTTTAGCGGAATTATTTTGTATTTTTCATTCACGTTGTTGCATTAATATACATATATGATTATTTCTACTTTGTTTAGACGTCAATACGAGGAGCTGCTATAAATGCTCTGAATGCATTAGAGAAAGAAGTATCGCTGAAACCGGTGCTTGAAGGCGACACTGTAGCTTTAGCATTAGCTAACGATAGTCCCAACAGCCGATCTGAGGTATATAAAGTGTAATAGCTGTTACTACTCTTAGCATGGAAATTTAGCTAATCTCCGTTCAATTAATCTTGTTAAATAGATTTTAGGTTGGTTAGAGCAAAAGCTGTCCAATGCTGAAGGCATTCCAACTGCTGATGTTACTAGTTTAGTACTGCCATTGTTCTCTTGCCTGGAAGATCGTAATGCGGATGTCCGAAAAAAAGGACAAGCATTGATTCCTGTTATTATAAAGCATATTGGATACGATGCTACTGTTAAACTTACCGGCAAGTTGAAGGTTAGCTGTCTTCTTTAGCACGCAGAAATATATATCATAAATATAATGTTAATATTATTAATAGCGAGACAAATTTGTACCGATTTCCAATTAGGCTTCCTCTAAACAAGTAGTTGTCGCACTTTTGGAAAAGCATAAGGGTACTTCAGCTGCGCAGACTACGACCAATACAACTACGCAAAAATCGGCTGATAACAAGCAAGAAAATCAAAGTAAATCACTCCCTGCGAAAAAAGGAAAGAATGCTTCTAGTAGTAAGGTCAAGGTATTAACAAATAATGAATAGATGAATTGATGATCCATAGTCATATCACACACATTATACGGCAGCTTATTTTCCTAATTCTTTGTTTAAAGAGCACTGCATCATCAAAAAGTAGCGATAATAGCAATACAGAACAAAATGAAGCCACCCTAATACTTTATAACGGCAAGGATGCGCGTCTAAAAGACGAAAAAGATTTGAAGGCAAGGACTGGATTATTCTTTCACAACTTAATTGCAATAAGATCCACAAATTTGACGATGGTTATTTCATTTAGGCCTTAAAGTGGAATTTTAGTTCACCCCGCGATGAATATATTGAACAGTTAAAGGATCAAATGTCTAAATGTTGTAGCAAGGATCTGCTAGATAATCTGTTTAGTCCTGATTTCAAACATCATCTAATTGGATTAAATAAATTGAATCGGGTATTTATTGTATCTTCGCTTGGATCTTAAAAATGTTTGCTTCTTTTATTTCTAGAGTACTTACAATAAATTTTTTTTTTTAAGTGCATCTCTCCGACCCCTAGCGGTGATATTCCATGTAAAGCTGCGGCTCTCGCTTCTGTTGATCTTTTATTAAAATGGACAACTTTGCGATTCTTTGATACTAATCCTAGCGTGCTGGTGAAGTGTCTAGACTTTTTGCAAGCTCTTTTCAACATATTGATAGAAGAAAATCACGTCCTTATAGATATGGAAGCATCTGCCTTTTTACCTTACCTAATAACAAAGGTATAATCATGTTAGTGGTATTGTCTGGGTATATATAATCCATCATAATCTCATTAAAATATATAATTTAAATAAATAGTTGGGTGATAGTAAAGAAGCGGTCCGCTCTGCTGTCCATGCTATCCTGAAGAGTGTGCGTCGTGTGTATCCTGCTAGTAAAATATATCCATATGTAACAGAGGGGCTAAAATCGAAAAGTTCAAGGCCAAGAATTGGTTTGAAATTCAATTGAATATGATCTTTTAGTAACAATCTATAATTATACGCTTCGTAATTAAAAATATTTCTGATCTTTTAGAATGCCTAGAAGAATTAGGATCAATGATCTCCGCAGTCGGAATTAATATCTGTCAACCGAGTCCGCAAAAAGCTATAGCAAACATTGCAGAATACTCCAATGACCGAGATAATAGTGTCAGGACAGCGGCATTGAACGTATTGGTCGAGTGTTATGCACTCATTGGAAACGATATTTATAAGTTCACTAATAACATTGTAAGTTTCAATTTCTTCTTTAAAGTGCATAGTAATTGTAGCTTTATGAAATCTACTGTTTATAAAATGTTTATCACTTCTACGGTTAATAGTTAAATGACAGAGATAAAAGTGTTTTAGAAGAAAAAATAAAGCGAAATCAAAAGCAAAAGCCTCCTGCCCCTGTAAAACCACCAGTTGAGGAAACTAGAGCCAGGTTGCTTAATTGTAATACCGTAAGTTGTATCAATACGGCAACCCTCGGGATTAATTACAACTTTTTCATTTTAGATCCGCTACCGAAGGTAGAATTAATACAGGAGTTTCATCATCCAAGCTTGATTTTCGCCTCGATTATGAAAAATTAGAGGTAGAAAATTCGTCCTTAGGCCAAGATTCAATACCAACTGGACTTATATCATCAAAAGATGTTGATGAACTCATGAATCAACCACCTATTGTTTTACCAACGTATGTAATTAATTGATTCTTGTTGATTTAGGTTAGAGTTATCATTACAAAATATTAATGTATTAAATTACACTTTCGATTGTAATAGGTCGTCTTCACCTGAAAGGTAACAATCCATAAAGCGCTATGCTAACAAGTTGTAGTGTATAATATTCACTTATAAAAATTTTTCTTGCTGGAACTTTCAAGAGCAAAAAGGAAAACCGTTAGAAACATGGGCGGTATCGCGACGACTTCCGGAGCAATTGACTTCATCATTTCTCAGATAACAAACAAAGATATTAGTACATCGGCACAAGCTTTAGGCCAGGTAGAAGATTAGCTATCAGAGGACCACTTTTTTCTTATAGTATATACTTTTTTATAATATATTGTATGTTATGTACTTTATCTCCTGATGCGAACAATTTTTTATCTCAGCTGGAAACAGTGTTGAGAGATCCACAGCAGAGTGACGCTATTTCGGAACATGTCGATCAGGTGAGTAGATGCAGGTTAATTTAGGCAATATCATGTTTTTATTAATTGTAACTGTTTTTATTCGATTGATAGTTCTTGGTTGCTTACACTTTACAATTACGGCTTATTATGTCTACTCATTTGAATAATGAGTCGTTGGATGAAGAAATGGTATTGTATTAACTTTTGTTACCTTGTTTTGTATGGAAATTAGATTTACTAGTATCATTATGCAATATTTTAATTTTTATTTATATTTCTAGATCTCTCATTTCTTTAGACGGCTTATTAGTTGTCTTCTCAAGGTATGTGTCATTTTCGGAAAGCACTGTATCGATATACTAGCATTCATATCACATTTTAGTAAAATTGTTATTTTTTTTTCAGTTTGTCGAAACTCCTACCTACTTCAATAACACATCTAAAGATGTCTTACGTGATCTTATTTCAAACTTGATTTCATTGATTCCTGATGAGAGAATAACTCATTTCGGAGATGGTCCTCAGATTATTAGAGCGTTGAATGTTCTAATGGCAAAAGTTTTGGAAAAGCCAAACCCTAATGTGATTCTTTGGTAATTCAACAATTATAAGTGTTATTTACAGATTGAACTGTTGCAAGTTTATCAAATGTAACATTACCACATATATTGAGGTACGTAACCAAAATTTAATTTGATTTACTTTTTCCTTAGTGCCTTAATAAAATTGCTAGGGGAAGCTGTAGCTTCAGATAAAGTTAAGGGAAGTTACGGTGAACTGTTAGCGAAGGTACAAGACTGATCATTTTCCGTATACGTACTTAATTTCTCTTATTCTGACGAGGATTTCTAATGCAAATATTATTCAATCAGTGCTTATGGAGAGTTACCAAAACGCTACCAGTTATAATCAATTTGTTGCGATTGGACGAGCTTCTGGTCGATTTAGATGGCTTTTTTAGAGCTCAGAGTGGAGATTCGTGGAGAAAACGTGCGGAAATTCCTCTACGAACTATCAAAACCATATTGCATACTCTAGCTACTATACAAGGAAATAAGGTGATGATTGCCCTCATACCACTACTCTTACACACTTATTATTTATGTTAGCTTGTAAATTCACTATTGTAATTGATTTTATTCGTCAATTAATATCATTATTAGCTGCTAAACCGAATAAATCTAATAAAAGATCCTGATAAAAGTGAAGCCGTTTTATACTTAAGAAAGATTCTTAAAAATACTCCTCAAGAAAATCAAGAAAATCAAGAAAACAATACCATATCTTCTCAGTCCGGCAAAAATAGTTCTAAGGTAATTGTTTCTATAGCAATAACTAAGTCTAAAGATTTAATGAATATCATGGCATCACGCTTATATTCGCATTTACTATAAACAAAAATATTATCATAGGAAAGTAATGGTAATAAAGATGTAACACCACATCAGCTCTTAGCAGCAATATTTAAGAAAATTGGCTCCAAGGAGAACACGCGGGAGGTATTAACAAATATAAGGATGTCTACGATAATAACAGTTGAGGAACTATTATTAATTTATTTCTTTAAAAATTTTGCAGGGGCTAGCCGAACTGTATGACTTTAAGCAAAAGTATCCCATGGAAGACATTACTCCTTTTCTAAAGAAAACATCGACCTTTTTCCAAGCTTATATTGAACGCGGACTTAAAAATATAGAGCAGGAGAGATATAAAAGTAATCAGACAGTTCAACCTACTCAATGTACGTCTATGTTAACGCTTTCAAAGGTTTAAAGTTAAAGCATTCCAACCATAATAAAATTATAAGGAAATAACTTCAATTTTATTGAAATGTAGCCAATTTTCAACCCGAAAAATCAGCTTCCGCAACTATCAACACAAATGTCGGTGTTACAAAATCGTTGAGTTCAGGTACTGTCATTCAATACCAATGTTGTTAAATCATGATATTACGAGTTTAATTATATATTCTGAAAATATTGTATATTATAGAGGATTCGTCTACGTATCTTGATCGTCTACGCGTTTTAAGGGCTCGTTATGGTTTAGAAAACAATGAGGTGCGCTCGATCAATCTGTAATTATGCGTATTGCATGTACAGCTACTTTTCTGTAAAGATAAACGATATTATTGTTAATATTCTTTAAGAATTTTGACAATTTATTTTCTTTACAGAATACCTCACGATCTGTTTCCAGCATAAGTACTAAAGCATCTAATAATGGTAAACTTGCGCCTGATAGCATAGCGATTCCATCAATCAAAGCGGAAGATGCTTCAACCGATAATAGTGACGAAGCAAATGATTTAGTAACAAAGAATGTGGCGAATGTAGAAAGTGCTAAATCTACTGAAAGCAAGATTAGTAATGTCACAGATTTGAGAAGACGTTTGGAAAAGATTAAAAATTCTTCAAGTTAACATTCTATGTAGCTTTAAGACTGTAATAATGGCTTTCTGTGACCTTGTTGTAGATAGCGATATTTTTTACTGTACTGTTATATCAGGTGTGTTAATGTAATGGATTTGACTTCATGTTAAGGATATAAATGTACAGTATCTGGAAGCCTTTTGTAATTTTTGGTTTGACTATTTGCCCCTACGGAAGTTGATTCCTATTAGCAGCCGAGATTTTATGAGATTAGTTATCGGCTTCAGAATTAAGCTGGGATTCATATTTAGCGACATTTTTTACCACATATTTCGAGTCTCTAATATTGTGCTTAGGTTAGATACGTGTGTTTTATGTTGTTCTATATGTGTGTTTTGGGAATCGTAGATGTATAAATACGAGAATGTACATGATTTTCGTTATTGTAAATGGACATTAAACTGACAAATACTGTTATGTATTATATTGATGTCTCGGCTATTCCAATCGTATGCAGGAGCATGCTTTATCGGTGTCACAGCAGATGTAGGAATAGTTGATAGTAATCTACGCGGTGGTGAATATAGCATTTCAAAATTTTAAAATAGCGGCTTGGACTTGCAGTGCACCATCTCGAATCTTGGGGTAAGTATCAATTCGAGTAACGTAGTAAACCTTGGATAGTAATCTATGCAGTGGTGAATATTGCATTTAGCTCGCTACTTTACTACGAATAGGGACGTAATAATGTAGCTCTAGTAGTTCTAGCTATTAGTTATAAACGTAACAATGTTGCTCTAGTAGTTCTAGCCATTAGTTATAAACGCAATAATGTAGCTCTAGTAGTTCTAGCTATTAGGTAAAAACGTAATAATGTAGCTCCAGTAGTTCTAGCTATTAGGTATAAACGTAATAATGTAGCTCTAGCAGTTCTAGCTATTAGGTAAAAACGTAATAATGTAGCTCTAGTACTTCTAGCTATTAGGTAAAAATGTAATAATGTAGCTCTAGTACTTCTAGCTATTAGGTAAAAACGTAATAATGTAGCTCTAGCAGTTCTAGCTATTAGGTAAAAACGTAATAATGTAGCTCTAATAGTTCTAGCTATTAGGAATAGGGACGTAATAATGTAGCTCTAGTAGTTCTAGCTATTAGGAATAGGGACGTAACAATAATGTAGCTCTAGTAGTTCTAGCTATTAGGTATAATTTCGTATAAACGTAATAATGTAGCTTTAGTAGTTCTAGCTATTAGGTATAAGCGTAATAATGTAGCTCTAGTAGTTCTAACTATTAGGTATAAATATAGATAGTAGTGTACGTGTCAATGTTTCTCCAGTACAAGTAGCTCGCTAGCACATGCAGCATGTTATCGTAGTAATCTACCTTGTACAGGAGTACAGTGGTATACAATATATTACCGGCTAACGTATTGCATATTCAAGCATGCCTGCATAATTGCATATGGGTTAAGGAAAAAAGTAATCATGATTGATTTGCGATAATACTGTGATTCGGTAGGTTACTGCTGTACCATAGCAACGCGATACACATATCGAGTGGAAACTAACAGTACTGTCAATAAGCTAAGAGGTAAAAGTAGGGATCGCAATTTACCTATATCAGTGGGCCGATTGCCCTTCGTAACATAACTCGTCAATTTATGGATGCTCAAGCAATCGTAGACGATATAGATGTGAATGTACAATTGTCCATACAGTATCATGGATTACTAAAATACAATTTTAGCAGTCTATGATCATAACTATAAGCACCTAGCTAGCAACATCTAGCTAGAAATTGATCATTCATCAAGATCTTAGGTGACGACCTCAACAGGTGGATGATCAAGATCGTACATCCATTGTAGAAGCTGTGCAATATGGGAAATTAGCCTTAGTCCATAGACCATGAGATACAGTAGTCATCCATACTTATTCTAGACCTGGAAATTGCCAATTTAGAAATCCATAGCAATAGATTGATTGATTAGCATTAGGTCAACATGGGCATGGACCTTGGAGGTTCATGATTTGGGGGCGCGGACAGCTACCAGCCCATTTAACCTTTGACCTTTTTCTTCCAATCACTTGACTGTAATCTATGGATTTAGAGCAGCTATTTTCGACAGTATACTATCTACCGTATGGAGATTGCGTCCATCACCTTATGTCGTCCGATAGTGCTTAATAATTGGCCGTCATGACAGCTTTCAGTATGGAAAGTTGACTTCATGGCCGTGCTAGACTGGCCAAATGGTATTTATTTTACTTTAGGTACGATACCCAAATGGCCATCGACAGTAATAGGATTTGACCCGATTACTGCAATCGGTGTTAAATTGTTATTGGAAAAAGCTCAAGACCCCAATTCATAGCGTCCTCGAGCTTCAAGGTAAAAGATGGCTGCTGCATTACCAAGAACATTTCGTCGGATTTTATGCGAAAAATTCTCGCCTGACTTCCGCCAGGCAACTAGAATTGTCGATACTCCAATGGTTAATCCTGGTGCAAAAGAATTATTGATTAAAAACAGGTAATTGAAGTTGATTTATAGCTGCAAAAGTCAGTATGATCGATGTCCATGTCTAGCGCAGCTCTACTTTTACCATGCATTGCCATTACTGCATAGATGGAGAGAGAGAGGATTCGATTAAAAACAGAAGTAGTCAATAGTGAATTGCTTGAGATAGAGATTTAGAACTGATTTAGTAGTGATGATATTAAACTACTATAGAAAACGGATCGGCTCTGCTTGTACATTACTATTATCTCCACTTAGCTTAGGACTCTTGCTAAACCTGCTCATGTTAGACCTGTACTGTAGGTCAATAGGGAAATTGAAAAGTCAAAAGTAGCGTATAATATATATAAAAGATGGCGACACGAGTACATAAAATACGCGTATGTCTTGCCTATTACACTTTCATTGGTTGCTAATAGCTTACTATCAATGATAACATACTCACAACACTAGGTTTTCCATGGTTTCATTACTTGTTCATATTCTTGTCGTGAGTAAACGTGAACATCAAACCGATCTTGCTCCATTGGTTTCAAATACTGATGTAGTCGTACTTCAGGCTCAATCTTAGCATAGTTCTGTAAATAGCACCCAATCAATTCGCAGATTATGGTGTCTTACTATGGCTAATATTGAAAGAGTTGTCGATGATGATACTGATTGGAATTTGTCTCTTCTTCAGGTACCTGGGTATTAACGCATCGGATATCAACTTTACTGCAGGACGCTATTTCAATGGTGATGAACAGCCGCCATTTGGTGTTGGTTTCGAGGTCATACCATTGCATTAGTCTTCTTTATATTCCATTCTTAATTGCTAATCGTATACTATATTTTCATATGTCTTTTCTTCCTTCTACTACAGCTAAGTACAATGATTGATAGGATCGTCTTTATTGTGTTTTTTTGTTGTATAGTATTATAATGTTTAATAGCACATTGAGCATATCTAGTAAAGATTACTTCTATTTTTTTCAAATTCAATTCTGTACTAGATGATAGTATTATATATATTAATCGATACATCATTACTGCTGGAAGTAAACCTATATACCATCTAACATAGGAATGATTAGTTAAACGATCAACGTTACTTGATTAAAATAGGCTATTGGAGAAATTGTGGCACTTGGCAACGAATGTCAAAGGCACTTCAAGGTTGGCAATCATGTCGCATACATGCAAAATGGTTCGTTCGCGGAGTATATGGTAGTTCCTGCAAGGGAAGCGTTTCCTATACCTAGTTGTAATCCAGAATATATTCCATTTATGGTTAGCGGTTTGACAGCAAGTATCTCTCTAGATCAGGTAAATTATCTTATACAAACTCCTAAACTAAATACAATAGAAAAATAGCCTGCGTTCGTACCCTCATATGCAGGAAATTTAGAAAATCAAACACTAAGTTATATCTTTAGCACGTTAAGAAGGAGCTATACTTTTCTTTGATACCATACCAATGAGAGACTATTTTAAATGAGGATAGATAAAATGTTTTGATTAACCAGTTACATATTGTATAATTATTATTACACAGCTAGGGGACCTAAAATCTGGTGAGACTGTTTTAGTTACAGGTAAGATGATGATAACTTTAGCCGTTATTTATTCTTTGTGTTAGACTTTTCAACTCATTTAATAAATGTAGTAAATATGATTAAGTAATATTTCTTGTATTCCCCTTTGCATTAAAGATACATAAATGTAAGGTTACTATTGGTATATACAGTAGTACTGCAATATATATCATGAAAATTTCATAGTATTCAAGTAGTAAATGCCTCGGCCTTGAATTGAATTACAGCATTGCTAATTAGAATTTTAATCTCCCTCTTGATTTGCATTTACAGCTGCTGCTGGTGGTACTGGGCAATTTGCAGTAAGTATGAAAAGTTAAAATAACTTCCTAATGATAGATATTGCAATCACTATAGTAAAGACGCGTATTTTGACTCAGTTTACGGCAGGAATCAACTATTGGTGGATATTCCTTTCTAAAACGTTAAATTTTTTACTAATTGAATGCTGTAAAATCATGAATATGTTAGCAAATTTGAAAGTACTGTACACATCAACATGTACAAACAAGTAATTAAAAGACTGGATTGAATTGATTATTTTATTGATATTACCTTACCGTCTTGGCGCCTTTAGTGATACTAGTATTTGAAAGAGCTGATACATTCTACAGTTTAGGGAGTAAAATGACAATGATGCTCCATGATTTCTGCGATCTAAATTCAATCTACAATTATATTATAGGTTCAATTAGCAAAAGCGGCTGGATGTCATGTTATCGGAACCTGCTCCAGCAGTGAAAAAGCTGAATTTTTAAGGGTTAGAATTGCTATACTAAGAGATACAATAATTCATTAGAGTCGAATTTACCATTCCTAACCATAAATAAATTCGTCAATGTTCTACCATATTGATCAAAATAATTTTAGTATCTGTCCATAAAGGCATCTGAGTAAATTGGTCATTTTCCACTAATATTATCATATTTAGCGTAAATCTTCTAACTATATTCAGATTAATAACCCTGTGAGTGGAAATGTTAGTTATTAGCATCTTTTAAGCCGACGCAACATCGTTCGTCAGCTAATTTAGCATGGATCGATATCTATTAGTTATTAACATAACTGCTTAGTTTTAAGTTATTTAGAGCGCCATGTACATGTGAGAAATAGTAAAGAATAGATAATAAAATATAACGAGGTTACAATAAAGTTCTTTGCGAATTATTGATACTAGGGTTTTGATTATATCCTTGTAGAACATAGGTTGTGATCGTCCAGTCAATTATAAAACAGAAAATCTAGATCAAGTTTTGAAAAAGGAATATCCAAAAGGCATTGATGTCGTATATGAATCCATCGGGGCCGAAATGTTTAATATTTGTTTAGAAAAGTTAGTCTTCATAATCTAAGATTATCAATTATGGCATGATCTAGAAGATTTTAGTTAAAAAATAGCATAAATATTGGATTAGCTCTATGATATTAATTATAGCGAAAGTGCTTTAGTTTGCTGTAGTATCCGTAAGCTGATCTTAAATATCGGAATTATAAAGTTGAATAAGTAAATATCAAACTATCGGTCCAATTTTTTTGCTTAGTCTGGCTATCAAAGGACGTTTAATCGTTATCGGATACATATCTGGTTATCAAACCGCTAAGGGTGTTTCAAAATCGAGGAATCTTATTATTCCACCGCGTGTAAATTCAATATAAAGTTTTATATTAATTGATATTTCTGAAGGATCAATACTTCGCGACTAATAATAATTCTATATTTTTTACATTGTCATTACCAATTTATAGTTGCTCTCCAAATCATCCAGTTTGAGAGGATTTTTATTATTCCATTACGTTAAACATTACGGAAAACACTTTCAGAAATTGGCAAACATGTATCATCGTGCAGAGTTAAAATCCTCTGTAGATTTAGGTCAACAAACTCATTACAAAGGCCTAGACTCAATCGCTGAAGCAATTGATGTAAGTTCGATCCTGTTTTACAGATAGCTTAGTTATTATAGCACTTTTTCTTTTACTTATAAATCATTATTTAGTGCAACTTGACTTACAGCGATCTTTTACTACCACGTAGTACATGTACTCTGGGAAAAATAAAGGCAAAATTATTGTGGAATTGCCAAAACAGACAAGCATGTTATAACCTGGTTAAACTGCTCATTTAATTGGCGCCCCTCCCCCTATCGACGCTAACATCGTATACCTGAAGATTGCTAACAGCAACTTTTGAATTTAGCATGCAAAATATTAATGTGATGTTATTTTAGCTGATTAACAAACTCTGATATCGCTAAATTACTAAGAAGTATTAAAGATAGGTGCGCATATTCTGCTATTAGCGATATATTTTATTCCAGTATACTCGGTAGTGTAACGATTAGTTTACTTGGCTAATATATTAGATCAGATTTGTACGAATATTGTACAACGGCGTCATGTTATGGAAAAAAATTAGTTTTATGTGCTCTTTACAACAATTTGTAGATCTAATAAATAAATATTAATATCATGGCGTCTCCTAGTAATAATAAACTAAGTTATTGGCGGTAATACCTATATCTGAAGCATTTAAGTTGTTACATTTACGTATTTAACCGCTATGTCGTAAGATCAATTCGGAATGAATATACAGTACACTCTGGACAACGAACGGCAGTGTTTGTGCTAGACGAATAAGAAATATGCCTTTTGAAAGTGGCAACGAGTTAGTGACCTTATGGTTGTAGGTTGATCAAATCTAGAGCGATAATACATCGCTTTGCAATGCCAAAAGGTGGTAGATAATTGACTACTGATCGTCGAGTTTATTTTTATGCTCATCGCTCGTTCATTAGCTCTCATGGGTCTTAACAAGCAGCTGCATTCTATAACCCATCCGCACGTAAATTAAATTTTTAACTTATCCTAACTCAATTAGTCACAAATTGATTTTCACTGTAATACTAAAGTATGCTGGAGATTATTAAAGCGAAAGCTAGCCCAAGCAAAGAGTAAGCACAAGAATAGAACAGAAATTTTTTTATTTGTATATTTTGTATATTAATACGTTGAAGAAGACCAATCTAAGAAGTAGATTACTACTATACAGAAGATATTCCAAGTGTGTGCCACTTTATCGGTATGATTTCTGGTAGCGAGCTCTAGCACCTGGACCTCCAAACTTCTTAGGCTCAGTACGTCGAGGATCAGCTACCAATAGCGTACGGTCGTACTGGATTAAAATATCCCGAATTTCTTTCTTACTGGCTTCATCTACGTCTAATTGCGGAATGGTCAAGACGAAGATCGTGTTATAAACATAAATATCTTAAAATAATTTATTTTATACGCTGTAAGCCTTACATTTTTGATAGTAAGCTACCAACGATTTGGAAATAGCTTGTCGGATAGCTATTGATAAAAAGACATAATTACCATAGTAAGACGTAGCACAATTTATGACTCGCTACAGTTGTACACCGATAATATAATTAATACGTACCGTATAACTGAGCGGTAGCACCACCACCACGAACCCGAACTCTGATATCTACACCAGCGAATTTATCTTTGCCAAGAAGTAAAATTGGCTCTAAAACCTATTAAGGAAATTGATACATAGGTTAAACCAACTTATGCTATGAGATAAAGGACAAATGCCTGGGTTAGATGACTGCAGATCTTATCCAATATACCTTGTATCGTAAAGTCTCGGGTTGGACTAATTCTAAGGGTGCACCATTTACTTTGATACTTCCGCGACCCTCTTTGCAGTAAGCTACAGCAGTAGCCGTTTTCTACGATTGATAACAAAGTGCCAACATTGATTAAGCTTACATAACGATTAATTCATTTTATCAATCACATATTTATATTACAAATTTATACAAGTCTGCAATACTATTTGAGATCCATCGGCCAACTATTTGTATCACTAAGGCCTTACTTAAATTGATAGTATTCAAATCGCTTAATTTAAGCTTTAATTATCTATATATAGATGATAATCTATCTACATTAATTAAGGGACAAAATTAGAACTGATTATAATTACAGCGAGTAGTTTAATTGTAATAACTAGCGAAATAAGCCCACTACCGTATAACACTAGATAATCACTTCATATATTTTTCTATTTAAGATTATCTTCGTACCTTGCGGCCAAACACTTGTACAGATCTAGACATCTATAATTTCATTAAGAAAAGAAAAGGAGAGATAATCAGACTATTGCGAGCAGCTAAGTCCTTCTTAAAAGATGAAAAATGTTGCAATAAGTTCATGATATGATTGATTATTTCTATTTGCTGTATACAGAATAGTGTCAGCCAAGTATAGCTAAAAATGTTACACAATACGAAACAAAAAAGAAATGTTTTTTAAGGCGAAAATAGATGTATCATAAGTTGATGATTAATTATTGTCTAATGGATAGGACAAAATGTGTATTAAGAGGAAGGACGCATAATCATAAGAGTAACTGGAAGATTTCAAATTTGACTTGATCCAAAGTCCCTATTTAAACGATAGTAATTTAATCTACTGTAAATTGATGACGCATTCCATTAATTGCATAGCATATTACGAAGAGGAGAAATTGAGCGATCAAAAGTTAGGAAGCAGAAACGTTTTCACAAGCGGAAAACTCATCTAGTTTAGGGTTAACTGGTGACCGATTTCGCTGACTCGTATGTACGCGTAAAGCAATTTGAAGGAGAATTAAGCAGAGTAGTAAGGACAAATTTGTTATTAATTCATCAAGAAGAAGGACAATTTTACCGTAAGCTGACTTTCGGTTTCTTTTACTGTGTTCGAAATAAAAAAGACGAGAAATTAATTACAAGATCAAAATTGAAAAGGAGAAATCTTTTATAGGTAAAAAAGTCAGCTCATTTTAAACTGACGATCGATTCCGTTGACTATAAAGAAGTTTGAAAGAAAGACAGTCATACTAGCAAGGATAAATTGATTGCCCATCCATCAAGAAGATATACGAATCTACTGTAAGCTAATGACTGATTCGTTTAAAGTGGATAGAAATAAACAAGGTAAAAACTAAGATAGGCAGAAGGAATTTGATGGTAATTTACCAAGAATAGGAGTCTAGTGTAAGCTGATGATTCGATGCGATCGAACTGGAGATTCATTGTACTCACTAACTGCATCGAAGATGTACTGTCTACTAAACAGGGTACTAGTAGTACTCTAAAAAGAAAGATGTCCAAGATAAAATAACTATCACTAACTTTCTCTCAAGCTGTCAAATGAAGGGAGAATACGAAATTAACGTTGTTGAAAATGAAGACACCATGGTAGAGTAGAAGTTATGCAAAGATAGTAAGTCAATTTAAGGCGATTTAATAAGTTAGACTAGGCGTATTTTCGATTGGATCAAGGCAATTTTTGATGAAAAGGTAAGACAGACAAGGCCATGATGGATAATAGTCGTTTAGAGCATGGATAATCGACCGGATAGCCATCCAAATCGATCAAGCAAGGTAAATGAAATGGGTGTCCATGAGATCGCAATGGATAAGCTGCAAATCAAACTGTCATTACTAGGCAACGGTATGGTACGGTCAGCCTCGCTTGGGTAGTCACTAGTCAGGGTGAAGCGATGGACCGATCGCGCTGCAGAACGCCAACGACGAAAATTGGCAAAATTTTTCATGAATTAACGCATAAAAGTGATCATAATCGATATCATTTCAATCTACTCAAGCTTATAACATGGAAAAATGCCATTTCAACCAAGTCAATGACCGCTGAAGTTGGAAAAAAAAGAATTTCAACTTGCTCCTTTACCTTTTCGTTGCCACTCTGTTCACGATGGTAAAAGAAGAGGTTGGACACGTGCAAGTGAGTCTCCTCTATGCGCAATGAGTTTGCTCGAGCGATGGCGATGGGCAGCGAGCGATTGTGCTGATGTATGACTCAAGGTAGCATAGTAATCGACCTGTTCCACTGGTCAGAATTGGGCGCGTATGCGTGCAGTGCCATGCTAACTGGACGTACGGTATAGTACGGTAATGGCAAGAAAACCGAAGAAGAGAGCCGCTGTACCGTACGTGCTGTCTGTCTGTATAGTATCACGGACCACTAGAAGGAAACGTTTTCGTGGTCCATCTGCGCAAGTCGTGTCACGCGTAGTACTAGAAGAAGAACTGTGGACTCTCTCTCTCTCAGACAGACGGACTTTTCTTCCCCAATGAGGGCGCCGAAAAATGACTACTTACTGTATAGTAGTATGGATGTTCCATGTCTCTTTTCTAAATTACAGGGACTAATTTAAATAGCGTCTATGATCTTATAGAACTTGCTTTAAGCAGAACTTTGTAGCAAATAAAGGAGATTCGATGCAATGTTACTCAATTGAGAAAACATGAGTCAATTCAAAATCAACTAAAGTACTCCCATAACCAACTGTTTGACACAATATTTTGATGAGAGAAGCCAGCAGTGTCTGTCCGTCCAAGAGTGATCAGGCCTTCTTCTAGTGCATGGTACTACCGGGCGGCCGGGCTGGTATTATTTTAATGCTCTCATAGATTCAAAGTTCTTCAATATCGTGTTCCATATCTGTAAGTAAGAAAGGAATAATAACTAGCGTTATTTTTGAAAAAATAACGCTCAATAAATTCAATTAAAGTTTCATTTCATTTTATGCGTTACACCATGAAGGTAAAAAAGATTTTTCGAAGGACCCACTCCCGGTAGCGATCTCAATTTTCTACAGTACTAAGGAGTACTGTACACTGTATACTACTGTACTTAGTACTTTGGAGGCAGCAAATAAAGGTATAGTAGACTAAACTGGATTAAGGTAAATCTATAAGAAAAGCTTTCCTCTAGAGTACTGAATAGGCTACACGACAGTGCGGTAGTACCGTATGGCAGCCCTCCACCCGATGGACAGCCATTGGACTCAGCCCCACATCGACTGTGTTGTAGTGAATGAACAACATGGCTGAAGATTACAGGTATAAGGAACCTCCTAAAATTGCAAGACTAAGCAAAGATGTCAAGGCTGAACTCTACACGCCTATGGTACTTCCTAACCATCAGAGAGGATTTAAATGGTTTACTTATACTACTGTCGTCGGTAATATCTCACGTATACTGTATTTATATAGTTCACTACTACAATAGATATTGCAAGTTCTGTCATGACTAAATGGCTCAACTGATTATGTTCACATGCTGCGCCCGCAGTTTACCAATCCGTAACTAATATCTATAGTCTTACTGGTTAAAAATATTGAATGGAGCAGAAATAATCTCTTCTTATGATCAGTTATAATCTGCCTTTACATACTATCCATAAAATCAACACGTACTATCTGAAATCAACTACTAATTACATTATTCGGATGTACAGGTTTAGGAATTTATTTAGTCTTGTATCATGACTATGGATATGAAGATCACTGCTTCTCTTGGGTAAGAATACATACGTAAATGATGCCCTTCATAGACAATTATGCTGTATAAATAAATTAGATTGGATTTACTTAATAAGGATGTAAGGAAGGCTCAGAGAGCGATTGCTAATACTCCATATTCAACCTAAAATCTTTAAAGACGAATAGTGGGGAAAGAAAATAATTTATCTTAGCAAGATCAAAAATTTATTTTGTACGTAGTATTTGAATACAAACTAATATAGAGCAATCGATGATTGATTGTATTGTCATTGTAAAATTCGTACGATGCCTTTCGATTCACCTTTCCAATATTATTACGGTAGCCTATTTCTAGACTATCCACAATATGCATTAATTAACAACTTATCGATTTAATCATCAGATTGTTTTCACTGATGACTATACGTACAGCGTGCGTAAACTACTACATCTCTAGATTGATTCCATCCACAATAACGCGGTATTTTATATTTATATACACCTCATAGATACGTCAAAAAGTATCGAGCGCCAAGGAAACTATGCTGCAATTAGATCCAGCAGATGAAAAGGAATTAAAAAAGATCTCCAGCGACAGAACAAAATAATTTTCATTTTTATTATTTAGGCAATTAATGATCGGTAGTCAACCACCCAACTACTATATTTACTGAGTATATGGATTAAACAATGTAACTGTAATGCATACTATCGGATATTGATGTTACCTTCTTTTATAATCGACAATCTGATGCGTCGCATTTTTCTATACGTATACAGACATATACGCGTAGGTGCAACATACATGTATTAGCTTCCGCTACATGTCACTGCAACGTTCTGTATCAATATTCAAATATAGAGTATATTTACGTGTCTATGTATTATATAATATAAAATATACGTGTATACTATAACTAGTAAAAATGCTGAATACAGCCTGTGTTAGCAAGGCTCTCAAAAAAATTGCCATAATGTTAGAGAAAGATCTCATAAACGTTCCATCAATTAGTAGAATAAAATGTATAGTAACTATCTCTAACCGAATTATCAATCGTAATAAAAGGATTTCACTACGGTACCAATCGTCTAAGGTGCTTTATTGATTTACCATATTAGATTTTCAATACTATACGATATAGAGGTATTAAGTTTTAGCATACATTCATTGATAAATATACGACAAATCTTGACGCTATATAACCTAATCCAGGGTAAGGTTTTACTATGACCACTTAATAAGGACTACACCAATTCTGTTAAAAAAATTTTTATCATTTAATACGGTGTAGGAGAAAACAAAATTCTACAGAGTCATTCGTGTAAGTTAGGTAGTCATTTTGCAATTCTACATATAAGTATAACATTTGCTTTACTAATTATGACAGCCGATCAATTCAAGACTATGAATAAATCGAAAAGTTTATATACCATCTCGGCACAGATTTAAATCTTAAAATTTTCCTATCTAATAAGGAGCTATTACACAGTATTACAGTATATATGTATCTAGGTAAACAGCGAGATATGAAATAGTAACATTTTATATCTACTGTAGTTACAAGTGAAGTCATGTTTACACTGACTTCTACAGTGGCATTTAGTAAATAGATAAATCTAGTTTTATTTATTTTAACTACCAGTCCTATTTTGAAGGAATGATGACAACAATTAATTTCTAATTAAAGCAATTATACACAGTGAGGCATATACCAACGGAAAAAACTATTGTAAGAATTAAAGAAAAATAAGTATTTCAAAGCCTGTGATTCTCTAACGTCTGTGTAGAATCATTAAAAATGAGGGTTGATCAACTTGAATAGTACGCCTGACACGTTATCACGAGATGCTCGAATAGTTAACCGGTACATCTAAAGATAATTAGTACACAAGTAAGAAACAATCTATTAGTTTTACAATAGCTATTAGAAAGAGCAACAAAAATAGGCAATCACTGTAACTTTACCGATGCTTGCAAGTTCGGTTCTAGTCTCATTAAACAGCCAACTTGACCCTGCCTTGTATACAATATACCAGCACTAATAAAGTTTTCAATATTTGGATCAATACCTTCAAGAACTGAAAAGCCAAATCCTTGTATCTATCGATTTGTAAATCAAATGGATTACTTCCAACAGCATAAATTAATTTGTAAATAGTATAGTAACATAATTTATCTGCACCTTAATACTCGATTGTTCCTTATCCATTGGAAATTTAGCTTTAAATACTTCCTGCGCTTCTTGGGCAGGTCTATGATTACAACGATAGCATTACATACTTTCGTACTGTAATAAATTATCACTACTGCACGTTATGCAGGATATATAGTTTATAAATACCCAGAGAGATTCTTCCATCTCATAAAGAAATTTTCAGCGTTCATTTCCACTGGAGACATAAACTTTGTAAGAAATACTGGTAGATTCAAAGAAAGGCGCTGATGTCCACCATTCATGCTGAAACATTGCAGAGTCGATGATATAAGATCGAAAAAAAGTAGCGACGACAATTAAGAATGAACTTACTTAAATGAGAGATTTAATAAAGGTGTTTCCATAAAATCTCCTATAGCTTCTAACGAGATTGTTTGCTGAACTTGCGCTCCAGCCTCTAAAATTGAGTTGATAGGTGGGCATTCTGCTTTAAGACGTACATACTTATTAAGGAATATAATTACGTAATCGATAAATATATGTAATATTGATCATTTATTCATAGTAAAAATTCGTAATAAAATGAAAGGATATGACTCTGCAAATCAGCGGAACATTCAACAACTGAGGTGAATGCAGCCAACTGAAAGTTTGTTTTGTTACCGAAAAATATACTCAAAACCCCTATTCGATGCCAGAAAAGATACACTTAGTAAAGCAGTAACGATATCAAAATCTACAGTAATAGAAATAGATTGGTCAAGACAATACACCTGTTCCTTGCTTAAATTCACTTTTCACTCCAATCTGAACAACGCTGCTTTCGTATAAAACTCCGTTATTTTTCATTAAAAATCTAGATTAATCAAAAAGTTAAAAATATGTTTACAACCAACTCTGTAGATAGAAAAGAATACGTATTGAATGAATTGCTTACTTATCAGAGTTATCTTGAGCAATAACTTCACTACTACTTTGTGGCAATTTCGGCTCGGCTTCAGCAAATACATCAACTAAAAGTGCCCCAGAACTAGCTCCGTCAATTGTTGATGTAGGAGCAGGTTCGACAGGGTCACGAGCAATAAGATCTGGTAGAACCAAATACAAAGCGATAATTAATGTCAAATTTAGCAATATAACACCTTCAGAGTTTTCAACTTTCTAATTATTACCTATGACAGGTGCCGCCGTATTATTTGTAACATTATTAGGATTTGCAGCCGGAGCTGTAATCGTGGTTAAAGCAGCAGCGGTAGCGGGTGATTTAACGGCCACATTGGTTGTCTATATTTGCAGAAATATATTGGTATAACGTTAACGAATTTGATCTATCCTTATTAAGAATGGCAATTCAAGAATGCAAAAAGTTCATTAAACCATACATTAGCAGTAGCAACTCCATCAGCCAAATTTTTGTTACTAATAACTGATTTCTTTTTCTGTAATTTTGCTAAAATTGAGGAGTCACGTTCCGGGAAGGGTGGCATTACTTCCAAAACAGTATTCTGTAAACACCATCAAATTTATAATATACCATATCATACTAAATTATAAAGTATGTCAGAACGCAATACTACTATGAGAACATACCAGTACTTCAGAAGAAGCAACGTTGGTCATTCTTAAGTATTCCAAGCACCTTTGCTGTAATTCTACATCAGCGTTCCGTATTTGATTGTCGCTTCGTAATACCTTATCACAACAAAAGAAATAGCGATTTAGAGTAACTATTGGCTACTGCTTTGCTTTTGTAAAAATTTGCATTCAACCATACCTTCTGAATTTGACCTTTTAGTTCCGGAAATAAGTTGATAAATTTTACATATGTCGTTAATAGTATAGCACGAGTAGCTGTGCTACAGAAGTGAAACTTCGAATGCAGCAACTCAAACTGCGTACCAGCACTGTAAAATATTAAGATAACAAAATTTAATTACATTTCTAAATCTTACAGCACAGCATAAACACAGCATTTTACTATGAGTATCATGAATGCTAAAACTTACCTCGATCTTCCATCACCTGCAATTAAATTACCAAATTCTCCAAGAATATAGGCTCCAACTTTTACCATATTCTCGTGACATGCAGGAGCTTGTAATGCCTACATAGATAATGCAATTTGTAGTTATATTTATTATTTATTAGCGTGATCAAGCGAACATTATACTCCTATAGGATGAGTCGAATCATGCTTTCTTACTTCAAATACAGTTTTGGCTGCATATCCTTGTACATCATCTCTGTTAACTGTAATTTGAATTACGCGATACCAAACCTAAAGTAAAAATCCAGTAATACCGATCATGGACAAGAAATTCAGGTTCCATGCAACAATTGCATTCTATTTTATTAACTTTTACCTCTTCGCTTACGTAGTCTCCAGCAATACCTATCAGGCGCAAAATGGTATCGACATACCATGTATAGTCAACTGCGTATCTTTCCGCTAGAATGGCTACCTTAAGTACCATTTCTTCACGGATAGAATAATCAGCAGTTTTGAGATAATTCAACATTTCCTCGACTATCTCTATAGCATTAGTTTTATCACACATAGCATAAAGCAAATCAATGGCCCTTTGTCTGACGCTAACATCGCGTTCGCTCTAAACAGTGAAGCATAATTAAACCAATTACAACTATGACTATTTTGCAACGATAAATAAAATATATATGGTCATCCTTTAGACTGGTATTCATAAAAAAATACAGTATTGGATATTGTTAGATAACGTGCACTAACTTTTAAAGCCTGGATCACTGTACTTTGATGTTTCTTTACAGCGTCGTGAGAATATTCAGATGAGGCCAGCGCACACATACTTTCCAATGCAAGATACCTATTTTAGCAAATAAAAAATAATGATAACATAGTCAAAATTCGACCTCTCATAAAATGAAAACATCCTAAGCAAAATTAACCTTAAATTAGTTTCTCGACTTGACAAAAAGGTACCGAGTTGATTACACGCTCGAACCATTTGATCAGGATCGCTGTTTTAATTATTAATTAATAACAATATACAATATAAATTTTAACTTTGTTGTAATAATAGCCTAGCCTACATTATTACCATTTAAATAGTAAATAGACAGTTAATTTATGTAATAAAGAAATAGTTACAATTCTTACTTATCGTAGTGTATAATTAAACTAATTGCTTCAAAAATGACTGCATTCTTTGCATTGCTGTGCTGTACTTTCTTGGACTTTGGTGGTTCCTGTAGGTTATACCATGAGTTATATTATCATAAGGAAGAAACAAGTGATGAAACGATTCGATAATAAAACAATATCATGTTATATTTACCATTGCTCTGTTTAGTACAGCTTCAATGCATTCGTGTAAGCGAGCACGAATGGCTGGATCATCTAATTTTGTAAGGTGATACTTCAGATCAGTATCATATTATTCAGTATGTAATAGTACGTTGAATCGTGCTAGTCTATACTAAGTTACTAACCTGGTGGAGGATATGTTTGCAATAAACGCAAAAGCTTAACAGAAAGCCAAGGTGCAGGAACAAAGTAATAAGTATAGTCTTGTAAATCACCGTAATTAGCGGTTGCAATCTATAAGAATATGAAAGGATACGTGATATAGTTGTAATAATATAGTGATAATCCGGTAAACGGATGAACGCCATTGCTTCACTTACGCGACTTAATCGTGAAACAGCCAACGGTACGCATGCTTTATAATCCTCTGGATTTTCCCTTGCTAATTCATAAATTAGACTGCATGCTGCAGTTACAACACCCTAATGAACAAACAATTAGAAAAGCCATCAATTTTAAAGTACAGTTAATCCAACCGAGAACGCAAAAGTTAAATTGACAATTTGTTTTACAAGGTGCTTATCGGATAGCAGTTGCACTATTCTAGTTGTCCATTCTCCAGGAGGTAATATCTTCGTCGATACTCTATACAAGCGAAGCAAGCATAGCGCAGCGTTCTGTCTGACTGTATCCATTGTATCACTAAAAAATGAGCGTATAGTGTTCAATATTGATCAGAAGCTGAGGTCAAAGTATGCACTACGATTACATTAGTTTGAAATGTCACTCTAGAAAGCTATCACTGAAAGTGTGATGATATTATAAATACTCATCATGTAGCCAAGCAAAGTCTGAAACTAATCATACTGCCATATACGTATTCATAAGTGAATGTATTGAAACTGGTAGATTTAACACTTGTAATAGGACTTTAGAACGATTGTTGATAACACAATACTGTAATAGTAATAATCTTGTGATAATCTAATTTGTGTATTTAATACCTTCCAACTAAAATTCGAGGCACTTCGCTAGCCAATTGTTCAGCCATTTCCGGGCTACCCACATTAGCAACGCAATTCAGGGCGAGTGAAATATGGATTGGCTTGCCACTGTTTAAATCATTTTTAATCGATTGGATTACTAATTTCATCAAATCATGACTGTGATCAATCAGCACAGAAATGAAAAGATAGCCCTTTAAAGAAATGATGAAAGAAACAATATCTACAATTAGTAAAATAATTACTCCAAGAGGTACAGGCATGTTTGATCAGTATCATGAAATCATTTCATTGGTAAACGGTTGTAAAAACAATTAGTCTATTAAAAAGAAAGGACTAAGTTGAACTACCCTTTATCATGTACAATGTATAGAGTAGCTAATGGACAAAAGTAAGCGAAAATGCATTGGGCTGTGAGTGCTACAGTAATCAAAAGAGCATTTTTTACATGCTTGATACATGATAAGTATTTGTACACACATACAGTTAAGGCATTCTTATTTGTACTGACAGTAGACATAACATGACTGAAAAATTGTGTGGTAAAAAAATAAATATTCTACGGTATCGGGAATCATGATTGCTTCAATTCAATTGTCGACTATAAAACCTTTAAAAATTTAAATAGTGATGGCATAAACCGCCATTAAGACACTCTAATTCTGCATTACAAAAACAGTATGATAAAATAATAACGGTTACTTAAATTTAACCACGATCAAATCTTTAAATAATTAAATAAGGGCGGATTAAATGAATATTAATCTAAGCTGAGTTTCAACGAAATTTGCGGTATACAGTATGTGTTTATGACTGTTCATCAATACAAGCATACACTATACTGTAGATTATCATGTAAGATTGTGCTATTTGCAATGATTGCATTGGTCGATAAGATCACTGTAGTTGGGAAAATAGTAACAAATTATGAATTGAAAAATGAATAGAATAAACAGTTCTTACAATTTGTTTTTCCGTATACTTAATGGAAGACAATAAATTAACAGCTTCCATGTAGCCAAAATCGATATCGACACCAAGAAGAAATATGAATAGCAATTTACAGACATATTTTTTCTTACTGTAGCCATCCAGTTGTTTATCGCCTAGAGTCAAAAATAAGCATGTTGAGTATGACGCACGGTTCATTGTCGGACCATTTTCCCATCAATTTAGACACGACGTCTACGTCTATCAAAGGTAAATTTCATTGCCTAACACATAAAAATATGCAGCAGCAACAACAAGTATCCAATATTCAATTCATTACCTTTAAACTTGGATCTGATGTTAGCGAGTTCTTTGTTAATTCTTTTAATTTCCGCTTCTCGTGATTTGCCTAGCGCACCCGACAAAATAGGTCATACAAGCATGAGATATGGGTCAATATTCAACTATGCAATCATTGACTACGCACATTTAGTAATTCTATATGTTCAACATCATCAGTACGACACAAAATCACTTGAATCGTATTCTATTTAATTTACTGCTATACGATCAATACTGGACTTTGCTAGAATCGGGAGAAGATGGGCAAGGTCATTGACTCCTAGAATGGGTAGATGACATTTTGGTAAGATTAACGCCCTCGACGATGATTTTTTTTTGTTGATGAAAAAGGAGTAACACTATGGATCAATGATATGCTAGGAATGGTAAGCCATCAATGGACAATCTTTCAAGCCGACATGGCATTCTATCGTCATCTGAGTTGGAAAAAGGTAATGAAACTATCCAGGACGAGAGTCTACAATATCGTCATGGCCATTTTGACGCACTTGTACTATGATCGGAGAGAGAGATGACAGTAAATGATATGTTGAGTTGAATAACAATTGCATTTGGTAGGGGTATTGGTTGAAATGGACAGTATTTGACTATGTGGATTGATAAAGCAACCAGTCCATCGGACTGGCATGGACAATTGGTAATCCAAAAGAGCGAGTGTTGAAATTGCAGACTAGACCCGATTGCATGCGTTTGCTGCGATGTACGGTACGGTACTCAATCTGGTGTAGAAAAAGCTGGTATCGACCGACATGTATTGAACTACAAGTATGAAAGAAGGATAATATTGATCGATCGGCTAGATCGTCGAGATGTACTCTTCAAAGACAACTTGACATAAAGGTGTTGTATCAACGTCGTTCGGATACTATCGTCAGAAGAAAGAAAGAGAGAGAGAGAGAGGGGGAGAAAAAAAAGAGAAATACGCCTGGTTGATGGTAGAAATGTCAAGTTAACGCCTTGTTGGACTACGTCATGATGCAGAAACTCACAATTTCGTATATCCGAAATGAAAACGGCCAAGCCGCGCATGGTATCACTCTTACTGGACGGCATTTTGAGAAAGGAAGATTATCAATCTTTTTCTCGATCTTGTTGAAGAGAATGAATCGTTTGCTCAAGTTGAGAGTGAAGAAAAGATTAACAGTGGAGGACTAACGTTGATCCTGCACAATTTAGTAATGGCACCTCTCGCAGGCGGAAAAGTCAGCAACCACCAGGCGTAGGCTGGCGCAAGATGGATGACTACAGTACACTGTAGAGCACTGTACATAGTACTGTAAGACACCATACTGTAGCTGTACTGTACAGTACTGTACTGTACAGTATGGGCCAACAGTTTTTGTTCTGGACTACAGTACAGTACACTGTGTAATACAGTACACTGTACTGTAGGACACTGTGCAGCTCAGATTGTACATTCTGACTGCAAAAAGAATCGGTAGCGAACGAATCACTGTGTCCGTCTCGTCCGTTTCTTTTTCCAGTAGACTACAGTACTGTCAAAGTGAGAATTTTGACTCGTGTTACTACAGCACTGACTAGTGTGAACAGGCATAGCGAAAATAGGAAGCGTACACTGTACTTTACAGTCCATATTGCACATTCTGACTGCAAAAAGAATCGGTCTATCAAATTTGGCACAGCAAACTAACCACTGTGTCCGTGCTGTCTGTTTCTTTTTCCAGTAGACTACAGTACTATCAAAGCGAGAATCTTGACTTGTGTTTACGTATGGGGCACTTAACCGGTTACAAGTGATCTACGCACTCGTGTTACTACCCCACTGACTAGTCAACAGGCATACCGAAAATAGGAAGCGTACACTGTACACTGTACACTGTACTGTACAGTCCATATTGTACATTCTGACTGCAAAAACAATCGGTCTATCAAATTTGGCCCAGCGAACGAATCACTGCGTCCGTCCTTTCCGTTTCTTTTCCAGTAGACTACAGTCTGTACAGTACTGTCAAAGCGAGAATCTTGACTCGTGTTACTACAGCACTGACTGACTAGTCAACAGGCTTACCGAAAATAGGAAGCGTACGCTGTACTGTACATTCTGACTGCAAAAAGAATCGGTCTATCAAATTTGGCACAGATAACTAACCACTGTGTCCGTGCTGTCCATTTCTTTTTCCAGTAGACTACAGTACTGTCAAAGCGAGAATCTTGACTCGTGTTACTACAGCATTGACTGACTAGTCAACAGGCATGCCGAAAATAGCAAGCGCGAACGCGTCAGTATTCCAAAGCGACCACGTGCCCTCCGCTCGTTCGACCTCTTCATCTAGCTTCAGTACTCAAGCCAAAGGCCTGCAGTACACAGTACTGTAGGCCTACAGTACTCCTAACAAAATACTGTACTTTGCGGTACTGTACACTGTACTGTACAGTACAGTATAGCGGAATGCAGTCCTCCCAGAGTGATTTGTACTGTACAGCAAGCGGCTGCAGCATAGTGCTCCATATAATCCGATTGTACTGTCGTACTATCAGGGTCGTCAGTGACTGGTCACTCGTCGTCAGCTGCTGCTGCATTGCATTCTAAAAATCAAATCCTCGGACTATGTGAAAGCAATCGATGCGTAGAGTGTAGATCCAGGATAAATATGGTCAATGACAGGAAAAAAGACATGTAGTACTGCATGTAAACATACTGAAACGAGTACCGAACAGTTTAAAATAGACAAGTTGTTGTTTGTTTATACATGTATATTGATGGAAATTTCCAGAGACGCCAACTTCACATGCATGTACTGTAGGCATAGACTTGTACATACGTAGATCTCTGAAGATCTGCAAGTCCGTCATGCAGGACAGGAATGGATAAAGTGAAAAACAATGACATCACCCAGTTTAGAACTACTGTAGTAGTACAGTACATTCATACGATACTACCGCAGAGCAAACATGAATTATTCCTACATTCATATTCACAGATCAGAATAGTTTGCAATCCCTTTTATGGATTCTAGTCCATTTTTTAGACTACATTGCGCAATAAAAAACGGAAATTTCACGGATCTTAATGACCCTCAAAAAACGACACCAATGACATGTATTTTATACATACTGTATTTCTGAGCAATAACAATTATACGAATACAATATAAACACACACAGATACGACACAATCCATCTTCATGGGGCAAGATTAACTTGATTGACAGTAAATAGAAATCTTCGACGTATAATCCACTATACTGTACGTCAGCTATTTATCAATATGAACTTCGACAATACTATTGCAAAATATAAATAATTTATAGATATATACTGTATAATTAATTACAATCAATCCATGGCATCCATATTGATATGCTAATACGGCAGATTAGACGTGTGTGTAGTCATTGCAAAAAAAATACTCATACACTGGCAACTTTTTTAAAAGCTATGAACAACACGTACAAATACTAGTTTTACTGTACAATGGACATGTCCACATAGAAAGTATATACAGAAGTTGTATATACAGTACATCGCATCTATACAACCAACGTTTTATTAATACAATGTTAAATATAGCTTACGCTATTCAAGACTCATCGTTCTCAAGCTATCTCATACAAGCCGTCAAAGAGGCACATTATCATCTACACTTGCATCTACAGTATCAATACGCTAATAAATAATGTTCATATCATCATATCTTAACTACCATTATTTATAGTAGCACCTATAGATACAATATTCATCATGTATGAGAAATAATCACATGCCCTCTATTGGTACCATAGACCACTCCAGAACCAATTTCCGGAAGCCAGCACGCAATATTAGTGCTTACATTCTCAATACTACTCCTGTATGCATAGTGATCTATATCGCGAACAAACTAGATAAAAATACGTATATTCATACATTTGTTACTAATAATTATAAATTAATGATAAACAATCAGTATTATAGATCAGCTATAGATATTCAACATTTTTAACAGCTATATTTTATAAAACTGTGTTATTTCTTTGTACTAGCAGTAATATTATTATAATTTAACAATAACTGCAAGCGATATCAATACTAACTTCCAAGCCTATCTCATATGGAGGTATAGAGTCAGGAGAATCAGAGCTTTTACGCTCGTTTCTGCAAATTCTGTAGATAGATGCGGCAGGCTAGGGCAGAATTTATAAAGGATTCGCATATAAACCATCAATATAATAATTGAAATAGACTCTATGGAATAGTTACTGTCCAACTTACCAAATCATTAAAGGTATGTCGCTGAGGTCGATAACATGAAAATCCCGCGATAATATAACGATCTAACGGTGAAAAACTGACAGACATAATATTTGGACCTATACACAATTAACAAAATTAATAGACATTATGTTACTATTAGATATCAACAAATACGAAGTTAGCGTATTTAGTATTGTATTATCGATCACTGAGACAATTACCTAATGATTGCTTAAACAAGCATTGTCCCATAGATGATGAATGTACTGAGATCAATATTAAGGAGATGTCCTGACGGGAATTACTTCTTTCCTGAATGAACGCTGCCAAAAGACTACTATCTTTGGTAATTGAACAGCTCATATCGTTATGAATTATTGCATTACGAAGGATTATACATCTTTCCGCTAAAGTAAAATCATAAACGATCCAATTTAAATGATTATAGTCGTTGAAATTTACAAAATAATATTTCATTGAAATACCTGCTTTCAAGTCTGGTAAACATCCAGAACTAATATCCCACCATTGTAGTCTACTGGTTACCTTTTTGAGCTTAATTCTAGCCGTTATAATGGGCACTTGATCAACTGGTCCATTCGATGCACCTACGCTAAAGTGGAAGACGTTACCTCCAGCATTAACCATATGTGTTACACTGGAATCGACTTCTCTGATAGCTCCTTCCTCTCTTTGTCCTGCACCACCTAAGTCTGATGATACAGTAGGTGTATCCGGTACAGTCCTAGGTGTCTCGGTTGAAGCTGTAGATATCGTAACCGCAGACACAATTATTTCCTCTGAGTTATCCCCATCAGCACGGTCGTTAAGTATACGTAAGTAACGTTCACTTCCTTGACCGACTGTCTGGGATGGAAACGAATTATCCTCCCTGACCCTACCAAGCTCTGCAGAATTGTCATACGAGGTAGAAGTATTCCCATGTAAAATATCAGCTGTCTGATGCCCAGTACGCTCATAGCTCGAAATCTATATAGTATACGTATAATTGCAAAAGTAGCGAGTTAAAAAAATTAAACTGATGTTATGAAAATTCTTTAATGCGCTAAAATAATGCTTATGACAATATTGATCAACCTGCGATTTTTGTTTCAAATCGCCCATAGGAACATTTGTAATGGCTGATAATAAAAAATCTCCACTTTGATGAAACTTGATTAACCTTTATTGAAATAAAAAACAAGAGGCAGATGCTTAAATCACAGGATATGGATTCAGAACAATCTGCTAATCAATGAAAGTAAATAAGCAAAATATCAGCACGAGATGCAAACATTGGGTAACTATTTCATTATAATAAAGATATTTTATCATCACAATATATGTTACAATGCACTTTTTTAAACTGCATCTAACCAAAAACTAATTACCTAATTTTTTCGATTGGATTTGCAGTACCTACGGAAATGCATGGAGCCGGTTCTCGCCAATCCCACAACATCAGCTTATTGCCAGTTGTAATAAATAGTGTATAAGCTGCTTTAGGGCTGAAGGCAATCGAATTGATCACGGCAGAATTCTCAACACAATACGTTTCGCTGCCACCCTAATTGTTTAAACATGGATTAAATTAAATAAAGCATTACTTAGACATGATAAATTAATGACACAATAAGGGATTTATATGCATTCGGAGAATATAAAAATTTGGAATTGTCCAATTTGCAAGAAATACGCGTATTGTATCTCGACGCAAATTAGTTAGGATAAGACCAAATACTGCCACTGATATTATTTTAGCATAATACCAAACTAAGTTAAATATTGTATATATATACATACTTAATGGATATAGCTGAAATAACAACTGCCTTGACTATTAATAAATGATTAGTCAATCATTGCTTATACCCCACCTGTAAATTCCACACACGAATTTGACCACCTAAGCAACCAGATGCCAAAACGTGTTTCATTTTAGGATGCCAGGCCAGGGTCCATGGTGTTCTAGGATGACCTGAAAGCGTTTGAAAGCACTGGCCGGTATGAATATCGCATATCCTTATTGTATGGTCTCCATGAGCTGATGCTATCCACTGGCTAAGTTCAAATTAAATTATTGTACAATTATAAAGTCGCTAAGTTTTGTTCTTTAAATTCGCTATACAACTTACGACATTTTTCTGTGATAACTTTGCAATCAATCATAAATCATTGATACTAGCTCTACTCTATATAGAGCAATATTTAGCAGTATAGTACCATCATTTTAGACTGAGTTAATTACTTATGTAATATAGGGCAATTTCAAATAATAGTTAAGATTGCTTATTTCAAAATATTTGTTCTTACTTACTTGTTGCAGCTGAATGCTATGACGAAAGTAGTGCGCAAGGTATCAGGAAGATCACAGCTCTAAATTAATCCAATGATCAATAGTTCAATCATTATACATAATTAATTAATAACGAAACGATAGTCAAATGTTTAGATACACGTAGATAACATTCATACAAGATGAAAGATTTTGCTACCTAAACCAATATATGGAACGTATAAAATATGAAGCACTACATCAAAAACTGTCAATAGTATCATAATTTATTCAACATAAAGAAGGTAATAAATCGATAGGCTTCTAAGGAAGACTGTCGTGTTTAAAATACCTCAACAAATATTGTTATCAACGCATTAGACGTACTATTATTAGTTTTACATCGTTATGATTAAAGCAAGCAATAAACTGTTGGAAGTTTTCAGGTCTAGTTTTATATCAAGGGCGCAAGTGTAGTATTTTTCATACTTGTCAAATATATCATTACGAAGGCACTCTAGACCTTTTACAGAGGTTCCATTCCAAGCTTACTAACAAAGATCTCCTTATCACATTTCCTATTTATCGTCATTTCGACTCAATATACTGTAATTATAGTGTCAATGCCTGTAATCTATCATTTTGTAATAATTTAAGGTATTTATGCAAAGTATGATTGATCCACATATTAATGCAATACGATTACTCGTATATGGTATAGCTGCAAAATAGATTAACTCCCTGCGCGTCTATATTTTCGGTATGGTGACAATGATTCGAAAGTATACCTCAGTAGTGAGCTATAGAATGAATTATTTAGCAGAATCGTATTAAAACTTCATGGAGTAAGAGCTTGATTATCCTAGATACTGTATTTAGGCATAAATTGTAAATTAATTATCAAAGCATTTAGACGCATCTAATTTCATTGGCAATGTAAACAGCAATGGAATAAAAAATCCTATATTACAGCAATTTGCTAGCGACTATTGTATAGAGTATGTTAAAGCAGGAAATTTTAGTGTGCAAGCTGAATTTACAGTTGGCAAATCTACAATGTACAATTGTACATACGCCTCCATCACTGCAGTCTGCCGTAGCTCATTTCAATCATGAAATAGGAATCAACGCTCGACAGGGAGAGTTTTTAAAAGTTCTATTGTACGAAAGAATTGTAAATCTATAGCTCTATACGTCCATATTTACATACTATTACCAATTATCCAACAAAAATGTTTCGACTGTGAGATGCAATCATCACTTCAAGTCAGTACCATACTAGATCGTAAGTACATGGCCGTTGTAATGAAAAATACTGTGCATGTAACATATTGTCCGATGTGCTCGATATTAACAACATATCGTCGTTAAATGGCTAATCCTTGCGTGCTATAGTACGTTGATCATACCACTTCATTCAATAGATGCATACGTTTGGACAAGAATTAGCTGTTGTAATGAAAAATACTGTGTAGCTTATTGTCAAATGGACTCGATATTCAATTGCATGAATTCCTTTGCACTAAATGACACGAATCAATGCCATTTCACTATCGAAAGCGATTGCCTTTTTGTAGGAAAATTATGAAACATCAACATCAGCAGGGAAGAAAACTGACGTCACTTCAAGCTGAGCTAGAGTAGTATTAAGCATCGTCGTTATCCATAGCGTTACCTTATGAGTAGTGAATTGAGCAGCGTAATCTTCCGCATATTGATCCATTGCATGGCGGTCATGTTGATTGAATAAACCGTTTCGTCTTGCAATAACACACTGACTGATATTTCTACTTTTACTATATTGCGACATGTTGATCGTGCAGTGGCCAAAATCTGACATAACCTTGATTTTATGCTTGACAGTAATGAAATAGCCAGTACTTCTGCCGACTATTGCTATTGCTTAAATTGTCTCTATACTTTGATAACTCCAGCGTTATATCCACTCCAATTCGTCAAGTAGTGAAGAGACATTTCATAGCAATCCAATCCAATCCAATTTGTCTACCAGTCCGATGGATTGATTCTTCTTAAAATAATCCTGTCATGGCTTTTCCCTTGAGTGCCGACCAATCGATACGCCAACAAAAAACTCAATTTTACACGTAGTTTAAACACAGGAAACAACCATTGAATAATATAGTCACTTTCTACTCTAATTAAATGAACTAATAGCAAAGTTTCAACGATATAAAGCGGAATCTAGCGTTAGAAATCATCAAATTGCAAAGTAAACTAACCTACAGCTCAAGTTAGCTTAGCCAGGCATAACGAAATTGCAATACTATCTTGATACTGACACGCTTGACTGGTTTGTATAGTAAACTATAGAGAAAATAACAACCTACAAATGTATTATCATACAGGAATTTTCCTCTGACCTCGGCTCACGACAGCTTGGTATAGTAGGATACCTACCATACTGATACTACCACACAGTCGATACAGTACTGTATAGCTTGCTTACCGATCGTTGTATCGTGGTGTATAGCATATAGCCAGATCTAGCTCTTCAGTACTGGTACTACCAACAATATAGAGTTGGGTAAAATGACGCCTAGCAAAGCGCTAGACGAAAATGGCGCACATAGCCGAGCGTTTTCCAAATTGGAGAGTTTTAGCTTCTCGTTGGAGAACTGAAAGTGTATAAAAAACCATCACTTGTATGTGTATTCAATGCCTTCTTCTTATACAAACTTTATAGTACTAACTGTTGAAAATTGCGTAATAATAAAGGCTTCAAAGCAAGTGAAATAAAAATTTAGCCGCCAGTTTTAATCCCGAATATTTTATAGTTTTATAGTAACTGCACCTGTAGAAATTCAGATCTGTGCAATATTGACTATAGAGAATCAAAGCAAGCAAAAGTAATCTGGTAGCCGGAAGTTATAGCCCCTAATATTACAAAAGTATTTATAACTACCCGTAGAAATTCGAATCTGTGCTATATTCGAGAAGTACAATGAAACACTCCATACTCAGACTCGACGGTAGACTGGAAAGAAGTGGAGTCAAGATTTCAAAGCAAGTAGAAGAAATTCAGCAGTCGAGAATTTTAGCCCCTAACAACGTTACAGAAGTTTATAACTATAACTACCTGTAGAAATTGGAATCTATGCTATAGCTTATATTCGAGTAGTGCAATGAAATCACTCCATACTCAAACCCGACGATAGGTTGTAGAGAAGTGGAGTCAAGATTTCAAAGCAAGTAGAAGAAATTCAGCAGTCGAGAGTTTTTAGCCCCTAACATTACAAAAGTATTTATAACTCCCGGTAGAAATTGGAATCTGTGCTATAACTTATATTCGAGTAGTGCAATGAAATCACTCCATACTCAAACTCCACGGTAGACTGTAGAGAAGTGCTCAAGATTTCAAAGCAAGTAGAAGAAATTTAGCAGTCGAGAGTTGTAGCTCCTAACATTACAAAAGTATTTATAACTCCCGGTAGAAATTGGAATCTGTGCTATAACTTATATTCGAGTAGTGCAATGAAATCACTTCATACTCAAACTCGACGGTAGACTGTAGAGAAGTGGAGTCAAGATTTCAAAGCAAGTAGAAGAAATTTGGTAGCCGAGAGTTGTAGCTCCTAACATTACAAAAGTATTTATAACTACCCGAAGAAATTCAAATTTATGCTATAGCTTATATTCGAGTAGTACAGTAAATCAATCACTTCATACTCAGACTCGACGGTAGACTGTAGAGAAGTGCAGACAAGGTTTCAAAGTAAGTAGAAGAAATTTGGCAGCTGAGAGTTTTAGCCCCTAACATTAAAAAAGTATTTATAACTCCCTGTAGAAATTGGAATCTGTACTATAGCTTATATTCGAGTAGTGCAATGAAATTACTTCATACTCAGACTCGACAGTAGACTGTAGAGAAGTGCAGACAAGGTTTCAAAGCAAGTAGCAGAAATTTGGCTGCCGGGAGTTGTAGCCCCTAACATTACAAAAGTATTTATTTATAACTTCCTGTAGAAATTCAAAATCTGTGCAATATAGTCTTGGCTGTCGAGAATGCAGTAAAAACTTTCTAGCTAGTAGCAGATACCCTAGAAGATATTTAGCGCACTCAGCCGTGAATTTGAACCCTAATCTTTACAATATTAGTAACTACACTGTAATGTTGTCAAGTGGTAGGCACATAAAGGATGCACAAGATTTAGTGATGATAATGTCTTTTATTTGTATCCTTTATTGAAGGAGGATATGGAAAGAGCTTGGTTAACGAGTACAGCAGACTAAGAGCATGTGGAAATTCAAATTTGTACAATATTAATACTCGTATTATTAAAGTATTTATAACTAGGAATGCAATCGAGGTTTCAAAATATTCCAAAGCAAGTAGAAGAAATTTGGCAGTGGAATTTTAACCCCTAATACTCGTATTATCAAAGTATTTATAATTAAGAATGCAATCGAGGTTTCAAAGTATTCCGAAGCAAGTACAAGAAATTTGACAGCGAAATTTTTAACCCCTAATACTTATATTATCAAAAGTATTCATAACCGTTGTGTTTCCACTCTTAGTCGTTAACGTTAACACGAGGAACTTTGATACACTCCTACTAGTAAGCTTACTGAAAAAGTCCTTTTATTTAGGATTTACTGCATTTAAATAGTATAGCTGTAATGGCGTATTATACCCTTATCTTAGTAATTCATTACCTTATCTTATGCTAACACGTTAGGTGCAGTACAACAAGTCACTGTATTCTTACATACATAACAATAACTACCTATACAAATTCAAATCTGTACAATGTGAACCAGTTCGAATCAGAGTACTTTAAGGTATCCTAAAATCACGAGTGTGAATCAAAATGTAATAAGAATTATACGAATATAAAGCTGAATAACTTCATCTATCTGTATGTATAGAATTTAAGGCAAATTTTACAACTTTACTACAAATTATTTTGCCTAATAGCACTCTAAAGAGAACTGGCTCACACCGTACAATATCCGAGCAGAGTAATAAATCGCTTCAGACACAAACTCGACGATATCGACTATAGAGAATGCGGCCTAGGTTGGAAAGAAATTTGTCTGTCAGGACTTTTAGCCCCTAATATTATAAAAGTATTCATAACTACCTGTAGAAATTCGAATTTGTGCAACACCTGAGTAAAGTAGTGTAACTTGATACTCGGACTTGATGATATTAGCTACTAAAATGAACTTTTACTTAAAATAGACTTATAGTGTACTGTAGTGAATTATAGGCTTTCTTTTGGCATGCTATTATATGCTAAGATATTGCCTGCTGTACTTGTGATATACTATGAGATTACTTTTTGCTTAATCCAGCTGCTTCTTTACTGAATACACAACAAGACTATGCTGTATTTAGAAAGGTATACTACAGCCTAACCAAAGTCTTTCTACCGCATTCATAATTCACTATGGTATAAAATTCCGCAACATGGAGTATGATATGTTGCCGAATTTTGTATCATAGTGAGATATAATTAATCAATAATAATGGGCCCATGTTGTACTCGTCTATATCGTAAATTGTCTATCATGATGAATTATTGACTATGTATAAGTAAATAGATATTGCGGATCCATCATATAGCCATCTCTTCTTAACAACGAGATCCAAAATATCCGATAGCTACAACTCTTTGAAACCGTTTTAATAAATGCTGACCTCACTGCAGTTTTTCTGCCGTATTCAAGAGCCGCCATAACGTATTCGTGTATATCATAGATCGCCTACAATTATTGCCTGATTCTATTTATTTTTAGTCCGTATTATTGCATACCCATAAAAGAGTGGAGAGTAACTGTTGGAGTGAAATAGTACGCATTTAAATAACTGATCTAGATTAACTTTGAAGTAAAAGTTGAATAAAATCAATTCGAAAAGTCGTCTACCTAATCTCTACTTCTATAGAAGAATTCTAAAGATGGAAAGTTATTATTTACACACAATATTGAACGAATTACGATAGGTGTATCCTTTATTCTAAGAATATTAGTCCATCCACAGTAGATTTGAAAGTACAATTAACAGAATTGAGAATGATAGGTAATCAATATCGTACTTGTAGATAGTAAATATACATTAAATTCGAGTTTTGTACATAAATTAATTATTCGTAAGTCGTCCTATACTATACAGTCGATTAAATGCGGTAAAATACGTTCACTATAATCATGCAGGGCAAAGTTAATTTCATTTTTCCTCTATTAGAGTAATAGCCAAATACATTTAAATATTTTATGCCCGATGATGAACGCTATAGCCAAGGAAAAGTGACACGAAATTAACCTCTAACCAAGTTATGATAGTAAATTACAGTACAAGAAGAAATAGATATAGGATAAAAAATATTCTTTCAAATTGAGTTCTAGCAATGCCCCACAATATGATTCAACTAGCTATCGTCCATTATAATTACGATACATAGACACAAGTTCAAGTTAGATGATGAGTATCAATATCAATAGTCTCTAATGTTATATTAATACTTAATTAAGGCCAGCCATTATGCAGTAACGCTAATAACGAGAAAAGAGTTAACATAAAAATTTCATTTTTTTTGTAAACAAATAGAAATTAGTACAGACATTAAATAATATAGATCTAATCGGCAATGACTGAGAAGGGTTATACAAAATCTAGCTACATATTAACATTATCTACTTCATAACCGTTAGAGTCGTATGATAAATTAGTATTTTAAGAAACCAAAATTTCAATCTTGCCAAGATAATATTTATAAGCCAAATGAGTGTTTTAAGCTAACGTAATTGATGCTTATGATAAAATGATTACAGGCCATCAATTGCCAATTGGTTGTTGGATAGTACGTTATTAAACGTTATTGAGGAATAGAAACAGTCGGTACAAGAAAAGGCTTCGATCGATCTAGGACAGATGGATAAGGCAACATATACAAATAATTGGATCAACAAGATAAAATGTGTTATCTAGGTAATAGAAAGAATCCAGTTTACATCAAGTTGATAATTTTAAATAAAACTAAAATCCTTTCAAGTTATAACTGTAGTTTATCCAGTACGGTCTTTAATTCACTCAATTAGAGACCAACTTCATCATCCAATTAGACTCTTGTAATCGAGATACATTGATCAATTCTGCGCTGCCTGATAGATCGATCCTAAACTTCTAGCTTTAACTAGTTTATGCTTTGATGATGTTGCAGGTGCTGTAGGTATCAATCCCTGATTCCTCTTTTCTTCTAACCACATATCGAAGGATAAATTTTCCATACGTTTTTTCTCCTGTTCTAGACTTCCTTGTTGTTCGCGCCCTTCCATCATGCTGTCGTAGTTATCTAATGTCATTTGCTTAGCTTTAGCTTCTAACCAATCTTCAAAGGATGGAACACCTTTAAATCTTTCATTTTTTATCTTGTTTAACTTGGACATTTCTGCCTGCATCGCTTTCCTAGCAAGCTCTTTTTGGTGCTCTTCTTCTTCCCTTTTCTTTTTACGCCAAGATTGAAAAGAGGGTGATTTAGCGATTCGCTTCTCTCGTTCTTTTCTTCTTCTTTCTTCTTCCATTTCTTGAGCTCTTGCTAGCATTTCTCGCTCTTTACTTTCTGATTGAGATTTCTTGTTCATCCACGATTCAAAAGAAGGTGCTTGACTAAATCGTGACTGTATCACCCGACGTCTTTCCATTTCTTCCTCGAAATGCTTTCGCTCTTCTTCTTGCTTAATTTTCTTCATCTCCTCCATTTTAACATCTACCCATTTGGCAAAAGTAGGTACCCGTTGCTTTTTCAATTCTTTTAATTCTTTTCTGAACTCTTGCTCTTCTTGTTGCATTTGTTGTTCCTTGCGTTTTTGCTCTTTATATTCTTGATCCTTTTTAGTTTTCCACTTATTGAAAAATTTTTGCGCAATTTGTTTTCTCTTCTCTTCCTCTTCTTGCTTCTTTAACATTTGCTGTTGCTTTTCTTTCCTAGCCACATTAGCTTCCTGAATCTTTTGAGTATTTTTAACCGATAGCCAATTATCGAATGGTAGAGATGTATTTTCTCGGTGTCCAAGGTATCTTTTAGTAGCGATGTAATATTGAACGCCTTGACTTGCAGCCAATTGTGGCTGATCAAGAGGAGATTTTTCATTATCTGACGATTCCTCATTATCATCACTAGTTAGTTCACCTTTTTCTGATTGGGTATTTCCATATAATGCTTGATATTCTTCGTATTCCCTTCTTAATTCATCTCTTACTGACAATCTAATGATGAGAAATAATCATAATTGAATGCCTAGTAACGATATTACTTACTTGTATGCGAACATCTTGATTTTGCAGTGGTTAAATTCATATTATCATCTATGATATTAATTCATTCTAATTCTAGTGATTTGAACTGCCATTACATCCAATAAAATTCAAATCATACTATTTCTTATTGCTATTCTATCCATATTATACTAGTTCTATTCAACCCAACTAAAATAAGGGATAAGGGATATAGCTCGAGTGCCAGCGAATGGAAAGAAATAAATACTCGATAATCTAGCTATTTTATTTTACCGATACTAAATCTATACCGGTATAGAATGTAAATATACTTGAATTTAAGCTGCAAAGTTTGTTATAACATTATTCGTAATCAGACATAGTAAAAGTAGTCGTTCTTATCCTACCCATCTGTTTATTGACTACAAACTTGCCATATTATGCCTTAGCTTAATTAAACTGCGTGATACCAGTAGTTGTAGTAAGGGTCGAATTTACCCTATCCATTTCATCGGTAAAGTAGATGATTGAATAATTAATTATCAAACTGAATAGACGAATATCAACTAGCTCATGAAATGCTGACTTTGGAATCTGCAAAATAGACGGAAGAATAATGAATTGATGAATTATAATTATCAAAGCCTAGTAAGGGGCCGAATTTACTCTGTTTATTCTATGGTAAAGTAGATGATGGAATAATTATCTAGAAAGGGGTAAACTAATTCATGTAACTGCTAACTTTATAGTCGATAGAATAGAGGGAAGAGGGATTGATTATCAAACTCTAGTAAGGGTCGAATTTACCCTGTCTATTCTATCGGTAAAGATGATGGAATAGTTATCATACCGAATAGCGAATATCGACTCAGTCAGGTAAGAACTAACTACGTAATCGATGAAATAGATGGGAGGATAATTATCAAATCGTTATTACAATCATTGCTGAAGCTCGAGTAACAAGCTAAAGTACCATAAGACACCCAGTCATCGTGGATGAAGATGATGGGATAATGATCCAATCCATCATTGCCTGTACTACTTTATCCACTAAAATCGACGATGTTTACGTTCTAGCACAGCATATATAATTATAATCTCCTAATAGTGCATATCACGAACGCCACTAATAACTAATTTTCCAAGTACGATAGAATTTCATTCCCATTTTTATCCAACACGATAAAAAGATATCGAATGAAACATCGATTTCTCTATTAGGAGCCAGTGAACAATCTTATGATATGGTAAAATAGTCGACAGTAGAAACCCTTTCTCTTTCAATTGGAATTCTTGTACGCCTTTACAAACAGCAACTTGATATCGCCAGTGACTACGGAACATGGAAATGTCTCCACAACATACAAAAATTGGATAGTTCTACTATGCTTTAAACTAGTGGGATGGGAAAAAAATAGGTAGTCCTAGTATACTTTACTGTAGAGTACTCTGTGAGTCTGTGTGGATAAGAATAGGAAAGAAACAGAAAGGTCTATTACACTTCAAAGTATGTTTTCCATTTATAGAGAAATTAAATAGGGAAGATAACTATTCCAAGGGTAATGAGAATCTATTATCATAGGAAATGATAAAAAATTAAATAGTTCTATTAAACGAGTATTTCAAAATCACTATATTTGTAATAAGCAGGATAGCAAGTCCAAGTTGACTGCAGTTTAAAAATCAAAAAATGCTGCTATTCGAGCTGTAACAACACCATATCTGTAACAACCAGTTCTCATCTTGGACTGTAAAAGAATCGTCGACATCGCCACCAAGATTAAACGTAATGTTTTCAATATCAATAACAACTAAATCATGTGTTGGCTTTCCCATGACATTTTAACGTCGTGTTTAATATTCGGTATGCATTATAAAGAAGGAAATCTCGAACAATATCAACAAGGCGTATTTAATTACAACATGTGAACTTGTAATATAAAGTTGTTGATAGCTATTGAATCCACAATCATTAGTAGAGTTGTTATCCTCTGTATGGATTCTTTGTTGATTCAAAATCATTGATTAACCTACTATAGAGCGGCAATGAATATCTCTCTATCCAGATAATATCCCAATTAAATTGATCAAAACGACGAATTAAGTGAATAAAAAGAGGATATGAATACTTACTGATTTTGGCCATTTTCATTCATATAATAATGTATACGTTGAATGTTTTCTTCTTCTTGTTTTAACCATGAAGACTTTCTAGCTGCATCAATTAAAGATTTTCTAGATGAAGTTGGTGATGTTGGAGTGGATTTAGACATCCTCACTTTAGCAGCCATATCTTCTGATGGATCGACTGTTACGGGCCGTTGCCGTTGTCGTGGGTGGTATTGACTATCGTTCTGATTCATTTTCTGTTGGATATCATGGAGTTTTCGTGATAGACTAACTGACGATCGAATATCTCGATTATCTTCTTGATAGCAATCATCGCTTTCTTTTGCATGATGATAATGATCATCATCATTCTCATCCATGTTGATAGCTCGTCTTGTTCCTGTTGGCGATGATGGCGATGAACGACTTAAACGATAGATAGAAGCTGCATTCATATCAACAGTTAACATGCTAAGATTCTGACGAGGTGATGACTTATTAGAGCGTGGCGATGTCTTATTAGAGCGTGGTGATGTCTTAATTGAGCGTGGTGAAGCAGGTGGACCAGGATGGAAATTTCTACTTTTACTAACTGGACTACTAGGCATCGATTTCACACCATTGCTTAAACCAGCCTCTTTCGAATTATGGCTTCGAATAGATGGTTCGCTTTTCTCTACTAAGTTAACGCCATGATTTGTCGCTGCGATCGGTGGTAGAGATAGCCCAGTATCGGGAAATTGTTGTTTAGTAGGGCTACTTGATCTTGGCATGATAATAATGGCTGATTGTCGCAATCGATTGTAATTAAAATGAAAATTGTAAGTTTAATTTACAGTTTCACTACTGCCTTAAAGTATACACCAACAAATAAAGGATAGCCGTAGATATCCTTTATCTAAGATCGTAAATAGAATTGAAACGTTAATCTAGTTGAAAGATGAATTATTATATAAATTATCCAAGACTTATTGGATCTTTTTTGTTCAACTAAAAATCTTTCTTGTTGACAGATAGACGATGATTAATTAAGGTGAGATTCTATTTTCTTTTAGTGATCAATTTCTTGTCATGTTTTGATTTCTCCAACCTTCCTTCTTTTGCTCACAACAGTTTCTTTACATAAGATGACTAAATCGATGAGACAATGTCAACATGAGAAATCTTGACGGGTGAGATTTTGACTAGATAAAAAAGTAATAAATAGCAATTAATGTGTAGATAAGACCAAGTTAATAAAAAGAAGAAAAGATATTCCATTGTGGAAAGTTGAAAAATGGCCGTCAATGATATATTTATACTAAACTTACCTACAATCTTTGACGCTGTTCTAGTCGATGAATTTTTTTTCCTGCCTTCCTCTCATCCAACGCAATAAATTGTTGGTATCAGACTACTTCAATTTGTAGATAGGTCTTATATAGATAAAGATGGCAGATTATGTATTTATGTATTCCTATGCTATTGATCAAGGGATTGCAACTAAGTAGAGGCTTTATACAATAAGTAGTAGAATTTTATAATCGGAGTCATCATAACCGAAAAGAAAAAAATGCCTTTACAGTAGTTAAGAAAGGTCAAAAGTCTTAATGGACTCTCTACCAACGTCGATATAAACAGATCCAAGCGTACAATAGACATTGTTATGAATATTCTCATGCAATTAAAATTTCTTTTTTCCTCTCCTTGGTCATTATTGACAAGGCAGAACAATGATACTAACATAAAGAACGCTTAGCTATCAAGTACTTTCCAAAAAAATAGAAGATCAATAAAAAATTGATAAATAGGAGGACCAAATTGTTAGTCAAGACGACGAATAATGTCGGATAAGCCATTCTATGCTATATAGTCATTAAATTATACAATTTAACTTAGATCAATAATTGCATTGATAACAAGACAAACGATCATATACTCGACTGGCACCATTGACAAACAAAATAAAGCAGCAGCTACAGTAGTAATAGGATATTGTTATATACTTTAATTTAATTGGATAGTTAATGATCATTATGACTACATTATCAACAATAACATTGATTGATGATGATAATTATAATTAATTCATTAATTCATTGACAGCATAGCATATCGGGAAAAGTTTAGAGGGCTATCTTCAGGTCTAAAACAGAAACTAAAGTCTCTTTTAAGTCTCTGCTCAAGATGGATAAGCGCTACGCCGTTCTTGCCTTTGCATTGGATGGATATTACGAGTATAAACAGTAGATTGTAGAGAACACTGATGTTCCGGTCATTTGATTATAATTGTATAATAATTTGGAAGGCGCTACTAGAGATATCCAAAACGAGACCTCCATCCCACGTTTTATAACCTACAGTATACATTATACGAGTAAATACTGCAGTTTAATATTTACAGTAGTGTACACAGTATACAACATGCCAACACAATTCAATCGTAGATAACTCTTAAATAAGTCATATATATAAGGCCATCATATTTTATGTTTAGGTAATTCTCTTTAAATTCTGTCTAGTAGAATGTCAAGCTCGTAATACTTCGCGTAAGCAAAAATAATAAGAGTAAAATTTTAATACTGGCATGCGTTTGTAATATCACAGCTATGGCTTCAGCACCGGTTACCTATCCTTCGTTGCACCAGCAGTAAAATAACTCTTTGGATTACGTGAGTATAGCTAATAGCGATGTTAACTACTAATCATAGCCTATACGAGAATTTATGGGTAATTTCGTATTAAGTGAGATAAAGGTAATCTAAATATAGATTATTAGATATATTAATAACATTGTGATTTAAGATTGGCCACTTCATTATATTATGATGCTATCACAAGTATTGATAAAGATTTTCTCACTGCTTCTCAATTTTCCTACAATAGTGACAATACAATATTCGGGAGGGCCTGCTAAATACTACATTATTTAGTAGCCCATCATTAAACTTGTTATATTTTAAGACGAGATCATACTATGTCGATACCTACGCTACTGGAATTAAACTTTATCAATAGTTTAAGGATACAGTTGAATTATAATAGTGTATATTCGTAAGACTTCGCTTTAATTGCACATGATAATAGCTAAATTGTCGTATTGACACTTTAATTGGGCTTATATTGATTTATACAACTAAGTTCAATAATACTAACAGCTCATAAGGTAATAAAATGTTAGCGATGATGGACCAGTAATCACAATACAGGAAACTGTATACAAACATGTAGCCGTAACTAGAATAATATATCCAAGTATACTGGATAAGAAATACATCTGACTTGATAAACTTCTGATACATCATATATATTTAAATTCTTTAATATTACTTGTCCGCATCTACAATTCTTCGCAGGACAGATCAGCCACTTCTTAAGTGGAATCCGTTGTGTCTTTAACAATACAAGGATGCAGCCGCATAAAGCTTTAACCATCATACATCAAAATGGTTAACATTATTTGCTGTCATGGTTGCGTATTTTCGATTTAAGGAAAAAATTTACAAATAATAACCGCACATAAGCATGTTCCTACAAGCTCTGTCATGTAGGAAACGACAACATTATCTTATTATATTTAATCCACAAGATTACATCAGTACTACTTTCGCATTTTACTATTCAGAGAATACAGTCACTCTTATGATTCTACGTGCATAATTGGTAGCTATAACAATTACATTTAGATCACCCAACTACGTGGGTTTTAAATTTTCGAATCTGCGATTGTAGTTTTCTAATGTAGAAAATATTAAAAATCTAATTATAAATATTAATGTTCGGCTGTAAAAACCGTAGAGAAAATAATGCTGTAATATGAGTTACTTATGGTTAAAATTTTGATCCTGGATTAGTGAAGTTGTTACTATCGTGTGTTACATAAAATTGTAATAAAGATAATTTAGCTGACTATAGATGCGCAATCTGCATATGGCCTAAAATAAAAAACCTGTAATAATACATTTTTGTTGTTATTGAGTTAAAATCTTGTAACCTGTATATAATCATACAAAAAGATGAATATCATTTACACTACAACAGAATTAGATCTTTAGTTGTAAATTATAAGTAATAAATTCATAGCGTCGCTTTACTTCAAGGTTCATAGTTGACTAATCTTTGGCCTATAAGATATCTATTGGGAATTAAGATGTTACTAAATTAGTAATTTTTATTAGCTGAAATAATATCATCTATGAGGTACATTGTATTAAAGGTGGATTAAAATTAATTTTATCAAATGAAGACAGTAACTTACTTGTCGTCCCTAATGCGATTGTAGAGCCTTTTAGCTTGCTTTATGTGAAATTTGATAGTAATTACAGCTACGCATATTAGGAGTGAAAATGGATAAATACGACGAATACAATAGTTTTGGAGGTACTTTGATAAACCTACATAGATTCAAACAACAATAAAATTAAAGCATTTCTGAGTTTTTATGTGATATTTCCATATAAATAGGTATATCACAAAGATCCGGAGGAGCCATTGTTACCTACCGAATAGTTTTGACGCGCCCGAGGCAAGGGTGATTGGTGCAGTAACAAGAAATAGTAACATACTGATCACAGGAAAAGCAAGGCTTTTAATCACGAATGCAAAATCAAGATTTCGAAAACCCGCGTTATGGATCTGGTAGATTGTTAAAATATATAAGTATATAGATTTTCGTTATTATTCTATGAAGAAAATATTTTGTATTATGCTACTTGGTATCGCATTACCTGATCAAGAGCCAATTTCATCCACCAGTCAGGTCCAGTCATTGTTAGTGCACAGATTATTTTGGTATGTAAAACCCCAAGAGTCCAATCCTACGTTATTAAAATATCAATAGTAAATTATGCAATTATTAAAATATGGAAACAAGATTGATGTTTAGATGATTCAATCCCAACCATAATTACCTGCCATAAGAAATACATTGGAGATTGATTAAGTGACACTCGAACAGGAACTAAAATAATTAACTCGAATAATAATCCAACCAGTAATGGTACAACTCCAGCAAGTAAAACCGTAACGGTACCAAGTTTCAACACCTGGTATTATTAAGAAAATTTTCTTCAATCAATGGGCTACAATAACGTGATTGGTACATATGATAATATCATGGTCTTACCAGGACTACACAGTTCCTTATTTTGTCAAAAATTGCGTACCACTGCATCGGCATATAAGTGACAATCAGGGTTATGATCCTACAGATCAGCCAAACCGCATAAAGTCCACACGCAACTGTATATAATTCGTGGATTGCAGTATCGCCTAGCCATAGAGAGAGTAAATAGCGACCAAGGTATACTGAAAGATATTAAATACTTAATTTAGATGATCTTAGTAACGCTAACGCGATTACTGTTTATTCATGTTTATGCTTTAAGTAAAAATAATTATGATCATGCTGTTTTACCTGGTACTGTCAAGCCTAATAAGCTAATAGTGCAAACTGACACACACATTATCAATAGTAGAGCAATAATCTAGGAAAGTAAGACATGAACGATTAATATTCAGGTTAAAAAAGTTGGGATATATCCTTTCAATACAAAAGTCAAGTCGATAAAGATAGAGTTAATTACTACATATGGAGTTTAACTAATGATACCCTTAATATAAATTGATTTGGTTTCCGATAAGGGCTGTTATTCAAAACTCTACGATTAAAAATTGCTGCTCCGGCTGCGTGCGCAGCTCCAATACCGCCTCCAAAGCCTACACCGGGAATAATGTTTCCCGCGAGTCCGGCATCGTTGTTGACTTCTGGGACAAATTCGGCATCATTTCGATTCTAGATCATAAAAATTTTTTGCTATATTAGATTTAACCTTAACTTGCGTTTACTTGATATACAGAAATAGGCCAATTACGATAAGATCTACAAAAAGGTATATTTATTATCTGTACATTCTCAGATGATCCTTCTTCGTTTTCATGTCCCAGCAAATAAGATTGCAGATCACTGTAATTTATTCGATATTAACTTGTAAATTGTGTCTCATTCGTGAAAATTGAAGTGCACATTAATAGGTTTCTAAAAGACTTACAGGATGTATCCTACTGTCCTCGACCAAATTCTAATAAAGCTTTTTGTCCATTTTTTAGTATATCCCTGTTCTAAAAGTGCTGGCAGAATGACTTGCAAAAACAGTAATTCTAGGGACAGTTCACTAGCGGGTGTATCACTTTCGGATAAGGCAAAGCGAGAGAATATCAATAAATTTTGAGTATACGACAATTGCTTGCACTATAGACTTTGTATTACCTGAATAATAACACATTATACGGTAATAATCCTGGAAAAATTCGAACAGAAATTCTCACAGGGATCCAAACAATAACCAAAACGCTTGTACCAAAGATAGTCTAACAGTGATAGACGAATATAAGCTTATTTTTTGATACACAGTAATAACAAGGGCATAAAAATTATACCACTGATGCTAGGAATCTTCTTATATGACGCCAAATCGTTAGCTGTATCATCTGCGTTGTAAATATAAGTGTAAGTTACCTATTCTGTAATCTATCTATACATTTTATCAATTAAAAAGCAAGTAAATTGTATACAACTAATTTTTATGAACGTCATCTCTAACCTCAGTTATGGGATTAAAATCTGGATCATTTATATTACGTAAAAACCATAAAACTCCCGGACGAAGAACCTGTATAAATAAATTAAGAACAATCTAAATTTATGAAAGCCATCAAAGCGTAATCGTTACGATAAGTGATTTTACTAACCTCACGCAGTAATAAAACAAAAGAGGCCATATAGAATACAAAGACCATGCCAACTAACCAATGAAGAAACATTGCTGCTCCTAGTTGGGTAGATTATCAAGAATTTTTAATTAGGTGTAGCTCCCAGAGTTTAAATTTGGTACAGTATTTTTAAATCATAATATAAATACTAAATCTTAGTAATTAGAAGACGATTTACCGGGAGAAGAGCGGAAACTTTTTTGACGATCTTCCATGGTAGATCCAAACAGTGGCTGCAATGGGATAACAAAATTTATTAGTACTGTATATCAATCAATTTTGTCTCTAGTTTAACCAATAAGAACGATTTTGGTAAATCTCGCTGCAAATAAGGTGTCTATTTTAAAACTATAACATTAGTCAGGAGTGTTTTTGCAACTAAATTATTTATGTTTAATAATTTGCATTATGCGATTATGTCTACTTACCAAAGAGCAAATATCTAACCACCAGCCACAAACAACCGGAAAGATACCCACTTCAACAATGAGCAAGAGTGAAACCTATACGCCAACAGTAGATAGTATGCTATTATTACATAAGTGATAAATAATTCACCCGAATTTTATGTACAGTAATTGTACATTAAGAATTACACTATTATCTCCCGCAAACCTTAATAGCTATTACAGTAATACCAAGGAATCTCTTCCACCTATCCATTGCAAATAATTTAGATTAGCGTTATATTTATAAAACAAGATATAATTTCCAAAATAATAAATTTTTATCCATTAAGGTTATCCGTTATTCAGTTACCGTGATAGCAGTTGAACATCGCCAATCGATATCTTTGGACATATATAGTATCAGATGTTAAGGAAGTTTAATTTGGAGTAATGTTACGTATGTTTACAAAACTAGTAGAATCATATTTATAATCATGTTGCTGTAAATTTTGATATATGATAACATAGCGTTTATAAAACCAAACAATATATAATCAACTGTGGTAATGATGATACATAAAGAAGGCTAAAAAAAGTAGCAATTGTAACATAGCCAAGAATTATTGTTAAAAATCCGCCAAATCTGGTTGCAGCGAACTATTGTGAAAAGAATTGAGATGGTTACTTTGCATTGATAATACCAGAAAAGCTATCTGACAGTTAGACATAAGGGAAGACTAACCAAATATTCAACTGGTAGAAAGTATAGACCAAGGCATCCAATTTTATACGGTATATAGGCTATTTAAGAATGTACATGAAGTTATTAATAGAGAATAAATAATTATCAATTTAAATTGGGTAGGCATACCAAGAATGAAAATTAAGAGAAAGTTTAATGACACCACCCAAAATGCATGTTCCTATATTCATTGGTGTAATAATGTATCAACGTTAACATAATATAAAGTACAAAGTACCAACTCAATTGCAATCAGTCTTATCCTTACGATAAAAGTGTACGATCCATCGAGACCAAGAATCTATGACATATTTAAATGTAATGGAGAAAGTAAAAAACAGTTAAATATGTTCCAATAACAAATGTTAGCGTTAATTAGCGATGGAATAAGGAGCTTTTTATAAACGAATTATCATTATTGAACTTAGTTTCATTATTAAAAAAATAAACATTCAAAACTTTTTAATGTAAGCGGATTTACGTAGAATTTAAATGCTTGAGTTACAAACATGGTAAAAAAGGTACCTTATCCCAGGTTAATTCTTCTCGTTCTAATTCCAGCCAATTCCGATTATTATTTTCTTTGCGATGGAGATGGAAAAATAATAGAGAATCAAAATTAGAAACGTTCATTAGCTCATACTGTAGGGCTCAACTACTGTGCCTACCTTCGCCAAATAAATCATCTACTGCAGCCACATTTGGTAATGCTCTATTTACTTGAACATCTGGATTTTCGAAATTATTTTGAAGATCAATTCTTTGATCTTCAGTATCTGATGAAGATTCCATATCAAGATCAGAGTTTTCAGAATCATTATCAGCTCTTTCAGCATTCCCAACGTTATTTCCTTTTAACAAAGTGTATGATTATACATTTGATATCACGTTTACCATCGAGTTAAATACTTATTAACAATAATAGGATATTACTAGCACGAATTATAATTTCAAACGTTAATTTCCAGATAAGAAAATGTATCGTGTAAAATGAGCTTTTACCTTGTTGATTAACAGGTGGGGCAGGGATTTGGTTATCTTCTGTATTGTTAGCTTCGCCAACATCACCACCAGCATTGTCTACGTTAACATCATGATTTCTATGCTCCTCATTTACGGGTTCCTTTTTATCATGAGGAAATTATTGCAAAAATTGTTTATAGATGCTTTCATTAACCTGCTTAAATTCGATTAATTAATATTAAATAAATAGGGATAAGCAAACCTGTCTGTTAATGTTAGCGTTCGGTAGTGCGACTAGCCACGGGGGAGGGGATTCATTTATTTGTTCTCGAAGCCAGATTAAGCCCACAAATGTGCTAACGGTTAAGCAAACAATAAAGAGACCATGCGCACAGTCGGTAGCGAAGTTATCTCTAAGTGATTCAAGAAAGATCCCCAAAATAATCAGTAATTAATTTAATGACCACTCTCTAAAGGAAGTAGTTAGGACAAAGGTTAATTGTATTCTTCGAGAATCCCGGTGTAACGTATCAGTAGTATATTTACGTAACCCAGTTTCTGCTATCATTGACATCAAATACCGGCCTATACTAGAAGAGTACGGCTTCAAATATATAAACTTACAAAGAAAACATATTAATTGGTAAACCTATTAGACCAGATAACGATTCTCGGAATACAGACTTATAAATTCTACCTAAAAGATTAAAATGGGTGATAGAATGCACTTTAGTAATTTAAAAAACTTGTTACATGTAATTTTGTTTAGTTATAAATTTATAGTTAATATAGAATATTAATCAACAACTGGCTAATAAATATAAAATGAAAGATAATGAGTTACTACTATTTCTAATGTAGTATATCAAATTTAAACGTTATAGTCGTACGCTAGAAGTGCATGATGAAGATATCTTCCTAAATGGTCTTGGTTTACGACTGAAAGTAATATAATTCAAATAATAATTTAAAGCACAAAGCTCTATACTCACATGCGGCAACTGGAACAATGCACAGCCATGTACAGCAAACCAAGACATATTGAATCCATCGTTTAATGCTCACTATTACATTTGACATAAATCCAGTGAGTACCTCTCTAATAGGTAGATGTGAGGGCATTTCCTTTGCATAAACTGAAGTAATACGTATGATTTGATAGCAAGTTAGATTTTAGACAAAAAGGGAAATTCCAGGATAAATAATAATGAATTTTGTAAAAATATATCTTAGTTTTATAGGATAGTGATCAATTCTTAAGCTATCTCTGTACTCGATTTCTATGAATAGAGTTTTTACTTATGTAGTTAGCAGTCAAACAATACCATACCATCTTACATTTAGTCTGCAGTAACTCTAGCATTAGTAACTATACGCCAATGCCTACGTTTTCAATAAATAAGTCCTATACAATTGAATTTGTGCTTGCTAAAGCGATATTACCTTACTATCACCTCACTGAAAATGAATCAACTTAAAAGTGAATTGACTAACTTTTCAAATTATCATTATTCTTACTAAAATTTATTTCATTATTGATACTGTATCTTTAAGTTTCGCTAACTATAGGCTGTAGTCTACAGTATACGCGTATACCGTATAAGGATAAAGGACGAGTCACTTTAACGCTTGTATCACGTAGAAGCAATGCACAAATCTTGGATTATAATTATCATTATAAGATCAATAATTATTTTTTTGGTTACATTATCACTTGATTTTGCTATAATTTAAACTGATTTATTACATCTCTATATTTGGTTTACCTGGCTTAAAAGCGAATTTATGTCGGCATAGTTCACAAAAGCTAATGAAAGAAATGTGGAAAATCAAGTTTTAAATTTCACATATCTAACCATATTCCAACGCTTGATTAAATGTGTGACAATATTCTAAGTTTGCAAATACTTGCATAACTACAGTGCTAAACTTACTCTTTTCCACTATGTTTTAGCCATTGCAAAAGACTAGAAAAAACAAAGTAAAAAAAGAGCATTAACTTATTTCAGTTAAATATATATTCGTAATTTATTCTCAAAATCGGAAATTGTAGCAATGAAATGGGAAATGTTGAACATAATTTTATTGTTTACATTGATTTATTCAATATTGTTCAACATTATTAGCCAATGATAATTTAATAATAGACACATATCCTTATCGTTGCATGCATCGATGTAAGCTAATCAATGTCTATCATGGTATTCACTGAGTCGATATTGGAGAGTATTTGCAACGTGAACGCATAACATCAAATATTGTCTTGTCGTGATATGGCTTCAATACTATCTTTATCCAGTTATTATCCAATCCATTGATAAAGAAATAAAATGCAAGTGCAATACGTTATGATCAATTCCTGAAATGGGCTATTATCCTGCGTGTGAGTGACTGAAATTTAGTTTACTATTAATGATTGCCTTCGAATAAAGTTGTATTTTAATACGAAAATCATCGGAAACTTATAATGTACTGGGTTACAGAAAGAGTGCGTATACGTATAGCACGTATCTGTTGATTTAGACTATTAATTAATTATTAAGCGAATTTTTCACAATAAGAAATAGGATGCGGTCATAGCTGGGTCTTTAGATTTCACTCCTATAGGAATCATCGAGCAGTATTTAAGTATTGTATCAGTCTATACGTATTTCTTAACAATAACTACTTCAGTAGTGAAAAGCAGGTATACTTATTATGAACTTATTATTACTACTGTAGTATATCGAGTGGGGTAGCGTAAGTTATTACTTGTAATTGTCGTTAAACTAGTCAGAATACCATAATAGAAAATTAGATTATAACTAAATTGGTGATGTGCAAAGGATTCTATATTTGTGGACATCTGAATTTCTCTGAAAGTCATCTTATTTTAGAGGACTAGGCTATTTTTTTTAGAAAAGCCCGTCAGTAAATCATAATAGTTATATTATATTGCCATTAATGTAGTAATCACATCTTAGTAGCGTTTATTAGTCGTAAACTAGTGCAGTTGTTAGAATAATAACAATAGTTGAATATAATGAATATCGAATAGCAAATACAGTAGTGTGTTTGCTAATTAAAAGTTAGCAATTGCATACAGTAAGATAGCCTGCAATGTATAGTATCAACGAAGGTTAGTTCAAATAGCAAGTCCTTCAGCATGGGATATGCATTCAATTGTTCAGGATGTTTACAGTATGCTACAACTTCGGCTAAGTCTACGACTAGGCTATCACATAGACCATAAAATGTCACTTACCACGCTTCATGGATATATTTAATGCTGCCAGTACAATGGCAAGGGAAGTATAGCGGTTTATCGGTCGATCCTTCAAGGCGACAGACCCGACAAATTTGATCATTTTCTTAAGAGAGTATCAGAAAGAGAAACAATTTAGTGGATAATTAATTCATTCGCAGATAGATTGACCTTGAAAGCAAGTTTAAAATTGCAATAAAGAAGAGAGAGTATGTTTTCTAGGTTACAGTTGGATGGGAGTCTATTTTGTCAAGATATGATATAATGGCAAAATCTACTGTAGCATAGATGCCTTGAGTAAGGGCTTTTTATGTCGTCTTTTGTGTTATGGTTTTACACATCTTTCAAGAGATGTGCAGTACGTCAAGTGTCTATTATTTATTATTTTTTTTTTTGAAGGAGGTACTGCATAATTGAAGATATAGTGTATTTACAGTCCTATACTGTAGGACAAACTGATCACTTCTTGTAGCAGCTATTATTAATATTATTCTATCGAATATGAATGTCGACAATTTAATAGCGTTGCGTAGATATACGAGTATACGATATAGTTATGCGTTGATGGATGACCTCTTGGCTATAGATACGTTGAAAATACCCTTTTCCATTTAAGGTTGGACAGACAGTCCGGTAAGAGGATGTGGAGAAAAGTATACAACGAGTGTAAAAGTGGATTTTTTGAATTCGTTGTATTGAATGATTGATCATTAAGCGTGTTCTACTAGCCAATTCCATTGATATTGCATTCCATATAAGTAGAGAGAGTTGAATACAGTGATAGCGAAGTATGGGATATATTTGGATATGGATCACTGAGCCATCGTTGATGGAAATTGGTGTCATCAGTCAGTGAAAGCTTCGCGGTCTACTGTACGCTATCGTAGGCTACTGAACAATTTACTACCAAAGCAGGAAAGCACACTATAACACTTATTGGACTCGTCTCTCTTGCCTTCAAGTCATACCTTACTCCTATCATAGTGGATAAATGCTATTTTTTTACCTTCAATCTCCATTTTTTGCTATCGTAGTCCTAGGCATGGGATAAATTGCACCAGTGAAAATTCACTTTATGGCTAAGAAATGGACAGTGAAATGTTCAATGAAGGAGTTTTGCCTCGGTTTTGACCACCGTCTGACTGGTCGGTATGACTTTTCTACAGTGAGTAGTCGCATTATGTCAGCCACGGTACTGGTACACCGAGTTAAGGTAGTGTTCGAAACATAGGATCGTGTCTATTACTGTACGTATCCATTCTTCGAGGTTGACTTTCGTTTTCATCGCTGTAAAAGAGAGGCGGATACCGGTATCATACGGTACGGTACGGTCTATGCCAGTACGATACCGGTCCGGCACGGACTAGTACAGTATAGTACCTTCGTTCACTCTCGGTGTGTACAGTGTACAGTACTTTCTTTGGCGTGATATATACTGTGGACTACAGTACAAATACTGTAGAGCATTGATTGCCATGTTTGTTGTTGAACTCTTGTCGGTACTGTAGACTCATACTAGTCATATTAACGACAGTATTAGCTAATTTTCATCAAGTTTTTCTACCCATTTCTTTGATTAATTATTATTCGAAAGAAGTGAAATTCTCTTTAGAAAGAAAAAAACCTTGTCCAATTGAACATTTGCCCACGATTGGACAGTATAAAGTACTTTGATCATAAGATGAAACTGACGACAGTACGTTTTACCCAACTTATTTTACCGAATCACCCAACATTGATCTCCAATCTGCAGCGGCCTGATTACCACTTATTTCAATCATCACTACTCTCATCTTCAAGTCAGTAAGAGCACTGGCTGACAACCACTGACGGTACAATAATGAATAAATTTACTCAACTCTAAGTTGCAAAAGTGACAGTAACCGGTAACCAGTGGAAGCACCAAGTCACCAGAGAGTCGCTTTCGACTAGTCGACCTGACCATAACGGTTCTGTAGGGTAGTAGGGCAGTTGCGTAGCCGTTGCCATTAGCGGTGCAGAACTTCTGCTCGATATCCCCTTACGAATCGGCTGAAATCAGTACTATACCATTGACAGAAAATCATGTCATACTTGGTGCTGATTTTGTTTCGTATTGGCATCAACTACTACAAATTTGGAGAAGATTTAATTTATAGTAGTTTATGCTATCGGGGAACTTCTTTGAGTAGCTTTTGATATTAGCTGTCTTTACTTATTGTCTATGGTAGTGATATCCTTTATGCTAATGTGGGCCACTGCACGGTCATACTGTCCAATGTCCGTATGTCATGATGAATGATGATGATGCTAAGCTTTAGACAGTAACTGATGAGTACGTCAGAAGCTGAGATCATTCCATCGTAAAAAATTGAAATAACTTTACTTTCGATCTCTATATCGGGCCATCCACTTTGATTCCATTTGCAACACGATGGATACTATATTCCATGAAAAGGTAAATTGCCTGGTACTAGCAAATTTGCAAATGGCAGTAGTCAACAAACTAGCTAGCTACTATCTACAAAGTAAAGTTAGCCTATCTTGAATAGAGAAAATGATTTGCAAAACAACAGCGATAACAAACATGCATAAAAGATAATTTTCTACTTCTTATTTACACTTTGAACAATTTCTTAGCCAATAGGACATCAACAAGGTTTTATATTCTATTATACTGTACTCTATATGGATAAGTGTGTACACCTTATAGTGCTGTTATAAATCGTAATTATTGATCTTGGTACCATCATTGCCGCTGTTCAATGAATTGACTCTATCATTCTTATTTGAAATGGATTTACACGCTGTTGAGACATGAGTTTTGAGAAGAGATAATATTTTCATTTTTGTCAAGACATAATCAGTTATACGCAACTGTAAGGCGATTTAGTATGCATCATACTTATTCATTGTACTGTACAGCATTCTGCTTATAGTCTTGCTCCCATACAGTTTACAAACATTGCTTCATACACCTATCAGACATTCCTTGCAGCTCGACTAAGCTCGATCTAGTAAGCGATTGTAACTTAACTTAATAATAAAGTACAAATTGCAAATAGCCCGCGAAAGACATTGGTTTATTATAATTATAGAAACTTTCAAGCCTTTTGATTTGATTCTAATTACATACAGTCAAGTAGACAGCGTAGTACAACAGATCATAACTATATAATCGAGGCTAGACCTTGATGTGATCTCTGCCATATTATCTTTGAATATTCCAATATGTTTACATTGGTGTAATCTTATGTGCATACGAACAAGGACTACTAAATTTAGTAGCTCCTAGTAGCAATTAGCTCATTCTGGGTAGCAAAGGACCAAAATGTTGTAAAATAGTGTGGTTATCGATAGATTTATTGTTCGTATGTAAAAGTTGACTATACACATATTCGTATGACAGGGTATCTTATTTTGTATGCGAATTATTGATGTATATTATTAAGCGACAGAATACAGCTATAATTAATTAATTAACACAGCCATTACAATCATTGAATTGGTACTGCGTATACGAGGCCAATCATTATTCTGGCGGCACTCTACTCGTAAATTTTCCTAATACATGCCTTCTTGCGATATCCGTAGCAAGTAGAGTATAATCAGTTTACAGGTACGTCCATACGTTGTAGGAGGACGTTTCTAGAAAGCCGTAATAGAAATATAAAATGCCTTGAAATACCCAAAGTGAGACAATCGGAGTTCTCGTACACCCTTAATTGATAGTACAGACCAGATTGGAGATATCTTTCATAATTAGCATCCTGACTTCTTTTGTAATTGAATACTGACTATGCGTTTTATTTACTGACTTTACACATCATGATTTTAATTAAGCTACGTGATGTTGCCATGATTATATTGCTTAACCCTTTAACACTCTATGCCTGTGTATGTTTTTGCAGCAAGAAGGTTCCTTGTGTGCACAACACTGTCTTAATTCTTTATTACAAGGTACTGATGCTTATAGCTATAATTATAATAGTACTGTTTTCAATTTGATGAGGCTACAAATTAATCCGCATAAACTATTACGTTATTACAAAGGAAGCTACTTTACTGCTGTCGATTTAGCTGATATAGCTCGTCAGTTAGATGAAGAAGAACGTTCGAGGATGGCGGAAGGAGACCCTCAATCGACTGAATACCTAAGATATCTGCAGGTATGTTGTAGTTGTATATGTAATCGTACGCTAGAGCTACAATACTGCAATAGTATATGTTATGTTATTGATACTGTACAAATTAAAATCAAATATCCAGTATCGCATGAAGGACATACAGTAACAAATACTTGCGTTGATATTTTATCATTCCAAGAATAAACAAAAAAGCATTTTTCTGAAATAACAATAAGGTCGTCGATGTATAGTAATTTAGATTTACTCAATGTACCTGGTATTCGCGTAGAAAAAATATGGTAGAATATTGTTTGCACTATCTAGGAGACAAGAAAACTGTAACTTTTTTAAAATCAATTTTCATATTACTGTAGTTTGGATCGATGTGCAGTATGTATTTGGCTATGTGTGTAGATGAATGTAGTTAGATATACAAAATTGAACTAGGACATTTTATCAATGTAAATACGATATATTAATTACAGTTGATGATTTATAAACGCTTCATCCTCGTAAAACTACATTTCTAGCAACCTTCTCAAAATATGGACGATAGCGGTTTCTTTTCTATTCAAGTTTTACAAACTGCACTGAAAATATGGAACTTAGATTTAACTCGTATTTCGAATCCGCAAGCTCGAGAAGCTAAATTACACCCTCAGTGAGAATGTAGCAAATGATGTAGTATAACCGAACTAAAAAATTCTTTAGCGAATACGAATAATATAACATTTTAATGATACAGTATTAATCGATTACTTATGTTGGTTACCTTTTAGATCTCAAAATGCTTTTATATGTAACTTGCAACAGCATTGGTTTACTATTAGAAAATTTGGCAAACAGGTGCAGTATAAAATTACAGATAAAAAATTTAACAGTAATTAACTGATCTACCTTAACTGTAACTTGGATTTCATTGATACTACCTATAATCATAAGTAAATTAAAGAACTGTTACGCTTGATTACATTTAGTAATTCAACTCATTTGTCTTTCTATCGAATTGTTAGCAGTGGTTCAATTTAAATTCTATTAAGAGTGAGCCTGAGCTTATTACTGATACGTATCTTAGTATATATCTGGCACAACTTGAGCAAGAAGGTGATAATCAAGTATAATATGAAATTTGATATCTTTTACGATCATGGTGTATAATGTACGTTGCTTGCTAATGACAGCTACTTCATATAATATATCTTTGTGCCCCTGCATTTTCATAAATAGGTTACTCAATATTTGTTGTTGTTGGTGAGTTACCGAAGTGTATGGCCGACCAAGTTATAGGCGATAATCCCATTGTACGGAAAAGCTACAGATCAGAGCAGACACAGTCAGGACATATTTCCAATAAGGTATCTCACCAATTTGTAGAAAAGAAATCACTACAAGCTGCTTTAGCCGCTGCTGACAAAATGAATGAGAATGGTAAGAATTTTGTTCAGAAGTTAGGACTTATTTTTATTTATAAGTGTGCTCTGTTTACACCTTAATGTCTTGCTTGTAACGAAATCATTCCTAGATGGGTATAAATTATTATAGTTTTTTGTTATCTAGGGTTAATTACAGTAGATTTTTTTTGCACATATAGGTTTAGTAACCATTACAACATTTAGGGCAATGAAAGTAGAAGTATTTAATATGTCTATTTCAACCGTGTCATTACAGTCGAATGCAGCAAGGAGCATCCCGATGTCCCAATTAATTTAGATGAAATTCGTGAAAAAAGGAAACTTTATTTTGATCGGTCAGTTTCAAAAATTTTATTTCCTTATTGATTAAGAGATTTTTTTCTCTTCTTTGTATATGCTTATGCGCAATAACAGGATTTACCGACCGGTTCGCAACCTTTTATTAATAGGAAAGGAAATTCTGACATAGAACTAGAAAATCCTAGTAGTTTAGCTAATGCAACGAAAACCACTGGTATGGTATACGTTCTCGAAAATATATTTGTATTAATTCGTTATCTGCTTTAAGATTGTGCGTTTCATGAGTTAAAGATATACTATTGCAATTTAATAGATGCAGACATAATAAATGAAGAGATGCTACAGGAAGCGATTAGAATATCTTTACAAACTGATAACTCACAATAACCTACTGTGCGTATATCTAGTAATGTTGGCCAGTAATCTTGACTCACTAACACCCTATGCATATAATTTCTTGATTGGATACAGTATTTATTACAATATAGAAAACACGATATACTACATACAGTAACCATTTGCGTAGCTTCAAAAATCATGTACGCGTATTATAATATTTAATATCTTGACTAATTGTATCAATTTCATATTATCCTAATTTATACGATATATTGCTAATGTAATATGTTAATGTGATTATGATGATTTTGCTGTAAGATTCTGTATACTATTATACACGTACTTCATGAGGACCCGCTTTCCATGATTCATCACAGATAAACTCTCATGATTTATAGTATATTCGCATAAATCCTTATCATAACTACACTGACAAATTTTTATTGAATCATCCGAATATCTACGGCAATTGCAGTTTACATCAGCTTATGAAGTGACTGGTGATGCGCCAAGCATTAATATAAGGAGGTTTTTTTGCAAAGATGTAGAATCTATATTATAATAAGAATGCCATTAAATGCGTATGTGTGTAGCAGTAATGTGGCTGTATAACTATAGTTCTAGTATTTCCTACGAACTAAACGATCTCGCTAGGTGATATAGAATTGAAGCCAGATCGCAATAGGATATATGTATCATGCGCGAGGTGCTTGTCATACATACTATTGCTATATTGTCAGCTATAGAGTATTAATTTTTTGTGTATATCAATTGAGAAATTTGATAATTATATGTGTAAGTTAGATAATACAATATATAGATTGTTAAAGTAATTATTGGCCATTTTATAACATGGTACCTGATAATTACGAAAAAAGTTAGCATTATTTTTAGTATTTCACGGTAGTTGTAAGATTATCGCTGTAGCTGTAATTCTACCCTGTCATTGCTTATTCATATCTCGAGCAATTAAAAAATCAATTCCATATACAAATCTATAATCGTACTGCATTTATAGCAATATCATCTTAAATAAAGTCGTCATTCGAATGGCGCGTGGTGTAATTTAAAGTAGATAGTACGTGCATCTTTTTTCATGCTCTAATTGATCAATAATAATCAGTTAGTATTTAAATTTGGATGTATAAAAAATTTTCATTTTGCAGCACTTATTATGATTAAGTCACGACATCAACTACGAGTACATAGATCGTGTATACTTGTATTTATTAAGATTACTTTGATAGCAGCAAATAATAAATTGGTTCATTATATCAGAAACAAGGAGCGTTGACCGCGAAGACAACTTAGTAATGAGTTAGTAACTATCTCGAGCAACTAAAAAATCAATTCCATATACAAATCTATAATCATGCTGCATTTATAGCAATATCATCTTAAATAAAGTCGTCATTCGAATGGCGCGTGGTGTAATTTAAAGTAGATAGTACGTGCATCCTAGTGTATTGAATACAAAAATACTGCACAGTTTTACCGAGTAAAATCATTGTAACCAGCCTTGATTCATTTTGATAAACGGTTAAAAATTAAACCAACGAGTTATTTTAGTATTTTAATACAGATGTCAATGATGTGTGATCAGAGAATAAGTATTTAACAAGTACGTGCTTAATATATCTTATCCTATAATGTTCGTGATCCTAAAATAGAAGACAATAAACAGATATATTGCCAGCTGATATTTTCATTTTGGATATTCAGATTCTTGTAGTGTTATCGTTGTGGCAATATCGCTTTCTTCAAGTTCACCTTTATCCAACAGTTTCCATGCAGCAGCTGATCCTAACTTTACCACATGGACTGGAATATTACATTTACTAACTATATGCGCTGCAGAGGCAATTTTAGTCTGCACTCCTCCGGTAACATCATGTTCCAGTTGAGATGTTTCTATCTCATTCGTGACTTTACCATCTTTAGTAACAGAAATATAACGTAATAGTTTTGCATCTGCGATATAAATGTTGATTAAAAGTTTATCAATACTAGCCGTAATTGTATAGAACTTTTAGCTTAGATGAAAATTTATTTAAATTGATTATTCGATAGATATCCTCGTTTTTGGCACATTTTCTGATATTACAGATGTAATGCTATTTAAATTAAAATTTATTGTACCATCATTATGAGGCGGACGATCGTATATTCCATTAGTATCCGTTATAAAAATGATCCGTTTGGGGCATAAATTTTCTGCTAAGATCTATGAAGCATGATGATAGCATTGAAAATGTGCTTTTCAGGGTAGCAAGTTACTACGGAATTTGAATTGTTTAGTAGTATGATGTATTTAATCCAGACTTTATTCTATGCAGGCGACTGTATCTGTAAAGTTACAGTACTATAGATTAGCAATCAGCAGAATTTACAGGTGTTAATATGGACAGCATGTTAGAGGCCTCCGAAAGAACTACAGTAATTTTTAATCATTATAAATGAATTTAGCAAAGTATACGCGTATCCCTCTTGCGCTTGGATGAATTATATTAAGACATATGCGTCTATAATATTTTTACGTCAGTTTTACCTGAATAATTGTATCTCCACTAAGAATGGTACATCCTAGAGAGGTATCGATAACTGCATCTCCATGCACTACTGGTACGAAGCCAGCTCTTAGGAGATCATTTATCGGTTGTAGAAAAGTGGAAGTAACCGATCTGTCGGTAGTTTTCCATAGTCCGCATGGCTATCCGATTAAATTAACAGTTTATAAATATTCAATTCTGTACTGCTTTACGTATGAGAAATAAAGTTATTACCAATATTATTCATGTATTTTATGAACACTAGTTAATACGATTCTAAATGTAATTATGACAAGCAAAGGATATTACTATCAATAGGATATGTCATTCTTACTGAGATTGATACTGCCGGAACGTCTTTCTCGATTAGAGCTTGCACAATGATGTGATTGAGCTGTTTTGCGTAAAATGTGTAGAAAAATATGCGTTAAGATGACGGCAGGCTAAGCATTAATGCTACAACTCGTAATCAATTGTACGTTAAGTTAGGAGATACCTTGGTTACCGATAGTCTTGTCTGTGAAAAGCCGATGCGTTGTTGCTCGAAGTCTGTATCGTTGAATCCGGTAGCAATGTTATATTTCTTAGCGTGAAAATGACCGAATGATCTATAGCCAGGATGAAATAAAGATGATTATAACTTTTGCTTTATACTCTATCGTAAGCGTACAAAATAGAATAGTTTATTATCTGATTTTTATACATTTGTAATGACTTTTAATGGTAATGATTTTGGGCTGAAGTTAAAATTATGTCGTTTAGGTTTTACGCTAGTTCATAGCACAAGCTACGATGTTGCTATGATATCAATGAAACAATCAAATTGTGAATAAGATCCAGCATACATGACTATCAATAAAAATGTGCGAAGTTCTAGCACAGTTGTGAAGCAATCTATTTTCAACGGTCATTTTCAAGATGCAACTACTAATGCTGCGTTGTTTCGTTTGACGACATAATAAATCAGGTACAACCAGACCTGAGTATAACTGTATTTACCCATGCGAGTGTTGGTATCTACATCTACGCGTAGCCAGGAAAGCATCAACCAATCCATTTGGAATGGCAAAATGCAAAGCGCTTTATCTAGACGTCTATTTTTGCAGAAAATTTATCATTGATTGGTCGTATAAAATATACTGACAAATGTACGTATACTTTAGCAAGATTAGTTTGCACTAATTGATTCAATTGCACGAGTACTTGATTCATTAGTTATCGATTGAAGTTAAAGTTATACCCAGCTCCGTGAACAATGACGCATTTCCTTGTCATTTCATGTACATGACTAGCTGCAATATTGATTGCTTGTGTATTGGCTTTCTCGAGATGTTGTTTAGAAGTGATCGCACTGCCACCAAGCTTTATGATGCAGTCTACATGTCTATTTTCCAATGCCATAAGATTGATTCTACAGTTTATTTTAGAAGGTTATTTAGAACTGGGTATTTTGAAGCAAGATTGCAAAAGTAGCAACTCTGCTGTCGCACAGCAGGTTTCAGCTTGTTGCAGAAAAGAGGTTTGACGTCACTGAGATAGAGTAGAGTACTATACTGTACTGTGCAGTCCCATTATACTGTACTGTAATACTCTGGTCAAAGCAGGGACTTGCAAAAAGAAGAAAAGTCCCTGATCCCAGCTTGAATAAACCATCAATTAATTCATTCCATCGTAATCGATGGAAGACTCAAGTTTTATAGTAGAGACTAGTGATAGAGCTGTTTGAGCAAAGTGTAGCAGAAGGTTTTTTCAAGCTGTATCAATAGTTTAAAGCTTGGAGATTTGATAGTGACGTTACCATCAGACATCAGTAGCAAAAACATGGGTTGTGTAGCCAGTACTCAATCCAAATTGTAGCCCCCGTGCATAAAAGTTTTTGCAAGCTGCATCAATAGTTTAATAGTTTAAAGCTTGGAGATTTGATGGTGACGTTACCATCAGACATCAGTAGCAAAACATGGGTTGTGTAGTCAGTACTCAATCCAAATTGTAGCCCGTGCATAGAAGTTTTTGCAAGCTGCATCAATAGTTTAAAGCTTGGAGATTTGATAGTGACGTTACCATCAGCAGGAAAACATGGATTGTGCAGTCAGCACTCAATCAACATTGTAGACCTTGTGCATAAAAGTTGTCACGTTTTCAGTGTACATAGTACAGTACTTTCGAGGGCACAGTACAGTACAGTACAGTACTGTACTGTAGTTTCAATTTTTTAGATGACTCGTATAGTACAATGTACAGTACAGTATAGCTTAGCGATTTGATAGAGACGTTACCATCAGCAGCAAAACATGGGTTGTGTAGCCAGTACTCAATCCAAATTGTAGCCCGTGCATAGAAGTTTTTGCAAGCTGCATCAATAGTTTAAAGCTTGGAGATTTGATAGTGACGGTACCATCAGACATCAGTAGTAAAACATGGCTTGTGTAGCCAGTACTCAATCCAAATTGTAGCCCCTGTGCATAAAAGTTGTCACGTTTTCAGTGTACATAGTACAGTACTCTCGAGCCTACAGTACGTACAGTACTGTAGTTTTTATTTTTTAGATGACTCGTACAGTATAATACAGTACAATGTACTGTATAGCTTAGCGATTTCATAGCTACGTTACCGTCAATCACTTGTTATAGCTTAGCGATTTCATAGCTACGTTACCATCAGTAGCTTATTATAGCTTAGCGATTTCATAGCGATGTTATCAGCAGCTTGTTATAGCTTAGCGATTTCATAGTGACGTTACCATCAGCAGCAAAACATGGATTATGTAGTAGCGACTACTCATATACTGTACTGTCAGTCGTTGGCACTAGTTGGTAGTTGGCACCTTTTTGATAAAGGATTGAAAATTCTACAGTATCCTGCCCTGTAAACTGTCCACTGTCCAAGTGTCCGTGACATTGACAGTCAATGTCAAGGACACTTGGACAGTAGACTGTAGACTGTCGATTGTACTGTAGAGTACTCTACTGTACAGTCTACAGTCTACAGTCTACACTCCCTTCTTCATCGACTGCACTGTAGGGTACCGAAAATGTCGGCAGACGCCAATACTGTACTCTAGTCGTAGACGAGCGTATGCGAACAGTAGACTACTGTCCAGTCCAAATCGACTGGACTACTACGTAAACAGAAAGTCGGGACGATGCGATTAATTGACAATAGACAGTATAAGATAAATCGATCAGTCCGTCTTAGCAGCTGCTATTTACGCTAGCTGCTAACGTTGGAGTGGATCATTTTTCTTCATTCAACATCCTCTTATTTATTCTACCTGTAGTCTATTGACTACAAACATGTCTAAGCTACATAAGCCATTTTTTAGCCGTAGGCTGGTCGATTATCTACTGATTGTCGGCACGGAAGAAACCACTTATGATGTTTTCGGCACGGCCAATACCATCCATCATCCACAATTATTACGACGCTTTCCACCACAAGATTATCCTGATTTTTATTTACCGCCTGATGTGGTCTATTTTTGCCAACCAGAAGGGTATACCAGTTCTATTGGCAACCAACAATTAGGCAATAAAGAGGCTACATCTTTTATCTTTACCTTAACTGAAAAAGATTCTGGTATGCGCCGTTATGGTGTATCGGTCAATTTCTATCAAACATTTAATCAACCATTGCAACTCCCTCATGATAATCATCCATCGCAAGCCAATGACAACGATAGCTCTTCTCCTCGTCAACCACAACGCCAGAATAAAACTTTCTTAATTTCTCTTTGTATTATTTCACATCATGCATTTTTCACATCCTTTCGTAAATGTATTAATATCTTGCGTGAGATCATTGATACACATCCTGTATGTCATCAAGATGGAAATAGCTCACAACTATGGCTTCCATTAATTCAGGCTAGTCCTAATCAAGGTAGTCAATATGATCAAGTTGTTGAAGAGATTGAAGCTTGGATAGAACGATTTTTAAAATCGCCTACACCCATTCCTGGACAAACTAGAGTGGAAATTGAGCTATTGGATAAGCATCATTCACCAATTGTTCTTGCATTACCCAATTCAAGCCGATTTACTTTAACGGATTTCCCAGTCCACTTGCCGGTCGAGTTATTAGGCGTTGAAACCTTTATACGCGTTTTTACCTGCATGCTATTGCAACATAAGGTAAGTACAATAGGATAATACTTTAGGATGTACTAGTTTGGATAGGTTAGGCTTATGAATTTCATTTCGACATCATGGGTCCATAGCGATACAATGCATCGAAAAATTACAGCGTTTCAAGTCACAACCATCATATATGTCCAAGTTTTTGTTCATTTTACCACACCATAAGATCGAATACTGTATAAAATTTTCCTCATGACATGATGGCCAATATTCTATACGATTGGCTACATTCAAGCGATTGGATTGTACACCCTGTCCACCTGTTTTAACACTTTCATCGGTTCCATTATACAGTAAATGGAATAGCAGTATTCAATCTACTCTCTTTTAGCTAGGTAAAATCGATTGAAATTGTTTACCTAGTTAATGTTACAACTCGACACCCATAACACAATCATGACTGTCATTGAAAGTCTTGTTTCCGACATATTATAGCTGTTTATTTTCACTCATTGATTTGCAATGGTGGACTATCCAAAATAAGAATTATTATCAGATGATGAATATTGACAATTACTCAACTCATTTCCTAATACTCCAGTAGAATCTTGCTAAATGGGGTTAGAACTCTAATGATAACCCTTATGCATTTCGGAAATTTCTGCCCTTTCTTGCTAGACAAGATCTCACTAGAACTAATCTCCCATCTTGTCGTTCATTTGAAGAGTTATTTATTTTTTTTTTATTCATACATTATGTATAATCATTCCATACTGTTGTTGGAGATGTTTCAAACAGTACACTTGTGCCATTATAAGCCATCATCTTGTACTTTCGTCATGCTTTAGTTTATACGCAATCGAGTAAAGGAAAGTAAAATTCTTTCTGAAGAATATGTATAAGTAGCTGACAATTGGAAAGTACCTAACGATAGAGTATAAATATGGAGCTACTACAAGATAACTAAACACTACTGTACAAAAATTGCAATCCCCTATCCAATTGGATAAGGACAATTCCTATATCAAAATGAATAAGCCATCATTGTTGTCAATAATCATGTTTTTTCGCTCGAAGAGACTTCCAATCCATGCTACTTCTGTCTCGATAGTTGTATAACTTATATATATATATATATATTACGGTATAACGGTAGCTTAATATGCTATAAGATCTGGGGAAGAAGTAGTACTTTCGCACTAGGATGGAAACGGATATCTCAATCCAATATCTTAACGAAAGCGATAGATCGATTTTTTGTACAAGGACAATCTATATTCTTCTCATCCTTAATAATTAATAATGATTATTATTATTAATCAACCTAATAGTACAATCGTTGATATATTTTGCAAAATGCCATTACTTTATGAGGTTGTTGACCTCTGATCCATTTTCGATGGCGAAAAGACGCCACTTGTAGTTGTTATCGTGGCTTACTTGGTCTACGCATTTCCCCCCCCCCCCAAAAAAAAATAATAATGATGAAATGCATTATGTTTTCTTAGAGAGTTTTTAATAGCATCAATTCTGGTAGTATGAATTCAATAGGAAGAAAATAAAAAAAAACTGAAAGAAGAGGTACGGTTAGAATAAGATTCTCTTCCAAGCCTAGTAGTTGATTTATCAGAATTCCTTGATGAAACCGTCCTAGTACCGACAGCTTTTCTAAAAATTCACTCAACTTTAAATCTAATCTAAACTAATAGTCTGATATTACATAATATATCAACGATTTGATCGGGCATCTAGTATTTAATGACTTGCATTTCCTGTTTATTAGTCAACATTGATGTTTTTTATTTTTTATCCCTATTTGCTTTTAGTGAAAATATACTGTAGCTTAAATATGAAAGCTTGTTGGATCACCTTCTTTTAGTGTAGATTGTACGTCTAATCTTTTGGGGGAGAAGATGATACGATGAGCTCTACTCGATAAGATACTTATGTACAGTGTACACTTGTATAGCACTACAAGCTCTCGTTTAGATTGGCTAATTGTCATCAGAACAAGAATGATATTACAGTAATGTTAACCAGGTACAGTAATGCGGAACTACATTTTAAGTTATTTAATTTGACAATATTAGTAACACCTAGCTAGAGTAGGATGATGCAATTGTGTAAGGAGTGAATTTGAAATCCATTTCAATATTGCTGTTGACGGTCCTATCGAATGAGATTTTTACTTGATGATACAAAATGGTATCAATGAAATACTGTGATGGTTACTCAAATAATTAAAAATGAACAACTTTTACAGTAATGTTAACTTATATAAGTAAGATTTGAATAAAATTCCGACATGACTAGTGTACAAAACAATACGCTTCTTGTTGACATCAAGAATTAGCTTGTTGAACGATATCGTCATGGTATTTTATTGTTAGTCACTGTCAGGGTAGATATTGAATTCATCGTCATCATGCAAAACTTGAATATTAAAGTCACAGTAAGGACTAGATAATGCAGACAAAAATGATACTAGAAATAGCAGCCATAACGCACTCCTATTAAAATGTTATTGTATAATCTCGGAAAAAAATAACATGTCGATAATATCAAGCGGAAATAATTAATCGACGTTGTATAAAATGGATGACGAAAAAACTCTCTTGGGAATAACAGATACGTGCAGTACCATCCGATGCAATAGTATTGAATTCAAGAAAGCTGAAAAAAAAGGATATAATCTATTCATAGGAAATAGATATCCTATCTTCCATCTTTTCTAGACGGCTTAAATTCAAAAAATAAAAACGATAGTAAACAATCTTCAGCTTTAGTATATTTTACTAAACGTCTTGTCAAGGACTACTACAGAAAGGAAGAATCATTTTTTCTAGTAATCCTTGGTCTTGTTCATTTCAGTCGATGCAACATATATGTCATGATTATTTAAATAGTAAGCGATTCTGTCAATACCACAATCTGTAGAGAGATTTTTTCAACTTTCTCATAATGCTGGTAGATATCCTATTTCATCCCAGCCGTCCTACGTTCTAACAATTGATATCAAATTAAATAAAAATATCCGTGTATAGCCAGCTTCGACACAGTATAGCATACATCAGTTTTGTTCTTTTCAATAGTATTGAACCCTTTAGAAGCTTTAAAATCAATACTTCCAACGAGTCCTCAAACAATTTGATATGAAATGATGACTTACTTTTCACCTTCTTTTTCTGAACGCTATACGAACTCGTAGCCTATTTTGCATTTTTTTTATTGACTAAATCCACCACCTGTACAAATGTTTTCCAGTTTGCTAATAGCATCTGTCACTAGTTTACTAAATAATTTCTGCTCTATTTCTGTATCATGGATGTCAATATAACAATACTATCCATTATTTAAACACTTCAATATCAACATGGTTCAACTATCTTAAGCTAGCGGGGTCTTGAAAAATCACTATAGGGCCATCATTGAAACGATCAAGAATATTTTACTGACAGAATGATGATAATTATAATAGCATGACTATGGAGTTTGTGATCGATTAGGCGACAGCTGAATCATGATAATCCTGTCCATGAGTAGTATTGATTCTCTCATCCCAGTTGTTTTTTACCACCTTGATTTTTTTTCTTCCTGTCTTTCATATCGTAGTCGTATTTTCGACTATGGAGGTTGTCATCGATTAGGCGACAGCTGAATCATGATAATCCTGCCTAGGCTGTTTTTTTTTCCACCTTGATTTTTCTTCTTCCCTGTCTTTCATATCGTAGTCGTATTTTCTTGGTGTGTGTGTGCAATGGAACCAATTTTTTTATTTTAATGATAACTGCTTCATGTAGACATTATGCTAAGTATTTACACTAGACTAGGCCGAGATGCTGTCAGTTAAAAAGATTGGATTATCAATCGATGAGGCAGCCAATATTGGAAAAAATACAAATATTATGCATCCACTGACCAACTGTACTGTATCCATCAATCCATCGTTAATTCATTCCGGCATACATTTATGCATAAAAATGCTTATGGACTCATTCAATTTATAGATCATTTCAAGGATTCCTTGAATTGATATTCAAGTACTTACGATACTCTGCTGTCGCCATCTTTCAATGATAAATTAGTGTTGACGATCATCAATTAGTCCTCTAGTTTTTAAAATAGATTATTATTGCTAGCTATTGGCCAATTGACTCAGTGAGAACAATTGTTAATCCTACTATCATCCGTCTATGCGTTAGATTGCTCGGAATTAATCATCAAGAGTTCAATTTTTTAATTGTTAATCAATTTCTTTTTTATGTCTATGTGTCTGGTCCCAATCTACAGTCTGATCAATAATATCATTAATTAATAGTAATGATGATAATTCGTTACTAACGACGGGCTTTTCCAACATACTGAAAATTAGCATGACGTTATTAGCGTTGAGTTTATGATTTTGAGGAGTACTGAATGATCTATTCTTTAGCATAATCATTTTTTTTTGCTAGTATACAGTAATTAAATCACTGATTGATGGCTACCGCAAGATCAATTGAGTTATTTCATGTTGTCTTGCAAGTCCCCTCTATGATGGTCGTAGAGGCCATTCTTGTCTCGTTCACAATGGACGCTCCATGATGAATATACGCGTATAGTTTACGCATTTAGTTTAAGATTTCAATTCCTAAAAGATTCGATAGTATTTCCTTAATGTTGTCTAAATTTTTTATTTTACATCATTCAAGTCTATTTCAAGCCCACTATCCTCTACCATTCATCATCGTTTTATTTCTTTTCTAGAGTTATTCTTGTTCACTTACTATTTTTTTATACCCTCTAGCTAAAGTGGATGATCATTGAAATGATACTCTAGTTCTACTTGACGATACAACGACGATTAGAAAGTACAGTAGTATAGGGTTATAGTCCATCATCATAATCAGCAAGGAATAAAATTTATCCTCTTGCTATTGCCAATATGCAAAATAACTTTTTTCTAATCCTCTACCAACGACAACGGGTCTCAACACGAGAGAATAGGTATTCGAACAATAAAACCAATTGAAATGGATGCTTTACGGGGAAAAGGAGAACTTCATAAAGAATCCAACAATACCTTGCTTAACAAGAAATTGGATACCTATTATAATATATATATTATTAAACATGTACATTAATTGAGTTCGACTAGAAGCAATAGCATCTTGCCTTGATAACAATTCCTTTCCGCAATTTAACAACTGGTTAATTACCTTACGGTAGATAGATAGTAATGTTCTTACATCGATGGCTAGTTGTAATATCATTTTGCACTGTCTTGTGCCATAGAATTTTCTACTACAAGAAAAAAAACGATGATGAGAAATGTAAAATTAGCAATCAATGAATCAGTTTTTCGTCAAGGAAAAATACTGCATATAGGAAAGAACTTTATTGCTCAACGAGTGCCAGGCGCACATAAAGCTATCTCAGCTTAGCCCAGATCTTAATAAGTAGACATTAATGACACACTCTTTTTCAATAAAGTCTGCTCTCGTATTTGATGCTGAATCTCCTCAAGTCGGTTACATCTGAGTAATTTTCTATTTTCAATTTCTGTAAAGTTTTCCAGATCATTACTTGTCGTTTTTGTGGTATTCACATCACTTCCATAATGATGTGGCTTCAACGTTAAGAAGGAAAATGAGTGAAAATGATATATAAATTTGGGACAAATTATCTTGAGAAAAAGATTGAATTCTCTTCAAAGAGATAGTTACTCAATGAATTGAAAGATGCTTTAAATGGATTTATAATTTACTTTATACTAATATTTCTTTCAAAATTTCCATAGACTCCCTACGCGTAGTTTGCACTTTCTTCAAAGAAAGAGTTACCAAAACAATTTAAACATAGGCTACTTTTCTCTTGAGTATAAAATTTAACGTCATATTTGTTCTTTTCTTTCAAAGAAAGTTGAACGAATATTCCAACTGGTCCATCAAAAAGTTCATATTACTTTGCCTATGAGCATAAAATTCAACATGTTTTTTTTTTCACTTTTCTTCAAAGAAAGTTGGACGTCTATTCAAATTGGTTTATCATTTAGTCTACAGTACTATTTCTTTAAGAATCACTTAAAATCTCCTTATATTCTTCACTTCCTTAACAGAAATACTCACTGAATTAATTAAAAACCTTGGTATATTTTCCGCTTCCTTTACAGAAAATGCTCGCTGACTTAGTTGAATCGTATTCAAACTATATTCGACATTACTGTAGTATTTTACGAATGATACTTCATCAGTACTGTCATGGATTGTAATCCATGCAGAAATGGACAGCATATTATGTCTATTTGATCTTTTTAAACTAATGGTAAACAGATTCGAAAGACTGTACTTCTAATATTAGATTCGTTTACAGAATTATTCTTTTTGAAGTTTTATGATTGTAATGAAAGAGTAAAACAAGTACAGGAATCTATGACAGAGCGTTAATGTAATTAAGCTTTCCATCGAATAATTACTATTCGCACCTTTTGATCATGAGGGAAATTTTCTGAATCCCATATTGAAGAATACATACTAGAATCAGTTTATCTGAATAAAAAGGGCTGTTAAACTCGTATCTTACCAAATATTTTGGAATAGATGCGGTATAGAAAGTCCCTACTCTATCAAATTAAAGGGAATTAAAGATCGCCTTAAACACCACTCAGTCGAATTCATTTTATTAATATAGCACTTTAAGAATACAATTGAACTTAAAACTCGAGGAAAAAGATACTACTTATCATCCGTAATCATGAAAAAGACAGTAAAATGAATAGGATACCATAACGAATGCTATTTTATTTCTATATTTTGATTAATACTGCCTGTCGTCAATAGAATTATACTCAATGAATCTGTTTTCTCGAAATAGATTTTGGATGCAATAGACGATACTTGTGTCAGCGATTTAGGAAATAAAAGATATTCTATTACTAATCTCTCATTTTTAATTTATTCTTCTTGATGTAGTTAATTTTTCAATCAAGAGATTACAATGCACTGTCTATGAGTATCATGGCACTTTCAGAGTTAATGTATCCGTTGGAATACATGTTTCCAATTATTCCATTGCTCCCTGCTTGTATGAATGGCTCGGAAACGCTATTACTGGCACCTACACCTTATATTATTGGCATAACTTCCAGTTTCTTTGCTTTTAAGAATCATGTTCGAATTCCAGCTGATGTATGGTTGGTCGATTTAGATGCTAGCAAGGTATAAAAACATAATTTAGCCTAGTATCAATGCTATAATTGAGGAAAATCTCACTGTAACTATAAATGTATACTATCAAGGTATAAAAAATAGTTGAGTCTAGCATCAGTGCTCGGTAATAATTGAAGAAAAATCTCACTGTAACTATAAATATAGCAAGGTATATCAAAAATTTTAGCCTAGCAGAATGCTCGATTGTAGTTGAAGAAAATCTCATTGTAGCTATCATGAAAGGATGACAATGGTTATCCAGTGGTTATGATAGTTATTTCATATTACACTAACAAAGGTATAAAATAATTTAGCCATGAAGCAATGCTGGACTATGCAGTGTATAGTAGTTAAAGAATATCTCATTGTAGCTATGATGGATAGATGGCAATGCTTGTCCTGAGGCTATGATAGTTATTTCATGTTACAATGTCTCTTTAATTCCAACATTGATTCAATGAGAAAGGCCCTGAAAAATATTGATATCGAATTAGTTTAAAATGAAGGGTAATGACTATTTGGTTATATACAGATCGAATCTGTATGAGAGACAATTTTAACCTTTTACTATACTATTTGAGAGAAGAAATAGTTATTTTACATTCATTGCACGACTATAAAGTTAGTTAGACTTATTACATACTTATAGAACTATGAACTACTCAATAAAAGAAAATCTCTAATAGAGCTACTTCTACATGTATAGGATTGAAAAGTAAACCAGTAGTATTTTAATGAGTTCTTAGGCTATTTATTGAAAAAGCCAGCTATGACACAGTTATGTATCATTTTACTATATATAGTATAGCCATAAAGTTGGCTAGGCTACTAATGATTAATATATTATAGCTTACTTTCTCTCTCGCTCGATGCCTATAAGACTGCAAAGAGTACCTGTATCATTTTAATCGATTATTAGGCTATTAAAGAAACTAACTAGCTCACTTTTTACATTGTACATCATTGTACTATCAAAGATACTTATATATAAAAGAGTCCCTGCTACGCATATAAATTGAAAAACCTAGACTTGCTACATTTTTATAATGCTGTATAGAGAGTTAAAGAGGTAGTCAAGTATTTTACGCCGTAACATTTGAACCCTATTTCCAATCAATTCTGACTCATAAAGTCGACAATTTTAATACAGAAGAATTCGCTTATAAATGGAATAACTTTAATAAGTTAAAGAGGTAGTGAAGTACTTTACGCTGTAACATTTAAACCCTATTTCCAATCAATTCTCATTCATAAAGTCGAAAATTTTAATATAGAAGAATTCGCTTTTAAATGGAATAACTTTGATAGAATCACTGTATTGATATGACCAGAGATGTAGCGGGAGACAAAAATGTATTTTTGTGCCGGTAGCATATTAACTCTATTTCAACGAATTGTTATTTCATGGCAGCTAATTCCTCCAGATTTTAATAATCAATTACCTGATTTACCTGAAACCGATGGCAAAATATTTCGGGCTCATTTACAACAGGTTTGTCAATCTGAAGAATACGATAATAAATATCTACACTTATTTATAATATAATAATAGTATCAGTTGTTCAAAGTTATGAAATGAATAGCTAATAATTTGCTTTTTTCTTCTACACTCTTATAAACCATCAGGCTATGGTATCATTAAGTACCGATCTTATGCCTATCCATGACCTTGATAGTATCAACAGTGATGAAGTGCTTAATCGTTTAAATGCAATGCATAGTAATTTGCAAAGCAATTTAGCCCATACTGTGCCTCAAATTGTATTTGGCAATGATGTTGACTCTGTCGATGTTGCAATACGTTGCTCTGTGGTCAAATTTTTAACATGTGACAACGTCTTAGGAAATCATGCCCAATTTTGCCGTACTTTACGATTATATCCATCACCTGTTGTTGCATTACAAGCTTCCTACTTTTTAAACTACTTGCCTAACAAGTCATCCTTCGCAACTGCTCTTGTAGATTGCCAGGTGATTTACAATTTGAATCATTTCATATATCAATATCTTATGCTTATTATGGATTGCAATGTAGAAAAATTTCTTCTAAAATCTTTTCTTACTAAATTCTATGCTATAACTTTTACAGTCGTTAGAATTTTTTGGTGAATGGCAATTGTCACCTTCAACGACTTCATATTTAAAAATTATGAATGGTAATAATGATAAATCTTTATTAGTAATCGTTAATTATCTTAAAAGAATTTTTGAATTGTAATAGATGATTTCCGTCATATAGGTGCTACATCTCATATTTATTCAATCGTATTTCTTGTCTATAGGTGTTATTGATCCACAAATAATTGGAGATAAATTGAGATGGTTCTCAACCCAATTGACGCCTATACAGTATCAAATTTATGATCCTATGGCTTCGCTTTCATTACCAATGAATATCCCTGGAAATGCTAAGCATGGTGATCAAAAAACCCCTAATTCATCGCTAGTTGGGTCTGATTCTGATGAAGATAGAACTTCAAATACGAGCAGTAATGAATACAATCGGAATGAGGTAGAAATGGATTAATTGATTAATTAAACACTCTCAACGATTATCCTAAAAATACCCTTAGTTATAATAAGAATTGATACAGATGCAACGATAAGAAATAATGCATGCTCTGGCTTTTAACTGGTTATAAATACATTTTTTTTATCATTTTATTTATGTTGTGTGCATGCAATTATAATAAGAATGGTATGCTTTCATCAACTAGAACGATAGTATTTCAGAAGCTGGAGATGAAAAAAGGAGTAATGAACAGTCTAGTATACAAGGTGCTACAAAAACAAGCGACTTAAAAATTCCTCACCTAGCAAACGCGCAAAAATCGAGCGACTTTCAGTCCGAAGAAGAAGTCGATGGATCAGAGGATAAAAGTAGTATACATGTCAACGTTAAGAAGCATACGGCAGTTTTTAATAAGTCTAGGGCTAATAGTGATAATTATCGTGGGGGTTCAGAATCGATGTCCGAACGATCTCTTCATGACACTACATTACAAAACTATCAGACGCCTAGCTCACCAACCGGTAGTATATGCAGTGATACCGGTAGTACGGTTTCTGCAGATATTGCTAGACTTTTTAGGAAAAGTAAATCGATCAAAAAAGCTTCAAGTTCTGATACTAGCTCGAAGTTAACATCGCCATTCCTCAGTTAGTATTCGCTATGGTATATCTTAAAATAATCAACATGAATGCTAAAAGCTTTAATCACAAAAAATCCGTAATTTAACATTTTTTTATTACTAATATTCTTTTGTATAGGTCGACGGCTGTCTGGTTCGAAATTGACACCTCTTAATTCTCCTACAATATCCAATGATCGTAAAGCCGCTATTATTGCTAGGTATGCTAAATGCAGATACTTTGTTTCGATTCTATTTGAGGTTAGCTTGTATCACTGGCGACTAATGTTTTCTTTAATATTTATTCATTTGTATTGATTTTGAATAAAAATAGTGTTGAAAATCAGCATTTCTTAAGAGATGCTGCCCGTAAGGTAATGGGAGGAACTACTCTAGGTTGGGTAGACATGCGACGTTTGAAGAAATTGATGGTATCCGAAGCGAACAGATGTGTAATCCTTAACCAATTAATTTACCATAACAATACATCTGATAAAATCGATGGTCCTTACATTGAAGATACGGTAAGACTTGATCATTTCTTATCGTTGAAATTTGTCCTATCAACTATTATCGAAAGAACTAATCGATACTTTCTATATTTTTTTACTATAGTGTATAACACGCAAGGTCTTTAATGCAATGCTTGAACTAATGAAAGCGATCTTAACGGGTTACGAAGATGCTATGAATAAATATACAAGTGATGGCATGGCATCAGTTTTTCTCTTTATTGAGGTCATTTATACATATTACTGTGGTAAACAAGTTAATTATACTAAACAGTTGTTGAAAGAAGCCAGTGCTGATACTAGTAGGAAGAGTAGTACAGACAATACAACAGATAGCAGTTTTGATAGTAAAAATCAGTCCATAACTTCAGAAACTAGTGATAGTAAACGCGATTGCGGTATCAGTAGCCATGGTAATATAACTCAAACTATCATGGAGGTAGAGCGAAAATCAATCAAGCAAAATATACCAAATAGTTTAAGTAGCGATAACGAATCTAGCTCCAATGAATATGTTGTCATTGATACCGTGAACGATCCCAAAAGTAAAGATAGCAAGAATGCAACAAGTAGTAAAGTGCCTGGTGAAGTTAATAGCCGAACTAATAGCATGAGTGAAAAGAACATCAGTACTTCAATGGATAGACTTAATGTTAATAGTAGGCAATCTTCTGCTGAAAATGTTAATGACCGATTATTAGTAGCGAAGGGAAAATTAACTCTACAAGATAGTACTGAAAGTTGTGATTCACTCGGAAGTACTCCAAGTTTGGAAATTTACGATATTCCAGCTTCGCCAACTGCGTTATGGTCTCGTTACACTCGTCATCGACTTAAAATCAATCATGCTTCATTTCTCAAAAATAAGAATTCTATTGATTCCGATAGCAGCGATAGAGAAGGCTTTAGAGAAATCTCGAAAGAGATGAGTAATGCACTAAGGAAATCTGGTCCGAAATCTCGTATTAGTAATGGCTACCGATATAGAGGCAAACTAATTCAATTACAACCTAAAACTGATGTTGGTCGCCGTTACTTATTTGAAGGCTTTACAGCCAAAGATCGATCACTTTTATGGGATCGTATGGAATTTTGGGAATCTGCCTATTTAGATGCTGTAACGGCAGAACGTGATACTATAGGAATGAATGAACGATCATCAGAGTTAATTGACCGGTAATTACTTTATTATTTTATTGCACCTTGTATGCAAATAAAAAATATCGTCCTATACCTATACTAGTTAATTATATAATGCAGTATCTGTTATGGAGTTATTTTGCAAGTTAATTTTTTATTTATTCGTTTAGATATTTCTCATTAAGTCAACCGGAGAGGAGACGTTTAGAAGAGGAAGAAGACTATGTACTAACTGTCATGTTATACAATATGGTCGCTTTTATGGTTGCTCTTGGTGTTAATAAACAATCGATTAAAAGTAAAATTCGTCGTCTACTTGGTAAATCACACGTTGGCATTACTCATAGTCAGTATGTAAATGATGTTCTAGACGTCATGGATAGCTTGGTGAGTTGCGATCCTTTAAAACGTTCAAATGAACGTATTTATATTCATTAAAATCTTGCAAAACTTTTGTATTTCCTGTCACTTTTATTGTCATAGTATTTAATCCTATGAATATTTAATACACGCAGAAAGGAAACGATATTGATCTCAAAGCTTGGCCAAGTAGAACTTATCGAAAATCGACATACGTAGTTAGAGCTGGTACAGATAAGCTGGACGATTTTTATTTTATGGAGGTTTGTCATATGCTACAAAGTTAATAAAATAAACTAATCAACAAATATGGATTTTGCATTGATACAAAGTATTCAAGTCATTATTGCATTCTAATCATTATCTAGATATGTGACGATGGTATCATGTTAAGGAGTGGAGTTGGAGTGATTATTCAACGATGGTGGTACGAAAAAATTGTTCATATTTCTTTTTCGCCAAAGGTGAAAGTCCTCTGTATTTGGTGTAAAGAAGGGAAAGATACAGCACTACATAAGTTTTATTCTAAAAAGGTAAGTAATATATTAATACTGCTGCTACCTTCTCCTAATTCACTAATTTAATGTAGAATTTTTTATTACCATATTTACAATTACATTTCTTCAAAATGTCTTATAGTGCCGAAAACTTTATAAGAGCATTACGGAAAGTATGCAAAGAGCAGCTCTTCGACAAAGCTTTACAAGTAATATTGAAGGTGACATCTATTATACTATATTGCCCATTTTGACTTTCTAATGTCAAGCTATAAATGCGTTACCAATTTTTATATTATTCGTCAATTTTCACTAGGGGGACAAGAAGGCGAAGGACTATATGAGATATCGGTTAGATCCAGATTCTTTAGTTCATTTAAAACTTTTACATTGGCCATTAACTATCAGTAATACTTTCCATTTTTGTAAATAAAATGACTAATAGTTTTAAATAATGGTGTTATGAAAGGATTTAGACACGAATCAGACTGGACACCTCGAAATTACTATGGATGGTATTGATATTACCTTAGAAAGTAAAATGGTAAGACGCGTTAAAGTGGCATAGTTGATAGTAACATTTATTACTTTTTGCTAGCACATCTAAAATTGGCCATTACCTTCTCTTTTAATATTGGTATTGGGTTTATAATTGACCTCTTTAGAAACACATCGATTTAAGATTTGTAAAAAATTGTGGCACTCAAGGCGACGTCTTCTATTTTGACGAATACGGTTAGTTATTCTAATTTCAAGCATGCTATTAAATGAGAGGAAAGAGGTGCTACTTTTGAAATAATAATACAAAGTATTTCCTTCAACTCTACAGTTAATGAATCTGAGTTGGTTCGCCATAGATTTGGATCACCTGTGGTATGTTATATTATAGCAATTATAGTATAGCATAAAATTTGGATAATATCTAAATCCTTAAAATCAAGAATCATAATACTATATCTAAATCATGATGAAATGTCGCAGGCTCGATGTCTTTACCCATTTCAGTTACTGACGATAAACCTTTTTTCCTTTCTTACTATAGTGCAAGAAAATTTGCTATACAGTATTATCAATGTTTTCCTTTATTGCCGCCAGTACGAATAACACTCCGGTCTTAAGTGAGAGTAGTAGTTTACAACCATCACCCCTGGGAAGTCCACGAGTCGGTAGCCCTCATACTTCTATTGGCTCAAATTTAAACTTGATGACAGGGAAGGTGTAAAGAAATTAAAATTTTAAAAATTCTTAGACGATCCAATCAAAACTTTATATACTATTTGAAGATGATCACTGGTTTATACCGGTTCCTATTTTTTTACTGCGCGTGGCCGATAAATTATTCAATTTAACACTTATTTGGGACTTCAAAAACATTTTGCTTAAAAATAATTCTATGCAATAAACTCATTCGTAGGTTATTGTCTATATTTACACTTTGCAAATTTCAACACTTATTTATATTATAATATTATATAACTTAATAGGGCATCTATTTATGGGTCAAAAGCTATTTATGTAATTTTTAAATTCTTATTACTATTTGATACGAATACAGTAGTTTAGTAACTTTATGAAAATAGTTTGCAACAATCAATCACCGACATAAATACTTATTGTATGTTCCTGATAACTGTTATCAGTTATTATTATTGTGGAAATCAATTCTACTTAAGTTTTTGAGTTAATGATTCGTTAATGATGAATGTTAAAAATTCACGAGTATTGCATACAAGTATGAAAAGGTGCAGTACTCTTAACGCGATGCTTGCATTGAAGCTCTATGCACATTATATTTATTTTAAACAAAACATTTTCAATTGTTACCCAAATTTTTCTGGTACAGTTAAATTTGAAAGGTCGCGATACCATTTTTGTTAACTTCGGGTAGATTCAAATTTGCTGTATGATATCTCAAATTTATTAATGAAAGAAAAATATTTGTTAACAATTCTTTCACAACTGCAAATGATAATAAAGTAATTGAAATTCAATTGGGCAAAACCACCAATAGAACAAGTTCAACGTTTCAATGTGTATCGAAAGCTGAGTATGAGCCTGGTCTATTCATTAGAAGGTTTAAAGTGTAGATAGCTTGCGCAATCAGTTAATTTGATTTTGTCATACTCACAGTCTGATATCTAGTAAAGTTACAGTTCGAATATGCAGCATACAATACATACATTCGTATGTGTACGTTCTATCCCGGGAATCTCTCAGGAAGAAAATACCAGTTGTGACAATACGTAGGAAACAAGTGATTTATATAATTGTGAATTATCTGACAGGTCTATCAAATGGTAATACTATCTGTTAAATGAGCACATTATCGTAAACCGTCAGCAAAGCGACGGGAGTTTGCACTAGTATTTATAATTTTCGTAACATCCTATCAGCGTCTAATCCTTGATACCATGAAAAGCCGATATGGATCGGAAAGGTTACAACGATTTTAGGCACTACCATTTTTATAGACATCGAAATCTAGCGCTAAACAATGTACACGTAGATCTACTGTTAGTAAAGACAATATCTTTATTAAGACGATTTCATTTAAGTATATCACAGTATTAACCAAATAATCAACTGAAATGGTTTTTTATTTCGATAGCTACATAGGAAATACTATAAATATTCTGTAATTTATTTGCCCATTTACTTTGAGTTGGAGTGAACTTGCCTATCGTCTTACAGTTATGTAGTATAAGTTTACTTAAGTAATTGAACAATTTTATATCATATAAAATTATACACGTATTTTAAGCATACATTTCGCTTCAGTACTTCATTATACATTTTACTACTGACAGAACCAACACGCGTAGGTTGCACATTGAAGATAAATGGAGAAAAATTTGACCATCACAATATCTAGCAAAGTAATATGTTATCTTTTTTTCCCTCGGCCTCGTCCTCGTCCTCGTTTTCCTCCTCGCCCCTGTCTATGTCCACGATGTCCACCGCGACTAGGCATCGATGACCTTGGTCCTTTAGACAGCTGCTCTTCAATTACGCTTTCCAGTTTAATTAATTTAACGAAGATCTCGTCACAATTTAAACATCCAGAGTGAGATTTTTTACCATTAGGAAATGGTGACTCATCCTTAATTAATTATCAACAAAAATGTGTATCCTTTTATATGCTTATACATTATTGATCATCTATCATAATCTAACGTGTACAACATTAAAATGCACTACTCACTTTGAATTCAATTGTGATTATATTGGTTGGACAATGGCATGTTTCCTCTTTAACAGATACTTTCGAAGCATTTTGTAATAATGGGACAAAGAATTTGCATCTAATGTAGACAGTGATTAAAAAGCAAATATTGTCAATAATTTCGACAGCATTTACCTATACCATGCAGAAACTTTATAAACTGTTTATACTTATCCGATAATTATACTTATTGCAAGTCATTCTCCATTTAGGTGCTGATGGTGCATCGAGTACAATGGATCCCTGATCGCAAATTTGACAGTCAAGAATCCTATTTTGCATCATTGAGTGAGGACAGGTTGGATGTAGACATTGGTTACACATTAGGTTCTTTGCTACGTCCGGATATGGAGATTTTGTGTAGCAGGCAGGACATAAAGGAACTGCCTAAAGGGTCCATAAAAGGAAAACGATAGATTTGAATTATAGTAATGCAACGGCGATATTATAAGACTTGAAAGTAAAATTACGAACCTTCGCAGTTCCTGTGTTTGCAGAAAAAAGGACGAGTTCAAAATCATCGATTGGACATTTAAGTTCCTAGAGTAAATTAAGTAGATCTATAACTATACGTTGCGTCCAACATTTTTGTATTGCATAAGAATATAATCTAAGAGTGTAATTCTTCTTCGAAAAAGATTTATGATGCTAGCATAGGACACCAACGTAGAAATAAGAGTGTTTTCAACTGTTACCTTGTATAGTTTAATAGTACCGTTTTGCGGTAAACTGTATGTTTGATCACAGGTTTTACAATAAAGCCTTGAAGGTTTGGCAACAATAAGCTTCATATATCTATTGCAGGATCCACAACTATTCCAAACAAAAAATTTCTTGGTAAAATGCTTATACGATAAAATTTGATTGTAAAAGTGAAGTCATTACCGGCAAAATGGCTTTCCTGTCTCTGCTAATTTAGTAAAGCATACTTCGAATAAGTGATCCATATTAGAAACTGAATCTTTAAAGTAGCAAAATTTGTTTCTAAATATATCAACTACGTAGTTAACCACTGCTTTGAAGTCAGCCTACAATAGTAAAATTAATACAAAAATGTAAATATAACGTTATATAAAAAATACATGAAAATACACTACATATAATGCATAAGTGTAAGTCATTTATACCTTTCCTGCAGCAATTAAATTAAGCTGCTTTTCAACGTCTGCTCTCATTGTCGGTAATGCTAAATCTGAATCGATCTTTAGCAAATCAACAGGTAAGTTTTTAAAAATTGTTTATGTTTAATAGCTACATAATTATTAGGCTGTATTGCCTTATTTTAGTACACAAATTTATTGTCATTTAGAATATTTCAAGCAATTATTTAATGCTATACCTTGTGATATCCATGAATTAGAACAATTCCCAATTGTGTCGGTTGTAAACGCCTAGAGCCTGTAATTTTTACATAGTTTCGTTCGCAGATGTTATTGATATGTACTGGAATGCTCGCATCCTGCAATAGTAAAGGTTACTTTTTTAGGCACAAAATACTTTCGTTGATTGATTCTTTGCTACATTCAATATCTTTAGAATAATAAAATATGTATTAGCATTACTGTGCGATGTTGCAACTGTAGCTATTTATTACTGTAACACTGTATATACGTTAACTAACTGTTCCAATTCCGTGCTTTTCCATCAACGTTATTAATTCACTTTCAGTAAGATAATCAGGGGGAGACGTTTGATGTTCACTCAATTTAGCCTTAAGATAAGATATCCAAGAAATTGGGAGATGATCATAGAAAGTAAATAACACAAAATTTGATACTAACTTCGGTGATTTCTAAGACCGCTCCACGGTCAAGGTTAGGCAAATTCTGGCCCTCATCTTGCTGCAACCAGTTCATAACACTTAAAAATCCAGGTGAGGTCACAACTGCACCACTGCATGTAAAGCTTTCTTTAGATATTTCTACCATGTATGTTGTTTGCGTGTAGCGACAATCTTCCATAACCTAATATTGCAGCAAAATGGCACCAAAAAAAGTTTTTGAATATCCCTTTATACAAGCCAGAAATAATGACAAGTTCACAAATAATACAATTATGAAACGTACACTGCCTAGGTAGTGACGAACAATATAGTCATACAAACGCCAAGAGTCTCCACTCAATTCATTTCGACCAGCGACTTTCATGGGCGTGATGGGAGGATGATCACCGGCATCCTGTCCTTTCCTAAAGTTTCATACAATAATAATATTAGCGCTTAATAGCAACATAGTCCTTCCATCCTATCGGAAATAATATAGTGCGATAATAATGTTTAGCTGATAATAACTATGAGTTTCCATCTTTACTTTGGTTTGCTGTATCCATCTTTTAGCAACGATTTGACAGTATCACCCAAATCTTCATGCGATGAGAGTTTGCCTAATAGGTCTCTGCGATATTCAAGACAATAGAATAAGTGTTCTCTTGAAGTTTGAAAACTCTACAGTCACAGTAGCAAATCATACACGTTCATACTACAGCAGAAATCACTGTCCCAGGACAGACAGTATCAAGATACAAGTATATATTTTATCATTAAAATAAACTATATCTGCTTATTTTATCTAGTGCTTTATTCACCTGAAATCGAAATTTTGAGGGTAGGTTGTTGTCTCAGTACGAGGGTAACTAATATATCCCTAATCAATACACAAATAATTTATTTAACTTATTGTAATATAAATTTAATATTTTAACGTCAATTTATAAGAAGTACCGTACAAATTTTTCAGCATTTTATAATAACATCAATTTTTAATAGTTTTAGCTCTGTACCTGAATATACAATCTTTCAGCCAAAGCCATAGTATGGTGTGGTCCGATATTCAATCCAGATGAAGCTTTCCGAAGCATTTCTACTGTATTCAGGGCAATAGGCTTCTGTTTCGATTTCTGAGTTGTTGTTACTTTGAGAATTCTATTGATAAATAATGCGGTTAACTAGCGTTGAAAGTATAAATGTAAACGAAAGCGTCAACTATGAAGTTATCTGCAATGGCAATTATTATTCACTTTGTTCGAGTTACTGCCTTGATATCTTCACAAAACATTGAGGCGACGTTTTTATCGAAAATGCGAACTCTATTCCATTGTAAAGCAAATGTTGAATTATTATGCCGAACCTATCGAGATTGAAACAGTGACATAGTTTAATATAAGACCATTAAAAGATATTTCGTTTTTACAGAGATGATAATATGCTAATCACAGTAAAAAGTCGCCTGATAAAGAAGTGCAGATCAGAGTGAGGAAGCATACTTACTTTAACATCGATTTTCCAATATTTTTCAGGTTCGAATGAATTAATTTTATCATGACGTTCTACACAAAAGCCCAACGTTGGAGTTTGGCATGGCCCGTAGGAAATTAATGAACTATCCAGATCTCCATATTTGCCCTATTTTTTTATGATTATTGACTTAGAAATGGGCGTATTATATATAAACCATTTAAGATTATAAAGTTGAGGCGACTCCTATGGAACTTTGACAAAAATGTAACATTAAAGTACCTGAAAATATTTAGTTTGAAATCTAGTAAATGCACATCCAATTCTCAAATCTAACTCTTGTCTTGCATCAACAGACAAAGCTTCATTCTTATTAGGAGTTATTAACGTCTCCATTGCTCGAAAAATGTCTTTATCAGTAATGGCAGAAAATTTAGCTCGAAATATATTCTATGTTGTATAAACATGCGAATGGAAAGAAGAAATACGAAATTAGACCGGCTACCATCTAATAGTGAAACAAGGATTAGTAGAGTATGAACCTATAATGCTATCTGCAATTTTTATCTTATTATGAAAATCGAACGTTTACAGTGACATTCTGTCATAACGGCTTACATTAGTAGCTAAGAGGAAGTTAATAGCTTAAAATGAGTTTACTATATACAGGCCATAGCAGCGTTGGTAAAATATTAATATTCATTAATTACAGTATACATAAATTTTACATACTGATTAAAAAGTTAGCGGTTACCTAAGGTTATTATTACTATGTTATTACCCTAAATTACAGTAGCTAGCACTGATCACTTAATATTTTATTGTGGTATACTGTATAAAACAGATATCGCAGGTGTAAATAATTGCATTTTACCTGTTGTATAGACATGTTGCAAATTTTAGTTTCAAGAAATGTTGATTTCATTTACTGTATAATAGTATTATACGAGTTTATAAGCCGTGGATTACCTGGCTGCTAGAGTTTCTCATGACTGGTTTGACGATATCAATGACCTCAAAACAGATGTTTTCACCTTCGCGATCGCAATCGAGCCACAATACTAAGTAATCGATTCCCTGCCCCTAATAGTAACATCAGATTATATCCAAAATGACATTTTATATAGTGCAAAATGATTTAAATACTTCTTGATCCAAATGTACTGATGGATTATATTATATATCGAAAAGCGATGCTGTTAACTCCATACTGTGCAATATACAATATGATATATGATCAACTTTAGTACGTTTAACACTTTAAGGCTATCATTATATCAGCATTGATCATACAGTCTATGATAGAATACATGATAAAAGCTCTGTACAATGAAACTATTCCGTTTTTTTATCATTATTTACGAAGATCAAGCAGTCGTAAGTATAAAGTCTGAGCGCTGCTGGTAGATATGTAAATATCATTACAGTTATTTAACAGATGTAGACAAAGCTAGCTATTAAATTTACCTTTCATTTAGTCAGCCACGACTACTGTATTGTATTGTAAATCAGAATAGTGCTTTTCACTATGCAGTAACTTGATGAGTAATATGATAATCCTTTCACTCTTTCATACTATTTTAACTTACCTCATGTTTTAGAAATTTAACGATATTTTGATCAGGATTAGCATCTTTCTTCTTGACTTCAGCATCATACAGATCAACCTATCACCAATATAAAAAAAGGCTAAAGTCAATGCCTAAGCAACTTAACATGTTCCTATAGTAACTGACATGTATGCAGCTCATAAAGAGAGATCGATATTGATTGGCAATATTTAACAAAATTGTGTGACTTTAAGCGTTGTAGTCAATCATTGCAAGTCAATTTTATAGAGTATAAGAGTTGTAACAGAGGTTATTTTTATAGCCTCAATGAATAATGACGCAACTAACAGGATCTACAGCATCCCAATTATTGTATTGTGGCAGGAAATCCAACGAATAAACATGGCCGCAAACTGAAGTCACCGAAAATCGAGCTTGCTGCCCATGAAATGTACCACTATATTCATAAACTTGGCATGGCTTAGCTATCCCTTTTCTCGTTTTCATAGTGCCACGGGAGAGAATTTTGGCAATTGATTGAGCCAGCGATGGCTTCTCAGCGATCATTAACACCACCACCATGTTGATTCTGTTGCTTGCCTAGATCAACTAGTAAAATCGCTCTAGGATGTCAAGACGGCTGGACGTCTTGTAGGCTTTTATTTGTTCTCCAAACTTGTGGTATAAATGCTATGTACTGTGTCGAGTAGCGCTACGAATTGTATACTGTATTAGTGTATAATAATGTACTTGAATAATGCCGTCAGCCGGCCATGGAGAAAGCTATTTTAGACTCTAGCTCTGCTAAAATCTACCAGATCTGCTATGGATGAACTGGTTAACAGTCTACTGCTATAAGATGATTAATTTTACCCTAGTAACTCTTGCAATCCAAGCTACAGCGTTAGTTAATATACTATGCTGTACAACTCTGCATCTGCTTGTTGGGTGTGGCAGTTATAAACCTGCACTTGAAAGATAGGCAGCAGATGGCTTTGCAAAGTCTTTGTATCTTTTTGAATCAATTTCGATCCTGTTACTTGATTATTCAATGATTTTACTATATCTACTGATAGATACATACAAACAGTGATACATTGTAAGCTGATAATATGCAGTAGATCCATGTGTGTTTCTACGGAAACGTCATGTTCTACTTGATCACGATGACGATTATCGTAGATATACGCGTGTATGTTTTGTAGCTAGACACATCAACATTCCAAAAATGAATGAAAGTACAAGTAAGATCAACGAAAATTGACTCTTGCTCATGTAACGCGATCTTGGTACTTTCAATTTAACTATAGCTTACAGCTTTGCACCTTGCGTTATATCACGATTATAATTATTGTTGGACTTAATATTAAGTTAAATATTGACTACTGTATCATAACAAGTACTATCTAATGTGATGGTTTTTGCGCGTGCAGTGGAAGACAGCGAATATATTATAACGGTGCAAAAACCCGTGTTTATAAATGCTGTATCATTATGTACTGTACAGCAGTATATACTACAACGAAAGTAAAACCTCCACCAGTGAAATAACTCTTCCATTCCATTGCAATAGTCTAATTTCTCTCTGAAATAAATAATTTTTCATCAAACCAATGAAAGCATAAAAGAATACCATAAAGGTATATAAAGATGCTCATTTATTAACTATAATACATCATTTTGTCTAGTAATGATATCGTTATTCGTACGTGCTATGTATTAAAAACAAATAATGAATTTAATCCAAGCGAGAAAATCAGCCTTACTTACAAGCATCCTTATAATACTGTACTATACTATTATCTGCCACTTTGACGGTAGTTAATAAATATTTATAGACTTAGTAGATACAATTTAGGAATTTTACAGTATTGATTTCACCTCGTCACATGTATTTTCATTAAAATCGAATTAAAATATACGAGCCACAATATCAAGATATACTTGTATTCGTATACCGTTATATTCCTTTGTTAATTTGGATAAACAAGCGAGCGTTTCGTAAAAAAATTATCCATAGAGATCACAATACAAGAGTAAAATTCCGATAGCTAGTTATCTGTTGCATACTGCTACGAAGGTAAAGTAATATTCAAAAGTGAATATTTACTACAGTATTAAATACTACAAGTCTATATCGTTGAAGTGATAGCTACACAGTAAGCGTACATATCATCCTGTATAAGTTGTCAAAACGAATCATTAGGTCATTTTTTAAGCTATTAATTGAGCTACGTGTTGCACACACATTGTTTACAAGAACAAATGATAAAGATGTATTTGTGCATATTCACTGTATAATAAAATGTACAGGCATTAATCATATTACAAAGATATCAAAACAGATGCGATAGGTGTAGAACGGAATCCAGATTTTCATAAGGCGCAATAGCATCTTAAATATTCGTGAACTTATTTATTTTGACGTCCAAACTGCAATCTCTCGAATAAGTAACCAAGAAGTTTGATGCTCTGTTATCCTGATACGTAAACACTTAATTTTAAATTTGGCAACCTTATCTACGCCTTGTATATCTATGCGACCATAATCCGTTTCACCCAAATTAATATAATTTGAACATAATGGCTTTTTTTTAGCAGCCGCATCTTTATTTTCTGGGCTAACTTCAATGACACCACCGCGCAAGAAATCATCACTGTGCTCCGCTGTTGCAGTTTCTAATGCTATACGACTTAGAAAGTGCGATTGATTAAATATAATCATATAGGTATCATCGATTCGAACTTCTTTCATCCAACAATATCCCGGTATTATGCTGTACGCCATTCCGGCATCGTATCCGTCGATTGTTTTCATCGATGTTTGAATAACGGCTTGAGGGTTATCGCCTTTATATTTTCGCTTAACGATTTCGAAATCTCTATCGACAGTCAATTTTTGAAAGAATCCTAGCTTTGATGTTTTCTCTCCTACATGTTGAAATAATGATGGTAGCTTTGGCAGGGAATGCCGCTGAAAATGGATAGCATTAAAGAAGCGATATAGTTTCGATACGGGCTGAACATCATAAAAAAACATCACAAATTGAGCTAATCGTAGTAACGATGAAGTTTTGTATAAAGTTCCAACGATATCCATCCGTGAGTACGCTAAAGATATCCATGGTTGCGTTTGCTTTTTAATGAAATCCTTTATAGAAGCTATTTGTGAATGAGAAAAGCTAGTCTTAGTATTCGCTTACTACAGTTTATGATTAAATAAGAATCGTACTAAAGACACGTTTGTAACATTGTATCAATTAATTTAGCCAGTCATAACAATGACAGACAACTGCCCTCTATCCAATTTCAGGGTTAATCGAATGTAAGAAATTCTAACCTAAATATTGAGGAGCCGCTGAGATGTCATCTTCTAATTGAATATAATATTGAGCTTGATCCATACTATACAGAAAGAGGAATGAATAATCGATTGCTTGTTTAGTTCGCCATTTAGCATTAACAAAGTATTTATCGCCATATCTTAATGTTGGGTTATTCAGAGGCGGATAAAAGTTTTTCGGTATTTCAATAATCTAAAAGTAAAAATTTGCATCCAATTTTTCAATTAATTTAATTATCGTTCTCTCAACATATTCATGATATGCTGTACCTGACTTGACCAAAAAATGAAGATTAAATAATGTATTGTATTCTCGAGTTCTTATAGCTACTTTACTGGACGTATTTCAACGCATATAGTTTGTTACTTTAATTTTTATCAGCACTACCACTTATTGTAGTAATATTAGTAAAATTTTAACGGTAATGAGCTGTGTACAGTCTTTCATATGATAAGTAAGGAAAAGAAAATAACAACAAAAGTCATTATGCACAATACTCTCAATTAGATTGATAGAACTTAGACCACTATAGGCTTTTACTTCAATCTATCTTACTTGAATAAGTCCACTCGCCATTCTTGCATAATGATGTGAACTTATATCTTTGAGGACATAAGTTCTGTTTGACTTGGGTGCGTCAGCCAATAATACAATAAATACGATTTCTTTTAAGCTTGATTCGTCTAATTCATTGATAAGGGTTAATAGCGTATTCGAGATGTAATAGGCTAAAGCATCCAAGCGCAACACCGTGGGTATGCCAACAGCCAGGAAAGCTGCATAAAGAATTAGTATAAGAAAAGGAGAGTATTATGATTTCATTACTAGTTTTATGACCTATTTTAGTAGTATAGAGTCGTTCATAGTACTACTACGTCTACAGTATATTTTAAATATCAGCAATAAGTTATTAGAGAGAAAGAAGTATAATGATTATTGGTACAAATTGTATTGCTTTCTTAATAAGGACACGTATTAGTGAAACAAACAGCTTTATGCAATATGTTACTATGCCATTGCTTTAACCGATAGAGTTTATACCAATAAATACAACATCAGCTTACTGTATGAAGCTGAAATTGTGAGATTATCCTACGACTATACAGCAATAAATTAGACTCCATAGTACTAACAATGCAGTTTATGACTGTGCACATAAAGAATGTCGTTAGATAATACCTTTCTTTTTTCTCCTCTTGCCGGCTATTAATGCTTTTTCATGATCAAATCGAACGATTTCCGGACAGAACCCGCGATTATAATTTCTTTTGCATGGTGTTGGGGTTTTATACGATAATCTTGTAAAATTTTCAACAATGGGTAAGACGTCATCTCGTTCTTTTAACAGCTTGACTGCATTAAGCAATAATTTGTTTTCTTCGCTACAATCGTTCGATGATTTTATAGTGGAAGAGGTAAATCCTGCAATTAGCAAATTTAAAAAATGTCACATTAGAAATAGAATCCAAAACATTATTTTGATTTAACGATCACCATGGAGGTTTCAGGATGTAGATATTGACATAGAAGTCATCTTAGTCTATTATTACTTCTCTTACGATAATTAGAGTGATGAACGTGTGTAGATTAATTCACATTTGCAATAGAACGCCATACTTTCACGGAAAAGGTAGCTACGTCGCTATTTGTGTAAGCAGATGTCATTCCGCTGCTAGGTTTTTATTGAACATTGGGTAAGATATCAATCATGATAATCCTGAATAATTTCGTTATTACAGTTCTAATCATTACGAATATCAGGTGCGTCATTGTCTATATGTTTTTGCAGTTTCATCAAGACTAGAAGAATACTTCTATCTCTACTGTATGTACAGTATATATGAGAATAGTAGTAGTCCTTTATTGGTATATCGTTACGCGATAATAGCAGTTACTCATCCTTGACCCAGTCAGATAGCAGAATTGTATTACTGTAGAAAAAGACAGAATTCATTTTACTACTGCATTGCATGATTTCCTTGGGTCAATGGATGTCCGTTGTTATGGAATTTGTGGTTTACGTATACCCTATCGCTACAGTAATAGTAGATGATGTGGATAGAGTGTGATTGTATTGCTAGCTACGCCACAACTAGTATGTATAATCAAGGCTATATATCGATATAAAACACATTTTGGATCCTTCTGTAAGCTAGAGCAATAACATTACGGATAGAATAAACGGATAGCGAGTAGTCCTATCGGTTTCTATTTCCTCTCTACCATCCGATTGACAACTACAACAGTCAAACATACTTACTGAAGTTAATGAGCCATAGATTGATAAATAACAGAAGTATTAGCGTTGCCAAGAATAAGAGATTGTTGTTAAGAAAGGTAGCTAGTGTTGAATTCTTCATTCCATCACTTTTCAGTATTGCAATCAATGGTGAAAATAGAGTTAAAGTTGGTAGGGCAAAGAACCAAATGGCCGACGAAGGCAGAAATAACGGATAGGGGAAATGGAGGGAGGTTGTTGGCGACAGTCTACAGTACAGTATACTACAGTACTATACTGTACTGTACTGTAGACGGACGGACATTTCTTACCCAATGAGGCCGTGGATGTGGAAAAATGGCGACTTAGTCTAAACTCATCTTGACGATGTTATACAACTGTTTCCAAGTAAAACTTTTGTAATAGATTATAAGATTCAATATTCTATTGACTTCATTGAGGAAAAAAAATCAGTTACTGTTATTATCCTCAAGTATTGGGCACACTATTTTAACGAGATGAGGTCGAGACTGTCTGTCCATCCAAGATCGTCTTCTAATATTTTTACTCACGTTAGATTCCAGTAGATGGTATCTAGGTAACGGTAAGTACTCCTCGCACAGTATGCTGTCCAGTGTCATGGACGACTAAATCCATGGAGGTTATTGGAAACAACTTTTCCTTTTACTTCTATGACTAAATCTTATAGTAAGATGGAACAGTCTCCATTCTACAGCATGGCAGTATGATCGATATGCACTATACAACGTTGTGATTAGCACATAGCGATTTTAACGGCAAAATAGAGCATAACATTGAAGCATAGACTACTGAATATTCATCACTGGTAGTCCATGATTGGGCATCGTTTTATTGAATGCGTAATCGTATTTGCAAGACATACAAGCATCGCGAATGATATTATTATTCAACTATGTCAGAGCCAGACAAACATAGAATGAAGAGATTGTTATTAGATTATATAATCCATCTCAGCAACTTGGTAAAATGATATTTTGGCATGCCTACTGAGACAGCAGCCACAGTCAGTACGAAGCGTGTGTCCCTGTTTCAGAGTTCGAAGTCAATATACTGTAGGGTAACGGAGAGCTAGCGTAATTGTCAACATTGAGGTCCATGCTACCAACAGTCCAGGCTGTCCAGCTGCAGTACATCAAGAAGCAGAAAAAAAAGATCAACCCATTCTTGCACACTCATTTTCAGCTTGGGATACATTCCAATCCATTTTGACTATGAAAGTCATCGTCTAGTTAATTTGCTTGTAACACGCCCTGCAAGTGTGCAATCATCTTTGGCTATTGTCAGCAATGCAGACGAGCAGAATTGCTCTATTTGCAGTTAAATGTAGAATTTCCATCCTACTTTTACAGGTATGTATATGTGTAGCTAATGCAAGTATAGAATAATTTTAGAAAGTGCTACATCTAGTTGTATCCTTGTAGAGTAGAATGAATTCATGTCCATCCTGTAAGGCTGATGATGCTACGATAGAGAGTACGTTACAAACTTTTCCGTCTCTATTTGCTGTTGTATGATAAAAAAAACATTCTAACACACCTGCATGACGTATTTTGATTGTTGGTGAGTGTTCAATGTTATCCATGCATTTATGGAAGTTAAGAAATGACAAGCAGATCGGCAGGACTATCGTAGCTGCTCCATTTTGTTCACTGGTTTACAACTAGCACATATAGTACATGCTGCTGATAGGACTGTATTAACAAGTTGCTGAGTAGCTCAATATTTAGCTTCAAGGCATTCAAAGTTGCATTTTTCTCACAACTATTGTGTTTATCTTGGTCACCATTTAGTGCCTAGCCAACAATTGCATTCCTGATCATCTTGCTGATGCTACCCACTTAGAGAAAAATGCAAGTCTATCATCGAGCTGGATAGATGCCACATTATTATTCTTACTGGATGGCTTTCAGAAATGGGATGCTGTTCATTATACCCATATTGCTGCTCATGGCTATAACCATCCTCGTCTGTTAGCTTTTCAACCTCTCTTACCATGGCTATTGCGCCAGTTCGATTTATGGGCAATATCCCCTATTTTAGGAAATTTAGTCCATACCTATACCAGGATTTTATTGATAGGAACGACATTTAATATCTCAGCTTTTGCTATATCTGCCATTCTCCTATACAAGTTAAGTTATAAAGTATTGCAAAATCAAATTCTAGCGATCGTAAGTGTCACCATGTACTGCATTAACCCTGCCAGTATTTTCATGTCATCTCTTTATACGGAGTCGTTGTATGCTTGCTGTAGTTTCGGGGGAATGCTATGTTGGCAATATCCAACGAATTTAACTGGCTATTTACTCGGTACATTGGCTTTTACACTTGCTGTAGCTGTACGTTCCAATGGAATGGTCCTCATTGGATTTGTTGGATATACATTACTACTTTATCGACTAAAAACAGCCAGTAGTGGCAGACTATTCTTGTTTGAAATTATCTACTACGCTTGTCAAACGATAGTATTATTACTTCCTTTCGCTATCGCTATATTATCGCCGTTTTACATGTTTCAATCTTACGGTATGAGAAAATTCTGCAATAGTAGTCATCAAGTTGAGCCATTGCCTTGGTGTAATAAAGATTTGTCGATACCTTATTGGGAAGTGCAGAGGAAATATTGGAATGTCGGTTTCCTTCGTTATTATCAGCTCAAACAAATACCTAATTTTATTTTAGCAGCCCCAATGGTAACGTTATGTATATTTGCTATTCGAAAATATCTCCATTGTTGGAATTCCTTATATGCATCCTTTCTCGGTAGTTTCCATCAAACTAGGTATGTTTCTATGTATGTCGAAATGTTTGCAGCACTTTCATGGGTTACAGCTTTCACAGAATAATAAAGTTTTTAATCGTCCCTTTTCCGATATGGTTTAATTTAGAGCTTCTAGCCAGTTGCCAATTACCTTCGGTAATCCTGCCATGTTTGTCTACATAATCCATGTACTATTTTTAACGATTTTTGGCCTTACTAGTATGCACGTACAGGTATATTTCAATTGCAATACTAAGAATACTGTGATTATAGTAAATGAAATGTAGCTTATTTTCAAAGTATTCAACATTTCAGGTAATTACAAGGCTGATTGCATCATCATCGCCTGTGATATATTGGTTTACTGCATATAGTATTATTCAAGGAATTAAACATCGATCGAAAGATCCTTCAGGTAACGCGCGATAATGATTAGCTGCTTTTGTCATTTTTTATTTTGTAATAAAATAAGTTGATTGCATTATATATGATCCATTAACCTAGAGATGAACTATGCTGATTGGCTTAAGAATTGGGATAATTTTGAAAGTATTCGTAGGATTTACTTATCAAACAAGTTAGACTTTACAGGAAGACTTGCAGTAATTTATTTTCTTACATATTCCATCATCGGGACAGTAGTACACAGTAATTTCTATCCTTGGACGTGACTTTTCTTAAGAGCACCTTTTAACATAGAATACTTTATTTTCCTAATACTAAATTTTTATGACTATCGATTAGCACTGACATTTACTCAGAAGAAGCACAAGTATTACAATTAATGGTTTTTTAACTTTTATTTCCAAATAATTATCTGTTGGTGATTGTTGTGCTTCAATTTTGCTTGATTTTCTGTGCTGATAAAGTATTTTCAAGTATGATTGTACGTAATTACTGATCGAATTGTATAATACTGCAGAATACATCAAATGTAAGCGTATGATAATTAGATTAAATGGATTTAAATGAAATTAAATTTTAAATTATTGATTCATGAGATGAAATACATGGTGTGATTCCTAAATTGGATTTAAATAAAATTTTCAGAAACTAGACATTGCCATATACTTGTTGTACTATAGAGGATTTATTGTGTTATAGTTTAACGATGTAATTATATACCTATCGTTTACACGATAAATACTGTACTGTGGTAAATCTGCCGTGAACTTACAGTAGTATAAGGATAGGTAGCTGTACTAAATTATAAGCAATTGTGAAACTTTTAATTAAAAACGCCTATCCAAGTAAGTTATAGATTAAAGCTTATAATATAGATGTACAGTACTATAATGAATGCCATTTTTTATTGTCTTCGTAAATAATTACCCTAGAAGAAACTAATTGATACCATTATGTATTAGTTTTATCTACAATACGACACTTTCTCGGATCAATCGTGCAATGGTATAAACTCTTTGCAACTTACATAACTATTAATTTATAAGTACAGAAAAGCAATTCTGATTCTATTCAACTGCATGCAAGCAGTCAATTCGAAAGACAGTCTTACAGTAATTAAGAATGTGAGCAGTCATTCTCACTCCATCTACTAAGGAGTTTTTAGAGTTTCAAGTACACAACGTTTGCAATATTCGAGCGCACATGCTTAATCATTACCTATGGTACAATACCTGCGGATCGCAGTACCATAGTTACACGGCACATCCCGTTTGCAACTTGAAAGAAACTAATTAATATTTTTGCATATGAAATATTTATAAATAAGAAAAATTTTTATTAGAGATATCGAAACGAATTTTTGGGATATATACCATAAAGGACATAAAATATAAAACAATAATAATTGTAATAGATAACCATTGAGATTGTTCGGTTTAATACACAAGAACTGCCTTACAAGCACAGTTTATCTACAACGCCTTCACTTTTATTTCCATCGTAAAAGAAAAAATTATTAACAGGTGCTTCTCTAGCTGATAGTGCCTAAATGATATGGGAGTACAATGCACAATAACTTAACCAACTATTGCTTCGAACAATCCACAGCAACAATAAATGAATCGAAATCTACCTTAATAACGTCTTGGGCTAGGATTCCGCCAACAATAGCACATATGGGATTAAGCTTACCTTGGCAATTTCTAATGAATACATAAAACAAGGATCACGTAATAAAATGTGTGAGTGTCAATATTATCTCATCATTCCTAACTATAAGGATCAGTGAGAATTACGTACTGTAAATAGGACAATGGCAACAATTTTTCGCTGTCGTCTCCAAACAGTTCATCTCGAACATGCTTCAAGTTATCAACGTCGGCAAGGCTATCTGTAGAAGAGCTCTTGTTTCGTTGATAAAATTCATCTATAACTGTGCCAATACAATTATTGCCATGTAACTGACATTTTAAACTTACCCAAGTCATCTAAAAATAGTTCTACAGCCTTTAAATTTAATTATATATTGTACCTTTCATTAGAAAGAACACTTTAGAAGTTCTACGCAATCTGGTTGGACGAAATAGTTTATAATCCACTTGTAATGCCTTCTTTATCTCAACATAGTCAACATCCTATTTAAAAACATTTCATTTATTAAACGATAGCGATTGATCCGTGCATATAGAAATAATCTACTTGCCACTAACATTTTGCCTAACAATCACTTCGGTTTTTACGGTTTTTGAAGGTACCGCGGGATTAGCTTCAGTCTTTTTTACCGGTTGATTAATTTCTCTATGGTCCATGAAAATATTGATAAATAAGTAGATAATCATAAGTGTATTTTATCCTTGCTAATTGTGATGTTGTAAATTTCATAGCCACGTCCAATTCCGTCCCAATCTCAACATGAGTTTTACGTTAATCTATATACATTATCACAAGACAACCTACTCGGTAAAAGAATGATGAACAAGGTCCGCGAAGAAGAAGCCGCAGAAACCGTAAACGTTACCACAATAAAGCTTTATGTTTCTTTGATGACAAATACTACCAATCCTAAACTATACATAAATTTGATAAGTAAGCAACATTTCTAGGTAAGTAGAAGAACCCTAATATCTTTATATATCCGAAGCATACTTAATAGGATAATGAACATATAAAATTTGCGTTTTTATGTTATTTATTTTAGCTACTCTAACCCTAATTGACCCTTACACTAAAGATTGTAATAGCTACGGTATAAAAGGCTTATACGAAGATATTTTACCATTGTGTTTTTGGTATAGCCGCACATACAGACCAGGTCAAATTGCTGAAAATAACTATCAGGCAAGGTATCGACGTTGTCGGTACAAGCAGAAATTTCTACTAATGGATTCAATTCTTTTGCACGTTGTAATGAGGCTATAGCTCTCTAAATGCAAAGATTATTTTTTTAAAGTACTATGATGAAGAGAAATTGTTGGTATTTGCACAATATCAAGTGCATACATTTTATATTCCAGGTACTTATGGGGGTTAATCAAAAGTGTAGTAACGCTAATCCAGTACTTACATTTTGGCCTATACAGTCTGGGGGTATCAAAAACTGTACCATTCGATCGTCCTCACAACTACATTGATCGTCTAAAAGTGTTAATGACTTAATACCGGTCAAAACAACATTTTTACAAACTTCAGCTCCTAATCCGTCTAGGCCAACTAGAAGCATTTTAGCATCTCGCAATCTATAAGTTAAAAACATAATAATCTATTATAAGTATTTGCGATGGCTTGGAATGCAACATGCTATAGTAGCTTGTACCCAAAGAGGAATACACATCAATATCATCGCTACCGCACAATCTAGTATCAAAAAAGACGTATTACGTTGTAGTCTACAATACAGTTATATTATGATTACTTCGATTCAATGCCAATGTTTTGTCTGACTGTAATTTAAGTACAAGATTTAACTCTAGATTATTGGAGGTTGAGATACTCCTACAAACGAAAGCTTGGATACAAGGCTGCTAGCTCACTGGCTCAGTGCACGTATATAAGATCACGAAGAGTTGTAAGTAGTGGCTATAAATGGTTGTAGAGAAACGCAATCAAGATAAATATTGCATATTCTCACTCCATTGTTGTTTTATTGCATAGGGGGTATCGCTAGTTTTCTGTTGGAATTGATGGTAATGAAAATTATGGATGTTCTAAATGCCATTATACTAGTAGAGTAGTATTTCGACGTTATGACTTGTAAAACTTGCTATTGCGACAAGGTAATCAATCATTCTTCCACAAAGTCCAGTACGAATGATCGTTACCCTATCTTCAAGAAGGTCAAGAATTACACACTACAGGATTTACTTTATCAAGTCTTTACATCTCTTCCTAGACTAACTTTGAGCCAATTACAGTACTGTACCAGTATCCCTGGCGCAACAAAGTATAACCATTTATAGGCTCTTTCAATCAGGCATTGATTGCCCGTACTCTTTCTTTAGCACACTCCAACCGAAAGTAGTGTATCGTATTCAACAGCATACAAATTAGCGTACGATGATGATGATGATTTTTCTAAGCTGCTTCAATCAGATGTCAATCCACCAAAGTAAAAGGAGTAAAAAGTATCATTGGACGTCAACAAGACTGTAGTGCACACTTTAGGTAGAATCAAGGAATCAAAATCAACTATCTTCAAGACTATCCACTGATTACTCTAAAGTACAACCACTACTGCAGATATAATAAGAAACTATATCGATGTCGTATATCAACCCAACGGTAGCCTAGGGGATCCATTTGCAAGATGAAAATGCGACGTCATGTTGTCATACCAATCAAGTATAGAAAATACATCAATTGCGAGTCATTTACTGATGATCAAATGTAGTCAATAGAGAATATGAACCGTTTCTGAGCTTCTACACCCCATAAACGAATCTGCCTATCGTAAACAGCGGCTTCGTCTTCGGTTAGAGCCATGTTTTCTCAGCTTGCAGTTGCCAATAGCGATCAGTTTCCAGGGAAGTTCAATCCAGCTCTAAGCTGGGCCTAGTGATGATGAGCTTGCTGGTGGTTTACTCTACAGTGTACAGTGCACTACGCTACAGTATGCATTGTACTGTAATGAGAATGTACTGTACCGTACTGTACCCCTAAATAGGGACTTGCAAAGAGGGAAACAAACCTTCCAGGGGCCCACCCTCTCTTTTACCATGGGTAAGGGGGGGGGAGGCCTGCCATTTTTTAGGCCTCGCATTCATCTTTCTGTACAAGTTCCAAAGCAAAGTACACCATAATAAGGGATAGCGTATCGCTATAGACACCCTCAGTAGTACCTGTAACTAAGCATGGACATCTAGAAATAAAAGTCCATGACCTACAGTAGTCTACATTGCTTCTTTGTCACGCCACGGTCGCATTTTGGGTTACTAGGATTGTTGAGTTCAGGCTAGTATCCAAAGTGGATGTCACTGAGGGCAATTCATTTTCCTATAATAGGTTTTACTTTCAAAGTCACATCCAAGCGACATCTATTTTGCTGACCAAATTATGTAACATTGCAGTATTGACACCCATCATTACTCGTCATCATCATTTAGAGCACTCATGGACTGTTGTATTGAGCAGGCTGTGAGATGCAGGTGTACGCATATATTAGTTAGTACAGTAATTAATTAATTTATGGTTATCTACGAATATAAAATAAGTAAAATTCAAACTCCAATATAAAAAAATCTCCAATTAGAATCGTCCCTAATACTACCATATACAGTAACATACCCTGAGAAGACTACACGTACAACTGTATAGTATACACTACTAGTTAGCTTAGTGTAACGTACAGTACCACACTTGGGCAGTACCATGGTCTACAGTATCAAACCGGGTCAGCATCGGCTTGGGCGACATTACTTTCTATCAAAGCCATATCATATGCTGTTGTATTGTGCAAAAAGAGATCATCCATGGTCGGCTGCATTGCGGCACATTGGCCGGGTAGCAAAGGCAATAACAACACATCACGCATGCGTTCCAAACCACCTTACTTTTATCTGAACTTCACGTGCAAGACGAACAAGATGGCGGAAATTGCCATTGATGCAATGGCGAATGGTAGTGATGATTATAAAACTGCCTTTAGCTGTGACGGCCAATATTTTGCATCGGTGTCTTCCAGTGGTCAATTGGCTGTCTGGAATAGTAAAAATTGTAAATTATTGCAAACGCATGACTTCCTCTCCAACCGAATAACGTGCATAGCATGGTCGCCTACCTGTAACAACCCTAATGATTCGTCAAAAGTAAATGTTGCTATCAATCGTAGCTGATGATATGCATACAACAGCTATCTTTCTTTTTCATTCTCTTTATTCCTTTAATAACGCTACTTGACTTGCTAGAGCTTAATTTGTATTTTATTATAATATTAGCAACCGCCTAGGAAGAAGAGCAAAACATCCAAAAAAAGTGCTCAAAATGCGACGAAAACCAATCTCTTAGCTGGTGGAAGTCCTACAGGCTCTTTAGCCATTCTAAACGTTAACAAGGGAGAAGTTTGTAGCAAGATGGTATGTAGCCTTGATATGGTATATTGTTGCATATTTTAGATTATTGGATTACATGAAGTAATCTCTAAATTGGACCGTTGTTGATGTAGGAGAATGGACATCATGCTGCAGTTACCTGTATATGTTGGAGTAGCGAAGACGTCCTATATTCTGCATCTGAAGATGGATTGGTCATTATTTGGGATTCAAATACTGCGGAAATAAAAAAGTTAGCCAACATCTTTTTTTAACGCTTTATCATATTTATTGATAGCCTTGATCTGCATATAGCTGATCGTCATTTTTTCTGTACTGACAGGCAATGGAAAGCTGAAAAATCACCTATTAGTGCGATGTGCACTAACAGCGATGGTACTAAATTGATATTAGCTTCAAGATCTATTAAAGTATGGAATGTAGAAACTCAACAGATTTTAACGGTATGTGTAATCACACCAAATTTATACTATCTACTATATTCAGTATCTACGTCGTTAAAAACTATCTAAAAATTAATACAGTATGACAGTGTCGTATAGTTCTTTCAAAACATCAGTCATACATGAGATTATGAGTATTTCATAGCCTTATCGTACGCCTTAGAATACAGCATGCCTGCAGCTCGAATGAAAATTTGTTTAAAGAGTTAAATATCCATTATTTCAAATAAGCTAACTCATCTTAAAAGTAAACGTTGACGTTATTGCTTTCATTGCAGAAATATACTGGTCATATCAATGATGTTGCATACCTAAAAGTCTTACCATCTCAAAAAACTTCTAATGCAGAATATTTTATATCTGGTGCCGAAAGAGATAAATATCTAAACGTTTGGTATAAACATGATTAGTTAATAAATGCAGACTTAAGATACAATCAATTGTGATTATAGTAATACTTATCATATATTTAGCTATTATCAATCGATTCGATACTTGCATTAAGAACCTCCTTGAATTTACATTTTTTTTAATAGGCAAATGTCTACGGAAAAAAGCAGCGTTCATAGCCCCTTGGCTACGCTAGCCTTAACGAATTACTCTGTTGGTCTAGATTGTAAATTGTTAAAAGAGGTGATTGTGGAGTAGAACTTTGTTTTCAATATCGTTTTGCACAAAAATTTCATGACAATTTATTCAATTTTTGATTTTTTGACTAGCTTTCCATAGCTGCAGTTTGTAGGGATGGCCAGTTGCATATATATTACATATCATTAAATGGGTTAGTTGTAAATAATATTCTCAAATTTGATTTGAAATGATCAATACAATTGATAGTGAACTTGGTTGCGATACATGCATTTTTTATAGGAGCAAACGGAAAAAGCCTGTATCACCTACGTCTTCAATACAAATTGTAACACCTGCAGATAAAGTAAAATAGACATTTGATAGTATTTGACAACAAGTTTTTAATCTACATGGAAAAAATTGTTATTAAATTAACGCTGTCTGTTGTAATATTTATGGTAATAGAACTCAACTCCACTACCTGTCCCAATATTTAATGCTCAATTTTGTGATGAAGCACTTGAGGAACAGCTGTTAAAAATATCATATGGATCACTTATAAATCCGAATTACGAAGATTTGGTATGATAACTAACAAGCGATTGTATATAACATGTTAATAGTAATCCAGTAATAAATTTAACAAATTACATCTAAATTATAAAATTTCCATAGGATATAACCAAATGCGAAACACATTGCTGCTTAATTCGCGACAATTCCAAAAATCTATTGCTAAGTAGAGATAAAGCTGGTACTGTGACATCGGTACTACAACATAAATAAAAATTATTTGCTTACTAGTATAAAATGTGTAAAGCAATTAAGTAAACGACGTTGTATTAAATATTTAGGCTCAGGGTAATAATAGTAAAGATGCCAAAATTATAGGGCCAGTTAATATGAAGTTAAGTAATGTTTCAGTAAATAAGAAATCGAAGACAACTAAAGAATCTGCTCATGAGGTATGCTATTCTTTGATTGTTTCTGTAACGTATTTCTTAAGTGGCTTATCAGTTGGTTTTTCTCGTAGGTTACTTTCCAAGAGAGACTAGATGCGACAAAAACACATTCACGCATAAATAGGTAATTACATATATCTTGATGCTAATTACGCTGTTCAGTATTGTAATCAGAAGTTTTTCTCAAAATGCTAAATACTATCTTAAAAATAGCGCTAGCAGCCTTCCAACGGCTGACTCTCTATCGCAAATGCTTATTCAAGCTGTTCATAGTCAGGATAGTCGCCTTTTGGATGTAAGTTGTTACTAGCAAAAAGATTATACGATTTGGGGATATTTGCTTCATAACTTAATGATAATAGCTTTAGGATATGATGCATTTTTTGATTCCTACATTTAATTTCATATTAGAGCGTATTACAAAATAATAAGGAAGTAATTGTAAGGAATACTATTAAGAGAATTCCTATTACTCTTATACAGCCATTCTTAAAAGAGGTATTAGATTAGGCAACATGATTTTAGTCCTATTAGATGCGTAGGCTTTTCGTACAGTGGTTAAATGTTATCATTCTTTTGTTAGGTTATAAAGCGCTTTGAATCGAATCCAAACAGGTAAAATTTTGTTTGAATGCATTAGCAAATGTCATATAACTTAAAATGGTTTTATTACTTATATCTGACGCGTAGAAGTGGCAATCTTACATTATGGCTAAAGACTGCATTTACCGTTCATAGCTCCTATTTGATTACGGTATGGAATCTTCTAAATTTTGTAATGCAGTAATTCTTATTCGCAATTCAACGTTAAAAATTACTTTGGTAACGTGATAATTGTACAATGTAGTTGCCAAACTTAATGGAAACGCTAGGAACCTTATATACTCTCATTGAAGGCCGTGTTCAGACTTATAATAAGCTAGCCCAACTAGAAGGACGCTTGGAAGTTATGCTTACTCAGGTTAGCATTTGCTCTGTTTCAATTGGTTAATTTGATAGTCATTATATAGTTACTTTAATATTGTAGTTGGAGACTCAACAAGATTCGACCGTCCAAGATCAGTACGCACCATTAAACATTTATGAAGGTACAGTATAAATCAGAATTCATTTAGATTATAAATTTTGAATTGTGAAAATACTTCGTATGCACTCTCTATGCACTTTAATCATCTCCTTTCACTTCTAGACTCTGATACCGAATCGGAAAATTTTAGTATTGGAGTGTCATCATCATCTGAGGTTCATAATTATGCTTTTCATTGTACTGTATAGCTAGTACGTCTGTTAAGGTGTCGTAATTGTTTTATTATCTACTTCTTAGGATGAAGATCAGTTGCTTGATCAATATTCAAGTACGGGTGATACAGAAGATGATATGGGCAATTCTGACGAAGCCGAATGATGAAAATAACTCATGGTTTTAGTGTTTCTTGGCTGTCAATATTGTATGTAAAGTATAATGGCTTACTGCTGTTATAGATGTACACCATTATTTTATATAAACAGCAATAAGCATGCTTGGTAAACTGTGTATCATATAAGCAAATCTCTTATTGGAACGTTGGTGAAGCGTTCTCTATTGGTGATCGCACCTCTTCCGTTAGTCTTATATAAAAATATTTCCGAGCTGAATGTATCAATTGGAACAAAAAATTATAGCAGAACTAACTTTTTATGATAGTCATTCAACGTACTCAAGGAACTAAAATTGAAACTCCTAAGGCATTGTCGTTTTGAATGACAAACAATTAAAGCACTTCAATAAAATTTGATATCATTTTTCCAATCCTTGCTTCAAGTTTACGATAGGATATACAAATTAATTCAAAAGTGTGTAGATAAAGTCATTTATGACTAATAATTTATCAAACGTAATCGATCGGAGTAATTTAAGTAAGTAATAATTTAGTCACAATGCATGTAGATTTCAATCTCGAACAAAATCATCAATCTTGGAAAGTAACATATTGAGATTCACTGCATACATTTAGAGTTTCTTTAAGACTTTTCCTGTCATATAATCATATGCATGTCGGCTAAAATATACATGATCAGGGTCACAATCAATCTTCGGCATACACATGCCTTTTCTTGCAGAATGAAGAAAGAAATAATGTGCACAGGCTTTCCTTAATATTTCATTTTCATTGTACAAACGACGCTTAGCATGAAATCTACGAGAATCAAAGAACAACCAGTACTCAAAAATTGTATTAAAGCCATAACAGTACTATATCACTTTTTCTCACGCGACGGAACGAAAAAATTTTTCTTCATTCACCTGCAATATTCAGAAAATGTTAGGACGTAACACTTATCAATAATGCAGTTTGCACTATTGTCATCTTGGTGTCTAGAAGAAAGTAGCTCTTTTTCACCATGATAACCATTCAATCTTCCTATTTCTGTCTGCTCTGGCCTGTAGTACCATAATACGGTGATCATTATATCATCTGACTCTATAGCAATCCGAAAATTCAAAATTAATTCATCAATACCTACAGTAGTTTAGTACAATATCGACAAGAGAACTATATAATGACAAGCTTTGCATTTACCAGTATTCTCCCAGATTGATAAAACTCTTCCAATATACGGTAAATCAATTTTACGAGGCCCCGATTGTAACAAGACGTTATCTTTTACAGAAATTAGCTAAAAAATTAATTTATAATTAATTAATAGAAATAATAGATTGATATCCAGTTCTAATATTAGTAATTGCGAAATAATTACCAAGTTTTCTTCTAAATTTCTCATGCTTGTGTAGTATCGCTTACAATGAGATCCGTTCTGGTAGTAATAAAACCAATAAAGAGTTTAATTCATGATTTTACTTACATTTACAGACAACCACAATCATACAGTAAATTGACTACTCAGTATTATACAATAACGTACTACAGAGCTATTCTATTCTAAAAACCTATCAAGCCATGGTCTAAACATCTGTAGTGTTTAAAAATCTTTTTACAAATTATAAACTCTGCTTTAAAATAAGACTTGCCAGTTATTGTAGAATAATAAACTTACCAGAGAAGCTATAGTCACTGGTTTTCCAATTCCTATCCAACACCGCTTACTTGCCTAATACCCAAAATATTAACCTCTCAGAGTTCCGTCATTACGCAAATATTAATAAAGCAAATTTGCGGATTAAACAGGAACTTTTGTGTTATCATAATAATGCCTTACCTTATTCTTATTCTTCATTATCTTCGAATAACGGGAATGACTAGCTTCTCCGTTATTAGCATTATCAGCTATTGGATAAATAGCAAACCGCTCAGCTTTTGATCATAAATATTAACAATTTAGCACACACATAAAAGTTAATTTAAAAGTATCAATGTAATGTAATAACGTTCTTTATCTATCACAATAATATGGTTATTAACATGTTTGTTTATAAGGTTATCAACATCAATACCAAATCAATTATCCCTTCGAATGTAATTATTATTAAAGATTGTGATTAAAAATACCTAAAATTTCCTACCTGTGTTAGTTGTTGTGACAGAGGTTGTTTTATTTGTCTTCGATCGTTTAACGTTCGAGCTTTTACCTTGACTAATAGTATTTTTCCATACCAATTGATCAGACCGCGGTTTTGATTGTATTAAACTAGAAACACCTGTTTTTGAGGGCGATAACTTTTTCGCTCTTCTCTTAGGTAAGTGCTGTCTTTGAGAAAATAGCTTTGGTCCGCAATCTGTGAATTTATATTTTTTATTTACTTTAGAGGTATCTGATTTTACAGCCTGATCTTGGCTAGTTTTTTTCTTATCATCTTCGACTACATCATTATTGTATCGATTTTTTGGTCGTAGTTTACTTTGAAATATATTATTATCGGAAACGTTTTTATTTTCTAACTTAGCTATACGATCTGAAAACGAAGTCTTATCCTCTGTTGTTACATGTCTTTTCTTATCGGATGTCGATAAAGCGGAAACAATTGCACGAGCAGTAACACTAGCTTTTCGCGGCGGTAAAGTATCTACGCTGGCACCATTCGAAGTCTCTTTCATTATCTTATGATTACTTGACTCTTTGTTACTTAAACTATTCTCAGTACTAATAGCGCTACTGGTTTCACTGTAATTGTCATCTTGACTGTTGCTATATTCTGTGCAATGAGTAGAACGAGAACTACTAGTGGTGCTATAATTTGATCCAAGTTCAAGCTTGTAATCAGTAGATTTTTCCAAGTCTTTAAAAGGAGCTCCATTCAGATTAGTAGAAAGTAATTTGACATACATTCCTTCACGTTGATCCACCTTCAATGGGTGCTTTAACAATGTTTTATTTTCGGTATCAGAATTTCTTTCGAATTGAATTTTGAATTTTCTACCGGCATTGATATTTATCGGTATTAGCCCTACATAAGCATCAATGTTACAACTTTTTTCAAGTCCAGCTACATCACTTATAGTTGTCGTCGGTTCTTGCATATCTTTTTCAGAATAGCTAGTTTGTTCTAATTTTGTATCTTTTGTGTAGGATGATATAAGGTTATAGCATTCTTTATTCTTTAATCTAATGCTTTGTGAAGAATGTATTAATAAAGGATCGGAGTCTTTTCGGATAGTAAGATCTTGCGATGGAATACGCCTACCCTGTAAAAAGATAAATGGAGTCTGCTAATAATATCGTAATTTTGTCATTTACCTTTTTTAAGCAGTTTTTGTATAATAGCGGAATCTATTTACAATTTCATTAGAAGCGTTTATACAGGGCAGTAGGTACAATGTGTACAAATAATAATTAAAAATTACTGTCTTCCTTATTGTATTTGGGAAAAGCCTTACACTATAACAAGATAAATGGAGTCTGTTACTAATGTAGCAATATTGTCATTCACCTGATTTAAACCGTTTTCATACAATAACCGAGTCTATTTACAACTTTATCAGCAGTGGTTATACAGTATCGTGTAGGTAAAAATGTGTAAAGAACGTAACTAAAAATACTGTTCTTCTTATTTATTACGCAATACAGTTCAAACATCGGAATATTCCAAATATTTTGACCTTATCCAGCACTGTATATTATAATATCCATTTATGTGATGATTTATAAGCATATATGTCATAATTTAAAATGATGTAATCCAGCTGCTTTGGCTAGTCTTTACTTAACATTCCATATCGATAAAAAATTAACGACAAGTTTAGTTTAATAAGTGCTACAATCGTATGTCTTTACCATGTATAGCAACGAAACTAATGGTCTTGTTGGCAAATGTCTTATTTGAAAGGGAGCCAGTAAATAATATTATTATTTATATACGTTATGGTATTCAATATTGGGACTCTAAAGAATTTTAAAGATAGCAACAATGTCAGATTAAATACTGAAAATTTGGATCTCATACTTAATATGGAATTTAACGTATTTTCGTTATTTTCAATATAATATAAGGCATCGTCCGTTAAATCTACGCTATGGGCGTTCATGTGGATTGTGGACTTTGAGATCCACTATCAGTGGATAGAATTAAATAAAAATGGGCCGCTTCAGTTGGTACTGCTTAGAATTTTTCACACGGAGTACAACCATAAATACAACACATGGATAGTCACTCCAGCTTTTTTTTAATTCCAATAGTTACGATTAGTAATTATTTGTACTCGAGTAGGTAATTAGAAGACTTTATATGCTTTCTATGATTTTTTTCCGTCACATCGTTTGAAGTTCAATCTACTTCTTAGATTGAGAACTATAGGTGCTTTAAATTTATAGATAATGCTCACATTAGAATCTCTCTAGGATTTCTAATGGTCATCAATCTCAGGAGCGCTTTAGCGTATTTTATCTCTCAACGATAACACAGGGCGAGATGAGTAAAATATTTTATGGATATATTAAAGAACAGTCATATTATTTTCTTCCAATATCACAGTCTGTGAATATGGCGTATTCCTTCAACCTAGACAGAACTATATATATATATATATTTGTACTATATCAACATAGCTAATGAATCGGTAGTTTCCCAAATTGACTAACGAATGAATAAAGGTGCAATCGTTTTTTTAATCGTTAGATATAGCTACAGTACAACAATGTATGGTAGTACCAAAATCAGTTTCTATCTCACATGGGCAATAGATTGTCCCTAAGCATAAAATCAGGCCATTCGCGTTGTGGCTAGCAGCTTATTGTATATTGTGAATGGGAGCTCTGTTTCTCACTAGAGTAACAAGGAAATATTGTTTCTATTCAAAGTAAGTGCAATCTAAATCAGTAATTTGTGTCTGTATAACTTACCACTAGTTCTGATAGACTGATGATCGAAATTAGCAAATATTGTGAATAGAAGCTCTGTTTCTCACTAGAGTAACAAAGAAATACTGTCTCTATTCAAAGTAAGTGCAATCTAAATCAGTAATCTGTGTCTGTATAACTTGCCACTAGTAGTGATAGACCGATGATGGAAATGAGTTTTTATACAAAATCAATAACGAATTGCTACTTTATATTTTTCAAGAAGCTTCATTGCAATTACTTACTCAGCAAGTATTGAATGTTGTCATAGCTAGTATCAAGTGATGATCAAATTTTGTTTTAGATGACATTGACTTTGCACCTTCGAATTCTCTAGCTAAGGTTATATCCGAGTAACTTTATAACATTATGACTACATTATGCGCTCATGGGCCAAATTAGGAATTTGTTCTACTATTCCAAGATAGGGGTAAGAGTCTAGAATATGAATGTAGTGAAAAGATCGGATATAAAAATAGCAAGAATATTTAAACTGTTTGTGTAGAACCAAAGCGTAAGCATACAAATATGAGAAAGGATAAAGCAGCTGATCATTTTCAATAACTATAAAATAGTCATATATAAATCTTAGTCCAATATTACTGATCTATGTTTACAACGAATAAACAAACATGGGCATTTGATTGTAGAGCTGTAAGCTACCGTAAAAAGAGTAATACCTATCAACGGATGTGATACTTGTAACTGAAAGATTCTATTTACTGTACCCATCACCATTGCAATGATTCACTGTAGCTTATGATCCATTTCTATCCTGTAGAAGACTAGTACAGTCGATCGGTGGATGCTTTTACGAATTCGTTATTGTTGATGAATAATAGTATTAAAACGAACTCCTAAAGCGAAAGTAAGTAGAAGAACTTGTTTTTCTTTTTATCGTCGTGGGTCCACGTCAAGATGAACATAGCGATATAACCTCAACAGTAAGCAATGGCATGGTGTCAAAAAAGAGTGTAGGTTGTTAATACTGTACTTCATTTTACTAGCACAACAACAAGATCAAACAAACAATTTTGATTGCAATTGGAGGTGGTGTTATCCGAACGCATTCCATTTACTCTTTGTCAAATGGAATGATCATCAGTCTGTCCATTTCTTTTACGTACATCCTTAGCTCGTTTAGAACGATTTAGAGCGCTAATGCGAGGGTTTTGACGAGACTTATCATGTGGATCTTTAGCATAAGGCTATGTAAAATATTATTTCAAATACACAAGACGATAAAATCGTACCCTTGTGTTATTTAAGAGTGGCTAAAAAATAAGGGAGAAGTATCAAATGCAGTAATGGACTGACGACTATATACGGCAGTTGTAGGCTTGTAGCAATGATGATCTCGTTCTAAATAATTCAGTCAGCCCTCGACTCAAGAGTCATCAAAATGAGAATCGATGGCGAATTCGAAAGTAATGATTGTCCTGCTTTGCTAAAAATTATTCATTCATTAATTAACCTTGTTCTGCACCAGTTGATTATAATTAGAATTAGAATAGCGTATAAAAAGAAAAGCCAATTCAATTACCGTAGTTTAAAGCACTTTTGTCAACAAATTTATTATTGAAAGACAGTCAACACTTTTGTATAGGTAATTTTGGGGCAGCGATTGGAAACATTTTTCACATGCCGGCTGCCATTCAGATTGAAAAGATGCAGTAGTGTGTGCAATCAATGCGATACGAGTAGAATATATGTGTTGTCGTCAAAACTCCAATTTGGCCAATCCTATAATATGTAATCAATCAATACAGTGACAAGTAGACATGCAACAGTCGTGGTGAATGTCGAAATAGTTTCTTTGACCATTCATCATAATTATAGTATAGTATTGGAAGCTTGTAAAGTAGATTGTACTATTACGCGATTGAATATGATTTAGATTGTACGCAAGTTTAAAATTCAATAGCATTACTGGACGATCAGGATTGCGTTGGAATAGAATATTGATGTTGAAGTCGACGGTAGGGGTATGTTGAGGGCCTTTTGAACCGTTGTAAAGGTACGAGACACATGAAAAAGTCCAAAATGGACACTTGCCATGATATCCACACGTCTCAAGTTTCTATGCAATAGGACAGCAGTTGGACCATGGTGGTAAAAGAAAATCTGTGTGCGTCCTTTTATCATGCTAGTATAATGAACAAGTCCTGCATGCAATAGACATTTTGATGATGGTAGACGCATTTTTCAACGGTAGAGATTGGAGACATTTTCTACTGTGTATTTTGACTCAATAGAAGGACGCATTACGAAACTATTCAAGCCCAGACTAGCCAGTACTCTATCGTAGCGAATAAAAGGCGTTAGCGAAGTAGGCTAGACATTACTCAACGACTAACACCTCTAGAAGAGCGCAACTACTGTCAAGAAGGAAGTGCAAGAGAATGAATGTACAAGGCGTGAAACTGTGCATCCAAATCACCTTTTCGATGTCTTCATCTTGTTGTCGCTGCGGTAATTCCATCCTATTTTACTGGAATCGATGAATGATCAATGCTTGTCTTGCCATTGAGTTCAATGTTTTGCCACTAGACAAAGATCATTTCTTTCTTCTAAAGCGACAAAAAAATGAGCATTTTCAATGACGGCGAGAATCGTCTACAACCTTTGCATCGCTCTACTTTAGGCATGTCCAGACAAGTCAAATTGACTTTTTTCTCCTGTGTTGTCCATTTAGTATCAACTATGTTGTTACTGTTTGCTTTCACCGCAAGTGATTGTATTCTATTCTGCTGCTATGGATGCAAAGATTGATTCTGCTAACCTGTCTGTGTCTTCAATATTCCAATAGATCCAAGAACCGGTTGGATTGCAATTCTTTCTGTTGGCCGGCAAGCGAGAATCAATCAATCTCCACACCGTCGATCGTGTTGGAGTTTCTTTTGCCTAGCAGTATACTGTTGTAGTGCTTTAGTCTTACTCTTTCCTCAATCAAAAGGATAATGACGACGGCTAAAATAGACGATCAATCTTGGATAGTGCAAAGCAAGCTTGAAGAGGAAGTAATAGGATGATGAACAGCAGGAGATTTTGCTGGATCCAATGGCGATTAATTTGGGCCCACTGCAAGCGGTCTCGGTGGCCAACTGACGATCAATGGCGCGGATAGCGTCGAGTCTATACTACAGTACAGTACGGTATTGTACTGTCGGGCGTCCGTCTCGTACCGTGTACTGAGTGTACTCGACTGGCCTGGCCCGTGTCCTGGTACCGGTCCAGCACGGGACGGTAAGCTAAACCAGTTGGTATCAACATGCACAAAATGGCGTTGAAATGGATCATTTGCTTGCTTTTGCTAGCGGTCTTGATCATGCAAAAATACAGAAGGAATATTACTTATTAGAAGAAAAGTCTAAGCATGAGAGTTGTATCATCATGCACAAAATGGCGTTGAAATGGATCATTTGCTTGCTTTTGCTAGCGATCTTGATCATGCAAAAATACAGAAGGAATATTACTTATTAGAAGAAAAGTCTATGCATGAGAGTTGTATCAACATGCACAAAATAGCGTTGAAATGGATCATTTGCTTGCTTTTGCTAGCAAATGATCATGCAAAAATACAGAAGGAATATTACTTATTAGAAGAAAAGTCTATGCATGAGAGTTGTATCATCATGCACAAAATGGCGTTGAAATGGATCATTTGCTTGCTTTTGCTAGCGGTCTTGATCATGCAAAAATACAGAAGGAATATTACTTATCAGAAGAAAAGTCTTTGCATGAGAGTTGTATTATTCCAATGTCAATCTGATATTGCATCTAGGGCTATCCAAATTAACTTTCAAGTACTTTTCAACTGGACATACACTCTAACGCAAACCCTAACTATCCTAAACCTAACTTGCTATCCAAATTAACTTTCAGCACTTTTTCTAATGGACATACATTCTAATGCTAACCCTAACCTAAACCTAACTTGCTATCCAAATTAACTTTCGATACTTCAAATGGACATACACTCCATTTGAAAAAGTGCTACGTATTGAATGTCAATCTGATATTGCATCTGGGGCTATCCAAATTAACTTTCAAGTACTTTTTCAACTGGACATACACTCTAACGCTAACCCTAACCTAAACCTAACTTGCTATCCAAATTAACTTTCGATACGTAGCACTTTTTTAACTGGACATGGTAGAACTTTCATGCAAGTACTTGTATTCTGACTAGTAATATTGCTATTTTCACAATGAGACCATTTCCGTTTGCACGATTGTTAATTGTAGTCTAGGAGACTACGTCTGTTTGAACGATCTAGTCTTTTCTGAGGTTTGCCTGCTTCTAAATTGTAGCCCTTGAGACTATGTCCGTTTGCACGATTGTAAATTGTAGCCTAGGAGGCTGTGTCTGTTTGAACGATCAAGTCTTTTCTGAGGTTTGCCTGATTAAAAATGGTAGCCCATGAGACTATGTCCGTTTGCTGGATTGTAAATTGTAGCCTATGACTTTGATGAGACTACTGTAGTCTCATAAGCTACAATATACAGTACAATCGTGCAAAACTTCGGAAAAGACTTCTATGATTCAATCCTGTACCTTCCTTTTGGTAGTACTCAATATTCTTTACACTCAAAATAGTAACATTACTTGTTAGATTAAAAGTGCTTACACCAAAGTTATATTATTCCAATCCAAATCTGATACTGCATCGAAATTCACTTTCAATGCGTAGAATTTTAAAAACGGGTATAGTCTCATAGGCTACCTTGGACAATCGTGCAAACAGCGGAAAAGACTGCGATTACCTTCGTTTTGGTAGTATATTCTTTAGAGGGAAATATTAATATTACTTGTCAGAATAAAAGTGTTTGTATGAAAGTGACATCATTTCAATCCAAATCTAACGCCATCGAAATGAACTCTCAATACGTAAAACTTTTCGAACGGACGAATTTCTGCAGCTGCCAATGTTCATATGACTCCATTGATATAAGGAAAGGATGAGAGCGTCCTCAGATCCAATCCCTGACATGTCCAGCAATGGCGCAGAAACGCATCCTTTTCTTCGTTTTGGCAGTATTCTTTATAATAAAAAATAGGAACATTATTTGTCAGAATAAAAGTCTGTACATCAAAGTTATATTATTCGAATCTAAATTCCACGCTGTATTTGATACCATCGAAATTAACTTTCAATAAGTAAATTATTTCCAATGGACGAATTTCTACAACTGTCGGTGTCAACATGATTCCATAAACATGAGGGAAGGGCTATGAATTGAACGTCCCTAGATCCAATCCCCAACATATCCAGAAATGGCGCTGAAAGGGATCTATACCTTGAATTTGGTAGTATTCCTTATAATAAAAAATAGTGATATCATTTGTCAGAATAAAAAGCGTTTGCATGAAAGTTATATCATTCCAATCTAAATCTGACACTGCATCTGATGTTATCGAAATCAACCTTTAACACGTAAAATTTTTCAAACGGGCGGATCTCTAGAACTGCCGGTATTCATATGACTCCATTGATAGGAGGAAAGGTTATCAATTGAGTGTCCCTTGATTTCTTATAAGAAATCCATTTAAAAAATGCTTATCACTTAGATTTTATGTAATCAAAGTTGTAAAAGTATGCGTCTTAACGATGCATGTTTAGTTCAAATACACAATCAGGATGGTTTATGTTAACTTTGACTAAACAGCTTTTGCCAATTTTCTTGACAGTGAATTATTATCGCAAAATTGAAGTTACAGGCGATATCCTTTTTCTTCTCAAATAAATTGACAGAAAATGAAGTGATGAATAATTATTCATTTGGATGCCAATTTAAACTTACTATCTAAGATAGAGCGCAGATAATGAGAATATCGACCAATCGATTTTTGGGGGGGGACGTAGGACAGAATTGCTCTACTGGTGTTTTCAAGTTATTACCAATGCAAAGACGCAAACAACGCCTTATTGTAACGGATTAAAGAATCATTTCCACTAATCTAATACCCATAATACAGGCACAACAGAAGAATTATTTCAACATGAAATTAAAAACTTGACGAGCGGTACCAAGTTTAGAGGGTTTTAAAAGCTGTTGTTAAAGGCATCCAGTGAAGCAATAATGTTTATACGCATATACGTATGCTAAGAGCTAAAGGTGTACTTGCATTGTGATGCTTAGCGCTTAAATAAGATTAGCAAAGTGCACAAAGTTGAAAAGTTCCTTGGTCGCATTTCAAATTGGACTACCAATTCACAAAATTTAAAAGTGCAGCCTTCAAGATCAAAGAATAAGATAGTGCTGTAATCTTCATTAATTTGACTATCCTTAAAGTATTGTATATCAGTACGAGTATAGACAGGGCGGAAAAGATTTTCAAATGTGCTTCAAATTGTCACCCCTAAGTTAGTAGAAGATTGTTTTAAGGAGAAATTGATATAATTTTGTCCATTTGGAATATGCGTAATCTTCATTAATTTGACTATCCTTAAAGTATTGTATATCAGTACGAGTATAGACAGGGCGGAAAAGATTTTCAAGTGTGCTTCAAATTGTTACCCCTAAGTTAGTAGAAGATTGTTTTAAGGAGAAATTGATATAATTTTGTCCATTTGGAATATGCGTATATACCAGTGTTGTTATATATCGATACATACGCATATAGAGAGTGGAAAGTATATTTCAAATTTTATTGCTTAATACACGGAAGGGTTATCTGAAGCACTATAAAATTACACAATTTTCATTTATTTATATGTAGCATATACCGTAAGTTATGGATAAATCCAAAGTTAACCAATTCCCAAATTATTGTACAATCCTACGACTTTATTATCGAACAAGTATGCAAATATATCGTATACGGTATACACAGCGGAAATGTACTGTATTTTAAGTTTTATTATCCATTCAAGGGATCGAAATGAAAACTGCCTTGAAAGTGATAAAATGAAAGGCTTTACTGATTATTTTTACCCGTAACATCAACACAGGACGAAGAACTTTTTCAATTCTATTCAAACTTATGAACAAATTCGCAGGATCAGGAAAGTTGCATTAAGAACATGAAATAACAATTACCGTTTTGAACCGAATCAGTTGATACATCGTAATTACATAATAATAAAGATCGCTGATTTATCGGTACATACACGAAGTGAAAGAGTTGCATTTTACACTGAAATTACAGTACAATTCAAAGGATTCCAAAATTGTCTTAGAAATGATGGAATTTGATGACAGCTTTCGTTAAGTTATTTTTATAGACCGAGCAGAAGAATTATTTCGGCTATATTTTAAATTATTCCATTCAATTTTGAGGATTCAGAAAAACTGAATAATCATATCATAATTTTCAATATTGGCATGCATGAATGCGTCGAAGGGTAGGGTTCTTTAGTTGCATTTCTAGTTTGTCACCAAGTTCATAAAATTTACAATATGTCTTCGAGATAATTTTCCCAAGGCAGAAGCTGTTGTGCTGTACTACAAAAATCATAATGCAGCACTAGGCTCGATATGGTATACCGAATTTTAAAATTTTTGAATGAAAGGGCGAAAGCGTCGCTGACTTAGAAACCGGTTTGCTCACTTCAAAATTTTGATAAATTTTATGCAGTCGGTAATTGATTAGATGTAATCCACCAGTCAAAACACTGAAAATATTGTATTGTGAGACTGTGTCACTACCGGGATTTATCCATTTCTTAAAATTCTTCGACAAACTATTACTACCAAGTCATTGATATTGTATAATAGTAACAATGTCTCTGCTTAAAAGAATCCTCAACTAAACTTAATGATACTTAATCAATCGTTCCACTAAAGGCTAAAAATTATAATTCTTCTAACTTAAGATGTACAGTACTGCAAATAGATGCTACATGTTCAGCAACATCCAAGACTGATTTTTTACCGGTACGGCGCCTGCCGCCTAGGCTAATCCTATACTTATCTTAGACAAATAACTATCCTCAATAAATAAAGGATATAGTAAGTAAAATTTCCTAGTCAGAAAAGCATGATGATGGAATTAAACATAGACTTTATCAGGACAGCATAAGCAACCTCTTATCTGCATTAATCATAGCATTGTACATTATTGTTTTGGACATCTGGAATACCATAACTCAAAATCTGAAAATTTCCCGTAGAAATATAGCCAATCGGTGTACAGGGAGCAAAATCTGTCTAACACTAGCAAAATTACTACATCATCTAGACAGTACCAACGGTCACTACACATAAACTAGTAAGTTTTTGCATGCACAACTTTTATACTTTTTTCATTATAACCATGTCATAGTAGAATTAATTACAATTATTTTAACATTTCCTAACAGGAATAGATATATTTTACTTCATTTCATAAATATTTCATAAATTAAAATATGTTTATTATATCTTTACAACGCAAATAGTTGAATTTCTTAAACAACGTTGTAATCAAGATGGTTACCAATATCACCCCAAGATTTAAAATACATAATCCATGTATTCATTGGTAAAAAGTTAAATTACATTCATGCCATTTTTAGATAGATAGGTAGAAAGACATGAAAACAAAGCTTAAAATGATAGCTTCAATATGATTTTTTGGTTAAATTTTACTAAAAGATAATAGAATTAATAATCAAAGCCATGCAATACTAGGTTTAACATTTAACTTTAGCAAGACTTTTGTAATTCATGTACAACTGTTACAATTGGCATTTATAATGATTACTTAAAATAAAAATATGCTTTTCAACATACATATCTACGGTTTTTACCACTGTAAATCAGTTACCAAAACCATTAATTTAGAATACCTACTCGGAGTTTTATAATGTCGTATTTGATCTCACTGTGATGTGCTGATAGCCAATACAGCAAGTTTTTCCGCTAGAATGATCGTGATCTTGATCTACTACGACGGTTCCTACATAAACCAAACAGAATGCCACAATTTATGTCAAAGCACAGTTAATTAGGAAAATGAGTTTTGCGCATATAGTACCACGTAATAAATTTATTACTGCGACAGTATAGGCTAAGTATTAACCTGGACTTAAGTCGCACTTGTAAGTCATAAATTTCATCTTCTCGTTGCTAGCATAGATCAAGAACGATCTTTAGTGAAACATTTGATGTTGAATAAAATTTAGTCGTAAATAGCAGTAATACCGCTCTTTCTAATTCTTTCTTTTCTTGACGTTCTTTTTCTAATTTATGATCATGTTTTACTGTCGTAATGAAGTAGACCAAAAATTTTAATGAAACAGCAAATTATTGAAATGCAGACATTTATAGGTAACGTAGTATATCAATCAGTTTATTTATACTTCTTACAGTGTTTATTAAGAGCCCGTTGCATTTTAAGTTTGAGCATTTCCTGACGTGATAGTGTTTTCTTAAGATAGAACATTTAAAAAAACACCCTAAGATTAGAACTAGAGTTACTAAACTTGTCTCAGAGACTTTAACCTGAACCATCGCCATATAATGCGTCAGTATTACCTTCTCCGTATCTTTGCCAGGTCTAATATTAACGAAATAATAGCAAGCACAGGATCATAATTTTATATGCATAAAGTAAAAAATATAGCAAATCCTTATGGTTTACTTCTCAAATCCATAATACGATCATAGACAGTACATTACAATATATATATAAAGAATATTGCATTATATTAATCCTTTGCATTCCGTCTTACGTTAATGTCTTCTTAATGGGTTTAATAGCGTTTACTGGCGGAGATTTTCTTGGGCTTAAACTTCTAGAATCTCGACGATTGGAACGTCTATCGCGACTATCACTCCTACGATGACGATCGGAACTACGGCTTCGTGCTCTTTGCTTGTATTTCTTATACCTTGATGATTCCGCACTACTGCTGCCGTCACGGTGTCTACGTCGAGATCGCTTTTCAGAGCTCCTACTCCGACTGTATCTACTATGCTTTCTACGACTCTCCCTGTCGTAACTTCTACTACGACTCTTGTAATTTCTGCGCCTATCCTTACTACTATTTCTACTGTGATACCTATCTTTGTATCTATCAGTACTATATTCCCTCGATCTTTTCCTCTCTCTGTGACATGTGTAGATTAAATGAAATCATAATTGTACGAATCAGATATAATAGTAATTACAATTAAATTGAAGACTGAAGTCATAAATGTTAGTAAATAAAACAAAATATGCTTTTCAAATTTCATCAATGGAATATTCATTGTAAATGTAATAATTATATTTAAACTAAAGCATTGAAATGTTTCGATAGTATCACGCTATTTAGAAAGCAGTTGTTACGGCAACGTCTTCGAAGGCAACAGTTACAATATTCAAAGTTACCAACCGATGTCGAGAAGAGCTGCTCAACTGTTCACGACAGTTTGCAGATTTTTTATTTCCATCGGCTTTGGTAGCACCAGCAGAAGAGAATTCAGTTATAAATTTAATTTCGTCCCCTGATCCTTCGGAAGATTCCGAACCAGATACGGATCTACAAGCACGTGTAAAATATGTAAGGTATCTTTCATTATTCCTGCCTTAAGAAGTACTAAAATAATAACTATTGGAATGGTAGGAACAGCAATTCAAACCTTTTGTATGGTTCGTACGTTGGGCTTGAACGACGAGCATAACTATGCGTAATGCGAAATTACTATTATTATTATTTGTTAAGCGGTATTACATCAGTAGGTAGAAAATAAGATTAAAAAAGATTACCTAGGCGGCGAGTGTGCCTGGCGTAAATTCGATTCACTTCGCCCTAGATGATCATGTCTAATTGCTCTTCGACCCTTGAGTTTACATTCATAATCACATTATCGTTATAAAGTTATTAGGCTAGCTATGAATTTATAAATGTCCAATGGCAATATTGTACGTACATATTTTACTAAACGTTCAGCCTCCTCCTTCTGAGCTTTATCACGAGCTGTCAAATCAAGAATGTCTTCTCTAATAAATCTAGATAGAATTTTAAATCTTTAACTTGCTCATAAAATGTTATACATTTATATACAAGAGTAGATACATACGTATGTATATCATCATACAATATCGCTTTCAAAAGTAATCAAGTGAACAGTATCAAGTTACCTGCAAAATGTGCCCGAACCAATTCCGTATGAGCTAGCCGCTAGATTTAATTTATCTCGCTGCAACATAATACGCAATATTTATAATGTATAAAATATCCTGTAGATCATCATTAAATCACTGTACATGTACTATATTTATTCATATTACTTCTTTGTACCATTTTAAATCCTATTTAACGTACCTGCCCTTCATTCAATTGATCGGGATCAACGTTACCTTCTGTTTAGCATATTAAGAAAGTGCCGAGAATAAGGCATTCTTAGAAAAGATACAGTAAGTTAGTTATTTAGTTCGTAATAGTAGATTACCAGACGAAGGTTGAAGAAGAAATTCATCTTCATCAATATCATCAATATCACTATTTTTTGTATTTTCGTCAGCCTTCTCAGCATACTGATAATTAATAGTAGCAGCTTTCTCAGATAATCTATAAAAGATGACAGTAAATACATCAGTACCGTTATGGCAAATCGATATAATTTTGGTATAAAGTATAAACATGCTAAAAACCACCGAGTGAGTATACTTCCACTTTTTGTATGATAATAGCATTATTGCATTACTTTTCCTTTTCTGCTTCACTTGCTGCAGAAACTTTCCTTACAGATAAAGGTATATCTTCTTCCAACTCAATTTGTTGTAACACCATGTCTTCCGAGACTACAGTTACAGAAGTAAGTTATCAAAGGAGAAAAGGAAATCTCACAAGTATAGAATTAAAAATTTTCAAAATGTGTTATGCCGTAGGAGAGATAATATGCAAGTTGTGGCGTTTTTAGTACTGTAATTTTATTTATTAACATATAAACACTTAGCCATTTTATTAATGTTGTTAAAATATTGCAATGGTTCGAGTAAATTTATTTAGTAACAATTTTTTTAATTATGATGCGAATTACCCCCTAGGAAATCGCTCTTTGCTAAAATTTTGTATCTTTCGTAGTTTAGTTGTAGGTCATCGTAGGTTTGCTTATTATCTTCGTTATCAGATTCAAAATTTGGCAAATAATCCAGGTGTGCTCTAGCATCAAACCTAAAATGTGAAAATCAACATATTATAAAAATATATACTTTTTGATTGCAGCTAAAAATAGAATATACATGTATGTTAACTTTGCTGTTATAAGTAAATAAAGTGCATCTTTTAGCGTATATCTTTGCATTTTTGTAATCTTACAGCAATAAATCTTCGTTATGCAAGCTATTATTAATATTATTAAAGTGATATAATATACTATTAACTGACCTGTCAATCAGGATATCAGGTTGACCGCGCCATTGCATCCTAATGAAAGAAAGTAGCTTCCTTTATGAAAAATACTAAATTGATTGTACTGTATATCTACGGTAAAACTTTGTCAATTTTATGAAAAAGAGTTTAACTCATACGTACATGCTATCTGAGCTTTCAACCACATTTATATGTATCTTGGCAGCAACTCCTACAATTCGCAGTTGTTGAAAGGGATCACTTGCCTGATAAGTGTAGAAAACGAAATTTATGATGTTTAGATGTAAAGAAGGTAGTTATATAAATTATAATATCAGCAGCTTCATGTGTCGATTGCTTGTATGCGTGTCTTTAAGCAAGAGTAAGAATAGTCATGAGAATTTAATGTATTTGCATAATTTCTGTACGTGATTACAATACTACAATATTGAAAAGCAAATCATGATCTACTTAATAACCAATTACTTAGAGATATACGCGTACAGTCAAATGGAATTAATCAAGCTTTGATAATAAAGTATAGGCTGATTTACAATTTTGTATCGGATGCAATCGATTGATAGCATTTTAATTGAAAGTGTAGTAGTATTCAAGCATTGATTTTCGACGATGCTACTTTGCTGTGGAAGAATAATTTCAGTGCTAGTTTATAGGAATACGAATTGTATCTAAAATTATACAAGATACTATCGACGAATGTCTATCACTGGGCTAATTTAATTTTCAACGTATTGACCACTACATTTCTATATCGATTGATAATAGTGGGAATGCAGAGGAAAATTAGATGTGAGACAGTATTTTATGCAAGTTTAGATTCAAGCGAAGGGAAATTCAATATATTACCAAACTTTCATAATATTGTCTTCTTCGTTCAGCTCTCTTTTTCCAATCAACCATCATACCCCGCAGCTTCTTCTCGTGCTTTCGTGCCTCATGCCACATTTTTGCTACTTTGTGATTTGGACAGCAAGTTTCTTAATCAATATTTCCTTGGTAGCTAAGTTGTGAGTAATAGTAGTTTATCATTATTGTCTATTCTTCATGATCAACGTACGTTCAATTCATTTTATTTTAAACAAAACAGTAGATTCTAAACAAATTCAGCCGATTTTAATTATAATCTTATCGCTATTCTTCATCACCACAATTGATACCACAGAAATTACTATTCAATATTGCTCTTTCTATTACTCTTTCAGAATAAGATCAAAATTGGATAGTAGTCCCTGGCGAGATCTATGTCGATTTAGGTGATCTATTCGGAATTGGGATTACAGCTGTCAGCAATTGAATTACTTTGCCAAGATTGCCAATATTCTAATTAATTACCATTCATTAGACATCATCACTCTGAATACGGTACAATGACTATAATTTAGATGAAATGAATGCGTGAATGCAATGATTAGACGGCTATATCGAATGCAAATACCATAAAATGACTATCCATTGAATGAAATTGATACGTCGATCTAATGATTGGACGTTTGCATCCAATGCAAGTGCTGTAAAATGACTCGAATTTGGATAAAATTGATGTGTCGATCTCTCCTGATTGGATGTTGTCTCCAATACAATGATTATAATTGGGATGCAATTGATATGTAGATCTAATGATTGGATGTTGTACCCATTACAAATGGTAACCTCTTCATTTTGCTATAATACGTCTACAGAGATGATGTACTATATATATATATATATATATATATGTATACAATCAATCCATTGCTAGATAGTAAGTAGATTGATGCACCTGCATGGATTTCCATGATGATCAATTTGGTCCATCATTACAGGATAAGGTCATTACGTACAGGTAAAGTATTGTTTGCCTCCTATTGATCTATTAATAAGAGTGCTCTGGCTACGAGTATATCGGCAGAGATTGCATTTAAAAGACTACTGCAATGACATTTGCAAATGCTGCTATGCCAAATGGAGTAGTACCTCCATCTAGCAAGTCGTTTCAATATCGTTTCCTCACCTACCTTGGATTGGAACTGATCATTGGCGTTCAAAGTGTCCCTAGAAGGAGGGAGGGCGGTTTCACGATTCACGCTCCTGCAAGGCTACAACGCACTACCGCTGATTTCAATTAAAGATCTTGAGTGGCTAGCAATCACTTTGTCAAGCTATCCCCACTACTTTATAAACTATCGATTGTTACTATGCGATGGAATAGGAGCTACTAACATGATTTGATGGACGCACTTTTCTTTTTGCGTGTTCTCATTAACAGTCGATCTCTCGTAAGCATCGGCTTACGCTATAATGTACTGTACGGTAGTACTACCGGCCACTCGACATGCAGTACTGTACACTGTACACTGTACAGTACTGTATTTACAGTACAAGTCCGTGATACACTCTACCGTACATTGTACTGTACACTCCGATCGCACAGTACTGTACTGTACAGAGAAGATTTGTGCAAGAAAACTTTCGACCAGTATTACGCAGGCGAGGAGAGCCCAGTAAAATGGCTGAAAGATGTTCAGCGATAGTGTTTTACATAGGTGAGGAGAGCCCTGTAAAATGGTTGCAAGATGTTCAACGATAGTGTGACAGAGGTGAGGAGAGCCCTGTAAAATGGTTGCAAGATGTTCAACGATAGTGTGACAGAGGTGAGGAGAGCCCTGTAAAATGGCTGAAAGATGTTCAGCGATAGTGTTTTACAGAGGTGAGGAGAGCCCTGTAAAATGGTTGCAAGATGTTCAACGATAGTGTGTACAGAGGTGAGGAGAGCCCTGTAAAATGGCGGAAAGATGTTCAGCGATAGTGTTTTACAGAGGTGAGGAGAGCCCTGTAAAATGGTTGCAAGATGTTCAGCGATAGTGTGACAAGAGGTGAGGAGAGCCCTATAAAATGGTTGCAAGATGCTCAGCGATAGTGTGACAGAGGCGAGGAGAGCCCTGTAAAATGGTTGCAAAATGTTCAGCGATAGTGTGACAGAGGCGAGGAGAGCTCTGTAAAATGGTTGCAAGATGTTCAGCTATAGTGCTTTACAGAAGCGAGGAGAGCCCTTGTAGTGATTTCAGCTAATTACAGTAGTTTTGTGTATATTTACAGCCCCGTAAAATGGTTGAAATATGTTCAGCGCTAGTGTTACAGAGGTGGAGTGATTTCAGCTAAATTACAGTAGTTTTGTGTTGTATACACAGCCCCGTAAAATGGTTGCAAGATGTTCAGCGATAGTGTTGCCTGAATTCAATGATACCTTTCCATTTTGAAGAAATGGACTTTATATTTGGCTCCAATTCGACACAGACAGATCGGTACAACCTTAAGCAATGGGCTCTTGATGTTTTTATGACTTTTTATTGCAGTATTGAGTAATTTTATTTCTTAAAAGCTGCTAACACAAACACTCAGTCACTGGTACTGTACATTAGGCCCAGCCATAATAACCCCGATTACTCAGATACTCAGCGTAAATAGCTTAAACGATGATACATACTGTACATGGACGATCGGTCGAACCATTTTATAACTCACGTCGTCATACGTACAGTTGCACTGGTCTATTCTGAACTATCAGACAGTATCACTAGGGTTAAAAAAGTGGTGTAGCCTTCACCATCAGAAAGCAGATGGCGGAAATTCCGTCGCGACTCTTGGTCCATCACCAAGAGTAGGATGGAATTTCAGGTATCTGCTTATTAAGGTGAAGACTATGAAGACCACTAATAGACTGAGTGGTCGAATTGGAGGAGTCATTTTTGAATGAACTACGAATCCTTGGATATAAATCAATCCATATACAGTAGAACCACCATTAATAGCCGACTTTGATGGATTGATGACTATGGTACTACCGGCCCATGTTACCTGCATCAGGTTATAAATCAATACATATACATTTATACAGTACAGTACAGTAGAAGACAGACAAAACTGTGACCACCATTTTTAATAACCGACTTTGATGGATTGATGACTATAATACTACTAGCCATGTTACCTACTGTTTATCAGGCCATACATATACATTATACAGTAGAAGACAGACAAAACTGTGACCACCATTTTTAGTAACCGACTTTGATGGATTGATGACTATAATACTACTAGCCATGTTACCTACTGTTTATCAGGCCATACATATACATTATACAGTAGAAGACAGACAAAACTGTGACCACCATTTTTAGTAACCGACTTTGATGGATTGATGACTATAGTACTACTAGCCCATGTTACCTACTGTATATCAGGCTATACATATACAGTAGAAGACAGACAAAACTGTGACCACCATTTTTAGTAACCGACTTTGATGGATTGATGACTAGAATACTACTAGCCCATGTTACCTACTGTATATCAGGCTATACATATATACAGTAGAAGACAGACAAAACTATGGCCACCATTTTTAATAACCGACTTTGATGGATTGACGACTAGAATACTACTAGCCCATGTTACCTACTGTATATCAGGCTATACATATATACAGTAGAAGACAGACAAAACTATGACCACCATTTTTAATAACCGACTTTGATGGATTGATGACTAGAGTACTACTAACCCATGTCACCTCTATCAGGCTGTCTGATGTCGGCAATTTCCGCCTCTCTGTCTGGCTGTATCTGATGGAACTGAGGACAGTCTACAGTGTACAGTACAGTACTTGACGCGCACAATCCAAGATACAGTACATTGCACTGTAGAGGAAGCTTCACCATGACATGTAAACAACAGAGAAGGTCGACTCTCGGCGGTTAGACGCTACTGTGGCCAAGGCGAGTGTAATTAACTTTCACTGAGAGCCATTCTAAACACGATACAGCAAGTAGGCCAGAGTAAAATGGGCAAGCGCAGTCATGCCAAGCTTGGGACAATATGACGCATTCAGTACTGGCCGCGAGAGGTATTCTAGGCCATCCGTCAACGGGTTGTCGTCAGCATATAGAGGAATAGTCAGAAGGAAGAAAAAAGAGCCAAAACTGTCATGGCCGGCTAACAGTCGACTCCATCAACACCAAGATTGTACTTAAACACAGTAAAAATTGACCAGTAAACGCTTGAAAGGAGATAAAAATACAAACTGCTTGTCTTACTATCGTTATTGTGTCATCTTTGAATCGATACTAACCGATAGAGCATCCAAAGGAAAGCCTTTTAGTCGACATCGATTCCACGTTATCCGTGAGCAATTTGGACAAACGATTTGCCTTGGCATCATCTAGTTGGCGAGTGTGAAGAAAATTGGAAAGCAAGAAAATTGAGAGACAGTCAACTCCAATAGAAACTAGAAAATTCACTTTTATAAAATTGATTGTTATTATTATATTACGTCCAACGTTGGGGGATTGGCTACAACTGTTTTCATATTACGGTCACAAAATTCTATAACGGACAATATTTTCAATGCACTTATCCAATAATATTATCAGCAACAAGCAAAATGAATTTTATTCGTACAATTCGTGGTAATAGTAAATCGACAACACATCATAAAAAACATCACGGAAAGCCAATTATTTCAGCGCCCAAAGATTTTCGTCATCAAGTTCATACCGGTTATGACGCTGCTGAGCGAAGATTTTATGGTTTACCACCGCAATGGGAAATGTTAATTCAAAGTGAATCACGTCCTAAACCATTAATTGATCCAAGTAAAATTACTGATCCAATAGGACCTGCTCATCGCTCGAATAAAACCTCCTCTTCGATCGCTAGAGGTCATCCAACTAGTCAAAGTACAGTCGATAAAAATACCAGCATATCAGTATCTAGATCAAATTCATTACGAGAAGAATCTCCAATAGGAAGAAAGCAACAATTAGAAGTTCATTCCGATGCATCGATAGCAATTTCCCGCAGTAAAATAGAAACTTTAAGTGGACGTGATACAAGGCGAACAGGATCAATCTCATCATCATCCACTTCAACAAGTCGTCAGGGCTCGTCTCAACCCAAAGGCATACTTAAAAAGCCCCGATCAAGTCATAGTGCCAACAATGGGGTGGCTGCTACTTTAGAAAATTACAAGAAAAATGAAGATGTCATATCACACGAACAATTTAAAGATGCCATCAGAACCATAACCAGCAAGGATGATCCTAGAAGTAGATTTGATCGATTTGTTAAAATTGCTGAAGGTTCAACCAGTATTGTGACAATTGCCCATGATTATAAATACGATCGTAAGGTAGCTGTTAAAAAAATGGACTTAACTAAACAACAACGACGAGAATTATTGTTCAATGAGGTAAGGTTGCTAGGATATTGCTCATTGATCATCTATTTGCTTACCATTGTAGTCCAAGTACTATCTTCAATTAATTAATTTCAACTTTTTTCCATTTGAATACCATCTTCTGTCGTCGTAAATACTGATCGAAAATATTCAAAATCGAAATAGCGCTACAATACTTGAGGACAATAATAGTACTTTACCTTTACCTTTAAATATTGTTATAGTATTAGCTTACGATATGATGCCTTCATGCTGCTGCTACATGCTAGTATCCAATCCCTAATTATGCATGAACATGGACTTTATACTCTATGAGAACTGTAGTGACTACTGTATTTACTGTTAAAACTTAAAAAGCAGTTGTCTTTTGTTATACGTAGGATATTATATACAAATTCATTTTAGCCTATGTAGCCTTCTACTGTAGTTGTACCAATAAATGATATTATCGGTTAAAAGATCTATTTATTCCTGCGCTAACAGTATATGTAGAGAGTAAATCGATTGTAAATGCCCTAATGAGAAACGAAGCTTCGTATCAAAAGTAATCAATCTTATTGTGCCTGCAAAACACATATACATTTTAATAGTAGCTAATGGATTAAAATGGACTTACTAAAGATTAAGCGACTAAGAAAAACAATATGCTTATAACATCTCATTCTATTTAGCGTAGAAATGATTCAATCGGATTAATCCTGTTTGACTCGATTCCCTAATGCATAAAGCTAACTTGAATTTCTAACAAGTTTTTTTATTATTTGTATATAGTTGGCCATCATGAAAGATTTTCATTACGCCAATATTGTAGAATTATACGATAGTTATTTAGTTGGTGATGAATTATGGCTAGTATTGGAATATGTGGCTGGTGGCTCTTTAACTGATATTATTACGCAGACAAGGTATGGTATATCGTTGTTAATTCAATATAATTGCGATAGTTGCGAAAAAATGAAAAATAATGAATGAACTTTCGCTTAGTACAAGTTAATCTAAATATGTTATAACCGAGTTGTTTGCACACATTGTTTCAATTATAAAATATTTTATGTTTGCAGAATACATGAAGATCAAATTGCAACTGTATGTAAATACTGCTTGCGAGCTTTATCATTTCTACATACGCATAAAATTATTCATCGAGATATTAAAAGTGACAGTGTGCTTTTAACCAGCTCTGGTCAGGTAATACACTCTTATAATTCAACTAAATTAGTTCGAACTTTAAAATTTCTTACAAAGTATGTCTCCAATAAATGTGGATTGTAAGTAGTAGTCATTAAGAGATTTGGCATCTCTCTAAGTATTCAATATCAACGGAAAAATTTCAAAAAATAAATAGACATTGCATCCATCTTCAATACTAGGTAAAACTATCGGACTTTGGATTTTGTAGTCAAACTTCTGACGAAGTTCCTAGAAGGAGGTCTTTAGTAGGTACACCTTATTGGATGGCTCCAGAACTAATTGCGAGAGAGCCATACGGTTCTGAGGTAAAATTATTGAAGGATTATTTCACTAATTCATCAGTATCGGCTCTGTATCTCTACTGTCTATTGTACAGCACCATAACTAGATATACGCTAAATTTTCTAACCTGAAATAGAAAGTAAATATTGGTATCTACATTGTCTGCGATATATCACACAAGTACATTAACTATAAGGAATTTTTGTATCATTACTATCATTAAAAGGTTGATATTTGGTCACTCGGTATCATGATAATAGAAATGGTTGATGGAGAACCACCTCATTTCGACAAATCACCTTTGGAGGCAATGACAAATATTAGGACAGATAAGCCACCTCATTTCAGACATCATGTAAGTCTTCAAATTAAAATTAACCTCGAAACATTTCTAGTGTAAAGGGAACTATTAATACTTAAGTACTTAGCCATAGATAAAAAAATCTTCAACTAATTAATAAAGATCTAATAATTGCATCATTCGACACCAAATATTAGGTATCGGCAATTTTAAGATCATTTGCTAGGTTAATGTTGGTTAAACAGCCAGAATCGAGAGCTACAGCATATGAGCTACTACAACATCAATTTATACTAAAGTCTAGAAATCATTCTATATTGAAACCTCTACTCAGTGTCGTGAAGAAATCAGCGCACGATTAAGATGATGTTAGATTTTCTTTACGAATGGTAATGTTATATATTGTAGCTGATATAGCAATACTCAGCTATTACTATAGTCCACAAATTGAGTAAACGTGCTCGTACTGCAGTATCGGCACGACTGTACTTTATATTCATTACGGTGTGCATTTATCTATGATGCTCGGTATGTTGCAATTTATGCTTTATTTATACAGTTCGTTGATATGACTTTGGCTAAAGGTTTATCTTGATGAAAAAGCATTCGATTAATTCTAATTATTTTTTGTATCAACATCTGTTTATTCTGATGTACAGAAGTATCATTTTGAAGCCTATAGTAGTCTTGTAAGACTAGTTATTTAAAGCCGTATACATGTATAATACTAATTTCTACACCAAATTATATGATTGCAAGTAGTTAATTTCTCACTATGGATCTCATATTATATTCTATATTTGAAACCTAATTATTCATATAATTACTCTTACTACGTTCATGAATTGCTAATTGCTATCTTTGTCCTCTATGCAGTATCAAATACTGCTTAGATTAGAATCATCTCTTATCAATTGTTATATGGTATATTATGTATTCGGCCTGTTCTCAATAATTATTCGTGACAATTAATTATCATTAATAATTTTTTGTAAATGTATAGCCCGTTATGAAATGTTGTTAATGTTATGATGCTCCTATGCTGTTTTGTCACAGATATCATTTTATAACACGTCATCAAATGATTGCCATAACTAGACTTTATCACATCGTGCCGTATTGTTCAAATGGTTATACGAATATATTTAATAAAATGATACGTAGCATTTAATAGAAGACCATGGATCATGTTTTGTAACTACATAATAGCAGTAAATGCTTCAGTGATTATGAATGTGCCGCGGAAGTGAAATTGATTACAGTCTTGAAAAATTATAACTACTGTACGTGCAGTACTTAGGTTTAAAGATTCAATTTTGTAATTACAAATAGGCCTATGTGTAGCATAAAGAATAATGCATGCTGTATCTCATGCTAATAAGAAAACTTAATACGGCGATGTACGTGTACCAGTATAACACTACTTTACGTATGCAGTGTGTACATGTAAATACTTCTCTCACGTGATAGGGTAATTTTATTACTTAATATAGATTTGTTCCAATAAATTAAAATTGGGGATAAAATACTACACAGTAACATGTGCAATACCTATTACCCAAAAGTTTTGCATGCTTATTACACCATAATGAGCTAAGGTAGATGATTGTCGTAGTATCACATGTACGTTTCAACCATGACCCCAATGTTACATTTAATTAAAGCATTTCAAGAAACATGATAGACTAGGCCGTATTATATCAAGACAGTTTATTTTCTGCTGTTGATGTATTCGTATGTATGCATTTCTATGATTGCATAAAGTACAAAACAAGGCTTTATATATAAGTACACTGCACAGCTTACGTAGATTCATCACTTGTACAAGTTGTGATCAACGGAACAGTTGAATAATTAAAATTGTTATCATGATTCATGCTACTGCTATGTTAATGTATTTAGATTTTTTATAAAGTAAAGGATTCGATAAATCACCAATACTAAATTAAAATTGAATTGTTTCAATTGATAACCGGGTATTATGATCAATCACTTGACCAACATACATGTATTGCTGCAGAAATACGGTATACTAACATTAAACAGTTTGGTACAAATATGAAAATGTTACAAACACTTGATGCTTTTCAATAATAAAATCTTATGTTTTTACGTGGCAATACGTAAAAGCTATACTTTTTAATGATAATTATGGTTCTACAATTGCATATTAGAAATAATCTTCATGATGATCCCGGATGCAGTAATGCTATACTACCGATTAATTGCCGAAAGCTATTACTTTCGATATAATTGAGGAATACCGAATCTTAGTACTATGATGGTGTAGTTTTTTCCAGAAACAGACATTCCAAATTTTTTTGGAAATTTCGGTTTGACATTATAACGAAATTTGCACACAGTATTTTCAACGGTAGCAACGGTGAAAAATATAGAATTATTATAAATTTTTTATTTATAAATTACTAACTTTAATCATAAATTTCAAGAAAGTAGTTGTGGTTCAGTGTCTGCGGGTTTATTTATGACGGATTTGGCTGCATTATCACTAAAGATAAAATTTTAATAAAGCGAACATTATGATAAAATCAGTCCCCATAAAAAAGGACTCTAAAGCATTTATCTATGAGTTTCCCACATAAGAACAATAAAAACTTACGGTATGTTTACTGATGGTGCTCTCCATGTATACTTTGACGCATTTCCAATCGACTTTCAATTATAAATGTAGAATGTAAGTACTTTACAGAATGAATAATGATTATCGTGTCTCAACACTCATAAATATACACTACTTACAGGTGTGGATCTTGTCTTAGCTCCAGCTGGCTTAATCTCAACTATTCCGTAAAAAATGGCCATTAATATAAAACTAGTATACAACTTCTAATATCAGTAACATTGATACAAAATAGTTTTTTTGTATGATATACGTGAATATGATATTACCAAACGGACTGACGATTTGAGGTAAGAAATGTACGTAAGGACAGGCAGACTTATTACATCTGTATAAAGAATGACACAATACTGAATATTTAGGAGTTAAAGATATCAATTTTGAATTGCAAACTTATACAAGTTGTTTATATATAAAGACCTTAAGTTGCTATTAAATATTAAAACCTACTTTCCATCATATTTACATTTAGGATGAACATAAATACATTTATTGCCGAATGTACACCTAGGAAAATTTCTAGATTAAAAATGTAAATTTTCTAGATTAGTAACATACATTATGGTGGTTTGAATAGGTCCTTATAATAAATTATAAGCTAGCATAAACCTGCAAGGAATTGTTGGATGTAAATAATCGCATTGATCCATGTTTTTACAAATTGGCCAGAATCTACATCGCTCTGTAGCTGAAAACAAATAAAATATGCAATTTTAAGCTAAAAGGCTATAGTTGCGTTATTATTAATCAATAGTACAACCAAAAAACCCTTGCTCTCAGAAACTCAATTAAATTTTGTTAGACAGTCTCCAATTATTGACAAAATAATGTGTAGCCACATCACAATACCTCACCTTTATCCGAGTTTTCATTATCGTTCACATCTTCAGCTTCTCCTACTACTTTTCCAAGTCTTTCAAATATACTTTTATTACTAGAAACGTCAGTATCTTTAACATTCTTATTTGAGGAAAAACCCAGCCTCTCCCGTACACTTCTTCGTATAACTGAATTGTTAGGGTTTACGTCTACAGGACTAACTTTACGATCATCTAAAGCAGGTTTTTCAAATACAGATTTGTCATTTCTGTTATTAATAGCTGTTACACTCCTAGAGGGACTAAAAATCAACAAAATCCATATATTACGGTTAAAGATTTAAGAATTTTCAGTGATAACGGAATATAGAATCCATAAGTGTATACATATGCTGATATCAACTAAACGTACGATATCGAAATGGTCGGATTGCCTTCTAAATCAGAACTATTGATAGAATGTTGAATTTTATCTTTACGCAATGATTGTACGACATTTCTTAAATCAATATTTCTATTTTCGACAGGATTAACATTCAAATTCGGAAATAATTTCAAGCTTTCTTCTCTATCGCGCTTCTCACGCATTTCATCGTATTTTTTGACTAACTGACGATGTTGCTCTTCTTCACTTAATTCTTCCTGAATAATTTCCTTGTTCACAGGCGCTAAAAATAAATATAAATTTTCAGTCAATACCAGGATACAATTAAACATAACGAGCTTATCCAGTATCTATTGTTTCTTTTATCAGTATATCGAGCTACAATTACGTTTCTCACGACTCATTTGAATATCAGATTCATTATGGGAGAGTGAATGGAAGGCATCTTTAACTGCTCGACTTAGTAACTTTCTAGAAGCCTGCTTGCTAGAAGGAATTTGAGGTCTAGGCCTACCAAAATTTTAATAATTTAATCTTATAATTAATAAACTCTTACTTGCTATAGCTTTAGTAGAAGATAGCTCGAAGAACTGAGATAATCACTACCTGATCACTTTAAGAACACTTGATTTTGGGCGTTGTTTATCAGTTGTTACATCTCTTTCCCTTCGAACTTTTTTAATAGAAGGACTTAACGAAGGTTCTTTATTGTGATCAAATTTCTTTACGGTAGTAGCACTAGACGCGTGATGATTGTTTTCAGAAAGCTTTCTTTTGTTGCCTTTTGTAAATCCTACAGTCGCTGTAAGGCAGTCAAGAAATCTTGAATTATTTCATATGTCATACAATGCTATCTTATAATAAGGATTAAATTATGCTAGTCAATTTTGCTGATTAATTATAAATTTTCATCGTCAATAAAATCTGCTAAGTGGATCCTTCTTAGAATCAGCACCTTTTATAGACGACGACACATTAGTTACAGGGTCAACACGTTTAACTCCAATCTCCTCAAAATCTGCTGGTTCAGGTTGGATAGAAATGACAGCTTCTTCCTCAACTGCTTGCTTTGATTTTGGATCTTTCTTTTCATCCTTAGGTTTGGTTATTTGCCCTATATTATTATGAAATAATGTAACATTCGTTACTTATAGAAATGATCTAAAGCATATCTGAAGTAACCGTCACCACATCTCGCATACGCATTTAGCCAGTTAAATACGAATTATATTCATGTATTATCGATATCAGAATTATGATACAAGCTACAATCAATTCGCACTTTAATAGGTGCAGTTTGGATAATTTGTATATCTGTGTATGCAATTGTTTTTGCGATCAGTCAAATTTTAAATCTCTCCAAGCATTTCACCGGTATTGTAGTGCATGTTTAATCATAACCCTATCTTAACATACGACAAGCTGCAAGTTACTCTGCTTACTGAATATACAAGGAAACTTTCGATAAAGAAAGTCATAATATTTTTACTTTTTAGATGAAAAAATAATCTAAATTTCTTTCAATCATAGCAAACGTATGTAAAATATAATCTGTCCTTATTACAGAATAAGCAAGGCATTGCTATCTAAGCAGTAGACATGATAAACTTGCTGATGTTTTTGATACGACGGTACCTTTTGATTCATTCTCCATATATTCAAATAGCCTAATGAGCATGTATTAGCAAAAAATTTGCATTAGTTTATAATAAAAAAAGACGTGAATCGACGAGATTACATCAATAGAAGCTACGTGATGAAGTTGATATCAGTTGATATCGCAGGTAATGCATACGGCTGTGCAAACGTATATAATACTGTATGTAGCACTGTAGACGATGACATCTATACTATCGATAGATTGTCTAAACGCCTAAGTGTAAGAATTTATTTGATGAAGTTATGTCCATTTAAACGTTTCATCTTGTCATATAAACGTACGTACCATTGAACAAATAATATACTATTATCTCCGAGGAATAGTTCGAGATCTTCTGTCATTTTATCCTGAGTCTTTTTATTGGCAATCATAACCATGATGTACTCTACTAATTCATCATCTAAATAGAAACAAGAACATTACTAATGTTTACTAATACGATTTTATTATGGTTCACCCTTTTTAAGACATGCACAGTCTATGATAGCATTAACAACAAATATGATACCAATTCTATCATCTTTGACTATAGACTAATCACTATACCTAATCCTCGCTTTTCTGCACATTATAACAATTCGTAGATAATGTTTTATAGTAGTTTAAATAAATTTAAATTATTCAAATAGATGCTAATTCCGAAGCCTGTTGTTCTAGCCCAGCACTGCAATATACAGTACTATATTCAAGCATCTCATTCAGTTCTAGACTAATAGATTGCAAGCTATCGCTGAGCAATTACATATATATAATAATATACACTGAATATCCACTATCATTCATACACGTTCAGATACATACCAATATAAGCATCGAATTCAAGCACTTTCTTTTTAACTGCATTCTACCATAAATATAGTTATAATCAACATTGTCAGTCAATTAAGTGACACCGCTATACATGTCTATTGTGCTTTAAGATTAAGATATCAGAGTAAAGCATGAAAATATAAAATCAGAGTACAGTTTCCTTTATATCACACCTTAATTTCATCAGAACATGCTGTATTGGCAGCCATCTTGCTTGGTGACACGCATGCGTTATTATGAAACTGATCAGTACAGTACACAACTACTATAGATTTCTGAGAGTCCTGGTCATTTTAGTAACCCCTGGCTACGGCTATGATGAACAAACTAATGGATTTTCTATAGTACCGTTACTACTGTATCATGGACTGCACTGTAACGGTCAGTCGTCTGTATCCGTAGGCAACGTTTAACTAACGAATGCCAAGGCGGGGATTACTCAAAACTAAAACTTGCTCAGCGGCGAAGGAGTGGAAGGACAGAAGGACTGTGGTAGAGAGAAGTACTGTACAGTGTTAATAATTATTAATTAACTATTTAAGACAAATTTTAGTCGAGGGCAAAGCCTAAACAATCCTTTCAAGTTTGAAATTATCTTACCTCGCAAAATTTAATTTATTTACAATATGAATGTTACAAGGGCTTTATAACGCTCTGTATCGTACAGTATCTCTATTTCAATTAACGTACTGTACAACACTGGTGGAAGCGTAAGCTTGATGAGTGGTTATGTCTTGTACAGATTGCAAATAAAAGATGCCACTGCAAGTTGCAATCAATATCGATTGCAACCTACTACCCCGTCAAGACTTGATATACATTACCTGCTATCATAATAGCCGAATCCCGCTTGTGATACTTTACGTAAATGGGCTACACGTTAATGTCAAGTTAACCGGTAACATAATAGCAGAATCTGGCTCGCGATACTTTATGTAAACAAGGACATGTTAATGTCGACGTCAAGTTAATCTTAAGCTCAGTAATCTTTATGATACTGTACCACGTTTATAGATGCTGGCCTAGACGGTGATCTAACTCCAGATTCGCCATGCAGTAATGCTAAAATTTATATACGAGTACTGGGTAAGTGTACAGTACAGTACATGGAAATCAGTACTGTTTAACTCATCTCGACTATTACAAAATCTTAAATCTTAATATTGAGGTCTTATGTTGCAGCTGATATCCAGCTCTAAAGTCTAATTTTGTCATTGACCAGTGCTAAAATTGATATGCATTTGAATCAGCATCGATAGCGATACACCGTTAAGATGCAGTACGATGATTGATGAATCATGCATCATGAATAACGTGGTAAATATGAAAATAGCTCACGCTCTTGTTATAAACTCTTAATAATATTTTCACAAACATCGTAATAAGCTACGTGCATATAACCTCAAATAATAAGCAATTACGTATATTGTAAAACATCTGAGTAAATAAACACTGACGAATCTACTCGTCTAATCTGATGTCAAATTAAGAGCTACAAAGTCAGTATACTCGAGTACCGTTCTATGGAATGTTTTGTTATTTGTATCTGCTGCTCCCACAATACGTACAACCTCCATGCTGCGTAAGTCAATCATCCTTCCATTCGCCATGATTACCATTTTACTAATGTACAGTACGTACGTTTATGCTTTTACCGCGCTCTAGTACGTATGCATGTTGTTACGACGTTGTATCGATATCAGTATACAGTACTCTACTGTATTTTTTAAAAAATGAGTAACAAAACTAACGTCAATTTTTTCGATGACATCATAATAATTTCTTATTTTTAATTTTCAACGAATATTCGTATATTAACATTAGCTAAATCCGTTTAATAAGCTGTAAAAGAGATAGGATCTACATTGTCGCAGTAACTAGCAGTGTCGATCCAAGTACATCACTGCACTTTACTCGTTGCAAATTAGCAGGTAATCAAATTAAATCTTTGCAACACACTACTGTACACAGTGTACATTATGTTGCGTCAAGAGCCTAGCTAGAATCCATGAATGAAACAGAGTAAGTACTGTTCATTGCCAAATCCATGAACAGCGTAAAATCTAAACTGCACTGATACTGTACGATTCGCGCGATTCGTTGGGCGATTGGATTATTTCATACTGTATTACAGTACTGTATGTTTCGAACTTAGAATATCATTCAGTTTCGAGATCCCTTGGGTAACAGAGGGGATTCTACTAATTATTCTCTCAATAATTGAAATCATTTTACCCCCAATGAATTGATCAGATATCGGATCATCTAGGAAAACGAGTACTAATCAGACTTCAGACCTCCTTTGCCCAATGAAACCATCAACCCATCGAAATAGCAATACTTTTGGATGTGGTTAATAATAATTATGATGGACCCAGAAATAAAGTGATGTTCAACCTCAACAACTTCTCATGTTAATCATGTGACACTTTTGTTACGATACAGTACGAAGTATTCCGGTCCATCCCGGTACCGCTACCACATAATTTCATCGTACTGTACTGTGTACTGTACATTGTACTGTACTGTACAGTACTGAACAAAATTGCCCCAAGTCTTGGTACTGTACATTCACAGTGTGATAACCGGGCTTCTAATAATAACGAGATAACGTCACTACTATCGCAGCAGTAGCCAATAGAGAGATTGGTAGCGTCATTATTCTCGTTGTTTCCTTATTCCGCTCAGCCAATAAAATCTTTGCTATTTTTCATCACACTTTTACTTGAGAAACACGAAGCGTATTGTACTGTATAGTACACTGCAAAGTACTGTAAATACAGCCCATTACGGTATCGATTGTTACTGTGCTACATTGTCCGTTTTCTCCCGGGGACGTAGCCGTCTTTTCGATCATCTTCTGCTCATACCGCATTACGTATTAATCCATCCAGATCCCGAAGTTGCTCAAAATGTCTTCCTTCAAAATTTCTACTTTTCTTATTGGTAAGTTCAATAATCGCTGCTACTATTCAAATAAAGTCAGTATATAGATGACAGGTTAATTTTGAATACAACAGAAGCTGTATTCAAAATGGCTTGATCATTTTTGAACCTATTAAGCAGTCCTTCCTTTTCCATTACGCTTTTTCAAGATACGCTCGTACATAAATGCAACTGTACGAAGTAGACATGCTGTTAACCGTGACGGTTTCTTCCTGATTATCAGTAGTAGATATTGCTAGTTGCGAGTATATTTGAAATTGGGCAATTTTGTGTGTGGTAAATTAGTCGTTAGGAAGCAGAGCCCCGATTCGTAGAATGTCTTTGCCATAGACTGCGCTCCATGCAAAGTGATATGTAGTGTGATCAGATCATGACGTAGTAACTTTTACATACACGGATACTATTGTACTGCAAAATATCGTTTGTTAACAGCAACTAAGAATATGCAGTGTCCATGTTGAAAATAATCTGCGAAAGAAAGCCCTGCTTCAGTTTGATTTTGAATACTTTTGAACCTAATTAAATCGTGGAAAGCTATAGTTGTTAGCTCTAAATCATAGAAATAGATGGCAATAGACTGCACAAATTGATCTCAATTTTATTCCACTTCAATGAAATGGGTCAGTGAAAAAAAGACACCAACTCTCATTGCCGTAAATCTGGAACTTGACAACATTGCACTGTGTACTGTACTGTACAGTGCGTAGTACTGTAGTCTGTTAGCACAACTTATAGTACTGTACTGTACAGTACAGTACAGTACAGTAGAGCCCTCCCTGCTGTTCGCTGTGATTTCGTTGACCCGCCGTTACGCAAACTGGACCGATGCCTTCTAGTGCTCACTGTACCATATACTACAGTACTCAGCGTGTCGGGCCATACTACAGTACTTCGCCTTTCACGTGTCATGTCCAAGAACAGTGTCTGGCTGGACTCGCGATCATCGCTAAAGCCATGGATTATATATATACTACATTGATTTATTCATGAAAGATTAAGTAATCCAGTTTCTGTATTGAACCCGAATTCGATTCCATTTTTCCATCGCATAAAAGAGATGCTATAATATAAATAGTGTCGTTCATATCAGCACAAGCTAGTTTTTCTTACCAATACTTCAGATTTCACAACACGATCGATTGGAGAATGCTTGTACTAATACCATGATGCCAATTTCATAATACTGTTTCAGCAAGAAAACGACTACTATTTGTGATTTACATTAGGTAATGGGAATAGCACCTGGCTTACTAGTTTTGCTTTAAAAAGTACCTCTAAATAAAAGTATACCATATTAGACTTGATCTAAATTAAGATTTAGAAAATGTTGAGGTTGACTAGTTTTTGAATTTTAAAAATTGGAATACTTGATTGGTCATCAATAAATCACTGTTACTAGCAAGTACTAGCAAGAGTAACAAGCTATGGACAGTCGATTTCTCATTTCGATCTCTTGTCCATGTCATTCATTACAGAAAGAGTTTAAAAGTAGTGATGATCATTGATATACAGTCCTGTGACTATCATTTACAGGACTGTAACAGCATTCATCGAATGATCCGTAATGAAAATCCCTTCAAGTATATTTTTTATTGAGTCAGTTAGGCGTCGATACAACGAAATCACGCAATGAACTAGGCAATGGTTATTTAAAAAAGACCTGCATTGATTGGTTCATTTATGATTGGGTTAAAAAGTGTACTTTACTAGAAATCTTGAAAGATACTCGTTATATAATAATTAATATTAACTTGTGTTGGCAATTTAGCACATGCGGCACATTCGAATTGTTGCTACGTTATAATTCTACAATTATGAATTGATGAATGTTGCAGATAATTATTTAGACTCACAGAATTATTTCTTTGTCTTTATCTAAGTAAATATGTTTCGTATATCTTTTCATTGAGTTATTTTAATGCGATACCATTGTATTTAATATACCGTATTAACTGGGTATACAGTAGTAGGTTTAGTAGAAAATATGGTCACATTTTCACGCTAAAAATTGGATAATATTACATTGCTATAGAGAACATTGACTTAGTCTTAATCATTTATACTATGCGTATCATTTTATGTCCCTGTTGATTTAGTTGAAGACTTTTTAAGTACTATGCTTCCATGACGCTAAGATAATAATAGATTTCAAATCTCATAATTATACTCTTGCTTTACAGTTGTCTTAGCCGTTATTCCCGTATTGTACGGCCAAGATATAGCATTAGATGAAAACAATATGGACGAAGTCATGGCCACGGGAACTATGGAACCGCCAATGTCATCTGCTACGCATAGTCACCCGACAACAGCCCCTAAACATCCAACACCTACCCCTACATTGTCGAAAGGAAATTATACCTTGAAAGACCGTGACGGTAAAATTTGCTTTAGGGCCATCTTTGAGACAACCTTTAAAGTCATGTATCTCGCTAAAGGGTCTAGCAAGGTCAATATAATTATCTTCGCCATTGTGTATTTATAAGACGCTCTATCTGTAAATGACTTTTATATTCAACTTACTTATAGAAAATTGCGTCCTTTGATTTACCGCCAAACCATGCTTACCGTGGTGTCTGTTCTAGCAAAATGATTCATTTCTGGATCACTTGGAAACCTGCCTATGTTCTCAATATGACTTTTATCGAAGTAAGTATCGCTTTCCGTGGTTACATCACCCGCTTCTGTCGACATCACTAAAGTAACCTACTTGATTAAATATTTACAGAAAGCTGTTAATGGCACTATTCAACCAAATAGCGAAATAGATGAAATGAAGGAGAACCAAGCTTGGGAGTTAGAAAATATCAAATTCACTTATGATACTCATGATAACAAGAATTTCCCCAATGCAATGAAACGTACGCTGCTTTGCTTATTTTTTTTACGAGTTGCTTTTATTGACTGTTTAGGAATGACCTAATATATGATGTTGAAATTTTTTAAATAGCCGCTAAGAGCATTGTCTACTCCAACGCTACTGCCGTATTCTTCCGTACACCAGTAAACGAATCCTACACATGTGTATCCAAATCAGTTATACCAATGTACGACATGGGTGGTATGAAAGTGATGGCTAATGTTACAATTTCGAAAGCCAAGATTCAGCCATTTGCCCAAAAGTATGGAGCAGGTTTGTTATAAATTAAATTAGCCATAACGTCAAATTTAGTCTGACTATATGTAAATTACGTGCGTGTATATGTACTGATAGTCCGCGTTTCGTTTATATTCATACACTCGTAGAATTTACTTGTGCTAGCGACTTAGCCAAGAATAATGTTGTCCCTATTGCTGTCGGTGCCGCTTTGGCTGGATTACTACTGATCGTTATAGTTGCTTACTTTATTGGACGCCGAAATGCTAGGGCTGGTTACGAGTCTGTGTAAATTGTTTACCCAGTCAAAGGAATCCATTTTATTTGTAGGAAAAGCGTTACTTATTATTTTGTTCACTTTTACGTCTTGCTGTAATATTCAAATGGTTATTGCTGCGAACAACACATTTGTGAACATAATGAAATGAATATGTACGAACTACTTTTTGCGATTTGTAATCACGTACAAGTTAGTCATTTATTTGTTGCTATAACAAGCTGTATCTTAATCGTATCGAATCATCGTGATTTACTTGTCTGCAGTGACTGTACTTCAAATTCTTTAGTAGCATAAGTAGTATTTACACCAAGTAACATAGATAATGCAATGATATTGTCGTTAGAACTGTATAAGTCAAGTTTATTATCTGTACACTATAGACTTAATAATCTTAAATTCTTACTTTTGATTTAACCATTATTTGTTATATTAGTAGCTATATCTTTGAAAGGATCTTTCAACAGCCTATGCTGTTTATGAATTTATATTTGGGCAATTTTGACTCACAAGTATTCCTATGTAGTATTATAAGTGAACAAACAATATACTAACTGTACAATGAACGAATTCAAGTTCTCAGACTTTGTTATTGCGGTTGTCAAATTGAAGAACAAAGTGATCTTTTCCCTTGGATTCATCCCAATATACGCGTACATAGTATATGTTCAGTAGATATCTATTATTGATTCTATGCTACAGTAGTTGTAAGGATGAATACATTCTAAGGGTAGCTTAGCCATCTTTGATATTCAGAGCAACATAAGAGATGGCTTTTAAATCCTTACGTAACGCTAGGGTACATAAATATACAATTATTTACAATCTAACACTGCACTGGAATAGTAAGAAAATAATTTGTCTCTATGGACGATATTGTTATAACAAAACATAGACCTCTTTAAAAAGATTTGATATACTTAATTCTGTAGACTTGACATCTGCGTAAAGCGTAAGATCACACGTGTTGTTTTAAGAAATAAACATTGAAAATTTTCATTATTCTTTCACTCGTATTATAATAACAATAATGAACGTTATTAAATTCGCATAATCCTTATCGCTTACAATTACTGTAATAATTTACAGATGGTCCTTATATCCCTAGTATACTATCATGTATTTGTTGTTTACTGTCCAGTATATCGATCTATTATTTAAACACAAAAAGTTAAGCTGTTTTATTAAGAGTATTAATAAGTAAGTAAAACTTCAGTTTTTAACGATCCCTAAATTTTGCAGTCATGACATTTCACATAGTTTGCGAACCCACGGATTTTCGTATGGCGTACAGTAACAAGTACTTATTATTTACCGGATCGAAGTGAGGTATCGCGGGAAAGCGGATATCCGAAATTATAGCGTCCATTGAAATTTTGTATCAGTTTCTCACTAACTAATTAAAAAATAGTTAAATAGTGACTTTACTAAGCAGTTTAAATCACCCACGGTTTCATAAGTACCGATTGGCCAAGGGAATTAGTAAAAACTTACCCAGTACATTTGCTGGACGTTATTGAAATATACTATAAAACTAATACGACTACATTATATTTTTAAGCGAAATTCATTTAATCATTCCATGAATCAAATTTATTAATTAATATTTTTTTCGAAGAAACTGGTAGGATGGATAATCTATTACTGAAAGATTAATTTTTACTTTTCATACTCTAATTATCATTGAATGTTGTTAACTGATCAATTATATAATTATTACCGACATTCGATTTACCGGAATACTCTCATATAATTACTTAATGAATAGCTTCGGGATATAAAGCAAAATTTATCGTTATTGATTCTCAAGTACTTTGCCTTATAACGCAGTAATTTATGATATATCGTGATTACTGGTTTAATAATCGGATTAATGTATAAGATGTCTCGAAGTTGTTTGCATTTGGGCGTGTAAATTTAAAGCACATACGCATAGCTAAAGTATCCCACTATAGCCTGAAAGAATATATACAAAAGACATCTTTATGAATAGTAAGAGTGAAAGTAATGGGGTGATTGATAGCATATCCTGCATTCAAAACAAATTGCCAAAATATAAAAATATTAGCGTTTCAATTTACTGTAATTTCATTAGAAAGAATGCTTTACTATATACTAAAGCTACCGAATCATAAATTCGTAATTCAACCAATGGACCGTTGTGTATTATTGTACACTCGAAAAATTCGATCTTCATATATCTATTCGTCAGCTAGTCAAAATTCTCCATTATGAACAATGCATTGTATCTTAAGCTTCGATATACAATATAATTAATTGCTTGCGGTTCCACGTACAGAACTTCTACGTTTGTTGCAATTAATTAGAAACTCATTTCCGGAGCACTATTCATATAAGAAAAGATCATAATTTTTTAATTTACGTTTTCATGCGCGTTACTTTATCAAGAATTAGGAAGTAAGCTAATACTTAGGCCTCCATAAAACGCCCAGAGGTTAACTTTTTTGCGTAATTGTGTCCGTACAAACTATACAACTGACAGTTTGCCACTATACAGACAGCAATTTTATCATATATTTATAACGCTGTCTAGAAATGCACTCTACCTTGTTAGTACGCATTTTAATAAATTATCGTCTGCCCATTTTACTTGACCTATCGATATAACGATAAATCTACAGGTATAAGCTTATGAAGTCACAAGTTGAGTACACTTTACTACTGCAGTCTACTAAGTTAGATTTATCCATAGTAAGCTCTCTCAATTACTAGTTTTTATTTTATATTCCGATTCAGTTCGATATAACGTATATTTGATACCGACTGTTGAAAATATGGTTCTAAAATACAAAAGTAATTAACAAATTACGAGAAAACCTAGCAGAGTAATATGTTTACATAGCAGATAATATAGGCTGGTTTCTCATCTAAAAGCGTGAAATATTATATTATTTTAGGCAAATTCAAGAGTAATTAAATATCGAATGTTAATAATAATTATGTATCCTTTATAGCAACAGAAATCATCGTTATAAAATACTGTATTCGTAAACAGTGCACGATACGCTTTGTCTGGTTATAGAAATAATAACGCCTGAAAATTACTTCAATTATTAAGCATGTTTTCAACTTTACAACAGCATAAGTATGATACAAAAGTAGATAAAATTTGCGTTATATTATATCAGCGAAAATGCTAACTGATAGCCATTAACCATATCTTAATTTCCATTATTACGTACGAGTAAATCCAATACCCTTTTTATCATTTTTAACAGAAATTTTTATTGGTTCTATAATCCCGGAGTCTTTCGTTCCTAAGCATGTACCTGGTGTCCAGCCCATTTCTCGTAACATTCTGTTACCGACATTTGTGGACGATATTGGACTAGGCGCAATTTCATCGACGTTGACTACTAAGTAAAAAATAGAAATGTTACCAACATTTATGATTTTAATCGAAAATTAAATAGGTACTTTATAAAAGTCATTAAAATTTCTTCCTCGAAAATTATTCGAGAATCTATTGAGAAGTCAACTTACGACAAGCTCCAGCAATTGATGAATGCCCTGCAATTTTTTTACCGTCGGGTATACCGTTGTCTTTACATCTATTATAGGAGTATATTCATTGCGAAAGGAAATAAAATTTAATGTTCATGTTGGCAGGTTAAAAGTAATACGTCACCGTCTGCGCACATCGAACTATCCATAAAGCACAATTGCATAATGAAAGGGATTTAGATGCTTACCTTTTATAAACGGATGGATATATAACAGAGTCAATGGCAACTTTTTCTGGTTGGCAGGTACGACTAATACGAGCGAAAAATACGATCATCGTTACTGAATTATTTATTTACAAAGACGTAAACGATTAAGCAAATCAGTAGTACTGTACTTATCATAAAAAGAAACATTAGAAATTGAAAAATTACGATATGCTATAGAAATAACGAAATATAAATTACCTTGTTTTACTTAATACCGAGCAGCTTTTTTTGCTATCTTTGACAGTGAAGTATTCCAAATGGTATAATGAGGCTAACTGATTTATCTGTTCAAGGTATAAAAAATTATAAAAAAGTGCTTAGACTTGTATTTAATGGCATTTTCTATTTCTTATATAGAAATTAATTAATAAATAAAAAAGTATTCTACAATACGATTCTATCCAATAATATACCCAATTTCTCTCCTTTCTTTTCAAATTTTCTATCCATAACCTGTTAATTAATGTAATAATATGTCCATTAATCTACATAATAAATTAGATCTACTGTATCGTTGCTGTATTTTAGTATAATGCGGGTGTTTGCCATAGACTGAATCTTAACAATATAAGTACCTACTGGATAATATTAATAATGATATAGTTAAGTTAAGAAAGTTCTGCTGAAATAGAAGGTACCTTTCCGAGCTATTATCGATAATAAATCGTTTAATTTTTTCATTAATTGACTCTAAAAGGGATTCACAGTTCTATGTATCATTGATATTAAGAAGATTAAGATTAAGTAAAATTAATGTAATTTTAAAGAAACGCTCTTATTATTATAATAGAGAAAAAATTTTTCATTTATCAAAAATATCATTTTTAAGGCTGATCTAGATTCTAACTTTATTCCTGGGTTTCGAAAATGATTTCTTACGGCGTTTGCCACCATGGCTACCTCTAACCTTCATCTATTATCAATTTACGTAAAAAGATTTAAACAAGAAATCTCATCATATATTTTAATTACAGTAGTCTAGACAGATCTATGATTTTTAGAATTAACATTTTGTAGTTTAGCAAATAACTATTTTCTATCTACTTTTGATGATATCGTAGAAACTGCTGTAACTATGAAAGTGACAAAAACAAAGTATGAGTAGTAGCAGGCAGTAGTACATCAGCTACGCATACGTCAACGGAAGTTGATGGGTAATGCTTGAGTATTTAGTGTTGGATGAAGATATTTTTTTATCAATTTTTTTATTATTAAAAGTATAGAGTTTTTCAGTGTAACCTAGTAAACTTATTTTCTTACCAAATGCCGACTGAACGATAATCTGGCAGCGAAACTTCCTATAATAGAAGAGAAAGAATTCGGTGTTCAATGAAGGAATACATTCCCAATAGCTTAAGCATCTATCTTCTTATTGGATATTTATATCATGCATGCATAGTGTTTTTCAATAGTATTTAACAGCACATAATTCTTTCAAGATTTTCTCCTCTCCAAATCATCAATATGCCACGCGTACAATGGCGTATCGTAGTACTAGAGTATCTTTGGTGATAGTCTTGGTATATTTCTACAATTGGTACCTGGCTTCATTTCTCGAAATTTGTTACCATTTGCTAGAAGACGCATATCTCTTAAATCGGCATGATCATCTTGCCACCACTTAACGAAGGCAGCCTCGCAACAGCTTTGCTCATCATCACCTTCTACGCCAGTTTCGTAATAACTAATGTCACCATCCGAAGTAATAATATCGCTATCACTCGAGGACGACATGTACGTATCGCTTGTTCTCGATATTAAGGCATCGTGTTTGGAATCAGCGTTTTCTAATTGCAGTTCAATTAACTTATCTGATCGGGAAGCGTTCTTACTGTTGGCTACTGCATAGCTAGCTTTATTTGATGAACATTCCCCGCTGGAATTGTTGATGTTACTATTATTGTCATGATTATAATCGATTTCCATTTCGGATGCCGAGTTGGTACTTTGCTTGGAGAAAGTTTTGCGCATCATTTTCATCTGCCTATCATTGCTACTACTCATTTGTGAATCTTCTTCACAAAAAGCTCTCTTACTGTCATAACCCCAACGATGACCAAGTTTATGAATAGCTTTCCTATGTAAGGTACTACACGCCTCTAATTTCATGGCTTTATTAATGGTATGATTATTATTATTGGAGATACGATTTCTATCCGTCATACAATCTTGAATATCATTCCGTCTTTTCTTATTGACTAAGGCTTTGGACATTGTGCCTACTTCAACATCGGCTAATTCTCCATCTTCAATAAAATCTTTATTCACACTTTGTTGGACAAGATCGGTCGCTTGTTCATGATGGCCACGGCATTTTTTTTTACTGTTTCTTCTCTTATCCGATTGAGCGATTATCTTGCCATTAGCATGATTATTGGCTGTATCATTATAATCAGCACTTGATCGACGATAATAATTTCGCTTAAATGATGGATTGTAACGTAAATTGGGAGTATTTGAGTCAGTGAAAGCTTCATCCGATTCTAAAAAAACTAAATTTTGTTGTCCCATCTTGATATGAAAGTTAGCAAGGCTTTTAGCTACGGCAATCTCATCGGAATCGATCGGAGAAGCGTTCTCGATGTAATCTAATAATGCTTCATCTAGCGGTTCAAGATCGCTTTCACTGCTTAGCTGTGTGCAAAATGCCCATATTGGATTAGGATCGCAATCATTTCTATCTTCTTTTAATTGTGGACGATTGCGCCCATGAGGGGAAATGAAATTCTCCATTTTACAACTTCATTCCCGTCTCAACGGTAGGATGTGCCTAGTAGAACTGCTTTGAGGCCATTAGATGGATTGGAATGGTCAACAATCTTCTCGGCTGTTATTGTTGTTACGCTTTTACAATGTCTACTATGGTATCAGACGATCAGTACTGTACGCGTTTCTACTGTTCACTACAGTACTGTACATTGAACAAGACTCCAGACTGCAAATTAATTTATAAGGCAGTTCATGGCTGCCCACGGTAGGTAATTAATTTAAAAGGCAGTTAATGGCTGACCACGGTACTGGACTATTAAATTATTGTTACGATAGACAAGAAAGTGTAACAGACCTTCAAAACCATAATAAAGGGCTCCTGTTCTGAGCAAATTGATGATCCGAATGATGTCAGCATATCGGTTGCAAATCGACCTGGAATTATTCAATTTCAGCATGCTGGTCAAAATTCAATATTGCGGCATTAAAGTCCCCACTGTACTGTACAATAGAAAAGCTGTGGACGAAAATCCACAGTTAGGCTTACTGTATATCAACATCAACGTTTTATTATCATCAAATCATATTCCATGCTATAACTGGACACTGTGTCCAGTCATGGCCACGTTCATAATAACCCGATAACTCCAATACTCAGCGTAAATCGCTGAAACGATGATACATTATTTTAATAGTACGTATATATGGAGCATGGACAGTATATTAGACGTATCGATCAACGATTACTAAAAAGAAAAAGTTCTCTTTACTAGTTGTATTAGTGAATTGATTACCAATCAAGGACGTGAAATAAGTTCTTGAAGTTTTCATTAAATCCTGCTAAATAAATTGAAATGATACTGAGCGGCTAGAGTAGTTCCATTTCAAATACTGACACAGAGTACGCTTAGTGTCCATCATACGTACACGAAGATACTGTACTGCAAGCCACTTGGGTTGTAAGAAAAAAATCCTCGATTAAGTTAATATCTTAATTAAATGCAAGACTTTTTTCAGGTTTCAAATTGAAATCATTTATCCCACACTTTTCTGTCTAATCCAATGCACATTACCATGGCGGCCATGGACTGCTTACAGTACAGTACAGCACCGTACAGTACAATATTGTACTGTAGGTGCTGTACTGTACCGTACCGTGACGTGCTGTCTGTTTCTCCGGTACAGTACTGTACAGTTTACTCTATGTACTGTAGATTGTGATAGAAACTGTGGTGTGTACAGTATCGACTTACAGTCAATACTGTAGATACTGTACTGTAAAGAGCTCGTCCCTAGACTGGCAACAATACCAGCACCAAAGCTGAGATGAAAAGGCAAAAAAAAATCCAAAAGGCTCTCAAGTCTGAAGGAAGGAAAGCGTCTTTCATCAACTTCAATATTGAAAATGGCTCAATGGAATCGATCGATGGATCATCGCCCATTCAATCCAAAATCAAGTTTTAATGGCCATAGGATGGAAACTGGTCGTCCACCTCCTTTAATGTCACATGGTTATCGCGATGATCCAATGAGTGAAGCTCCATTGCCAAGGCCACCGCTACCACCACCACCACCACCAGCAGTACATCCTTCTCGTGCAGCAAATCCTACAAGAGAAGATGATTTAGGATATGATTATGATGCAGCTTTTATGGATCGACGTCCTCCTCCACTTATGCCAGAAGATTATTACCAGGATAATAATCCTCCATTGCCTGAATTACCACCGCCACAACCACCACCACCACCACCACCACCTCATTTGAACAGACCTGATCCACACGCTTTAAACGATTATCCGCAACCATCCATCATCCATGACGACCAGGCAAGCCATCGATATCCTACCGACGAGATAATCTATCATGACGATCATTTAATGATCAGGCCTCCTCATATTGATGATGTACATACTCATGATTATGAATTAAATAGAAGATACCCTAGAACTGAATCGAACCCAATTTCACATCAATATGATGATTACAACTATGATTATCCACATTACCCAATCAATCAGCGCCCTCAACAACAACAGCCACCAATTCGATCTAGTCTTAATGTCAATAAATACCCTGATGAAAGAATAATACCTAATCATCAACCTATTCCACCATCACCACATCCTTATATCAGACCGCCCAATATTGGTCACAATCTAGTACGACCACCAGCACCATCTCATTCTGCTTATCCATCAGCTACACCAAATGACTGGCTATCATCAGCACCAACACACCAACCGCCATTGCCACCACCTCAACGACAACCAATGTTGCCACCACCACTACCACCACCACAAGTGTCCATTCCATTGCCTATGACGGGTAGATGCGATGCAAAGAAATCTCAATCTGCTCCGGATAGTGTTACCATCGATAGTATTCTCTTGCCAACAACTCGAAATAATAGACCAGCACAGGTACTGGACAACATGCCTACATTAATGATTAATTATCATTCATTTTAAGCTCAAGGTCGATATTGCTCAGGATGATAACATATCGTCGACAAGAATATTATAAATCATCATCATATTATTCGTATGATCATTCGTATCAAGTAGATCGTAATTTCCTTTTTCATTATCATAAAGATATTGATATACATGCAGTATCATTTCCAACATTAGGATAGAAATAAAACAATGTATTGTAAAATAGGAGATATTATAACTCTCGCTTGATAATACAAATTTTAAAATACAATCTTCCGATCGTAAAAAAATAGATATTAATCAAGTAAAAGTGGTTTTCTTCTACCCCTGTCAAAAAAATACAACGAAAAGATTTTTCGCTAGTACCTGACTTTGTTCAACGAATAAATAAGACTGATAGATAGTAAAGCCCGATATAATAATAATATGATTCCATCATAGTATACGTACACAATACCCAGCTAAGCTTGGAGCATGGAAAAATGGCCAAAAATTTAAAATATATTCATTCCGATGAATATATTTGACATTTAACGTTTCCTTGTAACATTTTCTAAATTGGTCTAACGGTTACTGTGCTGTAAATCAATTCATTACGTCTTTCGTAGTATAGTATATCAGTACATTACTTCTTTCTTGAAATCGCTAACATAATCTTTTTATAGATTGCCATCATTATCCGAGGTTTACCAGGAAGTGGGAAAACTCATCTGGCCAAGCTAATTAAGGTGACGTGATAGCAACTACAGGCATAAAGCATTAATTAAATTTATTACTACATGCTTGAAATTCTAACATTTGTAAAAGATTTATCGGGTATTTACAACTACGATAGTACTATGATATACACCGATTGAGTAAATGACACTATTCCTATCTTAATCAGTGTTGATACGGTAGCGTAAATTTCCAATATACACTAACAAACAAGGATATTAATCAACATTACTCTAAGTACTATCATCTACGTAACTGAACCACGTTTTTATTAAATCTCTTCTACAGGAAAAAGAAATTGCGAATGGGGGAAATCCTCCCAGGATATTATCTTTAGATGATTATTTCTTAACAGAAGTAGAAAAAACGATTAAAGATCCAAATACCGGCAAAGTTACGAAAACAAAAGTAATGAAATCAAATTTTATTTGGCAATTGTGGTCGCACTACCAATCGAAATACCTTACTGAACTAAAGCATGTGTAATTTTTTACACTTAGGCTACAGAGTATGCTTATGAAAAAGAGATGGAAGATGTTTACAGAGCTAGTCTATTTAAATCCTTCTGTAGAACTGTAGATGAAGGCTTCTTCTCATTTATAATGGTTGATGATGTTCATAATAAGGTATATATTTTATGACTAACTAAATATTCTAATTTGAATAACTTAACGATAAAGGATCATTTTTATCTATCTACTATTAGTGCAATGGTAGCCATGGCTTACAAAAGTTACACGATTTTTCTAATAATAGACTTTGATAAACTTACTATTCTAACTATTCTATGATTGAAGTGATAATAGCCGTTTCTATACGTGTGAAAAATTATACTATAGACAAGTTGAAATAGTACTGAGCAGCTTTTATCAAAGATAGCAATTGATTACTATTGTTAAAAATGTTACGCTTTTATGCTCATCAAGTAATGTATTCTTAATCAGGCGTCCCAATTTTTAAGTATGTGGCAACACGCGAAAAAGAAGGACTTTGAGGTACGTCTTAACATAATCTAAGGATAATAGTCCTGTAAACGTTTATAACTATCCCTTAAAAAAATTGGACTACTATTTTAAATAAGAATGTTAAGATAGCAATATCTCCTTATTGCAGGTTTATGTTGCTGAAATTACCGCCGATGCACATGAATGCGCCACTAGAAGTACTCATGGAAGAACTGAAAATGAAATAGAGGAGGTCATTAGCGTTATAACTTTATTCAATTTTTGATTTTATTACTCACACGTAATTGAGATTCATTTTGTGACTAATTTTATCAACCAAGCCTGAACTAGCTTTATCTTTTCTAATTAGATTTTGTCTTCTTGGGAAGAAACTCCAGAACACATAAAGCGAGTAGATGTAAGGTCGTTGCTTCAAGAAGCCCTTATCAATGAGGTCAGGGTGAAAGATTTTCGGAACGTTATATTTCTGATGTTCAAAAAGCAGTACTTATTTACTAACTTTTTACTAAACTTTACTATACCAACCATATAATACTAGGTGGAGATGGATTGTGGCGATTCTAGCAGCAATGATGAAGCTATCAGTAACGATGAAGTATCGCGAGAAAAGAAAGAAATCAATTCAAAGGTTGTTTTACTTTGTGATCCAACTGTTATTTCTGTGGACTGTAGCTCCTTCTTATACTATTCATATTAGAATTTCATAGCTTTGTACGCTATAGCGTTGCATTAGAATTATAACTTATAACACATGGTATATTGACATAAATTTTATTATTGCACATTCCTTACCTCGTGTTGTCGATACGTAAAAATAGTATTAATAATCTATTGCTTCATGAATAGAAATGTCGTTGGGAAGAAATGGACAAAAAAGAACTTGGTTAGTACCTAAGGCATACGTATCCGTTAAGATATTATTACTAGCTGTTAGACAGGATTATATGTTTACCTACGAAATAATAAGAGTAATCTCATCTATTTAGACCTCCTTGATGGTGTATCAAGTACGTCAAATAGTAAGCGTAAAATAGATAGTGAGAGCAACTATAGCGACGTTTTATTCACTGAAAAGGATTCAACGCGTTACGAAGATAGTAACTCCGAGTCAACTGGAAAGAAACGGGCAAGTTCCTTAGACTTTCCATATTGGGAGAGATGATAAGATCAGATTGGTTTAAATCATAGACTTACCTTTCCTAGCTTTAAATTAAGTTCAATTGAGTTAATAGTTAAAAAGAAAACTTTTAATGACTGTTGCACTACGCTAGCATAGCGGTAAAAGTTTATTCCGATTTACATACAGTACAGATCGTAAAACAGTACGATCGTCATATATTTTAACCGTAAGGTAATTGCTTAAATTCTTTAAAATCTTATACGGTATACTCGACTTGATCTCACTTTAGGTAAAGTGGGCTGATATTGAGGAAGAAAGTCAAAGGAAACGTAGACGGCAGGTCGGTTTCGTTATCGGAACTGACTGGAAAGATTTGACATTAAATGAGAACGAAGTTAATGAATTAAGTGGTTCACACTATTAAGACAATTACAATTTTTAATGTATAAATATATTTGTCATATCGCCGCTCTGGGTTTGATTTAGTAGTCCATCAGAATAACTTGTACATTATACTACCATCATTTCCCTTTAACTGGTAGTAAATTTGTTAGCCAACTTACTTGGATGACGGATATGAGCCGAAATTACTCTTTAGTATGAAGTTTACATTCTATCTGGTTGTACTATAAGCTCACATTTGACTAACAATTCGAAGCTTTTCGATTGCAAATATCTAATTTACTGTACTTTCCATATATATTAAGATTTCTAATGTAAATTATCTTGTATGATATCCATTTGTAAGTAGAGCGGAAAGCTACTCTTTTTATTTAATTGTATCTTGTCAAACAATGAAATTATTACCTACAAAAATTTTTGAATGACTCCATGTAATGACTTAATGCAATGTTTGTCTATATTTTATTTTGCATTAATACTAATACATCACCATTCAATTTACATATACGCACTTAGAACATATCCAATTATTGCCGAATGTATGATGATGACAGTTTAGTGTCAATTGTACATATTAAAGTGATTCTAGATCCTAATAATATCCAACGAACTAAATCTTACGTCATGGAAAACGCTTTAACAAGTATAAGATGTTAAAATATCTATGGTGAATTATGATTATTGGCTTTCGCAAATAAACCAATTTACTGACTCTAAACCGCGCTACAATGATAATATTGATATCAAATGATCAATATGGCATAAAAGCCAAACAATAAATCTTTAATATAAAAAAGCGGAGAATTAGCATGCAATACAGTCACAAAGCATTATTTTTATACATCGTGGTTATTACTATAGACCGTGAGCAGTGAGCTATGCATGGCCATCCCGTATGTTTCCACAAGGAATAGTAGTGTAGATATGTAAATATCACGAGGCGATAACCGTAGGAGAATAAAAGTCATAGCAGTAATTTGATCGACAGATTTCATATCAATTATTCAAAAACAGTGCAGATTATATGGCACATACAATACGACAATTCTAAACTGTGCACTTAATCTGATTTTATTACGTTAACGATTAATTTGTTGCAATACATCAAGCGATATTTTCGATATAGATATTGTAATGCACTAGAAGCATCAAGATTTATGTAAAATTTTAATAGTCTTTTTGGTTGCATTTCCGATGCGATCACTGTTCTGTGCAGCCTATAATATTTGATCGACAAGTAAAAATTGCAAAAATATTCAAGATCAAATTATATATCCCAGTATTTTTAGAATCTGTTTCGTTTCTAAATTTCTATACAGTACTAATTTAATCCCCATCTTTCTTCTAGCGCTGTGATATACTTTTTATAAGCCTTAAGCTTAAATTTTGTTGTTATTAATTAGAAGCTTAGTTACAGTATATTACCTGGTCAATAATTCGATCAATTTGTTCATTTTGTGTATCTAGTTGATCAGTCATAGTACGAGCTTGTATACACAATTTATCAAGGTGGCCTTCAACTCGGCTAATAAGATTGTTATTGAAGATATATCATAGAAACATAGAGCAATAATAATGAAAAATTAGGAAGCCATTTTTACAGCTGTTAAACGCATTCACTTCTAAAATAATGACTTTAATCTTTCTTAACAGGAATACTTATCCAACTTGCTGTTACTTACAGTAAATCTTCATTTATCTTAATTTCTCTGAAGTCGTTGGAAATACTATATGCGCCAATAGATAAAAATTAGTTTAAAATTGTTCCTATACATCATCTACAATATAAATGATCTATCGCTACAGCTGTAGACAATTGTAGTAATGTCAAAACAACAAAGGACATACTTTTGATTATAATCGCTATCTTGGGATTTACTGATCGCACTCGTATTTGCTAAAATTGAAAGGAAACCAATCAAATTATAGCAAAAGAATTCAAAGAAAGTTATGATTACAGCATGCAGTATATAGAAAACACAAGATTTACCAAAGTATTAGACTTTCATATTAACTACAGTTGAAATGATGGTATGACATGATACAAATATGAGAAAATAGGCGAAATAACATTTACAAGGGAATTAAAGTTCAATTTTAACTACCGTATTAAAGTTGCAATCCGTAAATGTAAAGCACATTATAGAGAGAAGGAAATGTAGACAGCGTGAGATTTATTAGGGCATTAAATTATACCTTCGGCTAATAAGCCGTATTACGTTAAAAAGGCAAGAAACCCAATGGCATCATTACATAATTATCGTATAACCATAAATATGAATATCTTTCAACCCCAGTATACCCAATTACTGTAAGAGTTCATTTACAAGATATTAAAGGATAAATTTATAGCAAGAGTATAACTCTAAATTTTTTTAAAGCTTACTTAAATATGCAGCACCTGGTTGTTTAGTAACTGGAAGATTCTTGCTAATTTTATCACAAATTTCTTTTGTGCTATATCGATATTTTTTTAAGTTATTAGTTCCTGTCCTAAATCACGTAAGATATGAACAGATATCATGCATTAAGTATGCTCAATTTTAGGCTTTATTTTATAACTAAGTATAAAAATATGTAATAATCTCTACTTGACTTAATGAAGTGGGAGATAGCTAATCTTAAAGAATTAATCTACCATGCTATCTATCACCTTCTCCAGGGTAAGGGACATATACCGCAACATTTTTCGACATCAGCTAGACTTTTTTCAGCTTCAGACATGTTGTTGTTAATATTTTCCATGCCCCCTTCTATTCGAGTTAATTTTCCTACACGATAAGGAATATTATAGACAAGTACTCTTCTCATAATTGCTTTTACAAAAATTTAAATGATAAGATCTAGTGTTCTATCTGAAAATAAATCTTGCTCTATAATGTTTTTATAACACTCGTTGATATTCATCGATATTTGATCTTATAATGTATGATAAATTATTCTGCAACTGTGCATTGGATATACAATATCTTTATGATTGAGATGGCATCTTTTAAACATAATATTTACTAAAAGTAGAATTTCCAAAAAATAATTATAAGCCTACCGTACACTAAAGGAGAAAATATGAAATTAGTCTATCCTAAACCGTATAGCATCAGGCCATGCTACTTAATAGGTTATACAAAGAAAATTTATTCTATTTTTTCTAACTATGCCGTCATAAGATACAATTAAAAATCTGACTTTAAAGTACTTGGACTTTATCTACAAATATAACAGTAAAGAAAGAAAATTTAAATCTTTTTTAAAGGGTTACTAATATTCTAAGTTTTTGCGAAGAAAAATCGATGAGACTGAATTTATTTTATCTGATCAATAACAGAAAGTAAACGTTTAATTCACATCGGCCTTGATTAATAAGAATTATAAATTAAATAAGCATTACCTCCTTGTTCATTTAAAACAACGAGAGTTTGTGATCCAATTGCTTCTGTCTGCATTGTAATTATTGAAGTGGAAAGAAATAATTTGATGAAAAGAGATAGAAATTATAATAACTATATAGCATAAAATCATTCCATTAGATTTATCGATTATCGTAGTAGACTAGAACTTTAACCTGATCACACTAAATAAAATTTTAATGCCTCAACTGGTTAAATGTACATATGCACAATCATACAGTATCAAAAAATTGACAATGACTCACTCTTTAAATTTTCTTAATCACAACATAAATATTATTTAAATATAGATACAAAATAACTAGAAATGTAATGTACGAATAAAATGACAATAGTTAATACCTGCTGAGTTAAAGTAACTAAATTTCTTGTTATTTCCAATGACTGCAGAAGCGAATAACGTCAAAAGAAAAATAGTAGGAGAAATGTTTGTTAGTCATTTCGAACAATAAAATAATACCATGAGCTATTTGTAATAAAGATGTACTATTTTAATGATGATAGGAGTCCAATAGATTTCAAAATACTTCCTGGATATGAAATAAATAATTTTTGAAACAGGGGTAGTTTTAATGAAATTATCTAGAAGAAATAATCTTGATTTTACACTATTGCATAAAAGCAGCTTTCTTGTATGATACTGTATGTTGGTATAAATTGAGGATACAAGTATCACAGTTATTTCTCGCTTATAATCTGTAATACAACATTTAAATAAAATTTAAAATGGAATATGCTGGTAACTTTTCCAGTCATGGTGATGTTTACCAAGACTAAGAGTCCGAAGCCTTTCAATACTTGTACAATATCTAAGAAAGAAGTATACTTTGTGTGGATAGGATCAAACAAATATCATCATAAACTCTAACGTATGTGCTATGAATTAACTCTAATTTAATGAAAAGCACCGAAGGAAATATATGCATGTAGTGTACTTTAGGTGACATCATACTAGACATGTTAGCCTGACGATAAATGTGTAATGATGTAGCAGATATAAAAGAAATAAAATTAATTATTTAAAGAAGCGTAAAACTATAATACTTATTTACAATGCAGAATATATATCGACTGTACGCGCATTCCAATGCAAACGTCCATTTCTGCTACGAATAGGATCAAAATTGAATAAAAACGCTTACAACGATGCGACTATAAAATTAATTAAAGCTGCCGCATACACATAATCACAACCTTTTCATTTTTAAGTCTATGTAAATATTGTATATCACATTCTCTAGTAGCGACGATAATGACAAATAATATAATAGAAGAAGCAATATTATTAGTTTTTCCTAAGCTATATAATTAATTAAAGAAACAGAAAAAGTATATCGAGATACGAGTATAATTAGTTATACATTTTACTATAGATATATATAGCTACGGTAACTAATCTTGGATCTGAAGGTTGTGATTAAGCTTATCTTTATTCACTAACTATATTTATCCACATTTAAATTTTAGCTATAACTGATGCTACTGCTCGTGTAATATTCTGCTAAACCTATGTAACTATTTTCTCCTTTTGTAAGCCTATTCATGTTATACTTCATTTATCTATGTTGCTGATGGATGGTATACGTAAACAATTTTGACTGCAATTAACGTTATCAATATTAATGAAAGGTCCCTCTTGAGGTTTCTCCCTTAACAGTGATCAGTTTTACGGTTAGGCAATTGCCATTTATTTTACGATAGTCTCCTATAGCATACTATCTTTGATTTCTATAGCGTGTAAAATGGATACATAAATCGTGAGCTAATAGCGCATAGTACAAAAGATCTCTATATAACAACAGTTAAAGTGAGTATAGAAATACGAGAAATATTTCTAACACGCCTAGGAATATCTAAATTAGCAGTAAATCAGGTCAATATTGAATCAACCTGATGGTTAACCGAGTTAAGTTTTGCTGGTTATATATAATCCATTAAGGTTTCGAATTCTTCTCATGATTTCTTGAACTGCTGTTAGATTAAGCTTAATATAGGCTATATCTACTGAATTGCCTAGTAGAGATCTGTGCAAAAGGTTTACATTGCTGATCTTTCAATAGCCTAATAGTTACGATTTAATCTATATCTAAAATAAAAAATCTTGTAGAGATAAAAAAAAAAATAAAGCTGGGAGCTTGTAATTGTGTTATTCGGAAATAAAAATGAAATATCGCTAGTAGAGTCCTTAAATTATCTAAAGCTTCGATGCCACTCAATCATTAGTTGATCAATATATCAAATTCATCTACATGAAGTTTATTGCAATAAAATAATACGTAAGAAATGATAGTAGCCTCTTAAAATATCGATGGCTTCGATGCCATTCAATCATCAGTTGATCGATATATCAAATTAATCTACATGAAGTTGCTATAATAAAGTAATATATAAGAAATATTAGTAGCCTATACTGAACTGCCTCAGGTTAATTTTACCAGTCATGATGGAACTATCTTACAGAAGAAGAAAAAAACAATGAAGATGAACTTGCCTTTAATAAAGTCAGCGAGACACTCAATTGAACGATAAATTACTTTATGAACAGCAAGTAAACTAGTGTGAAAATTAGATATTTAATATCCAATACTTGGGAAGTATTATCAAGATAAAGTAGCAATTATAATGTAGAGAGTGAATTAGCTTCTTTTTTTAAGGATAGCTTACTGCGACTTGAGATTGCATCCTATATTAGATTATAAAGAATATTCATAGCTGTCGAAATAAATGAATCCATCTCAGATCGTATGTGTTATTCACAGAGGGCAATAGATTCAATGAATAAAGCAATCCCAACAGATATATCGTAGTATACAGTAGTGCACTAACTATTTATTACGGCCAATAATTCTGAATTTATCAAATGCTTCAGCAACTTTCTCCCCTCCAAAAAAATTAAACTGTTTATTCTACTGAGATAAAATTCATATTTAAGAAAAGATAGATTTAATCATAATGTAAGAGCCGAAATGAGTGATGATTTCTGATAGCAACATTAACAATTTAATAGGGAAATAGAGTTATTACACTATCAAAATATTATGCTTGTATTAAAAGAATGAGTATCAAATTTCGATTTGGCTTTTCTTCACATTTAAATACCATCCATATGGAAAAATAAAAAGCATTAGCAGGGTATTCGCAAGTAATACCATGAAAACTATTTACAATACCCCAATGAGAGTTTACATAATGGCTAAATCAACTATTGAACAATTTCATTTATTTTCAGTAGTTGATAGTCAGTGCTAAAACTATTAATTTAATTTCAAAGTTTACTAACTTGATTAAGAATATGACTGCCTTTTGCTTCCATTTTTTCTAGTTCTCGTCTGATTTCTTCATCCGATGCCATATCCATAATTTACTACCCGACCTAAATGTCTCTTCCTTTTCCTCCTCCACTTATATTTTTTATCATAAAAGTGCCTCTAATTTTAATCAATACGTACACCTTTGCCAAGGATTGCAAACAATATACAAAATTGGATTAGACGCCTCTTCTTGTTCCACTCTTTGGTTACTTTCATTAATGATTATTTGATGGTATTGTTGCGGCTGATGGATGAGATGTCTTAGAAAAATGATTATATTAAAACAAAATCTCGACAATAAAACAATGGTAATTAGTGATAGATCTATTTTAATCCTTTGATATGATCAATTCCTAAAGAATTTCAGCGCACTTATTCTCATTCTGCTATTAAGACAATATTAATGAATCACTGCCGTCAATAATCAATGCAATAAAATGTCCTTTTGTGAATTTGTATCATACAGTTTTGAAACGAACTGAGCACAATTTTTGGATATTTTGATGATGGAACTATTCCTTTTACCTTTCTTCAACGTAAAAGTACTGATGACGTAAGTAGTTGAGGCTTTTCAGATACTAATTTTACCCTCTCTAGCTGATCGACAAAGCAGTAAGTTGTGACTTATACCTTAATCGCCAACTACTTAGTATGACTAAGGCGTAAGTGGATATTGAACGAATAGCTTCTAGTAAAATGGATACGATTAAATGTTATCTTAAGAATTTTTCTTCTAATGCTAACTTTAAAGTGTGCTGGCCTACAACTCCGAAGTAAGCAGAAATATATATACCTGATTGGAGGAGAAGGAAGTAAAATTCAGTATTGCTCATTACTAGACTTTTACTCTTAGAAATAGTATCAAATTGGAAATCATTTTAGAATAAACTTTATGGCATTAATAAACAATATACTGAGTTCTTCATTGTAAAATCAAGACTAATACTAATTCTACAATAATATTCGATATATGCGATATAATAGTCTTTATAATAGCGAAATAAAACTAAAAATATATTGGTTTACTGGTAAGACTACAATTATTGTTAGCATTTAACATATTTATGGAGGACATGCATAAATAATTTCCTTAGAATTAATAATATTGTCTCGGACTTTGCTCAGAAGACTATGACTAATAGCAGTTATTAAAATAGGCACATTTCCAGAATACCTCTTGCAACATTTATAAAGCTAAAAAGTTTTTGATATTACCTTGCATAACTACAATTAATATCAATTTTAAAAACAAACTTTGATTCATAATCACCCTTTTCAATATTAATAAAACTAAAAACACCTGAAATGTAGCCTGCAATTAAGCCAAACGTTTGCAAATTTGAACACCATGTGATGAAATGGCTATCGTAGGTAAAAGAAAAGATCATGTAATCACTAGATGCTTTTCTTCATGTTTATTGTAATTAATGGAATTTATTCTATTCATTTGATATCACTTCGCTTGTAAAATTAATCCGTATTCATTTTTTGTATGATTTCGTGTGATTTCTTGGTATTTGAAAATGAATCAAATTAAAATGAGTCATAGAAATGATATTTCGCAATCGTAAAATTGGATATATTTGGAAATATATCAATCTATATTAAGGGTATGTCATCAAATTATGTTGTAAGTAGTATTGAAAAGATAGTACTCATGAATTAATAACTTAGTTTACGTAAATCCCAATAGTATTCTTAAAATGGAATTGTGCGCTTCTAACCTTCTTGATAAGTATTATTAATACAGTGTATTCATTTATTTTTAGTCAATAAGTCAGATATCTCAGTCTAAAGGTAGAGCAATACCACCATACTATAGATCTCACGATAGATCTTGGTTAGTATATTTCAATTGATAACATTCAGCTATTATTCATGAATAATCAATATAACCTTCCATTAAGGTTAATCTCGTTAGACTGGGGGTTGCTTTATAGCCAAATCGGATCAAGGAATTGTATCAGAATTTTGTCTGCATATTGTTAATAAAGTTAAAAATAGATCACTATACTAAAACTTAAAAATATGGTAACTGGTAACACAAAATCAAGTTTAGATGATCGTACTCTTTCATGCTTGGATAAATCGTAGCTTAGCAAGAAATTGTAAAGTATTCGCAGTATCGCAGAATGTAGCATACGCTAAAATGCTATGAAAGTCCTATCCCAAACCTACGCCTAAAATACTAAAGATTAATCAGGGAATCGTTGTCTATAGACAAGATATTGAGTACCAACATACAATGTAAATAGTTATATTACGGCATATCTTTATTAATTATGACAAACACTATGCTATTGCGTCGAGTGATATTGAAATTGCAAAATAACACTTAGAATATAATATCACAAGAAATTGCTACGTAGCAGCAGAAAGTATAATATTATTAAGAAATATTGTTACGGAAATGAACTAAGTTCTTGGCGTTCAATATTATTAGGAAGATTTTTTACAACGGTACTAGTCCTCAAAGTATAATATGACTTAAGAATTCCTATTGTATAAGTACACAAGAAAGTTGAAATACGCTATCCATACTAAAGCATAACAAAAATTTGGAATATAATATTAAAAAAAGCCCATCATATAAATTAACTGGCAAACTGAAATAGTAAAGCCATAACGGAGCACTCTAAATGTAATACTAGTAAAGAACCCTTTTACGAATATCCTGCAAAACCGAAAAACTACAATGATAACATAGTATTCAGGAAGTAATATTGTTAATAACTCTTTTAGCAATAGACATAATAAAAGAATTGAAATCATAGTATCACAACAAAGTATTCAGAGTATAATATTACAGATAATCTTTACTGGACAAATACATTAGAATATTGAATCAGACACTTTAGTGCTTTTATTTCTTAAGCATCCAGCATAGAATTAAATGTTTAACTCTCTCATATTTTAATACACTGAGCCTAAAGTACATAACTAGCCATTATTTCTTCATAGAAAAATGTCAGATTTGGAATTATTTCGAAATTTAAAAACAGTTGATGGATCGACAAAAACCTTTAGGAATGATTATAATTACAAAGATATAGCGTCTACCGATTAAATTTAAATATTCTTTTTACGAATATCAATTACAGTTTGGTAGTACTTATAGTAAGAGTCTAGTAGGACATAAAAAATATCATTTTAAACGATATTTTAATCCGTAACAAGGGCAATTGGATAGTCTAGTTTAAAAATACTACATCAGTTTAGCCATTCTTGTTCGTTCTACTAAATAGACACTCTTATAAATGGAAATGTTGTCGCATATTGTAGGTTAAATTAATATAAAACTACCTATCTCTGGTAGATCTTTAGTTATAATTAGTCAGTGCGACATAAAAATTGCTATTTGAAATGATATTTTATTCATCAAGAGCACGTTCAGATAGCGTGATATATAAATATAACATTAGCATTACTAGTGGTATTCATTTTGCTAGATAGAAGCTTTATGAATAGGTTTTTATTGTAAAAGTATTATTCTTCTTCAATTAAGTAATGACTTGGTAGTAATCACTAATTAAAAATGTCGTCTTAATGGATCACTAGAGGTAGCAACTGAATAATTTCCATAAAGCCTAGATCTCTCCACCTATTACTTATGCAATCTACTCCTACAACCGTATAAATACTACATTTCTTACAGACAAAAGGTTAATAATCTTGCTTAAAAGCAATTGTACTAAATCAGTTTCAAACGTTGGTCTGAAAACGACAAGTCAAGGATGTCGTCTTAATTTGTTGACCACACAGAGCGTTGAATATCATTGAAAGCTAGAATTGAGTAAATTGGTGCAAGGTAGCTTTACTAAATCAGCCCTGAGTATTAGCTTTAAAATCGATAGATTAATAAACTTTGTAAACGACAATATATGGATTAAAAAATTATTTTTCGGAGATATCCATCTTAAGTAGATATTTAGCAGCTGAAATGGATGATTATTGTCAAAGTAAATTTAAAACTAAAATTATAGAGCCTTGTAACTTTAAATCCCTCAATATTATTGCTAATTACAATATTAGTTTCTAGCGTTAAAGTCATAAATAATTATGAATATGATCATGTAACATAATATTCAACACTGGAGGTTAGCTTGCCTTATTTTGCTGTGTGCATACGTATAATTCAGTACGAGCTAGGATACAAAGACATTTTTCGAGAATCGTTTATAATAATGTCGTCACAAATTTATTTAACGTACGCCAACTAAAATTTTAGAACTTGTTCTCATGGAAGTATATTAAGGTGTGATTAATTATGAAAATATTGTTATTGATTACGTAAGATTCGTTTTGCCCTTACATTCGCACCGTCAACTCGATCACTAGTCATGTCCACCTATGACAGTAATAAAAGTATTCATGCTGAGTGGATGAGTTTTTAGCACATTATGCTTTTCAATTTTAGGGAATATCATTTTGGCATCGTTATTATAAAATAGATTATAAATCCTTCTGATACTTACTTAATGAAACAGTATAGCAGGTAATGTTACTGCATAGGTATACTATAGTTAATGTTAAAGTACTCGCATCATTTCTAGGCTAATTAAATATCGTTACCTTCTCACTCATGGCGAAAAGTTGTTTATTTTGTTTGTCTAGTTCTTTACCCATATCCACGGCCATTGATTTTAAATCGCTTACTAATCCACCCACTTGTCTAATCATACAAAAATGTAGAAATAGCTGTTGTAATGCTGCACTAATATCTTACCCTTTATTAATTCTTAATCCATTTAATTACTTGGTTTAATATGCTTGTAAGTCAATACAAATTTACGAGAGTACAATGAAGTACATCAGCAATCAACGAAATACAAACGCAACCTATTTACGGATTTTTTATTTTTACCTGAGATTGCTATCCATTTCGTCTTCACGTATATCGTTCGTAACTCTATTCAAAGTGGATGTAAATGTAGATATTTTTAATCATGGGAAATTATTACTGGCAAAGAAGAATTTGGATTAGTATTGCAGAAGTACTTCCAAAGTCTCTGATAAAGTTTTCAACTAAATACCGTAGTTACCTCTGAATATAATTACCATTTTGTAACATAAATTTGTTAGGCGAGGTGTTGCGATAAGTCAGAGTAGATTGTAAAACTGTGTTGAGATTCGCAGATAATATTCGGCTTGTTAGTAGAATATGATATCGGAATTACGTACAGATTTCTTAATTAGAATTGATGTCCCATAACCATGGTAAGAAATGAATTGTCAAAATAAAGCTTTTCGAATGTATATTTAAATTGAGTATATGGCCTAACCTGGTTGATAATTTACAACTTCATCATTTTGTGGTCCCCAAACTCTCTTAAAATCTTTGCTTTTTTCAAAATTTTCGGTCCTAAATATTATGGAATGCTCAATTTGATATAATGAATATTCATTACAACTAACAAAATCCCTACCACAGTTCTTTGCTTAATATTTAAGCCGTAATCCTTTTAAGAAAATACAGTAATTTTCAAGCGAAGCATATGCTATAATATTACATTATAGCAGATATTAGAAATAGACATGTACAATAGTTAATTATTAAGCTAACTGCTTTTGAAAATTGTATCATATGGGATAAAATATGTTGAAATACCATGTAGACATATACCTTTTCCATGGACAAACACATAATCCACAACACTTTTCTAAATTTGTTAAATTTTTCTCGGCTTCATGCATATCGGCATTGATCTGCTCCATGTTCTGCTCGATCCGATCAATTTGCTCTATATATTAGTAAGATAAGTATTTGTGTAGTTAACGATGTTTTAACAATGCAGAGACATTATTAGTGGAATAAATATTATATACAGAATACTGAATGATATTCCATAACTTATCTGGTTATTGTGATAGTATAAGAGAATTATAGTAAAATTAGTATTAATCAGGTGCTGCCCTACTGTCGCTAAGACTCATCCATAAAGATATTGGTAAAAAATTAACAACCGACTGCAAGTTCTCTTAGGTGTTTGGGGTATTTTAACTCCTCCAAGTTACTGTGATGCTGTAACATCCTAAGTACGAGCTGCCTATTCAACAGATGATATATTCGTATTCTTCTGTACTAATACTAAAACTGCTTCCTCGAAGATACATGTAAGATTTTTAGCTTAAAGATATCTTTTTAACTTGCCTACCCGATAGGTGGCATATCCGTATTATTCTATACTGGAGCTATAGCTAAAATTGCTTCCTCGAAGATACATATATGTTAGATTTAGCATAATGATATCTTTTAATTTGCTTATCCGATAGATGACATATTCGTAGTATTCTGTACTGGCTCTATAGTTAAATTTGTTTCCTCAAAGACATACCAGTATGTTAGATTTAGCTTAATGATATCTTTTAATTTTCCTATCCGATACCTGGTATGTTTGTATTATTTTGTACTGAGGCTATAGCTATAGCTAAATTTGCTTCTTCGAAGATATGTGTCAGATTTAGCATAAAAATATATTTAAATTTAACTGTTTAATCCTTCATGGTATTGCTATACGGTAGATTTATCTATTACAGTAGCCCTAACCCCCTTGCGTATTCAGCGTCTCCAAGGTTTTTGTACCAATTCCATGTGTCTATCAAGATGAACCGAAGATTAGATTGTTATAGAGTTATGAAAATGGACTGGAACTCATCTATAATCATATTCAACATTTACTAATGAGAAATAAACGTTGTCATCGCCATCGAACTACAGGCAGATTGCGTTATAAGATATATATGACAATATATATTAACGATACCCAAATGGTGTGCAAGAGAGTATCATTTCGCTGGATTATTTTAGTATCTACCGCATTCAGTGTCACCATACCTCCTCTGCTATCACCAATATACGCCTGGTACTATCTAGAGACTACAAAGCGAAATTTTTAAAATAAACACAATAGTTTTAAAGATTACAAGTAATTAACATTACTATCATTAGTATAAAGCCTATCACTAGTTTATGAACTAATGTGCAATGTACTAATTTACTTCTCTTGATTACATCATCTACGAGTCTGGACAGATCTATCGTTCATTTGGCTAACAACTATATATTAAAGTAACGAGATTATAGTCGAACAGGTCGATATTAACAAATAACTTTTCAATTTATATCAACATGAAGTATTACTGACCTCATTCGTTATTTTATTGCCCCTTTCTTTCATATCTTCCAATTGCCGTTTCATCTCCGCTTCCGATATTGTAGTGTCGTCGATATTCATGGCTGAGAATTTCTTAAGCGCTATAATTGATAGCACGATGTGACTAAAAATGTCTTGGAAAAATTTCGCAGCATTTAGACTGCAGTACTAATGTTTAAAATATGATTGCAATTTATAACAATATGGTGGTAAGTTGCTGTTTAAACTATGAAGTGGAATTGGTTGTCAGTACAGTAGTATCGGGTAGTTCCGCAATTATGATATGAAATTGGAATTATCAATAGTAAATTAATGTCAGGATATCATATACAACACTAAAGTTGAACTTTTAAATACCTTAGTTGGCAATTAAGATCTGGATATTTGCTATTTATGAATTTAGAAGGTACCGTAGCGTAATAAAGATTCTGTAAAGATCTACGCAGTTTGAAGGGCTAGTACTTATCAATAAGAGGAATATGCCGTACCGTATAAAATGGTAGGATCATAGATTACAGATATAGTATCTTTTACAAATTGATGATGGATGCATCGGTAACATGGTGTGCTCTGCTGATATTATTATAAAAATTCGTTTATATTTACATTACTAGTATTTCAAATTTAAATTAGCAAACTTATGATATTAACATTTATACTAAAAAGTTCAGGTTTATTCTATAGTGATAAACACATATTATAGAGTGATTTTATAGTATTTGTTATAAGTATTCTGTTTCCATTGTTGCCATTACCTGTGCTTAGAGAATGCAAGGTGTATCTCAGTCGTGAAGAATTTATCCAAAGCAATGATTTTAAATGACAAATATTAGGGAAATTACGAGTAAAATAGGTTGAAGGATAGATTGTATTGTATGTTATGCCAGCCTGAATCGATTTTTGTTACAGATTGCTCCATGAAATTATTACTTTTATTGAGAAATTCTTATTTATTTACCTTATATTATAAATGTCCTGTATTAGGCTTGGGACTTCGTTTTATTTTTAGGTTATAATGACAGAAAACTAAATTAAGGAATTTTAATTTGAGATGCCAACGATAAACTGGTTCTAAAATCTGCTATCATTCCACCATGCATATTTGCTAACAATTCATCATAGATTATTCATATTTCGGCAATACTACAATTGTCAAGCCTGATAGTAGTTAAGCATGTAAAACAATTTTATCTAAAGAGTAAATAGTGTTCATGTTAATTTGAGCCTCGCTGTATCATTTAATAACAAGCAAAATAGACTTGTATAATTAGTTGCAGTTAGTGCAATTTTTTCGATAGTTTAGTTAATTGGTTTTAATTTATGCGAGAGATTTTTTTTATCCATTCTGAAAAGATATGCTGAATTCTTTAAGTATCTATATCGTCGTAATAAGGATCAAATTCGATCAGATGGGTCAAAATGGTCGTTGTTAATAGTAATTCTCTATTTGGTCAAGAGTTTCATAACTTTGGGGCTTACTAATAAAATATTATTCACAGTCAATCGATTTTATGTGAGATAATGAGGAAAAATTCTGTTTTGAATTTTGTTTGCTAACTGACCCTTGGACTTTCGAGCTTTAACCTTGATATCTTTGATCGAAATAGATGATTAGGCATGAACTCCTACTGAGTTGAGACATTTATTGGTGCTGATACCAAAATATAGAAACGGCACATTATAATTATGCAAATAAAATAGTTATGATGACCTACTGTAGAGAATTAGGATGTTCAAATTGAGTAAGCATAATTTATTATGAACGATTAAAATTTCTTACCGCAAAATTCTAATAGCAAAAATTAAAAGTAAATATTAAAAATAGCACTGAACAGCTATCACGGATCTTGATCGAGCACCGCTTTTGAATGACTATGATTGGCATTTTATGGTGATTTTGTGGTAGCATCGATATCTTGATAATGTGAAAGACCTATATTGCTCGAAAATGAGATAAGATATTGGATACTATAATTCTTTACATGGTATTAGCTTAAGATTTACCGAGATAGAGAGTTGTAAAATGGAATCGCTATGAGGATCATAGCTATCACAAGTACCCATAACGAAGGCATCAAGATGGGCGGTGCGACCTAATACTTCTTCATGTTGTTTAATTGGCATCTATTTTGTAATTTTATCTCTACGAGGTTGAGTAAATTCATCACATGTACGACCAGGAGGAGAAGTAATATCGATAAATAATAAACAGAATGTTTCGAGGCTGATTTATACTCGTATAACCGGTATTGGGACGACCAAATTATATACAGTCAGGAACATAGTTTATCAAATTCTAGAATACCTTTAATTTTTAAACCATTTCTTGATTTGCTAGCTAAAAATATTAATGAGTCAGCCAAATACAGTAGTAATGTACAGCGAAGGCAGCACTCTGTAAGGATTTACTCGCTAAATTAAACCATGTCCGTGATGACTCAATAAAAGATTAGCTAAGATTAGATATAATATAATTTCTCCTCTTTGAAAGACTGAGTAATCGCTGACTTTAATAATTTCACAACACAACAGCAAATAAATTTAATAAACTATCGGAAAGTTATGAATCATTTGCATTAAACGCGCCTCAGTTTCACTAAAAATTCTTTCTGCGTAGTTTTAGTAAGTAATGACTATTTGATAAGCAGTTTGATGGTATTTGCTGTAGAGTTACGGTAGTGTAAATGAATTTCATTCTTCTATGCAGTGTACTGTGATATAGCAAGGCATCTGGAGTAGGAAGGTTTCATACATTGGTAGGGCTGACTATTATTGCTTTGAAGCAATATCTGATAATATAGTTTACAAAAGAATGCAATATTCGAACTTAAAATGTAAATATTGCGCTCATCTAAAATTTGCAGAGAATGTATTGCGTATTTATAAATAGTTATTATACAGCCTTTTAACTAAAATTTTGCATCCCTGAATTGAATTAGGTCGGCTATGAACGTCCCATATAATATATAGTGTGTTACACTTGTAACGTCCATGGTGGAATAATATATAGAATCCTTTTATTACATGCTATTTCAAGAAATTTTACAAACGTTAATCAATGCATTACATATTCCCAATATAATTTGCTCGTCTATGAAATCGTCTTGCAGTTGCATTTACTAAGAAAGCATCAGTTAGACTTATGCATAACCGCAAGGATTAACAAGCAAAGCCATTAGATGTTCTGTGTTAGTCGATTTCAGCCGTTAGTATAAACGACGATAGAGAATGAAATTGAGCTGAACAGAAAGATCGTTCGTTACATTCAAAATGCGAATGGTCTCTACATTACAAGCTTGTATTTAGGAAAGCCAGTATATTTTGGGAAAGTTCTATTAAAAAATCAGTCTCTTATATATAAAATCTAATCATACTGTCATGAATCCATGGCAATTCTATAGACTAATCTTACTACTAGCTACGACGTACGGTAGAATACATTACTACATCTGCAACAAACAATCTTAAAGAAACATCTACTTGAAATAAAGAATGAAAAACAAGAGTAATCTCATAAAACTTCAATTCGATAAATCTTTAGCAGTGCTCAACCGTAGCAAACCCAATGCAAGGATATACAGTGCGTTAATACCATGTCACATTCTAATTTATGCACCATACGTATTTTTCTAACTGATATTAAATTAACTATATTACCGTGTATAGTAATGAAAACGTCTATATTTCACATGATCGTATTGATAATAACAGTACTTTAAAATTTTCTATTTGCTTATACTTATGGTAATCAACCTACTAAATATCCGGTAATATGACACGAAGAATGATGTACCCATTATAGAATTTGTTGCTATTTCTAGCAGTTTCAACTGAAGCTACTTATCAATTTTACCATACTATTTGAAATTTGAAATGTTTCTACTATGAAAGATGATTGATAGCAACTACTGGTTGCGTAAGATATTTGTTGCTCTCACGTTAGCTTCATCGATACGTGAACTGTTCATTGTAGCCTAACGTAACAAGAATGATAAGCGTAAGCGTCTAGTATCCTAGCTAATTCATGATACCAAATCGAAAGAAAAAAAGTATTCTTACCTTATTTTCAATGCGACCGATTTGCTTATTTTGGGTATCTAATTCGTTACCCATATCTTGTGCCATCGACTTTAAGTTACCTATCATGCCAGCAACTTGGCTGATGCAATTGGCAAGAAATAATTATAACGAAAATTGCGTTGAATTTAAGATATCTGATAGTGAGGCAAGGTTAAAAATCTCTGTCTCGTAGAAGCTGCATAACATATTATTGTTCAATTATTTGTATGAGCTACATTACGGCTAAAATATCACAGTAGAGTGAGAAATTCTAGGAAATACCTGAGATTTTCGTCCATTTCATCTTCTCTAGCGTCGTTGGTAATTCTATTGAAGTAATGTTCCGTTAGTACTTAAAGTTATGCTGTACAACGTATATCAGGGAAAAAGGACAGAAATCCATCTAAAAATTTGAAAATAGCTACTTATTAATATAGCCACGATCTTGGGATGTGCCGGTGTTGGTAAAGATTGGGGCTATAGTTGAAATAAATGTAAGTAGATAGTCAATGTAGTAGAATAAAGGTACCGCTGAGGCCAGTACAATTCCTATAGGCTCTAACCTGGTTGGTTTTGAATTGGACCGTCTTCTCGTTCTCCCCAAGTATCCTTGTAGGTTTTATTTTTTTCAAAATTTCTTGCCCTAACATATGAAAAATCGGTTCTTATGATTAATTATCGTATAAATCCACGACTTTAACTCTAGAAGCTATTATTATACTACTCTTGTGGTCATAGCTGTATATAATATCTAAATTAGATTAATAAATTTAATTGTATATACTTTTTCCATGGACAAACGCATAAACCACAACATTTTTCCAAGCCAGTCAGGTTCTTTTCGGCTTCGCGCATATCAGCATTAATTTGCTCCATGCCTTCTTCAATACGATCAAGTTGTTCTATTTGAGCAAGGTAAATCATTAGTTACTGCTACGTTTGTATCAACACATATTGTTTACGAATCAGCAATTATTGGCCTATGAAAATTGTAACCTCTTCTAAAACTAAGATGAACAATACAGTCTATTGCAAATAGTAATGTTTTATTTATCAATTGGAAAATCAATTTTTACTCAATTTTAAATTATAATTACAACGACAAGTGCTCCTATGTGTAACATTATTTACTACTAGGACAAAATAAAATTAATAACGGTCTAGTTTTGATTGAGTACATGTAGTCAATAAAAAATTGTTGAAGTAGAAACTATCGATATTGATAGCCATTCTAGTAAGCTAACCTCCTTGCTCGTCCAGCATAACTAATGTTCTCATTCCAACTTCTTGCGTCTAAATTTATGTTAAATACAGGCATGTTAAATACTTATGCTACATTCTTTTCGTGACATAAATTATCAAAACGTAGGTACAGGGCTACTTCAAAGGTATATTGCTATAGGCAACAATACTATTATAGAACAGTAAAGTGCACTAAAGCCAAAATTAACAATAAATTACCTCTTCCGTTAAGGCTACCATTCTTCTCGTACTTTCTAAAGACTAATATACATAAGTTTTTGAAGAGAAAATAATAATAAGAATAAGTAAAGATAGTGAACACAGATTTTAAATAAGAAAAATTAAAAAATTTTTGCCAGAAAGAATAGACGAGAATTGGTATACGACTATACGTTATATATGTAAATCTTAACATATTTGAAAGATAAATTAGGATCAAAAAAAATTATTGAATGCTTTAAATTGCTAGGTATTATTATGCTTTATTGATATTATTTGGTAGTTAATAATACGTACTTCATCAGTAACTCTGTTGGCTTTTTCTTGCATACCTTCTAATTCTCTTCTCATGTCAGTATCCGTATCCATTTTGTTACAGTTTTATTTACTGTGGTTAGAAAATAGAGTGAAATCAATAAAACAAACTAATCAAAATTACAGTATAGTTTCTTTACAAATCAATAAACTATCATTCTACACATATATTACGATAATAAGATATAGGGAGCAAGCATAAATCATATCTTGGTAAATGCCTTTTTTTGGTCATAATAAATGTCCCAAAACAATTGAGATTAATTAAAAAAACAAGTACTGCATTAGTACTAGATAGTACTAGATTTTTGATGATATTACTTAACGGCTATGATATATTGAAGATAAGTTCTTAACGAAAGGCGGCATAGAAATGAATCAAACATATCAATAGTAATTTATAAAATGGAGTTATTTGACAGTCAAAAAGTTTATAAAAAATAAAATAAAGCGAAACAATATAATCTTGAACATTCATAGCAAGTTACTGAAAGTTGTAGTTATTGACGAGGAGGGGGAAAAAAGATGAATTTCTTTTGTTAGGTAATTCATAAGTAGGCTAGAGTTCAAATAACTTCTTACGTTGAATAATTGAAAAATAGGCTAAACTTTGATACGATGCAATATCTTTCGGTTACAGTAAGCAACCTAGTGTACAGGTTTTGTTTGATAAATGCCAATACTGCAAGGAATGTCGAAGAAAAAGAATATTTATCTATTCTCAGTACAACTATCGTGTATCACACAGTATGTGACTATACAATTTGTATGTGTAATCCAGGTAGATTTAATCTTGGCAGAAGATAAAACACAATTCAAATTGTATTACATCATGAATCATGAAGGATTTTTAATTATAAAAATTTGTCTACGAATCCAGTGTTTCGGCGTCAATACTTTAAAAAATAGGTAGTGACATCATAATATATATTCATAATAAATACACCGTGCATATTGTATTGGAATAGTATTAATGATATTCAGGACATGTTGTGAACAATCAATTATGGTAATAATTAAGAAGTACTGCATTCTGTCTGTGCATTCTTCAATATGAGTTGGCTGTATATACAGTACAGTAGATGCAATCTTGAATTTTATAGTCTAAACGAAATGAATACACGGATGCTAATTACTCAATGCTCTTAATCACTAAAATATAAAAAAAATCAATAGCCGCTAGTACTGTATAGGATAATGAATCATTTTCTTCGTTAAAAAGTCTTGATAATTGGTGATTCACTGTCAATTAAGTAATCGTATACATCGGCTTCCTTGTTCAATCAATAAATGGGACTATACTGAACTCCATAGAATAAAGATTGCTAAGCCAGTTGTGTGTTAATTATAGCAGTTTCTTTTCCGTTTAATAACTGTAGCATTTATACTCTATTTTTTCAAAAGAGAAAAAGGAAAGTATCTCCCAAAAATAATCAATTTAACTAGTCGATAATTTCGAAGCACAAGAGGAAGGTAAACGTATGAGACTAGACACAATTTTAAATTTTTATCAGCGTAAACAATTTGAAAAATTGATTGTCCGTATAATTCATGAGATTAGATGATATTTTTTCTTATACTTCGTAATAGTAATACAAGTATAATATAGAAGTTTGCTGCACCTATTTATGGTATGATCATACTTGAAGCTTCGGATTTTTTGTTCAAATCAAGAAAGTGCTACTATCTAAATTTAGTGTCTTCAATACTGTAAGACTGCTCCATCAGACGACGATTATCATCTAGTACTGTATGTGATTGATTAACTTTGAAATAATTATAATTATTAGGAGGACTGAGTGTAGCATAACTGTAAATCATCTCGATGCCATTTTAATAGCATAATTTTACAATACATGTTATATCGTGTATTGAGGGCTTGATTCACAGATAAACGTTTGCAACTATCTCGGGCTGGCACCTCTGCTTATCTATACAGCAGTATAAGCTATAAATCTTCGTAGGTGGTGGAATAGCAAGGTAGTCAGTCAATCATGGTAATGCCTTAATTTACATCTTGGGTCACAATGATGAGCTAAACTTTCAAAGCTGAATTGAACGATGTAAAATGATACTCGAGAAGTCTCAAACTCGGCAAATTGGACAACGTTGTAATAGCAATTTGCAGGCAAGTTTGGTTTATACCAAAGTACCTAAGCCAGGATTGGGTACTGCAACTTGTGCCGATGATCAAATAGTACCATATCGAGTTGAAGTATTTCAAGTTATGGTAACAGATTGGAAAAGAGTGCTTGTAATAAAACCATCTGTTGTTAATTTTCACTAACAATTGACAAGGTTGGATTTCATTAATTATCTTGCCAGACAATTGAAGTTAGCATCGTCAAAAATTCATTCAAAACAAAGACCATCGTTATACTGTACGGGTAGCAAATTGAGATATAAATTTAATGAAGAAAATGTAAGAATAAATAAGTGAACGTGGGTGGACTGTGACTGAAAAGAAGGCATATTTGTATGCTAAAAATATGATCAATGGAAGGACAAAAATGCATAACAACAGAATAAAAAATCAACACATTCAAGAATTTAGGCAAGGAGGCGAAAGACCATAGACTACCGCGGTCGCAGTCAATATCAGAATTAGTCAATGTGGCCAGAGTTTAAAATGATTGATAAAAGTCAAAATTGGAATAGTCAACAAGATGGCAAGACACGCACGCTATAGCCATCATTAGATGTAGAACGCTTGTCTTTTTTACTGTAATATTGTACGCATGGCAACCATTTTACTTCAATAATAAATACCACAACTGGCAATATTAGTGGATATTTGGATAGAGTAATATACGAGTATTATACTTTCGATTAATAAGACGACGAAGGTAGCGTAGAATATTGTCGGCTAATTATGACAGCGAAATGATGAGCTACACCCTATGGTATCTCCTTCCCTGTTGAAATAAACTCCTTCTTCACTGATTGAATGTGATGTTTATTTAAATTTACTGAAGACAGGACTAAATAAAGTTATTGATGTAATAGTTGAAAGACCCTCCACTCCCTTATAACGATTAATTGCAATGTCCCAATCGTGCTATCAAATTTTCTGACAAACGATTCTAAATCCTTCCCCGGAAGTACGTAGACTATATTGGTGTACTTATAAGGATGGTTTCGAGCGACTATATGTCGTATGATATATTTTAGAGGCAAGCTCGTAATATCTTTCGGAGAGTGCTGAATATACTGAACTGGAGAGTCGGAGGATATTGTTTTGACGACTGTGGAGTGGGTAGAAATCTCAGAAATGTCATCAAGTAATAGGATGTGGACCAGTTGTTGAATTATAATCTACTAATAGAATTTATACTCGTGATACTTTGCCTACCATATGTACTTGTACTTTTTACTTTACAATAGCACCGAATTATGGCGTTGTGGAATGAGAGAGAGAATATGGAGTGTTTTTACTCTTTTCAACGTCTTTGACTTTACAATTATGTCGGCAGAATTGTATTTTCTCTCGATGATTAAAATAAACTGCATGATTAAAGACGTTTCAAGGTAATTATTTGGCTAAAAATGTACAATCTGATTCTAATAGGATCACAAAATTTCAAGTCAATATAGAGCACTGTATTTGCCTTTTCATTAATATGGAAATCATCGAGTTACTAGTACTGCAATGGTGATTCTAAACACTGTACGAGTATACCGGAATCAGTATTATTATTTTTCATAATATTTCTGCCTATGTGACGCAAATACAGTTGTGAAAAAGATTGAAATATGATGTACATCATTGGACAAATGACATTCTAGTTTTACCTTGTGAAACCAACCTAAGCATGAATTTTCTATAGGTGTTAGTCAATTCTTGAAAGTATTTTTACAGAAAGTCTGAAAGGCTGGCAGTAATAAACTACAACGGGTATCCACTAAATTTCAACTATGCAAATAATAAAGTTTTCACGCCTTACTATCTCCACACACATCGTGATAAAATACACTTAGGACGATAATAGAGAGTTGATCAATACTTTTTCAAGTATAAATTGAGTAAAGTTAATCAGATATCATCTACCATACCAGAGCAAGCGCGATTATAATGGCTATCAAACGCATCTGTAGAACAGTTAGACTAAGGTTTTTTGGATAGAGTTGAACAAGGATAAGTTCACTTATAGCAGCCCATTGATACATAATTATCATTTTAGAACGAAACTCCGAGATAGAATATTTTTCTTCTTAACAAATAGGAGCACCGTATCGTGTTTACAGATCCTTTGCAGAGTGGAAAAGGATGTGAGATTTATACAAGCTGATGAAGATTTATCCACATTATTCTGTAAAGAATAGGTAACTAACTCGAGAAACTTTCTATTGGTAGGATCAGCGGATATTCAACTGTATATTTTAAGGCATTTCGATCGAAGATATCCTTATTGTATGGTAGAAATTAGATTTTACGGGTAAGGTATTATCGTATCTTCAATTTTCGATAATGATAAGTAATGCTTTACACGTATACAGATAGAACACTGTGGGTAACTACAGAGCAATGAAAACATTTTTGGATGTACTATAGAAATACGGTGACAACTCTGAAAATTGGGAGATTTAGGATTATAATCGTAATTTAGTCGTAAGAACGATGATATCAAGGGATTTGTTGGAAATCTTGTATGAAGGAAAATCTTCTTTCCAGACTTGTATGCAAAATATCGATGTTGTTTACGTCGATAAGATGACTAATCTGGATTAGTAGCGTATTATTAGGAATGGCATTTCTACACTCAGTCTATCAAATAGTTCCAAGAGGACAACTTTAATAGGGCAATGATGAACAAAGTTGGGCCCAAAAATGACGAAGGATGTAGGGCAGATTGTCTATTAAATAACTGTCTAAGGTCTAATCGGAATGTTCAGATGTTCAATCTATTCTTATACAATTGGATCTACACTCGCATTTATAATTATAATGTAAGTGTAGACACTTTGATCTGATTACAGTCAACTCTAAATTGGCGGGTGTTACAACCAAGCAAGTTAGTATGAGCGGTAGAAGTCCATGCACACTATTAATATTGCTAATTACTGCAAGAAAGCATTGGATGGAAGAGATACCCTATTCTCCAAATTACAAGCTTTATTGGCCATGTAGACGGTATGAAGACAGATTCGCGTGTGGTGTTACTAGCCCCTTATACTTCTCGTCACCGTTTCAATTTCAATTACTTCATTATCATTCTATATACGAACCTTGTAGTCGTTGGTAACTTTCTTCAGTAATATTGATTAATGTATCACACTATAACATAATATTAAATTAAATTATATCGACTGGTCGATCGCTACTATACTGTACTATATGTTGTGCAATTTAGTTCATCATCACTAGGCGCATATCGACTGCACACATATATGGCAGTGAGCGGATTGTCCGTGTGCGCGTATATTTCTAGAGAATCCATCAGCTACTGCAAACTTTCAGTTTCACTTCATTGAAGTAGTAAAAATAAAGTATATCACAGCCTTCTCAATTCATACCATCCCAGTACTGTATACTCATAAAGTACCCGTGTTGAGTTCTAGGAATAGAATAAACGTATCCTCTATGTTGACCACCGTTTAACATCACTACAAAAAACGACTGTACAACAGAGTACAGTCGGCATTTTTTGAAGCAAATATTATTGATAGTGGTCGACAGTGTTGGTTGTAGTTATTACCGCAAAATTTGGCGAAGCAATTATCTAACGGCTATGGTACCAGGCTATCCATCATACGTAGGCGATAAGTCATGCCTGAGACAATGATATCATGGCCTAAATGATCGCGACTAGCTAACTGATTATTTATTAAACTGTACATCAAGAAAGGTTATTACTAGCATCAAGACAGGAGTACTTTATCAAATTACCGTTAATACTTGTAATACTTTACATAATTGGCGCATGTTCCTACTGTGTGAATGGGGTTTTAATTCATGTTAACATGCCGTCTGATAACTGAAAAATGCTGTCCGTTAGACAGGATTATTGCTCTCTAAACACATAGTGCTCTACATGGACGTAGTATCACGATGATACTGTATTGTATGATCGATGTTGTACTTTGTGAAAAGTATAAGGCGGCGGCGCGATCATGGATTACATAGCCCATTCTCAGGGAAATTAGTAATCCATGACACTATTGTTGGAGATGTCGTTTTGTGCCTTGTTTAAGGCTGATTTGAAGACGATTTGATCAATCTGTATACTAGACCGAACTAAGACAAACATGAAGAAAGTAATTTGAAAATTTTGAGCAATGCGTGTTTATGATGCGATGGATCCGAACTATTCTACCATATTGGATTTGACTTTAGTCACTTCAGGCCATGGGAGGGGTTTCGATATTTAAAATAGTTGCAGTGAGTGAAGAAAATATGATCATCTTGACCTTGTTATGAAGAGGAAAAAGTTTTCAACAGTTAAGGCCAACGATTAGACTGTTCTAGTACAGTAGTATACCGTCTACTACCCATATAATTTATTGACGTCTGACCTAAACGAAAGCAAATCCTTAGACTACCAATACTGCGGAATGACGCCTTGAACATGGCAGTCTTTACACTCCATAGTAATAATAATTAATAATTATTATTATAACAAATGATGAAACGAATGGCGAAAGGAAGGGAAAAAGACTGAGTTTCCATTGGATATTGCCCAAATTGGGGAAATAGAGTGAGAAAGTACACTCGTATTTGCTCCATACAAATCAATGACAAGTATAGACTGTCAACTGGGGTTATGCGTACTCCATTGAAGGTTCAACAGGAAAAAAAGTTGATGAGAGTAAGCATCGGTAGTACTGTCGGATATTCAAGCAGTAAAGTATAGACACTCGTAGAGTACAGCATCATTGATGGTTAAAGGACGTCCATTTCTCCTTTGATAGACTCCTTAATGTAGTTGGATATGTCGTCGATCTAGATTAGCTTTACTTAACGGTGATGAACAGTTTATTGCTCAATTATGTGGTAATAAACCAACTACTTACTCTGCGACGAGATTGGGGTCGATCTGTGGCCGCTCGTTGACAAATCACGGATGCCGTTTTAAAATCAAGTTGATGAAAGTAAGTGAGGATGGGGGTGATTGTATCAGAGACAAAAAGCAGGAGACAAGATATAGCAGATACACAGACATCATCATCATCATCATCATTCATTTTCAGTCCAAGGTTTCCAATATCAAAGATGGACAGTACAACAATGATTGACCATGTCCATCCAAGTTAGACTGCTAAGTTTTGGAGTACTCAGAGCAATCACCTTATTATCCGTTATTATCATGACTATACAATACCATTCAAAGTATCCAAAAATACATCAAGATTCAAACACCATAGCATGATTGGACTATTTCTTCACACACTATGACAATTTTAATGCTTACCGTATCGTCCAAAATTGCCAAAACGTGATAATATGGGATAGATTGGGGTCGCAGATTTCACCGTTGCCTTTCCTTGAGCGAGCTGGCACGATAGTGATCAATTTTTTTTAGTTTAGGGGCAGTGACTTGATTCAAGCGATCAGTCTATGGTCTGGAGTGAATAGCGAGCGTGCAGTACAACTTGAGCATCAGTAACAACGAGTTTAGTACTACAGTAGAGTCTAGTTTGAGACTGGTACTGCGCATGTTCACGCTTCCCAAGAGGATATACGTCATGATTGCAGCCTACAGTCCAGTAGTATCGTACTCAGTCTAAAAATGTACTGTAGACTGTAGACTGTACAGTACTGTACACTGTACAGGTACAGAAACAGGTGTACCGATAAACTACGGTAATACTGCATCGGCATCAGTAACAACGAGTTTAGTACTACAGTAGAGTCTAGTTTGAGACTCATACTGCGCATGTTCACGCTTCCCAAGAGGACATACGTCATGACTGCAGCCTACAGTCCAGTAGTAACGTACTGTACTCAGTCTAAAAATGCATAGTACTGTAGACTGTATAGTACAGGTACAGAAACAGGCGTACCGATAAACTACGGTAATACTGTACGGCAGTGATCATACGTAATGTATATCCTATACTCTACTGTGTTCCTGTGGAACTGTACAGTACAGTGTACTGTAGGGAAGGTGGCACTCCATATTTTTAGGATAGCTACAATATATTGGATGATGTTAATTAATAGCCATATTTGATACGTTAGGTTACTCAGAACAGAAATAGTACGGTACATAATTGATAACTACTATATTAGAAATTGTTGATGACTAATATTAGCCGGTTGACTAATTATGGTACAAGATTGATGTGAGTCTCATGTGACTAGCAACATTGTAATGGTCAAGACGGCCAACACCGAAAGGTGATAGGCATTCATAGAAGAGTAGGGATATCTGAAGTAGAGAAGAGATCTCACTTCCCTTTGAGCTCGGAATACTCTCGATTTTAGACTCCTGTAGATTCTTGTAGTAATTCATTATTGCTCTACTAATCCGAAAACCTTGTAATAAAAGCCTTGACAAAATACCTTTTGACCAAGGCAGTTATTCATTGTAGAGTACAGTGTACAGTACAGTATATATACTGTAGTAGTCAAGTGCTTTTATTGAATAATAATACAGTACTGTATAATAGGAGAAGAGATGAAGATCGTATAAATGGGTGGCAATAGTAGCAGCTCCTTGAACGTTCGAATAGAAAAAGCGCAGAAGTTTGGTGTGTGCTCGCTTTCGGAGCTTAGACTTAAAAAGGTAAATTAAGTTAGTGGTCAATTTATAATCTATTAAGATCGTGCAAAAGTGATGCCAACTTATTAATTTAATTTAATCGACTACAGTACAATACTCAACAATACTCCACGAATCACAACTTGTTTACTGTACTGTATAAGATTGACGATGGCGGTGAAAACCATTACCCAAGTCGTGACGAGAAGTCTGATGCAGTTGAATTTGCGCTAAAGATATTACACAATATGAAAGCACAAATTCGCAAACTGCAATCGGCCTAGTGATACTGTAGTTAATAAACACAATTGGAATCTTTTACGGATAGTATAAACTTGTCTGCAGTTGATAGCTGCTGTACTGTGGTATGGACATTGTGCACAGTACAGTACACATCGTAGTAAGCTGTACCGCTAGAATCATCGATATCTGAATGATGATGCGAATTGCTAAGTGCAACTAACTAAACTAGTGCTACCGCTTCAGCGTAACATACTATCCAATCTCTTTGGATTACTTGGGGGGTGACTACACAGTAATGAAAAAAAATGTTGAATATATGCAGTACATTTAGGGACTGAATCAACACGCTTGAAACTCGGCAGAGAATCATCAGTATGATATAGTTATAATCAATGTTGATATTTTTACAGTTGTGGTGATAAAGAACCAATGTACCCAGTACTACTATACTGTAACTGTTTCAGTACGGTACACATTTTGAGCATGTGAACGGATGGTAATAATTATAATGATGAAGACGTACGATTTGATATTTCAGTATTTCAAAATGCTGAATATCTTTAATCAGCTGATAAAATAGTATATGATAGATATATCGTATAGATATACAGTAATTCATAATTTATTGTTTGTTCATGCAGATACCTGTTTATTCGGATACACTGTATAACACTTAAGTAGATACTTCAACAGATAGTTATGATAATACCATACTTTTCATAATAAGAAAGGTTTATGCGTATGTTTGTACTCGTCTATCTAAAATATTTACAGGTCCCCGAAGAAATACTGAAAGCAAAGCTCAAGCTGCGTACTCTCGATTTGTCTAAAAATCAGATAACTTGTTTACCAGGAGCAGTAATAGGCCAGTTATCGCTTCTTAAAAATTTAAATGTCGCAAACAATCAAATAGGTATAAGTTTAAATTTAAATTTTTTCCATCAGACTGCTAAAATCATGGAAAAATTTTTGACCTTAGAATTATCATCCACCAAACTATGCCTGGAATGATGTTTAAATAGCTACATATAATGATTGATTCAATTTATAGATGAGTTGCCCCCAACTCTAGGCAAATTGGCTAAATTGGAGAAAATTGATTCGAGTTATAACAGAATAAAAGCGCTACCTAATGAATTTAATCAGCTGTTGAACCTTAGGACGCTCATATTTTCCAATAATGATATTACTATTTTTCCGACTGCTCTTACTGAGCTACGCCAACTGGATATGATTGACTTATCTCATAACAAAATTAAGGAATTACCAACCAATTTAACAACATTAAGCGTACGTATGGTAACAAATTTAATGATGCTCAATAAAATAACATACCTAAAAAAAGCACCTCCACACTGCTGATATTACTTTATCTACTGTATTGATTTAAATTATTATCAACTACTAACCTTTTCGAATTATCATGTGAACTTGAAGTTATCTTATTAATTAACTGTTATTGATGGCTCATTTACTTTAATCTTAGGCCGTTGAACTAAATCTAAATAACAATCTCATCGCTCATCTACCTGCGTCAATAGCGAATTGTTCTAGATTGAAAGTCTTAAGAATCGAAAATAATTCTTTAGCTATCCATTCCATTCCTGTAGAACTGCTAAGTGAATCGACGGTTTCTTTATTGGCTGTTGAAGGAAACTCATTTCAGATGAAGCAATTACAAGATGCTACTGGTTATGATAAGGTAAGGTAAAGTAACCGCATGCGCGCCAAGTAATTGCTATTCATCCAATACAAGTATGGCTATGGGCATTATATAGTTAGTTTAGTAGCGCATGTATTTTGCTTACCAGTAATGTCTCGTTTTATATCTGATTCTTCTTTACAGTACATGGAAAGGTACACTGCTGCCAGGAAGAAAATTGGCTAGAAAAATCTGATAGCCTTATTAAAATCTTTCTTATTAACCAATACAAAAAATATTTATCAATATAATGAATATTATCTCTGCAATGTGTTTCTTAACTATTTTATTTTTAAAAGTAGCTCATCTCACGCACCATGCCGTGCGAATGATTAGTGAGATTTCTGATAATATAATAACTTTATCCACATTCAGGAGGCTCCATTCACTCACTGTAGAAGATTTTAGTTGATTGTACTTTGCATCAACTTACTGTACTGGTGCTGTACACTGTACAGTACTACGTTTATAATGTATACTCGTATGTTTTCTGTGATATCTGATCCCGCTTCATCATTCTTTGTTACAGAAATTTGTCAATAGTAACTTTATCTAACATTACCAGTCAGTAAGTTGCTATATTAGTCAAGATTATTCTTGAATAAATCATTCGTACGCCAGTGCTATACATCTATAGATTCCTAGGGCGACTGGTGTAATTTCGCATCTGATTCCGTTGATTACCTATGCAGTACTGTAGTAACTAAGTACTGTATAGATACGCACGCGTATCATACGTCGTTTTCAATTTACAGTTAGTTGGATATCACTGGATATCACCATCCAGTATCTGGTATTGCATTCTAATCCTACAGTATATGATATGATTGAGTGATTCAAGCATATTCAATTCTACAGTAATAAGTTTTCAATATCATGATTAGGAGCTGTTCTGAATATGTCTTGCGTCAATTTCTCGTTCCTTCCACACTTCTACCCACGCGGTATTTTGCTAGTGAATAGAGTGTCAGTGATTAGCAGCATTTAAAGTTAGTAATGGCGATCGCCTATCCTAAGAAATGGGTATACGATAAATCGATCATACCGCACGGCAGACCTCCACACTGTACTGAATCAGCAAGCAGGAACTTGGAGAGGCCCTTTTTTAGTGCCAGAAATGGACAGTATTGTAGAGAGACTATAGAGTTACGGTGCTGTACTAACTCTCTGTGCTATACAGAATACAGTACAGTGTACAGTATTTTGTCCTGTTTTTAGGTAAAAGTTTTTCAATGGGTTCCTGCAAGACATCTAGCACAAATAAAATGAAAATGTAGGAACGCCGTTTCTGGACTGTACAGTACAGTGTACAGTACTAAAAAAATCAGGCAATGTCAAACTTACAGTACTGTACACTGTACAGTATACTGTATGTACTGTATTGTATTGTACTGCTCACATAAATGGCCGTACAGTATCAGCATCCTATTGTACAGTACTGTACAGTACAGTGTACAGTGTACAGTACTGTAAGTTTTGACATTACAGTACTGTACAGTACTGTACAGTACTTCATTTTTGAGTACTGCATACGCTAGATCACGGTACAGTGTACTGTACACTGTACACTCACACTGTCCGAACGGCGGCGTACAGTACAATATTAACCATTCTACAGTACTGTGGACTGTGTCATACTGTGGCAATTGCTGAATTATCATAATCTTTCGTTTATTTCGAATCGTCGCTTTTTACCGTAACCGTTCATACACGTAGTTTGTGGCTGATCAACTTCCTGATCCTAGCAAAAAGATGGCTGACGAAGAAGTACTCCTTAACGATGAAGAAGCTCAAGAAGAGTATGGCAGGGTAAGTTTGTTGGAGTAAAAAGTCCCAATTTTTCATATCAAACGGATAGAATTGATTTTTATTGAATTTTTTGACCCTTTGTGCTATCGTAAGTTTCTACTGATAACTAAAGCATGCACTTGAAAATATCCTCGGACAAAAGGAGCACGTTAAAAACTGACATCCAATTCCAACTTTACCATACCGAATTTCGCTCAAAGTTATTCCTCGAGGCACACTTTCATTTCTTTTTGCAATAAGTCCTGTAAAAATAATGATGTACTCATGATTTATGAAGAAGAAAGTCAGTAGTACTCAAAGTAGAGCGTGCATTGATCAATTCGTCAACGTTTTTCAGCATTTTAAAACGTGCAATTCTTAAATGGTATTCATGATAAGTCAATTTAGCTAAACTTTATGTGATAGAATAGTAGTCAAGATGATCTATAACAGTACATTCAGTGCTACAGTTAAGTTATTAGACTATCACAAAATCTAAATCTTGAAAAGGAATTGAATGCGAGAATGCTATTTATTAACGTTGGAATTGGGGGCACCCTGCAAATTATCTTCAAAAAACGATGCCTGTCCAATGCTATACTGTATCGATATACTGTATCGAACATGAATCCCAAGCTATAACAATGCATTATGGCTGAAAGGCGAAGTCAGTATCATTGTCAACTGAACCTTCGCCAACCACGTTACTTGGCGCGTGATGCTTTCGCTACTAAACGTTCGTTGCAGCTCTACGCTGCAGTACGGATAGTAGGATGCAAAGGTACAGTCTGCTGTACACTACTGTACCAGAGTACAGTGGTATGTACTGTACGCTACAGTACATACCGTACCGTCGTTACCATCAATAGAAAATATACTGGATGGCAGTAGAAACATTTCCAATGGTTATATACTCTACAGTAGTATGCAAAATGGGGTATTGTATGCGCGCCAGGACCACTTGCCGAATTTTTTATTTTCGCTCTAGTATTGTTTCTGCAGGAAACAATACTAGACGTACTGTACACAATACGGTCAAGGCTAACGCCTGCGCACTGTCCAATCGTCGCCATGCAACTGCATTTTGACGCATATTTATGATGAAATTAATATTGGATCATTTATGAATTGATAGTCCGATGAAGGGTATAATTATGAGGGTGCCAGAGACGATCTGGGCAATGTAGCTGGCGATACAGATAAGGCAGAAGACCAAGCTTCCTCAGAAAAGGGTAATGCTAGTATAGAAACTGGTGATGCCAATAATCTCGAGGAAAGAAAGTTATTCGTCGGTGGTCTAAGTTGGGAAACTACGGAAGAGAGATTTAGGGAACATTTTGAAAAGTTTGGCGAAGTTGTAAATTGTATCATCCTACGTGATCCAGGTAATTGAATGTCTAGTCTGTTGAAAAAGATCAAGTTATTATTCTACGTCAAGTGTGATAGTCCCTAGCATAATATTAATACGCAGTATCCAATGCTTTTTAATACTTCAAATACTAACCGTATTGTTTGTGTTGCCTTCAATATTAGTAACGAAGCGATCTCGGGGGTTTGGTTTCATAATATACAGAAATGTAAGTGACATTGATAAGGCACTATTGCATGCAACACATGTTATCGACGGAAAGCAGGTCGAGCCGAAGCGATCTGTGCCGAGAGAGCAAACTAGAACGAAAAAAATTTTTATTGGCGGATTGCCTCCTAATACTAGTGATGAAGACTTAAAGATATATTTTGGAAAGTATGGAGTTGTCAGTGAGGTTGAACTGCTGAGAGATAAGGAGACTGGTGAGTTTCTTAATTGTAGCCTTCCTTATATAGAGTTAGTTGTTGGGTAATCGATTAGATTAATTTGCACGCCGTAATGATTATGATGTTGCATAACCAACATACTACATTCAATACCTACTGTGGATACTTTTGAAAATGATGTCTGCGTCAACTACTGTACACTATATATTGCAATTAACCTTAAGATACACTCTAGTTACACCTTGATATGAACTGTTGAGAATTCATAGCTAATTTTATTCTTTGTGCTGATATAGGCCGATTACGTGGTTTTGGCTTTGTTTCTTTCGATACTCCAGAAGGTGCGCAAAAAGCACTTGTTACGAAAATGCATGAGATCAATGGTAAAATGGCTCAAGTCAAAAAGGCCGAACCAAAGGTCGATTATCGTGCTCTTCGTGGCGGAAGAGGATCTTCACAACCAAGGGGTGGTGGTGGAAATCGATATCCCAGCGGCCGCGGTGGCGGCGGCGGCGGAGGAAGTGGAGGAAGTGGAGGTATGGCTCCACAATTTTCAACTCCACGATATGGCCAGCACCCGTCATATCCACCCTATACTCCATATACTTATGGAAATTACGATGATTATTCCACATCAAGCAATAATTATATGGGCATGACTAATACTTATGGACCAACACGTGGTTTTAACCGTGACAGACGTTATCATCCGTATCATTAACTAGAAAATCACAAGTAAGTTCATTTGCTGAATGAAGTTGAATTGACTCATGTTGTATTAACTGTAAAATTTGTATTCACGGTACTATTCATGGAATTAATATCAATAGTGTAGTTCTATTGAGCTATAATAATAATAATCATGTATGCACTATCAAGTCATTATATTTCCGTAGTCTTGCAGGTTACTATTTTATTACAATTGGTTGTAAAATTGTGATTGAGACGATACTAAAAGTGTAGTTTATTTTTATTTTCTTTACTGTCGTACTAGGAAGTTAAAACTGCGCTTGCATAGTAAGTAGTAAGATTGAATACTATTTGTTGTAGTCTAGATACAGCTGAATTAGTGATTTACTTTAATCCCTATGAATGAAATTTGATATCGCTGTACTATATTTAGTATTTGAAGCAGGCGTTGTCGTGTGTATCATGGCAGATAGTGAATAATGCTGTAGCTATTTAGTGTATCGAGATACTATTTTCATGTAAACATGTTTTTATCTTGTAGTTTATAAATACTGTAGTGGGTATGTTTATGTGTGTGTGTGTGTGTGTGTGCAAAGTTTAGATATAAATCTTTTAATTTGTAGGAGATAGCATCGGTAACAGGTACTGTAATTTTCGTCTTGAAAAGCTGCATTATTTTAATGATATCCATGTTGCATTATACCATTAGGAGTTTAGTGCAGTTTTAACGTCGCAACAAGTCACGTAGTGTAAGTACCCAACATTAGCCTTGAGTCAAGACAAAGTTAAAACTAGCGGATAGTCACAATAGGAGCTGGTCCCGATAGTTTATACTGGCGAATGATAATTTTTATAGTTGCTCTTGGATGAAGTATCAAGTTGCCGTCAGTGCTGTACAATACCATAATACTGCAAATGCAAGATACAATATTCGACGTCACTGTTTGCATTATTGTCTGTATCAATGCAAGTCTTAATTTAGTCTTTAATATAGCATTTTGTTAAAGTTTATGAGTCTTGTAGATGATTTAGCGGCTAATTATTATACGACAGGATTAAGCATTTGTTTGTATTACGTACTGATATATCTAAAGATTGTTAGTATTTAATTGCGTTATTTTAAAGCTTGATACTGTAACTGATTAACAATAGTATTCTGTGTTGTTCGGTGATAGGTTGTATTGTTAAGGATTTTGTATCTTAGTATCTAGTTTGTAAATGATAACATAACATACATATGTAGGTAGAAGTGCTATTTACGTGCTCCTTGAAAAAATTAGAGATAGGAATGCTAGTCTTAATGGATTCATTTTTATCAGTTGTAGTAATCTGATGATAGCATAGTAATTAATTCTGTGTATCAACTAATTCGTTGTAGCAGTCATAAAAGACACCGAAAGTTCTTTTGTCGCAGTAGTTGAGCGATGTAAATAAAATAATGTTTAGTCCGCTGGTCAATGTCAGTGATATTGTTCTGAGTAGTTTTTTCGTTGCAGATTTCTTATCCTAATAGTATATTGTTATACAGTCCCTGTATTCTAATGAATCCGCGTAGTACAGTACTACATTTTATGCAGGTAGGTGGATATGTAATTATTTCCAAAATAGAGGACTGCAGAGTAAGCATGTTAAATATTTGTTGATAGAATGATTGACTCTGGAGGTACTGTAGATGTTCTACTTGAATACTGTAAAATTGCCACTATTTAGCTAGCAGTAAGTCGATGATAATGAGTAATTGCATGATTTACAACTTTAGATAGCTGCAATTTATGGGTACAGTTAATTGCTGTATATGTACGTATAGTTTATGTGTGTAGTATTTCAGTAGGTAGTGGTTACATATTGAATGCTGTACGGGTTTACATTGTGTATATCTAAATATAATTACCGTTCTATTGAAAAAACGAACATTAGAAGAAACTGTACTCCTTCTTATATTTTTATGTAAATATGATAACTATTACAATACTATACCTGGAAACAAATTTGGAATCTCATATCTGCATATGCTCAATAATAATTCCTATATTAAATGGCAATGTGTACATATTGTTACAATTTTATACAGTACTAATCGAATCCGTACACTATGACATGCGAAAGAAGAGTTTGAATAATACTGATAATATAGATTGATGTTCTACTCAGTACATAGTCACGTCTTAACATTACAGTGTAGTAACATGGATAGTCCGGTTAAAACTTGAAATGAGCCAGAAATGAAACATGATTCGTTGTGTATAGTGTATAATACATAAGCGCAGCATTTGGCCTTTATGCGTCAAGCATGACCAGTGTTGGTCTGTATCACTCTCACTCGATTCAGCCTTCCTTAATATTGGTACTTTATAAGGTGGTGCGCTGTCACATATTTGTTATTTATTCTACATTGATCTATCGTTTCATCGACAGTATTTTTGAAGAGTTTAATTACTGTATGTAGTAATTAAAATGAAATCAAAATATTACTATTCGTGTTATTGTTTGGGATTTAACTTTGTTCGAAGTTGAATAAGGGTCTCAGGTATTACTAGATGTTATTCGAGTAAAGGTCGACTAGCGTAAATAGAGATGTAACTACAAGTTGCAGCTTTCGTAGATTACGAACGAATGAATGAAAGAAAGGCCACCAGATACACGCATGCAAAGGATTAAGAAATTATCCGTCTCTTTGTGATGGTAGCGGTATATTGGTGATATTTTGAGTGATGATTGTTTGCTCGTACAGGATTCAATATCAGGTGAAAGTTGAGCAATTTTTTATTAATAAATCATTTACATGAAGTCATAGCGGGATCGTGATTTGTTACGTTGTAATGTAGAAGCGATATCGACGTGCTCGTATTACATGGAACGAATAATTTTAGGTATTCTCCATCAATAACAATTTTGAGCAGGCGTAACTCTTGATACGGATTGTAATTTTTTTATAATTTGAGTAAATAAGAACGTGTGCTTTGGTGTAATCGTGTAGGGATTTGAATTTGTAATACTGTATATATGCATGTATGGGAATACATCGACAGTGTACAATCATATAATTTCCTTTACAATGTGTATGGTGCATCTTCGTGCTACTACTGCTAATTAGCGGTAACAAATAAGGATACAGAGTTAAAAGGTTGAACCCTATAATAAATGCTTTGCTTTACATAAACTTTTTTTTACTTGAACCTGACTGCTACTCTTTCTGTAGCTACATAAAGCACATTCAGTGATTGATAATTTTTTTTGTTACTATACTGTATTGTACTGTGGTAGTGTAAGTGAAATCGTAGATTATATTGTAGGTTCAGGGTGCACTTCGCCTACAAGCCTTTATTTTTGCATAGCGCTGAGCAACAGAGCGCTAATTGGCTGTTATTAGTTCTCTACTCGTTAGAATTCTTTACACCGTATGCCTTACTGTAGCTATAGCCAATCGGCATATTAAGCTATATTAACTTTTTATATAAATAATTTCGTGTGCGCCGAACATGACTAAAATTGTGCAAACATCTATTATTTACCCTATACGTTACTGAATTACGGCGCTGCGAAGAGATGATAGTCTTTGGTAGAACTGATTCATAAAGTACAGGGAAGTTTGGCAAGAAATCCAAGTCTTGTCACCTTACTTTTGAGACATCTATTACACTCGCATTTTCTTGACTTGTTTTAGTCTTAATAATGATGCATTGAATATTGTATTTGTCTAGAGTATTACAGTATACTGGTATGTTCACTTGAATTTAGCTTAGATAAAATTTATGATTATATGCGAGCCGTTATTAATCAGTGTAATGCTTTAATGCATTCTTTGTAAGCCAGAATAACAAATATTTGTGCCATATTAGAGAGATTTGCTCTATTTTAATAACTCAAATTTCAAGTTAGCGGATTGATAACCTAGGGGTTACAAACCTGTTCATTACAAAGGTGCAATATGGTACTACTGTATTCTATAAATTGGGGATTTATTAATTAATTAAATTTCTGCAAAACAGTGGATGTTAATTGATATTTTAAAAATTTCTTAAACATAGAATATTGAATTAATTAAGAGTATAAAATAGTATTCTGTTAATGAAGACTCGGAATTTAATAGGTAGTATTGTTTATAGTTCCTGTGCTATTAAATTAGTCTAGGTTCGCTGATTAAAATATCCCTTACCAAAGTTGTAAACTTTCTAATTGAAAGTGTAAATTGCTACTATTTGACTATACGAGCATAAGCTAGCCTATAATCAAGAAGTAATTCGATTTAACTTCACTATACGAAAAATTTATTATACGCTATTTTCTATGTTGTAATAGACTGACAGGTTACGATGGCCGAGAAGGGCCACTGTACTTTGTAAAACGTATGCGTACTACAAATTATCTGTGTGGATCAGAAAGTCTTTGCACGTAGACTTTCTGGCACATGCACAGGATTTCCAGTAAGTGCAAAAGACTTCCTGGTACACGCATATATATGCAGTACGCGCAAAGACTTTCTGGTGCACACATGATTTGTAGTACGTGCAAAGACTTTCTGGTACACACACATGAATTGTAGTGCGCTCACGCTTTACAAAGTACAGTGGCCCTTCTCAGCCACAGTAACAGGTAGTAGTAACATTTGAACATTATAAAATGGCCTGCTACGTATACTTAATAAGCAACTTCGATAACACTATGGTTATTATACCAAAATTTGTTTTTACCGTAATAAACACCGAGCGATGGTTATTTTAGATTAAATTTACTAATATTGTACCCCTAAAATTAGCAGGCAAGGTATTAAATGATTGCAATAGTCCTATGAAGTATAAAATGAGTACTCAATGGCATTGCAGAATAAATCAGCAGTATTTAATGTGGATTAATTTCATTTACCGGTAATCATACAAGCGACATTTATTGTATCAGTCAAATATAAGTAATGCTTAGACCTCTTAAGATATTTATATTGGAAGATGAAATGGTACTGTAATAAAATACAGTTTGTACAGAGTATGGATAGTATTGAAATTGATAATGTATCATCCATAGTTTTGGCAGCAAGGATATAGTGCAAATTAATATTAGTTGGTAATCCATTTGCGAGATTCGCTAGTTGTATAGTATATGTAGAAGTTTTACCATGGTGCTTGATTAATTAAGGTAAAAGAGATAATACTGTCCTGAATCTAGCCCATACTGGCCATTTAACTAACTGTACTAGTAATAAAATGATATTGCATATATCTGTATCACCTAGGATGAAATGGTAGTGGCAGAGATAGGGACAGCCTTTTCCACTATGGTTTTGTATATCACCGATAACTTAATTAGACGATAGGATTAATAGGATCGATAATCTCAATATTAGAGTAATTTTGTAGTTAGCTAATTTGCGATACTCATGCATACAGCAAATGGAAAGCAATAGCGCTAATTCTTGGGATATATTCTATATTGTAAGATAGTCATTCAGATTTCTGTATGAAATCTACCGCAGCAAATCTGGAAAGTTTTAATTCAACAAAGCCTCTTTAATTGAAGTATAAAATAAAAAACTGTGAATAAATATCAATACATGTACTCTATTGTTACAGATCCTATATAATAAAGTGGCATAGTAGTTCACCTTAGGGGTCGATCATATTTCATGGCATTAATTGCTATTTTCTTTTAATACTGCAAATTATTTCATCAAATCAATCAATTAGTTATTAATTTTAGCGGGATGTGAATTAATAGATTTTAAGACGACATTTACGAGATGAAATCGATAATGTATTGATAGGAAATGTGATCGAATAGAATGGAAAGCACTAAATTATCTAAGATGACTGAAATTCTTGATATTCTACACTATACACCTATGAGTGATTATTGATCAAGAGTGCCCAATCTTTAACCACTAGTATAGCACTTGTATTCTGTACAACTGCATACTGGTCTTTGGACGATAGAGCAATCAGAAGGATGAGATGGTACAGTATTTTATAACCAAGAACTATGACAACTAACATACCTTGATAACGAACTTTTTAACAATCAAACAGGAAGGAAGAATAGGCGTTTTGAATTTGTTTGACGAAATAGTTGTGTTTCTATGACAACTAACAGCTGCGTGACAAATGATGATAAAGTAACTCCCTTCAGCGATCTGTCAATCTGTTAGCGTAGTTGAATGGGCTATTAGTTGCTTTTATAGTAGTTATTATTGAAGGATATTATTTCCTATCTTGATTGACATTCTCATTATAGTATAGTACGCCTAGTTTGATGTTTGTGTACCTAAAATGAGCTTATCTCAATTTTGATTGAACGGAGAAGATTGTCTACCAGTGTCGTGTCGAAAATTATGTTTTTTGTACATTTAATTGTTATTCATTTTCTGTTAATAGTATACCCAAGGCTAGTCATGTAACAATAATCTCAAGGCGATCTATTATTTTTTAAGAACAATATTGTTAATATACTAAAGTTAGAGGTTAATAAAAATTCAATAAGGGTTTTTGATCAGGGCAACGTATTGTCGATGGATGCTGCTGGCTTGCAAGTATTTGTATAGAAAGTATGCCTATGATTCATATGTTATATTTGTAACTATATAAAATAAGCTTGAAAACACAATCATCACCGCTTAATACAATAATCAAAGAGGGGGAAAAAGGAACAACATTAACTTCATCGTCATTTTTTTCACTGTTACTATCTCCATAGCAATTTGTGTCCGGAGACGGCCATGGTTTAGAACGTGATATTGATAATTATTACTACTTAATATTAACTCCAAATGAAAATTGAAGATTTCTATCCCCAATAGCAAATTTTCTTGCTAAATTACTTATTTTATCATCGCCGTCTTCTCCTAACAACCTACAAATTAGGTAAGTTAGCAACGCTGCCATAATTGTCATATGTATATACACATAATGTGCAGCGCTATCAACACCTAGATACAGTTGATAACGGCAGAATACTTTGAGATTATTGATAGAATCATCAAAATTAGGAAATATATCAATTCTAAAGCATGTCTATTACATAATTTTCGTTTTTTAGTTTTCTATTCTACGTGAACTTTATTAATTTTTTAATGATGTTAAAATATCTCTCGGAAATAGTATCGATGAAAAAAACAGTTTCTTCGTCTTGCTTAGGCTACTATATCTTCTAAGGCACGGCACGTACAGTGGATGTCTTCATCAATTTTATAACCGTTCTTAAATATTATTGGCCTTACTTTAATAAATATGCGGATAGACGTATATGAACCTTATTTCAGTAAATCTATGCTTTAAATTAAATGATTTGATCAAATAAAGAGATGATAATAATTTAGTAATACAGTTATTCAACGATAAAAACGTTAAGGAATGTATCAATTCCCTTGCTGTATAGCAACCTACCACGTTTTATATTTTATTCATAAAGAAGGTTCTGGTTATAACGCGAATATCCTAAACTATAAATTATCTTGTTCCAATGGCAAACGATAGTTAAGGAAACTTATTATCTTCTCGTGAACACAACTCGACCCTTCTATAGAAAACTATACTATGTTGCTGAGATATTTAATCGTACAGTACTGATATTTAATACATCCTTACTCTCAATAATTCAGTCAGAGCTGTAGAAATAAAATGAGTTATTTCTATTTGTACCGGTTCTACAATTCATTTAAAAATTATGCCAAATAATGGAAAGGACAGGGAGAAACTTGCAATTAGATATTCTACTGTGTATGAAGATGAATCCTGTCGTATTTAAGCAGAGCATTTTGATAGCTTTAAAAACCTTAAAGAGTCAATTTTAACAATGATAAATTTTTAGTTGCTTTCTTAAAATATGCTACTCATTTATTTACACTAACATGGAATCACTCGCACGTTTTGATGTATCAACCATACCTTAAACTAAAAGTATTTTCAAGGTTTTCTTTTTTATGCTTACGATTATGAAACTGTAGTTTGAGGGGTAACATCGTACTTAATGTTTACCGTTAGAAAAATAATTTCTAACTTACAAACTAGCGTCGTTGAGATACTTTATTTTGGAGTCTAGTAAAATACCGTATATTATGGTAGCCACATAATCTCAAAAATGTCTGCAACAATTGAAGAAATTGATGTTTTTCTGTCGAATGAAATTATTGTAAGAAAAGTCTATTCGGAATTTAATTAGTATCTGAGAGAATGCTCGATAGAATAGCATTATCATACAAATTTTAGCCTAGAACTTATATTATGTTATTTACTGCTACTTTCCCATCAGTTTTCACTAATTCGATCGTAAGATGATGATTATAAGAGCGAATCAGAATAAACCGTGTTGATATTTTCGTGATATTATGTTGATTATAAAACATTTTTAGCATTCTAATTTTTTCCTTTAAAATATAACATTTAATTTAGCTTGGTAAATATAAATCGACGCAATTCCTTGGATAATATAGCTTTCCAATGAGATCATTTCCTATGGAGAAATACGAAAAAATTTGCAAAATTGGCGAAGGGTCTTATGGCCATGTCTACAAATGTCGCAATCGAGAGAATGGGCAGGTTGTCGCAATTAAAAAATTTGTCGAAAGCGAAGACGACCCACTTATTAAGAAGATTGCCTTTCGTGAAGTAAAAATGCTGAGGGTAAGGCAATCGAGCAGAATTTTACAGTCGTGTTATAAAAGGAAGGATGAAAAGAATTTCGTTCTATTCTCGATAAAATGAACAATATAGCAGTGATCGGCTGCCAGATAATAGTTCCTAGTGGAGAGTGTACAGCCACAAAATTTTATTCTCCTTTATGGTTTTACATTTTATTTAATATCCTAGCTTGCATCGTTAATAAGTCCGGGATAGAATCAATATGTACTATTTATATGATGGTAGCAAGCTAAAAAAGTAATACGGTTATAGTAGTGTGATTTCATTATTCTTTACCTAATTTTGTCTCTGTGTCAACGATGCAATAGAGATTTCGTTTACTTCCGTCTACTCTAAATACATGACATCGTAGTTTTTGTTGAGTTTATTGCATCATCGGAGCAATCTTAATATACGATAGTATGGCCGTACGAATATTACTGTTTTGTTAATAGAGAAGCAAAGGATTTAAAATCGTATTTTCAATTTGCAATGAAAAATTCGAAATAGCAAATGCATATTTTCTACGTAAAATGGCAACAGAAACTTATTGTTAGACCAATACTAGTAATCAAGGCAAATAGGATTATATCTGCTATGCTTTTGATTAATCATGACATTTAAGGAATTCCCATCGACATAAATGCTCAATATCTACAGCAATTCACTACAATAGACCTAGCTTTTGACTATCATAAAATATTGAATCAAGTTACCATCTATTAGGATTATAAAACATAGAAATAGGATGATTCGGTTTGATAGTGGTTGTAAAAGTGGTTATAATTTTTATTGAAATCACTCATTTGCGTGCGAGGTGGATTTCTTGATGATTAATGTAGCATTACTTTTTGTTGGTAGAACGCAAATGCAACGATAGTAGCATAGTCTGATTGACGAGTTATAATGATCGGAGGGAATAGTTAAAAGAATAGAAATTCTTTCATACGTAATTGATGATAGCAAGGCACTAGTCACTCCGAGAAAGATTTATTGTAAAACTGATTCATACAAAAAAGGAATTACTGTAGTATTCCATTAACCTTCCTAATTCATTCTTTATTCTATACGGAGGAATGATTACGATTTCATAATATTAATTCAGTTATGTTAGTGTTGTATAACTACGTATTATACAACTATTATATTGGTTTGTCGTTAACTCGAAATATCTAAAATCTACGGCAGTACTTAATGTTAACAAAACATTTTTTTAATATCGAGTATGAAACGTTTTTATTGAAGTGTTTCGAATATCTTCTGTGATTTTCAGTTGTAATTCAATCATATAGATTGATATTTATAGGGTGTCAACAAACTATTAGTTAAAGTATAGTATTCCTTTTTGATTTTAATAAGTGATCTAATTTCTGATTATGAAACAGTATCTGTCTACCTAACGGGCTGTTACATTGTTATAGTAGAGAATGTTCACGTATTTTAAAAGATACCCATTTAGAGCAAATATTTCTATCATCAATCTCTTCTTTATATTTCTAGTGGTTTGATAAATGTTACAAAGTACATTAGAAATAATTTATTAAAACACCGCAAGTTTTAAAAATTATTATTCATGGTGTATCCCTTACCATGATTTAATTCCGTCTTTACTGCACTATAGTATGAATAAAGATGTTATTATATTTTCGGTATATCCAGTTTGACGTAAATATCATGGATTAAATAGACAAATAGTAACAATCCACACTACACTGTTAGTAATTATTTATGTAACTTATTATATCTAATATTTTATTCTTCGGCTCTAATCACGTATTTGGTTGATATTTGATTGATCTATAGCTATTGAAACATCCAAACCTAGTCAATTTATTGGAAGTCTTTCGTAGAAAAAGAAAATTGCATCTCGTCTTTGAATACTGTGAATATACTGTTTTGAACGAATTAGATGCTCATCCAAAAGGGTTTGTTATTTGGAGTTAATTATGAGACTAAATAATGAAAATCAGTCAACACTAGAAAATATTAAGATGTTAAAAATTTTGAATAATGTTTTCTAAAATCTCTTGCTGTCTTTTTATTTATTGATAAATATTTAAAGTGGTCTATACTGTATGTAGCATGGATAGAGGAAATTAAAAGTGACTAGTTTAAGACTAAAGTGTAAGCTACCGTAGTATCTAGATTCTTCTACGTATTTATCAATTTGTATTTAAATTTATATTGCATTGAGATAATCATGATTACTAGGAGTTAGTTTTCGGAAGATGATTAGCTATATGCAATATTGCAAGCCCATCGCTTATTATCTGAACTCGTTAGGAGTACTATAATAAATAGAAAATCTGAAGTTCTATAAACAATAAAATACAGTAGATAAAACGTGAAATGAAAGTTAATTAATGATGTGCAAAATAAAGCTAAAATAATATTCGATTACAGCGGTGGTTATTATAGTCTATTGCTAATTTAGAATCATGATCTTATGTCTCGGTCATTACCAGTGCATTGATTAGAATGAATATTAATATAGTACATACCAAATAGATATTAATAATGTTGTTAGTGTTTTTTATTAGTTGAATGCCTTTATTTTTATTGAATTAGTGTGGACGAATTAGTGGTCAAGAAAATCATATGGCAAACCTTACAAGCTGTCAATTTTTGTCACAAACACAACGTAAGTAAATAATTTTCAAAAAATAAAATCGATTAAAACTTAGATATTGTAAAACTGATATAAAATGTACTTACAAAAAGATTACAATAAAATAGAGTCAGTAATAGCAGTTACCAGATTAATTAATTAATTTTAGCTTGGTCATCATTTTCTTATTATTTAATGTTCTTAATTTTCAACATCATTATTTGTCGTATACAGTAACTCTTTATTTCTTCTTTAGTGTATTCATCGTGATGTTAAGCCTGAAAATATCTTAATAACCAAGACTGGTGTCATCAAATTATGCGATTTTGGATTTGCCCGTGTTTTAAGTGAGCATTATTATTTTCGCTATTGCTTAAATTAATGACTAGTCATCTATCGTATTTTGTGGTATAATTGTAAATTAATATGGAGCTAAAGTAGTTGAAAGTTTAAAGAAAATGGAAGAGAAATGAATTTCTGTTTCAGTCTGTATTTTACAGTATTAATAGTTTTTATTAAATTTTCTTTATTATCATAGATCCAGGTGATGATTATACTGATTATGTTGCTACAAGATGGTATCGTGCACCAGAGCTGTTAGTTGGCGATACCCAATATGGTCCTCCAGTTGATGTTTGGGCTATTGGGTGTGTTTTTGCTGAATTACTGACCGGTCAAGCGTTATGGCCTGGTCGTTCTGATGTAGATCAACTGTATCTTGTCCGTAGAACGTTAGGTAAATAATTAATATTTAATCTTTTGATCTCCATGCCACCAAGGCAGAATTATTAACGATCATAATAAACATAGACATCTTTGTATCAGAGGCTATAAAGTCTAAATGTCTGCTAGTTTTCCTTGCCAATATTGAATTTATTGATAATAAATGCTGTGAGATCCTCTGTATTATGAACTACAACTGTAGTTTATTGTTTCAATAATTGTTATTTGAAATCATGTTTATTTACTCTTATTTTAGGTGATCTTATACCGCGCCACATGCAAATATTTAGTAATAATCAGTACTTTAAGGGCTTATCCATACCCGTACCAGAGACAACGGTAATTTTAATGAATGTAACTTATTGATATTATTATAAAATTGGAATCTAGATGATTTATGAATCAATCAATACTTATCAAAAGTCCTTAATAGTTTTATCATTATCTCTACTTTTTATCCAATGGCAATTAAAAAATATTGTAGAGAGCTATAACGTACTAGTACATTATACAGTGTATTTGGATCGTATATTGATTGAAGTAAATATCATTATGGAAGTTTGTATGCCTACATTTACTGATTACGTAGGACTATAGTTATCGGTCAAATTAGTACAAAACAATGGATTAAAAATATTCGATGTAAATTTTGAATAAAGTGATATCTCGCAGTTTACAACCTCCATCGGCTGTTAGTTACCAATGGCATAAACCAAACGTAGTTCGGGTATATATTTGTAGCATAGGCGCATATACAATATGGAAGCAGTCTCATGTCTATAGTTTTACATAAAGTTATAAATTCAGATAATATTAGATAATATACGGTATTTTATTTATGTTGCTTGAAGTACAGTACAATATAACAGAATTTTTTTAATGAAAATATTCTTTAATTTAGGAGCCTTTAGAGCAAAAATTTATCAAACATTCTAATGTAGCCATTAATTTTATGAGGGTAAGAAATATATAGTCTTTATAAGTATATGTATCTATTTATTGACGGTGAAATTATTTTAATAAACGTGAATAGTAATATTGCTATATATTGTCTATTATATATAGGATTGTCTACAATTGGATCCCGCATCTCGGTCATCGTGTCGACAGTTATTAGATCATAGCTATTTTGATGGTTTTCGTGAATGGTTTGAACCGGAGTTGCAGGTAGATTGAATATTGCTTTGGATAGCTTAAATGCTTGATTATATTTCGTAAATGATGTTTTTATATTGTTGCTCTTTTGTTGAATCCGTTCGTACTACTTAGTCTCTATATTCGGTTCAAAAATAGAATACTAACATTTCTTTAGAACTAGTAATTGCATTTGACCAGATCGTGCAGTTAGTGTAGCGCATCTAAAGGTCATAGTAAATTCATTAAAGGTGATCCTATAAGATATTCATCAATTCAAAAATTCTTCCTCGGATAATATGATCTTCCCTAGACTATAATTTAATTTACTTAGTTTAAATTGCTATAAATACAAAAAATCGCATTGTATATAAGAATTACGAGCAAAAAACGCTATATAGTGATTTCTTCGATATTTTTAAATCTTTTAGAAAGTTATTCATGCTTCATCTTCTCAGATGCCTAAAACAAGAACAAAATCTGTAAGTTATACCAATTGTCATATATATTTAAATTTGAATACTTTATGCCAATGCTATGCTTTTCTAATGAAGTGAAGTAGGACTGTTATGTGAAAATAATACTAAAAATATTTTAAGTATTACTAATTCTGCGTCCCAATTCATTCGAATACTCAGAGAAATGTTAATAATCCTGTCCGTAAAAACACTAAGTATTTACCACAACTAACTAGCGAATCTCCCCAAGCAGGTTGGTGATGTAAATAAACTAGTTTAAATTGAATTAGTGGCTAGGGTATAAGCGTCCTAAAATAAAACCTACCATTTATTATTGTCTTTAAGCCAAACATTCAGCTGATTGATAATTTGTGCGTAGTTTAAAAGTTTATTTTGATTTACAATTCTTAAAAAAATATGAAAAGCTAACGTTTACATTATACGTGTACTTACTAATAAACAACCAAATTACAACTGTAAAGTTGAGTACGGTATGTATAGATGGTAAAATTAATATATTCGAAAGAAATTTTGAAAGCCAACCAAAACTATAATTCTTAGTGATAATAAAGAAACATGGTATTAGTATATTTTATGCTATAACTGAAAAATATTTTTCTCCTGTTGTATCGATTTTTAATCCCCTAATCACTTATAAACGGAATGGAATTTGAAATCTTGGTAAAATGGTGCTATGATCTAAAAATTAACAGAGAGAAGAGCTCAGAATATTAGGCAATACTCTAGGGGTGGAATTGATCACTTGCCGCATATATAATACAATGTCATAAAAGATGAAGTTTTGATCCATTTTGAACAAAAGTAATGTGAATGTTTGTGAAGCAGGCTTATAATAAACTATATTGCACACCACTTCTGGTATAAACCGTAAAGTTCCTTAATTTAGTATTGATGTAAATTAAATTGGACCTATTGTGATTATTTTTGGCCATATAAGTATTCGCCTATTAGAATCTTAGATACAAGGTATGCTATTAGAAAATTTATATCTTAATCTTGTTACATTCCAATGTCATCGAACCTGGTTATTACAGTCCAAAAGATTATGGCGGTACAATGATACTTGAGTTGGTAATATAATCTATCCTTGCTTGATAGCATTAAGAATTTATCTAATACCACTAATTGGGCGGTAGCATCATTTAATTAAGCGATACCCTATAACAACATGGTTTATCCATTAAAATGTATATTTCTATTCAATACCGTACGAGTACGTAAAGTTATGGCTTTGCTTACATTATACAAGGATGCGATATTTCTTTTCTCTTTTTAAACTTGGTAATATCGAAAATTAAACTGATTTTATTACTAGCTTCTGCTTATTTCTACTCTGGCGCTGCCATGTCAAGTTATTTTCATCCATATCGCAATATTGTCCATTAGCTGCCAATATCATTCCTGATTTCTTTTACGATAACCAATATAGTAAGGGCTAATATGCGTTACAGCTAATAGCCAGGTAAAGACAATATGTTATTTATAAATTACGCCTCCATCAAGATTTAAATATTGATATGAGGCGAATTTCTTTTGGCTTACTGTTGTCATCTTAAAAGCACTGAACGAATATTATGAAAGCATTTTTGGTCGTCAATATTGCAACTTTTCGTATCTGTTTATACTACTCCTACGAAAAGAAATTTTAAGTAATACTATGTTATGATTTATACTCTCCAGTATTTAAATTTTAAAATAGAACGAAATAGCGTCGAAAGTTCGATTTAAAGTATTCAGGTTATTCTGTACAACTGTAAAGCGGATCTAAACTAGTAAACTATGTTATGATTTTGATTTTGATTTCTTACGGATAGTAATTATGACCGCTTTCATAGTGCTAGTTTACGTTGATCACTTTCAGTTTATAATATATATATATTAAAATTTGATGACGTTTTTCCTAGACTCTTAGTATTGCTAGGCAAAATAATGATTATAACTGATTCAAAAATTGATTTCTTTTAATGGTTAACCATGATAATGTTGTTGAAAGTGATTAACCCTCTAATAAGATTGGTTTATCGCTGGTTACCGATAACTGAATATGCTCTTGTACGCTTTATGGTCATATTTTCTGGTTGTTTTTTGTTAACTTTGATCAATTGATGGAATTGTAATCAATATTGGCTTGGTTTACTTTTGAATTATCCAACAGAATTTCAAGGAAGTATTTTCTTCTCTTTTTGGACGCCCTTTGTCATTGACAAAGCAGATTGAATGATGATGTGAAATCTTATTTGGAAGGGTGAAAATATCATGGTATAATAATAATTATTAATACCATAAATGTCGTTAAATAAACAGACGATGAAAATGTATGTCATGATAGATACATCATGTGGATATTTGTATTAGTATCATTAACAATAGGATATGTAGTTATGGTAGAATTTAAACTTCGACATGATGCTCATGAAATAACGATATCAATGAATATTCTGTTGTACAGTACATGCGTACTCGTATATCGCCAATAAAAGAAAAGAAAAGATCAGTAAAGTAATTTTCTTTTTCTTGAAATTACTGATATTATGCTATGCCGTATGCTAGCATTCTGGTATAAATGAGGATTATTTTCTCTGAAGCATGGAATGATTTCTTTGATTATCATACCGTACTTGAAATGATCAGATGCGAATGCAAGCTATAAATTTGTAATATATTCATTTAAAATGTTAATGGGCCAGATCTAATTCTAAGTAAGAGGCTAGTACGGTAATATCTTATCTTGAAGAGTATGATTGAAGGAGAATTATAGTACTAAGAAGAGGCTAAATGTAGTAATACCTTATCCGGTAGAGTATGCTTTAATAGACAATTCTAGTTTTCGTTGGCTGAAGTTAAAATTAGCATGATTTTAAGTATGCAATATAATGATAGTCTAAATACTCGTCTAAATTTTCGAAGCTGATCCATTTTTATCCGTGTAAACTCGATGTAATTCTAAATACAACCTACTGTGACAAGTCTACATAAAAATCTTGTGATCATGCTGCAACTTTCTGTTTACACTTTACATAAGTCTCTTTTGTTGCTTTTCGAGCACGTTACGCTATATCGTTTCACAGCACTTTACCTAGTTAACTACAAATTCTTAGACATACTGTAGCGGTATTAGATGGAATATTAGATCCTGAGATCGAATCTAGTTTCGTTAGTATTGCATAGCAGCTATGAAACATATTGAATCAAGGAATGCTGTTTGACTTTCTTGAATGGCCTGCAAGATTGGCAAATCGTCTTAGAGTTCAATTGATATATTAAGTGTATCGAGGATCTGCATCTAAGAGAAGATTAAATGTTAGTGTAGATAGGCATTCATGTCTGCTTTCCCTTGGCAATGATTCTATGTGAGGATGTGGAAGGCTATTCCTGCTACTTCATTTGCGAAGTCTTGCTAATTTAAGCAACATAATTGTTATAATTTTCTACGTTTGACACGTACTCGGCGTACCTAGATCATGTTAAATTAGAGCTTAAAGGAATCTTCAGTACTTTGGTCATTGATTGTGAATGAAAGACTCAGACTGGAGTACCACCGGAGTACTGTCCTCATTTCCAGAAGAGATTCCAAACACTATTTATTAAAAGCTCTCTATACTGTAGATAGATCATCTTATTGAAAAATTAGATTTCAATGATTTAACTACGAATAGAGATAATTTAATCTTGAGTGATAATTAATAATACTAATTATTATCCATAGTTTAGCTATTTTAACTATTTATCAAAAGCTCTGTACTGTATACTGTAGATAGATTATCTTATCCCCCTTATCTTATTGAAAATTAGATTTCAATGATTGAACTATGAATAGAGATAATTTAATCTTGAGTGATAATTAATAATACTATTTATTATCCATAGTTTAGCTATTTTAACTTCATGAATTTCACTCAATACTCATAAAGAGTTTACGATGTATGTACAGTACAGTAGAACGCGTATGGGGTTGGTACACCTGTAAGTTTCATCTGGTTTACCTGAGATGATACCAAACTGAACATTATTTTTATACATAATTTATTTATTTTCAGTCTTTTAAGCTCAATCTTATTCTAATTCTGTTCTATCAATGCTCTAATTAAGGGAGATTGACTCCGTTTACTGTCCGTAAAGAGTCCTTGAATGATATATGTAGAAAGATGCATTGGTTAGTCAATCATGGTGTTCCATCTGCTGTAGTTAGTATCGAATCATAACATTTTAGCCTAAAAGGAGCATATTGAATCTGATTTTTTATAGCTCACTCATTAAGTCTTGTAAACTAGATGGAAGTCTAAATATTAGCACTCAATAAATTACGTATGGGATTGATTCACAAATGCTATTCAGTTCACTCTGATTGTGTTGCTCAATCCGTCGTGATAATATGGCTGTCATTTTCGCGTTTATTCGTCTTAATGTAATAAACTGGCTCTAACAGCGATAAAAATCCGTTACGCCATTTATTTGCAAGGTACGACTTCAATGAAGCTTTAAAAATCAGCTTTACTCCCTATGTATCGTTTATTTATTTTACTTTGAAATACCAACAAGGCATGGCAAAGGTCATAAAATGCT